AATGGTTCTTCACCAAGCTTCATTTTTAAGTGGATTATTTTATATATGTAATTATAAAAATGGGGTTTAGTTGTTTATATTAGTTTCCACCTTTTTGCTGGTCCTCTTGCATGGCTAAAAATATACAATAATATCACGATTAGTAACTTTCCAGATAATTTTACAATTAGGACTGTTTTGTAAGCTCTGCTAAGTGACTGGTCTGTATAAGATTTCTTTTCTCTTCCTGAAGCTAATAACGTTAAAATATAAAAATTTCGTTTATGCCGTACGCCATTTATTTATGCTAGAGAAATTTTATGTCTACCCCTGTAGGATTAATCAGGAAATTTATCACTATCACTAAGTAACAGATATGACCAATAGTAGCTTGGAAAACGATGTCGACAAATTGAAATTGTCAGAAACTGAACAAGTTATCACACCTTGGGAAGTTGAAGGAGCAGTCGTCGATGGGCAAGCTCAAGGAATTGACTACGATAAATTGATAAAACAGTTTGGAACAAAAAAAATCACCGATGAAACTTTGAATAGATTTGAATTAGTCACAGGCCAAAAAGTTCATCCTTTCTTGAAAAGAGGAATGTTCTTTTCAGAAAGAGATCTAGGTAAAATTTTAGATTTGTACGAACATGGTGAGCCCTTCTTCTTGTATACGGGTAGAGGGCCCTCTTCAGACTCAATGCATTTAGGTCATATGATTCCGTTTACATTTACTAAATGGTTACAGGATGTATTCGACGCTCCGCTTATCATTGAAATTACAGATGACGAGAAGTTTTTATTTAAACCTAAATTGACTATAGAGGATGTCAAGAGATTTGCTAAGGAAAACACAAAAGACATTATAGCAGTAGGTTTTAATCCAGAGAATACTTTCATATTCTCAGATCTTGAGTATATGGGTGGTGCCTTCTTCGAGAATGTTGTTAGGACGTCTAGACAAATAACTACTTCTACAGCCAAAGCTGTATTTGGCTTTCAAGACCTGGACTGCATTGGTAAGCTCCATTTTGCGAGTATTCAAATTGCAACTGCATTTCCGTCATCATTTCCGGATGTTTTAGGATTACCCCCGAAGACACCTTGCTTGATTCCTTGTGCAATTGACCAGGATCCTTATTTCAGGGTTTGCAGAGATGTTGCCGATAAACTTAAATTTTCAAAGCCATCTTTAATTCACGCTAAATTTTTCCCTGCCTTGCAAGGGGCAACGACAAAGATGTCTGCATCGGATACTACCACAACGATATCAATGTTAGATACACCAAAACAGATTCAGAAAAAAGTAAATAAGTATGCCTTTTCTGGAGGTAGAACCTCAGTTGAAGAGCACAGAAAATATGGAGGTGACCCTGATGTTGATGTTGCTTTTCAATATTTGTCATTTTTTAGCGATGATGATGAAAAGTTGGAAAGTTTAGCTGAAGGTTATAGAAAGGGAGAAGTTTTGTCTGGTGAAATGAAAAAAGAATGTATTGAAGAACTTCAAAAGTATGTTACTGCGTATCAGGAAAGGAGACAGAAAGTGGACGACAGTGTTGCTCAGGCTTTCATGACTCCCCATAAGTTAATTTACGGTAAAAAAGAGCGTTTGGTACCTGCAAAACAAAGAGAGACACCTAAGAAGAAGTGAAATTAATCAAAACTTGTCATTTTATTTAATAAGTAGATACAACATATAATATTCTAGCTGGAAAATCATTGTAGCAAGTCCTTAACGTTGTCTAGTATGAACAATAGCTTATCAAAGTCTTGTTTCTCGACTGATTCACCATCTCCGAACCAACGTGATCCTATCGATAGTATAATGCTTTTAGGTCTGCTTGAGTTTAATGCAAGTTTTCCAATTTGGGATGCTACGATTTGAAGCTTTATGTTTTTGTGATTCCCCAAGAGCACTCTGGGCTCTATTTCATGCTCTCCATCCTCATTGGACGAGCGTAGGAAGCTCGGATTGCTTGTTCGAAAAGTATCTGCGATATCGAATGTCATATCCATGGACCCATCTATTTGAATATTAATGATCATTTTATCTTCAAACTCGATCTTATGGAAAAAAAACTCTACATTTTCTTCACCGGGGTACTTAATGCTAAGAGCCTTGCTGAATGGTTTAGTATCTACTTCCATTGATACCTAATTCCACATTAATTGTCATTCACTACTCTCTCATAATGTAAAGCGTAGGCCAGTAATGTAATATTTAACTCGTCATGTGACTTAACATGAGTGATCGGGATATCATAGAATGTAGGCTTTTGATTCAGAGAGCTACGTTCGATCCATAACAACATAGACAATAGAAGACCGATTTTCCATCGGTGAATGGTGTCTTTGCAACAGCCAACGAAAAAGAGTCTTAGCACCTAACATTTAAATTGAATCTTTTCATTCAAATTCTGACGTCAACAATAGAAAAGAATACACAGAGATCCTACTATAGAATGGAATTGCACCTATTCAAAACACTGCCCTACTATGTCTATGTTTCGGATTTGCACATAATATCAAAGTAATTTATTCACCATTCGAGCCCTAAGAAATACTTGATAATAATGAAGAAGTTTTACAATATATTGGAGCTTCCATTACATTTTCATACTCCAAGCAAGGCTGTTAAGACTACAATGTAGTTAGATCAGAATATACTCTGAATATCATTTTTCTATAGGATAAATTTCAATTTTTCATAGTGCCCATTAGTCATTTTTAGAAATCATTCCGAGTACGGGCCTTAATAATGCATGACAGAAAAATTGAAATATCTAACCATATTGTACCATTTACCGAACATTTGCATTGTGATATATATATATATATATATGTATATATCTACTTGAAGGACTTGAATTCTGAAGAGGCACTATAAAGAATCCAGGCTGATCTTGGGTATATTCGGGTCGTTTTATTGCAAATATAGCACACATTTGAAAAAAAAATGTCAAAATCATTTGTGTCAGTACCTGAAGCGGTAGAGGCATTCAAGAATGGAGAGTTCTTAATTGTTATGGACGATGAAGATAGAGAGAACGAAGGGGATTTAATAATCGCCGCTCAATTAATGACGCAAGAAAAAATGGCGTTTTTAGTAAGATACTCCTCTGGATATGTCTGCGCTCCGTTATCTACAGAAAGAGCGGATCAATTGAAGTTATTTCCTATGCTAGAAAATCAAACTGATAGACATGGAACAGCTTATACAGCTACATGTGATTACAGTCATGGAACAACTACGGGAATATCAGCCCACGACAGAGCGTTAACTACAAAAATGTTGGCTGATCCGTCTGTTAAGCCAGAAGATTTTATCCGTCCTGGACATGTCTTGCCTTTAAGGGCTGTACCCGGTTTGCTCAAGCAAAGAAGGGGTCATACTGAAGCCTCAATACAACTAACCCAGTTAGCTGGTTTCCAACCAGCAGCTGTGATCTGTGAATTAGTGAGAGATGAAGATGGTTTGATGATGAGATTGGAAGATTGTATCAAATTTGGTAAAGAGCACGGGATCAAGCTAGTTACTATAGAACAACTTGTGTCTCATATATCTCAATAAACAGATGAATTATTATTTTATATATATATTTGAATGCTTATTCTATCTTAAACTAATATCAATTGGGCCTTTCTCTTGCCGGATACTTCATCTTTGAATGACTTAATTTGCACTTTAACTTTATCAAATACCGCTACTTGTCTATTCTTGTTTTCGAAATCATTGAAATTCAATTTAAACTCGTCCTCGTTGAAATCTGCCGATGCGACGTTCCCTAAATTTTCAAGTTTTATTAATCCTTCGATTCCGAATTTAGGAACCAACACCACTATACCATTATTAAAGCATTTTATAACATATCCTTCCTCAACGGTCTCTCTATTTCTCATAACCTGTCCTACGTAGTACTCAATACTGGCCCTACCTGCGAATTGAGCATTCCTGTGACGCCTATTAATATTCTTCACGATTAGCTCCATTTTAGTTTTATCCCTATGAGTGAGTTCTAAGTTCTCATACCCAATAGCACCAGCTAGTTGTCTGTGGGCAACGATGTCGCAATATCTTCGAATAGGAGATGTAAAGTGCGTATATATATCAACTGCTAACCCATAATGCCTGAATTCAGGGTATCCATAAGAACCTGACGCAAAATATTCTGCTGCCATCATACATCTAGTAGACATAATACGTAACAAGGTATTGAAGTAGGGGTCATTAGGGTCTTGACATCTATCTAGGGAGTCGGCCAAAGATTTTGACGATTCTAATGAAATATGCATGCCTGGCTTTCTTACTCTTAACATTTCATTTAAGGCCTCAAAATTGGTAGCGGGTGGAGCTGCGTGTCTTCTAAGCATTGCAGTTTGAGGATAAGCATCATATATCTTTCTAGCGACAGATATATTTGCAAGTAACATGAATTCTTCCACGAGAGAGTTTGTTTCGAGTAATTTCTTGATTTCCACGTCTCCTGGATCGGAGGTTTCGCTATCCATATAAACTTTGACTTCTGGAGATGCCAAATTGAGAGCGCCAGCATCTAGTCTCTTTTGCTTAAGATTCTTTGACAATTTCAACAAAATTCTCATGGACTGAGCCAATTCATCCTTTTGAGACGGGTCATCTATTCTTAATTGAGCTTGTTCGTACGAAAATGCCTCTCTAGATTTGATTATGGACTTCATATAGTCCACGTTGACTATGTTTGCATTTTCATCAAGCTCCCATATAACGGAGAAAGAAAATCTATCAACATATGGCTTCAAGGAGCAAAGATTAGTACCCAACAACATTGGAAGCATATCGATTCTCTTATCGACGAGATAGACTGATGTTCCTCTAGAGGCACCTTCGTTATCAAGAGCTGTATTCGGCTTCACAAAATGAGTGACATCAGCAATGTGAACTCCTACTTCATAGTTACCATTAGGCAATTGCTTAGCATGTAACGCATCATCAATGTCAACACAGCCCACGGGATCAATAGAACAAACAAGCTTATCTCTAAGATCCTTGCGTTTCTCTAATTGTGGATCAGCAGTAAGGTTTTCAGGAACTTTCCATTCTGCACCTTCATGTGGCAAACAATCGATTACATTCTTTGCAAAAGGTCTGTACTCAACATCATGTTCTAATAGCAAAGCTTCAGTTTCTGCTTCTGCACTTTCAATTTCACCCAAACATCTTATAAAATGACCCTGGGGATAGCGCGAAGTTGAGGGCCACGCGTCAACAGCTACAACTATTCTTTGACCTAGAAGCTCTCTTCCTTTTCTTGTTCTTATCCTTATTCGTGGCAATAAACGATCCATCAATATAACGAAGCAATTCTTTGAAGAACCACCAACGTCATGGTCTGAAACTGAGGTCGGATCTATTTGGCCAACATAATACCTCCATGATCTCCTAATGATACCAACTACCTTAGCAGTTGGTTGTAATCTCTTCTGAACCTTTTCATCAGTAGCTTTAAGCGCCTCTTGAGCTAACATCCTACGTTCCTTGTCAGAGATAATGCCCCCTATTTGCTCACCTTCATCTTCACTCACCTCGTCAGTTATATCATTGGCACCGATGCTACTTTCATCCATGATAGTAGTCGAAGGCTCCCTCCATTTTTCTTTCGGCAAAAGCTCCACAATTACGGAGTCACCATTAAATGCTCTATTCAAGTTCTTGGATCCAATAATAAGTAACGGTTTTTTGAAAGCAGGAGTGGCAACTGATGCTTCCAAAATATTGTAAGTTGAAACATTCAATATCCCTTGATACATGGTACCCCCTTTAATTCCACCCATGATTCTAGCATCCGAAAAGTATTCAGGATATGATATTTCATTATATTCCATTCCAGCAAAATTCTCTCCTTCGTTTGGAATAAGGTCTCTTAAGTCATCAGCATTTGGCAACTGATCAATATACTCTGTAAGTGACATTGCACTAATTCCTTCCTTCAATGCTTTGGAACGATTATCGAAATCATTACATAAAAATATTATAGAAACTTTCTTCTCATCTTTATTTAAGTGATCGTCATACCAAGATGCAACTTTTCTAATCGCCCTGTCGTTACGATCATTAATTGATTCATTTTTAGCACGATTAACATATGATGCCTCATTAAATTCGTTATGAAATACAACAAATCTCTTTTCTTCTGACTTCACTAAGGCTCGAATCCTTTGATAAATCGGAAATGACCTACTTCTTACCTCATCCAAAACTGTCTGAGGTACAATTACATCAAAAAAACACCCTCTGTTTTCCAACAAATCTATCGCATGCAAGACTATATTAGTATCGACAACAATATAATGAGCCTTCTTATTCAATTTCAAAGGTGACAGGGATAAAACGAAGTCTGCACTCTCACCCTGAGGGCCTGTTTTAATAAGATCAATACACGTATGGCATAATTTCGAATAGCATGGAATATCATTTCTCAAGTATAGTTCTCGAACAATTTTGGTAGCTCCACCATTCCTAGACCTGACGAATACTTTTGAAGTAACACTGAGGCCACTAGACAACCTCTTTCGCTCTAACATTTTTCTGTGTCTCAGTTAGCTTCCTATGCCTTCAGCTCATCGTACAGCTCTCAAGAGCTAAATTTTCGACCTCACATACCAGATCACATGACCAGAAGACCTTAATTAACTTAACTTCAAGCCCGAATGCCTACGTATATTTGATACATTAATATTATGCTTTATATGACATCTTATATATTCTATGGAGCGTGTGATTCACTAGCTGCTTTCGTCTAAAAGAGAATATTGGTGTAGCAAAATACAATCACCACCCCGTTCTGGGTCTAAACCATAAGTACAGAAGAATCCTTCAGACGTGACAACATTGATGTGTAATAGATTTAATGATAGCATCTCTTTTGAGGTCGAAGAATCTTTTACATTTTGATTAAAGGAAGTGGTGACCGAATCTTTTTCCTTCTCTTTATGATCCTTGTCCTTTTTTGCTGCTAAAAGTGCTTGCGGAACCAAATCTTCCTGTATTTCATTGCTCATGACGGCGATTGACTTCACGTCTTTTGCCATTGTGTTAATCTTCAAAGATGCAAAATGACGAGTAGGTTCTAAGATAGAGGAAAACCTCGAGGGAAGAAAGTCGCCCATCTTTTGAGCAGCTTTTCTTCCTAAAGTCTGAGATGACCTTCTAATCATTCTTGCAACTGATAATCGAGTTTGGTCGACAAGCGGTTCCGTTTTAGAATCTTTATTAGATGGCATTGATGATACGCTTTGTGCAGCCGCATCTTCGCTACTGATATTAGAGATCCCAGACATTGCACTAACAGCTGAATTATTCGATCCCTGCGAGAACTTGCGTTGCTTGGGAATTATTTCTATTGATTCGTCATCTCCATCTTCATCTTCCGCATCACTGTCATCACCGTCATCGATTTCATCATCTTCCTCTTCGTCTGCGGGCTTTCGAGTGTTAGCTTCTTCGGCTTCTTCAGTTATCGTCTCATATCCCGGAATTGGCTTAGGTTTTGGCTTTGAGCTTCTTCTCCTTTTATGTTTATTCTTGAGCGCTTCATCTTCTCCCAATCGAAAGATATGTACTGTTCCACTAGCGCTAGTGGCTATTACGTACATATCATCGGAACTGAACTTCAAAGAATATATCTTAGTGGGGTATGTGCCTCTTCTGAACTGATATAATTTTATTCCAGTTGTGACGGAAAACACTCTTATTATAGTACCCTTATCTGAGGCGGTTGCCAAAAGCAAACCATCGCTTGACAACGTGATGGCAGCCAACGCTGATTTATGTGCTTCGATAACGCAAACGGGCTGCAACGTAGTGACATTAAATATTATGACATCGCCAATTCTATTAGGGCTATTGCTAACCGATTGAATGTTATTCTGGACCGAATTAACTCCTCCATTGGTGTTTATTCCAGTAACTAACAAAGAATCATGAGTGATAGTCTTCGGAGGAGACGGGTATGCAAGGTATATATCACTTCCTTCTGACGAAATAGCGCAAATTCCGTTCGAATTAATACTGGTTTCTATAGTGTGCAATAATTTCATGGTCGTAATGTCATATATATAAATTTGATCTTCCAAAACAACAACCATTCTGGATTTGGTGAGCTTAACCTGTAAAATTGTTGAGGGAAACACTAAATCACAAATCGTAGACTGTCTCTTTGAGTTAATGATCTTGAGCTTTCTTGGTGATGACCCGGGTTCTTCACCTAGTCCTACGACTGCCACTAGCGAGGTGCAATAAAGCATTTCAATTATTCTAACTGCTTCATCTTTTTTAAATTGATAGCACTTTCCAAAGTTGGGACGACAACTGAATATCTTATATCCATTATTTAACCCGATTGCGATGCAGCTGGCGTCCTGATTGAACGTTATAAAATTAACTCTGTCGTCATTATAGCGGGCATTACTGTTAATGGATGAACTGCCATCATTCAAAATATCGGATGCGGCAGAATGAAATGAGTTGCCACTAGATGTTACACTCATTTTCAGCATGATGCTTCAGCCAGTGTTGTATAGCCCTGAAAACTTATATGTAAAGGTACGGACAGGTTTTGAGATAAAACATAACAAGAGTACCCAGATACAGGTCAGAGCACATATTACACAAAACTGGACCAGTTACAGAAAACGTTTACTAATTGCAATTTGAATAAATGTTATAAGGACTGGCAGTTGTGACAATTTAAGGAAGTTGATCAAAATTTCTGTTCTATTTAAGAAGAATTCTACTTGAGAGCACATTAAATGTATTTTACCAACCAAGAAGTGAATTTATCGATCAGCTCTGCAGTGATCTCATGTCCAGCACCTTTTTGGATGTAGACATCAGTATCAGAGTTTGTATTTTTATATATCTCAACCCAGAGCCTAGACAACCTTGGAGGCACCAATTTATCTAGCTCACCAAATGTTGCAAACATCCTTATTTTGGAAAATGGATAGTTTTCGAAAATCCCGATGTCTTGATTACTGAGATACTTGTGGAATGTTTCGGGATATTGTTTCTGTTTCTGGTTCTCTGAAAGACCCAATTCCTTGTAATCTTTGTAAAACCATTTTATATCATAACTACTGGATGTCAAATCTGCTTTCAACAACCTATTGAGCAATAGCGAGGACAAATCAGAGCATCCAATAATTGGGTTGATGTATTCTACCAATTCTGGATAGTAATATCCAAATCGAATAGCGATATGACCACCCAAAGAGGTTCCACTAATTCCGTTTCTATACGCGATCTTTGTTTCAAAGTTCTCCTTAGCTGAGGGGGACAAATAAAATTCTAAATTCAAGAAGCTTGGTAAATAATCCATAATTAGCTTTATATCCTGGACCGTTCCATCGATTATCGATACCATATCAAGAGCATGCTTGTCATTCCCTGATGTCCATCCCGAATTGCGGCTGCTGTCCACAGTTCTGTCACCATGATTCCTATCATCAAATACGACACAAATTAATGGTTCTTCAACTTTATTTTTCTTAGAATAAAATTGTTTCAAAATAGTTTTAGCCAATGACTCAGAGTCTTTATAGCTTCTAGTTCTTCCATGAGCGAAGTATAGTACATTTATGTTCAATTGCAGAAGATCTTTTTTGTTTATCCCCGAGTGATCCACCTCCTCTAAAGACTTATTGAACAATTCGACATAAGGAATCAAAGAATCCGAATTGTACAAGTGAATGGCTATCCCACCTACTAATTGAGAAGTTTTAGAAAAGTTTTCAGTATCAACTTCAAAGCGCTTCATCATAAATAAGACAAGTATAAATTATATAGAAAGAAGTAGATTGTAACGAACCTCACAAATTCGTTCGCAATATACATGAAAGTATGAGTAATCTTGAAAAGTCGTTTTCAGGAAGAACTACTATACACAGACGAAAAACTAGGCACAGAATTCAAAATAGCATTCTTAGATGCCAATTTCTCATGCTCCTGAAGCTCTCTTGCGCTGATTGTGTCACTCCTGCTAGAACGAGGCTGCAAGTCAATTGCCTTCCTCTCCCCGTCACTAGGGCTCTGTCGTTCGAGTTGATATTCCTCTCGCGCTTTTCCTTTAGGTCGAGTAGCGCTAGTCTTTCCGCCACTCCCATTATCATTCTCGTTTTCGAACTCGCCCTCGTCTTCATCTTCATCTTCATCTTCATCGGCTTCATCACTAATATTTTTTGCATCATTAGTGCTGTCTCTTTCAGAATTACCCTCTTCGTTATCTTCGTCATCTTCATTGATTGGAGGCTCCCCGAGCTTCTGAACGACGAAGTCGACAACTTCTCTCCATGATCTCATCCCTCCCATCGATATGTTCCCATCGACGTCACAGTACTTTTCCACAGGTTTTAATATGCATATTCCAGGAAAACATTCCTGTAAAGAGATCAATTGCCTTTTCGTCAAACTATGGGCATACATAGCTTCTGTATATGCCAATGCAACAACTATCGGCTTTGGAGACACAAAATTGTTACTCAAAACAGTTGAATTTTGAGGTTGTGAAAGCTTTTGTTGGGGAGGATTCAAATGAGCAGTCGGCCAAATATGAAGCAAATCCGTTAATAAATTATCAGCTAATCCATTAATTAGCTTTGCTACGGTATTTGCCGATAAAGGCGACAAGAGCAAAACATCTGTCCATCGTTGAATTTCATAGGTTAAGCAATACAGGGCATGGTTCTTCGTAGACGATTTGGCTGACAAATAGTACTTCATATGATCATCATGGAACCATACTTTCACACCCAACTTCTCGAATTTGAAAAGTTTGTCATACAATATCATTTCAGCTGCTTTTGTCAAAATCACTTGTATCTCAAGTCTATTGCGAGTATAAAGTTCAAAAAGCTTCCCTATTATCAAAAATATGTTTTTATGAATTGAAATTGATCCTGTGATACCAATCAAAAGATGTAATTTAGACCTTGTTTCATCTGAGCTGGTAGGCATTGCTGATGAAATCATATCTTCAATACCATTGGTTCCGTACTTCAAATTAATCTTCGACAGTGAAGAGGGCGCTAATTCAGGAGAAGCATGACAACTGGATATTATGCTGCCTGGTGCACTGTCCTCCTTGATTGAAATCGCCGGCGATCCTGTGAAAAACCCATTCGGAGAAACTGTGCTTGACCCAGGCGTCGAGCCTATCTTTGCTAGACCATGCATCGTGGGACTGATGGCATCATTATGCACCAATATCGAGGTCCGTGGATGTTCATGTTCACTTTTTTCCAAACACGATTTCAAATGTGTCCTAGGTGTCGCTTCCATCGGGACAGGTTGTTGGACTGCTTCGTCGGATTCAGCTTGAGCGCTCTTTTTAATATCATTATTCTTATTCATATCTTTTGTCTGCTTCATCATTGGCTCATCGAGAATCTCCTTAGAGTGAACTTCTTTTGGGGCGGCGCTTAATTTCTCTTGTTTAGCCAGCCTACTCATTAGCGGCAAAAATGTTGTATCTCGTCAAAATAAGAACTCTTTTGTCATAAATCAGTATCACTCGCAACTTCAGACTATTCTTTCGGCTCTAGAGATTTTTAATATTATTTGGTCCTCAGATAATTACTTGCTTTTGAACAAATGCACTTTATCCCCATCCTTATCAGCCATGCTTTCCAAATGTCGTAATTAACGATTTACGACATTGATAGAAAAGCGACAATTTCATTCATTTGATTTTTAATTAATGGTCTAGCTACGCCACACAATCAATTGATCTCCGATATAATATGTAAATTACTTCCGGAAGGGGTCACGGAATAGAAAGAAACCCGCACTCCCGTATCCGGGAGTGGTCTAGAGAACCCGTCACAGATAATCTCTGCCTCTGTGCAAACCTCTCCCCTCTCTCGGCTTTCACTCGCTAACCTCGCTGTATAGCACAATATAATTGAAGTTGATTATGCCGGTTGCATGTGATCATTATTACTCGCAAATCATCTGTAATGTAGGGGAACATTTCTATAAAGGTAGCAAGTGTTCCTTTAAACTTTGAAATAAACTTGCTGCATTTTATTAAAGTATTCAAGTGCTTTAGTTGATCTTACAGCTTGAAATAAATATGTCACCACCAAGCAAGCAAGCAGTAGCCGAAGATACCTCGGCGGCTTCAACTAAATTATCGGACAAAGTCACCAATTCTACACAAGATTCAATCTTGAAATATACAGATATTAGTGATATACCGAAAGGCGTTGAAAAGTTGAGAGAATCATTCTTCAACAAGCAAAAAACCTTGTCAATCCAGTACAGATTAAACCAGTTGAGAAATGTTTATTTTATTATAAAAGATAATGTTGATGAAATTTGTGCAGCTTTGGAGAAAGATTTCCATAGAAGTGTATCTGAGACTAAGTTGTTGGAAATCCATTGTGCATTGAGTGAATTGGTACACACAATGGCAAATATACATAAATGGGCAAAGAAGGAGCCTGTAACTGATGTACCGGTGGCTATGAAAACTTCACCAATTTATATCGAGAAATGTCCTTTGGGTGTTGTGTTAATTATTTCGCCATTCAATTACCCATTTTTGCTTTCGCTTAATGCTATTACTGGAGCCCTTGGAGCTGGTAATGCAGTTGTATTCAAACCCAGTGAAGCAACGCCTCATTTCTCTCAACTTTTCTGCGACTTGCTCAGTGAAGTGTTAGATGATGATATTTTCTTTGCAGTCAATGGAGCAGTGCCTGAAACTACTGCTCTCTTGGATCAGAAATTCGACAAGATCATGTATACCGGTAATAATTTTGTGGGAACTATTGTTGCTAAGAAAGCTGCTGAGACCTTGACTCCAGTTATTTTGGAATTGGGTGGTAAATCACCCACATTTGTATTAGATGATGTTCTGGACAAAGACATTCCGGTCATTGCCAGAAGAATTGTTTGGGGTAGATTTACTAATGGTGGCCAAACTTGTGTTGCCGTGGATTATGTCTTAGCTCATCAGTCAATCAAGGATAAGTTGGTGAAAGAAATAGTTAAAGTGATAAATGAAGAGTTCTATCCCAAATTGACTGCGTCGAGTCCGGATTATACGCATTTAATTCATGACAAAGCATTTTCCAACATCAAATCTATTATTCAAAAATCAAAAGGAAAGTTGGTCACTGGAGGACAGAGCGATAGTGCTACTAACTTTGTTGCTCCCACTGTTTTCGATGACGTTGATTGGAGTGATGCAACGATGCAACAAGAAATTTTTGGTCCAGTTTTACCCATTTTAACTTATACCGATTTGAAAACGGCAATTAAAAATGTGGTAAGATACCATGATACTCCTTTGGCTCAGTATATTTTTACAAGTGGCTCGACCAAGAGAGAAAATAATAAACAAATCAATGCAATCTTATCATCCATCAGATCAGGCAGTACTGTCATTAATGATGTCGTAGTACAGGCAGCGTTATCGGGCGCTCCATTCGGTGGAGTTGGTAATTCTGGATATGGTGCATATCATGGTGTTATCTCCTTCCGTGCTTTCTCTCATGAAAGGACTACTATGGAACAGAAGTTGTGGAACGACTTCGCATTGGCTTCGAGATACCCTCCATACAATGCTAAGAAAGACAGATTACTTGAATCTTCTTTGACTGAACACAATGATAAAGTCTGGTTTGGTAGAAGTGGGAACGTGAAAGTAAAGGGGCCGGGTTTCTTCTTCAATCTTTGGACGGGAATTGCTGGAGTAGCTACTCTTGGCTACTATTTTGCTACCTCTTAGGAAAGAAATTTTTGAGTTAATATTACTATCTCTACGTTTTATGTCAATGATATTTGCTTTATAAGATGTTAAATATACTGTGCGATGGTATTCGAGTACTTTTTAGCTTGTAAGTGTTGTAGCTTGTTAGATAGTTATTGATGGCTTGGTTTTTGCACTACATATTAGTACTAGATTAAATTATTTCGCCACCATCAACAATATCAACAATTGTAATTTACTTTACGTAGTCAATTCAATCATTGGCGAGAAAATGAGTTCCTTTAAAGGTGAGTTCACATATCAAAGAAACGAATTAGAATGTCACTAACTTATTTAGTCTCTATCAAAAATGCTGGAAAAGTTTATGATATCGAACTTGAGCAGGAAGATACTGGATTGATATTCAAGCAAAAGATTAAAGATGTCACAGGTATCCCCGAACTGAGACAGAAGATACTAGTTAAAGGAGGAAAGATCGATGATGAACTAGTTATGTCTTCTTTAGGTTTGAACTTGAAGCAACCAATAATGGTACTTGGAACGCCGGACAAGAATTTGCCATCTAACCCAGCAACGAAACAAGTGTTCTTGGAAGACATGAATGAGTCTCAGTTGAATAATGTAGGTTCAGGTCCATCGGGACTTGTGAATCTAGGAAACACTTGCTATTTGAACTCCTCGCTTCAAGCAATATATCAAATTGACGATTTAGCAAGTAAGATCAGTGAATTTAAGTCAAGCGGTATTAATTCAACACCTAACGAAACGTTGACTGCGTCTTTGAAAAATACTTTTAATCAGATGTCCCAAAAGCAAGAACGGATAAACCCTACGTTGTTCTTGGCTCTTTTCAGAAATGTTTTTCCACAATTTGCTGAACGAAGTGATCATGGGTTTTACAAGCAGCAAGATGCAGAGGAAGCGCTTTCTCAACTTCTTACTGTTGTAAACCAAGCATTGAATACAAATGATTATTTTAGGTTGAGTTTCAAGATTAAGGAAAAATGCTTAGCAATTCCGGATGAGGAAGCTAAAATATCTTATGATGATGCGTTCAAGCTTAATTGTCACATCGATATCAAAACCAATTTCTTGAGGGATGGAATAATAAACGGATTATCGGAAACTATTGAGAAATACAACGATACTCTCCAGTCCAACACTGAATACGAACTAAAAAGGACTATCACAAGACTACCAAAATATCTTATAATTCATTTTATGAGATTTTTCTGGAGAAGAGATACTCAAAAGAAGTCGAAGATTTTAAGGAGAGTCCAATTTCCCTTCGAGCTAGATCTTGCCGAAATGCTCGATGATTCGATTAAACCAGAAAAGGCTGCTGTTAGAGATAAAATTAGAAAAATTGAAAAAGATAATTTGGAGTTGATTAGAGATTTCAAAAAAGCTAAGAAAAACGTTGCATTAAATCCGGTTGAACAACAAGAAGAAGATGAGCTAAAGGTTGCATCAATTAAATCAAGATTTGAGGATGAATTGGCTAAGGTTTTGCCAAAAGATTTTAATATTCACAGCAGCAGCGAAAATCCTTCATCAGTCTACGAATTAACTGCTGTTGTTACACACGCCGGCTCCTCCGCAGACTCTGGTCATTATCAAGCCTTTGTGAGAGATCCAAATGATTTGGATAAAGAAAGATGGTGGAAATTCAATGACGACAAGGTCAGTTCAGTAAATAGAGAGAAAATTGAAGCTTTAGCGGGAGGTGGTGAAAGCGATAGTGCTCTTCTTCTATTTTACAAGGCAATGGGATTATAAATATGATATTTATATTTATATATTGTTCTTTTCCGTATATTTCATCTCAATTTAGACTCAAGTTAAGATCATCTATGTGTATTTATATATCTTTGACTAGCTTTTTAAATTGTTCAACTTCTTCCCAGCAATTCAATGGCTTGCCCTGGTTGCTGGTTAAGCATTTTATAACGCTCTCTCTCGCCTTCGTCACTTCTCTTGAGACGTGGATTTCTGAGTCCCCGACATTCTTCTGAATTTTCTCCGTCAATTTTGAAAGTTTCTCGTCGGTTGCTAGAACGCTTAAGCTAGGTTCATCAGTCCTGGATAATGCATCGTCTGTTTGCTGTTGTAATTGCTTCAAAGCATCCTTCTCTAGCTTATTCAATTCCTTAGCTACTCTTTCTTGAATGTACTTTTCAGTATATTGTGCTCTGGAATAGTTGGACTATTATTATCATTAGTATATATTCGTACTGGTTCAATTGATTCGATCTTTACTTACCTCTGGGGAGTTCTCCAATTGCGACAAAAAGGAAGCACTAAAATCAACAGGTGCTGCTGGTGTGAATACCTTGGTTTCTGGTTTCGAAGTAGAAGCTCCCATCTTGCTCTTTATATATCCAGTTTATAGATATAAAGTACGCTGAAAGTTTATTGAGATTATTCAAGGGACGGTCGTGTCAAATATATCTACCGACTTTTACAGGTCAAAATTTTTTTTTAACTTAAGTTCATTAAGATTAATTCCAGAGATTATAGTTAAGAACAAAGAGGTCATAAGAAATGCCACCGGTACAGCAATATCAGTATGTTAGCCATCAACCATCTAACTTTGATAAATTCAAGATGGGAGCAATGATGGGCTCAATGGTGGGTGTTTGCGTTGGTGTTTTATTCGGAGGAGTTTCGATTTTGCAGAATGGAGCTGGGCCCAATGGTGTTATGAGGACCTTAGGACAGTATATTTTAGGATCCGTTGGTACGTTTGGGTTATTCATGTCTATTGGATCTGTCATCAGATCTGATACAGGCTTTCAAGCCTATCAGCGTGCTATTGTGTCCTCGAACTCGAAGACATTAAGAGAACTTTACGAAAAGGATTAGGAATAGTGCAAAACTAAGGGTAATGACTAAGAGTGATAAGTGATAGTGCTTGAAATTTGAACCATTAATTCCAGCAGAAAAAGAAAATGTATATAGTAGAACGAACCGAACTACGCTGACGACCTATGTAGCTCATGAGCAATAGCATAGTAATGAAATGTATCTTTAAACTTACACTTGTGAACTACAAGGCTTGTATTTTTCTGCTTCTTTTTTTTTCATATATCGTCGCTGCTATTCAATGTCTTTATGAAGTTCTTCTATTTGAGTGCTGTTGTTTAAATTGTATAAATAACTGAGTCCAAATTCTGGAACACGGTAGTATCTTGTTTTGTTTTGCAAGGCCGAAAGGCATTGTAACGTAGTTTTAGGTTCTAGAATTGGTTCGCCGCTTAATTTAAAAGTGCCCCAATGTATACCTTGCATGAACGTCGTCGACAACTGGGAACATATTTTGAGAGATTCTTCAGGTGATATGTGTCTTGGTTTCTGATGCCAGGAAGGACAATATTGGCCAATGGGCAACAATGATAAATAAGTAGGTCCGTATTTCTTTCCAATGATATCAAAAAGATCCTTCAGGTATCCAGTATCACCGGCGTGATATAATATTGATTCTCCATTGCGTCTTAACATATACGAGCACCATAAAGATTTGTTTGAGTCAATCACATACCTTCCAGACCAGTGCATTGCTGGTAGACAGACCAATTCGTATTTATCTGGAAATTTATCGGAAGTCGCTATATACTCATTGAGTGAAATACTATCCCACCAGTCTAATTCAATTACCTTATAGATTCCCATTCTTGCCAATTTGGCTCTTAAACCGAGAGGCACGATCCATGTCGTTGAATTTCCAAGTTCCTTAGCTGCATGAAGGTCCAAATGGTCTGGGTGATCATGAGATACAAGTGTAAAGTTGAGTTTGTTGCCTGTAGCGTATTTGATGTCCTCCATAGTCATTGGAGCTTTTATCAATCTTTTTGGACCAAGCATATCGTTGAATAAATGATTGCTTAGAAGAGGATCAGTCAAAAAGTTGATACCAGACACCTGAACTAAAGAGCACGACTGTCCAATCCAAGTGAAAATCATCTGATCTCTTATAGCCGGCAGAGCGTTGAATCGGAACCAATCTGTCTTGGAAGATTTAAATAGAGGGCTGAACTTGTTGCTAGAGACGCATTCGTTTAGTATCTTCGAATTTGACTTCAAGAGTTCCAAGTCAGGTTTAAACAGCCTTAAAACATTCTCCACCTCGGTGTTTCCCTCTATAAAGTCCCGATACTTATCATGTATTTCGAATTTATTTCCATAAAAGCTTTCAAACAATTCCATAACCCGAACGAATAAGAACTCGAATGCTGTTTGTGGTCTATATTCATCAAATGGGTTAACAAATACACCTCCTATCGTTGCCGACTTAAATCTTGAGACATCAGCTTCTGTCAGGTCCATCGTTTTGACATACTCTTGTTTCCTTTGATAAATCATATACTTTGATCTTAAGAACATGTACACTTCAAAAGACCCATAGGATACTAGAAGGCCAAGTCCTATTTTAAACCTAAGAGAAATTGGTGGTAACTTCATTTTCTTCAGACATGAAGGAATAAAGATATATATTCCTATGTAATTCGTGTGATCTTATCTCGAGTACTCAAACATTGATTTTTATGGTACTGCGATATTACTGCACACCACAAAGCCATATATGAGATCATATTCAAGACTTAAAATATCAATCATGCTATTAACTTTACAAAGAAGAGGTATCCTAAGCTAATGTCATAGATGCAAAGATAGCAAAGAGAAAAAAAAAGATTAGACTAATGCTTTTGAACAACACCTGCCTTGTCAGCAACGGCAAGAATATGTTTCTTGTAAGCATTGATATCCCCTGGAAACCTTTTTACTGTGCCATCTTCACTAACCCATATCTCCTTGCACACTCTATTAATTATAGTAACGTCGTGAGAAACCATTAGGATTCCACCTTTGAAATTAAGAAGGGCCTCAGCCAATGCATCCAAACCTTGGGTATCCAAGTGATTTGAAGGTTCATCTAGCACCAATATATGAGGTTGGTTTAAGCACAATGCAGCAAATGCCACCCTAGATTTTTGACCACCAGACAAAAGTTGCATCTTTTGAATTCCTAGAGTCCCTGTTATTCCAAAGGAACCGAGATGACGTCTATATTCTTCATCTGATTTTCCAGGAAATTTCTGTGCCATCCATGAAACAGCTGACAAAGATAAATCCATACCATCAACATGATGCTGTGCGAAATATCCAATCCTTAGCCTTCCATTACGAGAAATTGTTCCTTCTAATGGAGTCAAATCTTCCATCAACAATTTTAATAAAGTAGTCTTACCAGTACCATTACCGCCACAAAATGCTATTCTGGAATCCATTTGAACATCTAGATCGACATCTCTTAAAAGTATTTTTTCTGGAGTGTAACCGAAAGAGACGTTATTCATTTGTAAAATAGGTGGTGATAACTTATCTGGATCAGGAAACTTGAAGGTGACCACCTTATCATCCTCAGGCGGCTCTAAAATGGGCAATTTCTCTAATTTTTTGATTCTAGATTGCGCCTCTGCTGCTTTTCCGGCATTGTAACGAAATTTATCAATGAAAGCCTGCAAATGTTGACGATATGCCATTTGATTATCGTATTCACGCCTTTGGTTTTTTATCCTTTCTTCACGAGAAGCATAGAATGAATCGAAATTAGAGCCTCTATAGTAGTCAAGTCTCTCGGAATGTTGATGTATAATATCTGTTGCGACTTCATTTAAAAATGCTCTATCGTGAGAAACGACCAAGACGGTAGACTTATATCCTTGCAAATATTTGGCTAAGTAGGTAATGGATGGAACATCCAACATATTTGACGGTTCATCCAAAAGTAGAAGATCAGGCTGACAGAATAATGCTCTAGCTAATGATAATCTCATTCTCCAACCACCAGAAAATGACTTTGTAGGGAACAGCTGAGACTCTTTAGAGAAACCCAAACCATATAATATAGCGGCAGCTCTACTTTCAGCTTTATCGGATTCCATTTCATAAAGCTTCTCAGTTATTTCTTGCAAGTGCATTTCCAAATCGTCTCTTTCATTGTCTAGCTTTCTCACTTCATTCGAATCCTCTTCAAACTGGCTCTTAACTTTTTCGATCTCATTTATCCTTTCGTTTATTTTCTCCTCTTCCTCTATCAATTTCTTTCTCCACACATCAGCGTCTAAGACACTTTGCAAAGCGAGAGTGTCATCTCCTCTAATTTCTTGCTCCACGTGTAAAATAGTGATATGTTTTGGAATGTCCAATTCTCTTCTAGCTAAGGCTTTCAATAAGGTTGATTTACCGATACCATTTTGGCCAACCAAACCATATCTACGTCCATAAGCCAAAGTAAGAGTAGCGTCGCTCAATATTCTTTGGCCCTCTCCGACGTACAAATCAAAGTTTTCGACCTTAATATCTTTCGACTTTCCAGCGCTAGAGCCGAAGTCCAACGGATTTATATCGAGATAGAAAGAGTCATAATCTTCGTTGTCCTTCTCGTTCAATAATTTGGAAGCCTCATATTGAACAAACTGATTATTCCTTTTAGCAACCTTTTTGGCTATCTTTCTTTCTTGCTTCTCTAATTTCTTCTTGTCGACTCTACTTTCCATTTGCCTTCCTGTATGCTCTATATCATTACTTGCATTTAGCAATGCTAATGACGAGTTGATATCTCTCTTGGAGTTGTTCTGGCGTAAAAGATTAATGTCCAATAGTCTTTTCGAAGTGTCTCCTGTGACTTCTAGTTTTGCTTTATTTTCTTCTAATTTTTTATCTAATTCATCCTTTATTGATTTTGCTAAGGATTCAACCTTGTTTATGCTACCTCCAGCATTTTCTAACAAATCTTTGATGAAATCCATTTCCCGTCCAATATCAACTTGTTGAGCAGCGACACTATCCTCAATAGAGTTTGAAACATGTTTAATATACCCCGTAGCATATTCTGATACAATGGGATCAATTGATGGCACCGCTTGGCGCACTTTAAGCCCTATATTTGACATTATATGCTATTGATTCAGTGTTCTAACTCTACGCTTAAAAAACTTTTCGATATATATCTCAATTATATACAGAACAAAATAAGTCTACTAAATATGTGAAGAGTAAATAACAGTTGGATTTATAGTTCGATAATCATTACCAATTGACTATTGAATCAGCCAAAAGAAGGTAAGTTGTTTGTTTCTATTTTATTATATAAATAAAAACTAGTGGCAGAGTATAGGGAGATATCACGAACTAATTTAAAGTAACATTCCAATTGAAAAACTTACAAAGCTGCCTTGATCTTGTCATCTAACTTACCAGCAGCCTTCAATTCTTGAACATCAGAGTTACCACCAATGTGTTCACCATTGATGAAAACATTTGGAACCGTCTTTTGACCTGTAAGTTCTAAAAGAGCTTCTTGAATGTCACTCCCATCATCTAACTCATCTAACTCTAAAATATAAGCATCTTTAGTTATGGCTCCGATTGTCTTCTTTGTTTTTTCGCAAAATGGGCAATATGACTTTAAATGTTAGTATTGATGTGTAATAGATCGGCGGCGAAAGAACTGTAGTTCATGCCGTATTACTCTCTTCGATACTTACCTTCGAAGCAATAAAAATTGGCTTGCTTTTAATCAAACCCTCGACCTTTGTAACTGCTTGTTGAGATACCATTCTTGTTGTATGAATTGTTCTTTTAAAAAGAGTGTTTATCATTGATTTATAAATTAGATGACATTTGAAACTATTCATTAGTTGCTCCAAGATACTGAAACTCGTGACACAAAAGCGCCACACTTACAAATCAAACCATCGCCACGGTCCGATAGCACCCATTTCAGTTACAGTAAGATTTTAGGTATATATATATATATATATGAATTGACTAATTAACCTATAACTGTGCTTTCATGGATAGTTATTCGGAAAGCATATTGCTACCGAAAATTTCAATGAGGTACCCGTCAGGGTCCTGGATGAATGCATTATCCGGCACGGGCCCTTGATTGTATTTGACAGACCACTTAACCTTATCACCGTATTCTTTTTCAATCTGTTGACAGAACGTCAGTGGATCCTTACAAGACACACAAATATGGCCAAAACCTTGCTTTGCACCGTTGGCTGTGTCATTTCCGTTGTGATAACCTTCGAAAGAATTATCGGATTCGGTGCCCCAGTTGTGGGTCAATTCCAAAATAGATTCTCTACCTGCCTGCGTGTCCCAGGCCAACTCTCCTTCCTTCAAGTCTTTGCTATGATCGAATCCAAGAAAGTAAAGAGTAAACTCTGCGCTTTCAAACTCTTTCTTTGAAAACAACTTGAATCCTAATACATTACGGTAGAAGTCTAAGGATTTAACTGGATCTTTGACTCGAATCATAGTATGGTTCAACTTGTACGATGACAACTCGGTCTTTCCTTCAACTCTGTCTTTGCCATGTTCGATCAATTCTATCCAGTATCCATCAGGATCAAGAGCAAAGGCAATGTTCTTTTGTCTTCCATCTGACAACTTCTTTTGGAACTTGACTCCATCATCTAATAAATGGCTCTCCGAGGCTTGAATGTTGTCTACGGAGAGACAAATATGTCCAAATCCTCTGAACTCTTTGCTATTTCCATTGTTAATTTCAAAGCTGTCATCGTTTTCAGAACCTGGCTTGTGACGCAATTCTAAAATACCTTCTCTTGCGGCCCAATTGACGCCCTTCTTTCCTTCACCTTCTATGCCCAATTCGTACAACGTATATCCCTCCTTAGAAACTGGAAATGTTCTGAGATGTTTGAATCCAAAATTCTTCTCATAGAAGGGAATTGAAACCTTGGGATCCTTAATACGAAGGCAAGTATGGTTGAAAAGAAACGAATTATCAAAAGTTGGCATTTTATTCACTCTCGTTCCAATTGTAAAATTACGTTTTAAGATATGGATCATAAAACCAAACGGATTGGATATGCAAATATACGTTAATATATATGACTTGGACAATCAGTAGCAATTACAATCGGTTGCGTGCACATCGGATCGCTCTGCGATGCCTATACGGGTATATACGAAAAAACCGACATTAGTCAGAAGAGTTTTGAGACAAACCCCATCCAGAATATATCATATATAAGCTAACTACGACAGTGACTGGTATTTCTAACAATGATTATTAGAGCAATTGGTAGAAGAAAGTATGTCAGTTTAAAACAACTGCTTTCGGTCAGATTTTTCACTGCGCAGAGCATCTGCCGATCTACCTATTCTAATGACAGAAGGAAGACACTTAGAGATATCGAGCAATTGTATGCTCGAAAAGAGCCAATTACAATGTTGACTGCCTATGATAGCATAACTAGTAGAGTGGCAGATAATACAGGAGTTGACATTAGCTTGATCGGAGATTCGCTAGCTATGACCACATTAGGTATGCAAGACACCATAGAAATTACCTTAGATGAATTCTTATTTCACGTCAAGTCCGTTGAGAGAGGCAACAAAAGATCATTATTGATAGCTGATTTGCCTTTCGGCTCTTTTGAATCATCCAAAGAGCAGGCAATCGAAACTGCAATTAAATTGGTTAAGTTTGGGAAAATTCAAGGTATCAAGATTGAGGGTGGTAATGAAGAGACTATACCTAAAATCCGCGGCATTATCAATGCTGGCATCCCTGTGATGGGTCATGTCGGCTTAACTCCCCAAAAGCACAATTCACTTGGCGGGTTCAAGTTGCAAGGAAGTCAAGTGAATAATGCGCTTGATATTTATAAAGATTGTATAAGACTCCAGGAAGCTGGATGCTTCTCAATTGTTTTAGAGTGTATTCCAAATAAGCTAGCAGAACTTATTACCAAAAAGTTGTCGATTCCTACCATTGGCATTGGTGCTGGCCCCAGCTGCTCAGGACAAGTTCTTGTTATTAGTGATATGTTAGGTATGTCAGATCCAAATTCTCACAGGCCCAAGTTCGTTAAGCCCTATTTGAATTTTTACGACCAAGCTGTGAAGGCAATATCTGAGTACAAGCATGAAGTCTCTTCGGGTACTTTTCCTGATGCTGATGAACATGGCTATAAAATGAAAAGTGAAGTACTCAGCGAACTTCAAAAAGAAATTCAGAAGTTATAACTGCTGAAGCACTATTCCTTCCAGTTGCAATCTTTTGTATATTTAAAACTCCACAATAGTGGTGGCCCATGGCCCTGAAATAATTGATATCTGTATATAATAGCGAGCATAGAATTTAATGAGACTTAATGTATTCTTCTATTTTTTTATCTTCTTTTCAAGAGAGACGTTCAGTGCTAGTTCAAGAGTTGTACATTATGACCTTTCAAGTTGAGGCCAATACAGATCCAGAGGTCGTTAGAATATTCATTATCAGACATGGTCAAACCGATCACAATGTAAAAAAGATTTTGCAAGGGCATATTGATATCGATTTAAACCAAACAGGATGGAAACAGGCGCTGCTAATTGGAAAAGCTTTTCTGTCTCTTCCTGTTGACTCTTTGGTTACTTCTGATCTAGTGAGGTGTCAAAATACGGCTAAGGAGATCGTTCAGCACCATCCAAATGCTGCAGTAAAAGTGACTCCGAACTTGAGAGAAAGAGAAATGGGTAAAGTCCAAGGAATGTATTTGAAGGATGCCCTTGAGAAGTACGGAGAAAATTTTAGGAACTTAGGAGAACTGAAGCTGTCACTTCTTGCCAGGATTAACGAAGAATGGGAGGCGCTTATAGAATCAAGTAGAGAAAATAATTATAAAAATGTGATAGTGTGCACCCATGGTGGTGTGATAACTGCTTTCGTTAACTATCTCTACGGAGTAATGGGATACAAGTTAAAGGATGGGTTGAAAGCGTCAGACTTGAAAGTTCCTTATAACACTTCTGTGACGGCGATAGATGTCAATAAGAGAACAAAAAAGGGAACTATACAAATTTTCGGCGATACGGGTCATTTAGGAAAGCAGTTAGAAGTTAAGGATCAGCTTTTAAGATAACTTAATTGCTAACGGTTATTTATTAGAGAGTATTTATAGACAGTTTAAGAGTTTTATAGAGCTTAATTTTTTTCTTTTTTGCAATTAAATAAATTTATTATCTATTTTTCTAAAAAATCAAATTAAAATGAAACTCTCGCTAACTATACCATTAAATCTGGTCTATCCATAGTAGCTGACCTTGAGAATGATGCTGCTTTTTGGAACGGGTCGCTTCTTTCCAACTCGTATTCTGGATTTTGCGTTTTCCTTGTTTGTCTTCTCTTGAATATTCTTTTAAACCACTTCCATGCCTCAGCACCTATAAAGAAAAGAATAGTGAATCCTACAGCTACTCCCCATTCGTAGCCTATTGGCTTATGTAAAAATACCTTTGTGTTGATTACTGGAATGTAAACGACTGGGAACACGCTGACGAAACCACCAATGACAGACCAAAATAAAAATTGATTTCCCCACAAGTCAATTGCGGTCTGTTTCCACCAAGGGTTATCAGTTTCCGTTCTCATATGCAATAAGGAGTTTGTAGGATGAATACACTCCCATGCTAAAATTAATGCACACCAAGTCATATTGGCAAATGATGCAGATCTACCTCTGAAAACCAAGTCACACACATCCGCATTGGCAGATGTAGCATTACAGTCTCTTCCCAAGTCACCATTACCTTTGCCGTATACAACAACAACAAAGCAAAGTAAACAAGAGACAGCCATCCAAAAACCAAGAGCAAGCATATCTATAATTACTTCCCAAGTAAAAATCGTCCTATTTGGAGGCTGTTCCAAAATATCGTCTGCAGCCTTTTCCTTTCCTAATCCCATTGCAGGGAAACAAGACGTAATTACCAAAATCCATAACACCTCGACTGGAGATAAAGGAAATACAGAAAATCCACTTTCATCAATAAATGCTAAACCAATCATTAAATACAACGCCTGGGCCACATTTTCGGCTAAAAGTTGCAACACGAATTTTTGAATGTTTGCAGACATTCTTCTACCCTCTTCTATTGCGTTCAAAATGGATGCAAAATTGTCATCGGTCAAGATTATATCGGATACATCCTTTGCCACATCGGATCCGTTTTGACCCATAGCGATTCCTACATCTGCCTTCTTTAAAGAAGGAGAATCGTTAACACCATCTCCTGTCATAGCTGCAAATTTACCTCTGCGGTGTAAAGCATCAATCATTTTAACTTTTGTTTGAGGCGAACATCTGGCAATAACTAGCGGTAAAACAGGTAACTTGTCAATTTCATCGTCACTTAAAGAATCAAACTCGTTCGCCGTCAAAACAATTGTCTTGACGACTTCTTGACTATAGTGACTCAAATTTCGAGGTAAAATTCCAACTTCTTGAGAGATTGCTCTTGCAGTACCAGGATGGTCACCAGTCAACATATGGACATTGATTCCAGCTTTATGACACAATTTCACTGATCTAGCACTTTCATTACGCGGTGGATCATAAATACCGATTAAACCCTGAAAACATAATTTAGATTCGACTGAGTCTCTGACGTTGATATCTGTCAGCAGATCAACAGATTTGGTCGCAAATGCCAAAACACGTAAACCTTCCGATGACAAAGTGTCCATGTTAGAGGATATTACATTCTTATCTTCTTCTGTGAGCTCTACTGGCTCCTGATTATCATAATTTTCACCATTTTCACCTGTCTTTAGCCAATGGGTACAACATTCCAAAACTCTTTCAACCGCGCCTTTTGAATAAACTCTTACTTCTTGAGTTTTCTTACTTTTGTATACAACAGACATTCTCTTGATAGAAGAATCAAATGGAAATTCCTTTAAGTGCTCAAAATCAGACTCTATCGAACTCCTTCCATGGTCTAAACGTGTGGAAAAAACTTGAATAGCAACTTCGGTAGGGTCACCATGTGATTTCCAAACTAATTCTCCAGATTCTTCATCCTTGTCATGATCAATTGTGGCAATATTTGCTAAAGTTGCAGTCAAAAGCCAATTTTTAAAATTTTCGGGGTATGGTTCGGGAAGCTTAGGAAGAAAGTTTACTTCTTCATCAGTTTCTTTGATGAAATAAGGACTCACCTTTGCAAAAGTTAAATCCCCTACTGTGGGATTAAAAGGTTCGTCGGAATTTTCGACTTTGTAAGTTCCAACGTTAGGAATCCAAACTTTTTTCGCAATCATTTTACCTTGAGTTAATGTACCAGTCTTATCGGAGCATATATCATTGATACCCCCTAATGCTTCTAATGAATCGAGTTTTCTTACAATAACGTGCTTCATCATCATGACTTTGGCACCCACTGCCATTGTGATTGTTAAAACAACAATCAAGGCCGATGGAATCATCGACAATGCAACACAAATCGCATAAATTGCAACCTCAGTGTTGACTCTCATCCTTTGAGATCCCATCACTATGATTGCAAAAATTACGGCAATCCAAAATAATAATATCGCTAACCAAGATAATTTTCTTTGTAAAGGAGTTCCGACGGTAACACCTAAAACATTACCAACAATGTTTTTGACAGTGCCCAAAAAAGCCTTAAAGTATCTAGATGATCCATCATTCTTGTCAACTTTTTGAATCAATGTGCTTTCACTTCTTAATGATTTCGCAATTTGACCTATTTCGGTATTTAAAGCGGTGCTCACCACAATACCGCTACCTCTACCTTTGGCTACTATCGACGAGGAATATGCCATATTTGACCTATCACCAACGGGAATAGGTTCAGTTGGATTTTCTAATAAAGGGTCCGAATTTTTAGGTATAGGAAGCGATTCCCCAGTCAACATGGCTTCCTCTGTTTCCAAGTTACTGCACTCAAAAAGCCTCAAATCTGCTGGCACCGTGTCACCAACTTTGATGTGAACTATGTCTCCAGGAACAACACCCTCTGCTGCTATAGTGTCATCCGTGCCATCTCTAGTAACTCTTGCTGACGGTGAACTCAACAGTCTTAGTGATCCCATGGTCTTTTCGGCTTTGTATTCTTGAATAAATCCAATCGATATATTAATAAATACAACAAAACCAATGACGCCTCCTGAGATCCAGTCCCTTATGGCTAATGCAATAATCATGGAGATAAGCAACACTAATATCATGGCATTGAAAACCTGATGAGCAATCATCTTGGTGTAGGAGATTTTGTCACCTTCTCCAAGCGTGTTGGTACCATACTGTTTGAGAGCCTGTTCTGCTTGCTCTGTCAGAAATCCAGTAGCTACATCAACGTTAAAGGTCTTAGCAACTTTCGAGACTGTGAGTCTGTAGGGCTCAAACGTCTGAAACGTTGTATTAGTAGATACAGACATCTCGCGCACGCATGATTTCTCTTGTTCTTCTGATTTGCTTCCGTCTGATCTAATGGAAGTCATCGTTAGAGTTCTACAGAATTATTTGTCAGAAATCTTCAGTTATCTGAGTATGTCCTCTTTATATATACTATTCTTATCTGGTCACACAATCTAGCCAAGATGATAGAAAGTGCAGCCAAGAGCTGTACTGTATATAACGCATGTATAGCATAATTACTTCCTCTTGGCAAAGTTCTCCATAGTAAAATGAGATAGTAGCAACTCTGGAAAAGGTCTAAGCGAAACTAGAACCCACATACCTCTTCTTAAATATAATTTGTGTTTTAGTGTACCTACATTAACTTTCTAAGCTAAGTACAATACAACATAGCATAGACCCTTCCGCCTATTTTAGATTCAGACGTGGCTGTCGCATCAGTAGGGTGAGCGAAGGGCTGAATGTGGGGTTCGGAGGTGGAACAAAACTGAGCCACGGAGCGAGTTCCGCCGGAAGAACAGATATAATATGCATAACAACTGGATCAGCTTTGTGTGTCCTGTATATACGTACATTATTGCGATAAAATAAGGCGGTGCTCAAGAGTTGAACCCACGGTTGAGCGGCGATTTAATGCCAAGCTGTTAGCGGATAGACGAAGAAGGGGGAAAGTAAAGCAGTTTGTTCAATGCCAAGAACCGTGATAATATTTGACGGCTGACAAAATAGTGATAAAGCCCGTGACTGAGTGAAGGGGCAAATGACACGTGGTGATATGTTAAACTGATTGCAACCAGACAAAACGTACACATAGACTCCATAATACCAGTCTATAGAAAATATGAGTGTATGAGTAGTATGCAGGACCCAACAACAACGTAATGGTCTAGCGTAATTGCAAGTCTTTCATTGTAAGTTGATATATGAAGCCACAGATAGACAAGTGTTAATGTAGGCGTTTAAATGGGACCACGATTTGCAATTTCTCTCCCGGAGTATATGAGGGATGAAGATTACTGTGAGTGTGTGAATTCTTAAGAAGAACTGTTCTTGAACAACTAAAATTCCCGTTCAGTGAGATCGAGTCCGGTTGGCAGCCGAATATAAACTGGAGAAAAAAAAAATAGTTGATACTTCGTTAGTTCCAAGCACAAATATGTCAGAATCAGACGCCGAAATCCTTGAGTTGATAGAACAAGGGTCTTTCTCCTATGCTCAGCAGCTCTTGTCTCGAAAGTTAAAGAAATTTCCTGCGAGGAGCTACTATCATGCATTAAATAATCATCTCGCTTACAGTAGAGGTGCAGTGAGGGAAGCATTGAAAGCGAATACTGAGCTACTTCAGAAAGTACCAAGTGATCCCGATACTCTTCGCTTACTCAATGAGTTTTTCACCAAAGTCGGCTATGAAAAAGAGGCCAATCTAGTATATGAGAATGCGATCAAGAAATATCCAAGTTCCCAATTGATATTGGAGTGGTTCAAAAATAGTATCAATAAGTTTGATCTAAAACTTTACCAAAGAATATTAATGCTTTTGCAAAAGCATGAAAAATCAAATAGATCTTTTGCTTTTTGGGCTGCTATTGGCTGTTATACTTTGGCAAACCACTTAGAAAGTGAACAAGGTAAACCGCAACTCTTTACATCTTTGGGCATCAAGTTATTAGAGGGCCTTCTTCCTTCTACTAATGACCAAGAGTTATTTGTCCAGGTGAAATTGATGGAACAGGCAGGAGACGAGAAAGGAATCAAAGATTTAATCGAACAGTTTTTGAATTCAAAGACTATCAATTTGGACCTACAATTAATTTATTTGGATTGTTTGGAAAACCTTCAATCGTGGGAAGCGCTTTACAATCATAGTAAGGAATTGATACTTGTAAAAAATTTTAATGACTTCGACACTTGGAAACTCTTGATTAGATCTTCGAAGGAAATTGGAAAACAGTTTTCTGAAATTGAACCAATAATTCATTCTTCGACAGTATCAAGGAATGCGAGTTTATCTCTAATTGAATTATGCTTGGCGTATGATCAAAACCTTTTTCCTTATGTTCAAAGTTACTACCTAAAATTTCGTGGCAAAGTGTGCTGCTTCAACGATTTAAAAATTTACTCTCTGAAATTCGATAAAGATGAGGTATTGTCTTTTATAACTACAAATTTAATTGAAGACAGTAATAACCCACTATCTGAGCTAATAAATCAAGTAAATATTCAAAAGTTTTCCTATTTCTTAAGTGATATGACAGACTTACAAGGATTTGTCTCTAAAAATTGGAATATTTACAATAAGTATCACAACCTATTAATTAACAAACCAGAGTTTGATAGCTATCCAGCAAATGAATTAATTATGATGAATATTGTTACTTCCTTGCAAGAAAAAGACACAGTAAATTCGGTGTTTAGGGCCATTATAGTATTGCAAAAGATTTTGTCAGTCGATCCTAATGATCCTAGAGCACGGTTATTACTATTGAAATTACTTTCCAGTTTTAGTTTTCCCAGCATTTCCTTATACAATTATGAAGCCTTAAAAATAAAAATGGTACAGCATGATACCTTGGGTCACTACATTCAATTAACACCATCAGTTTCTAGTTTGAACTATTTACTTAAGATTTATCGTTTCTATTTAACTGCCGAGCAAGAGATTCATGAAAGCATCATTGGAGGTTTTGAAAAGGGAGCCTTCACAAAAATTGAAGGATTTTGTTCGTTTGGAAGAAGAATAAGGTTTTCATTTTCCAAGTTTCAGCTTATCTTGGATATTTTGAAAATTTCGAAGATTACGAAAAGTACCCAATACATAACATATTTCACAAAAATCATTAAAGATTATGAGTTCTGTTTATTAGATGAAAGTCTTGAGTTATATGATAATAGGGATTTCAAAACTGTTTGGAAATTTGGGTTGAACAAAGAATACGATTTATATTCGATCAATAAGCCAAAATCCAAAGAGTTTATTCACTTAAACCTAATAAGGCAGCTATTAATTATTGAAGGTGACAAAGCTAAGGCAGCCAAAATGATTAAAATATTTAACAAGTTTTTGAGTAACAATGTTTTATTAAATCAGTTGGATGCATTTGAAAATTGGATATATAAGATATATCTAAATCTTTTCAAGCTAACTAAATTAGAGCCAACAAAAGAAACAGACTCGATATCAAACTTCTTGAATAAAAATTTGAAATTGAGTAAAATACAAAGCATTTTGATCACTGATAACTCCCTTTCAAATACATTTATGAGTAATTTAAGTAGTATGATAGAGCTTATTGGTGATATTAAATATTTGACGCGTGGAACCAAGGATTCACATAAAAATATTCAAGCATTAAGGGATCATTTGATCAAAGATATTAAGCAATTAGATTTCAAAAGTCTCAGACTTCAGCATCTAAAACATATAAAGGAGTCCTTGGTTTTCCAAGAAGAAGAGTCAATTGATAAAATGTTCATAGATAGATGCTTTGAATCGTTTGAAGAATCCCTTGACCAATTTTTTGACGTTTCGAAATTTTTATAGACAATAAAAAAATAGAACTCATTTACTTTTATTATTGTCTCCTAGTAAATAAGTCAATTGGTCGATTCTCTGAATGCCCATACTGAATAAGTACTTCCGGTATGTCAAATCTTTTTGCTGTGCATTCAATTTAAATTCATCTCTTAGAAAAGTTGTTAAATCATCTTTCTCGTGACTTTTATAGCATAATCTCATTGCTTCTTTATAAGTTTCTAAAACCTTCTTTCTAAAAAGGAACTCTTCCAACGAGAGTGCTTCCGTGAAGCGCTTACTCAGTAATTTATGCTGTAAAATTGAAAAGCTACTAAACCTTCTTAAAGACATACTTCATATATCCTTCATAGTTTTCCAGTCTAATTTCCTATATCCTACATCACCTTGATAAATACATGAAAGAAAAAAACTTGAACTTGTGTATCCTGTATATAATTATTGAAGAAGTGAAATCAAGGAAACTTAGCTGTGCACTCTCATCAACTGCTTGCCAGGATTTGAACTTTCCCAGAACGGCAACTCTTCCCTCTGTACTATAAGTCAAGGTTGGCTTTCAATTAATTATACAATTTAATGGGCCTGTTATAGCTTCCGAGACTATGTTCATATTGTTGCATTTGTCTCAGATAGCCATAATAAGTTCTTCCAACAAAATCTTTATTATACGCATTCCTCAAGACTGTCCGTCTATTTACTTTCCATTAAAATAGAATACGAAGCGTTAGGGATCACTATTATAGGTATCACAACTGAAGAGTATTGCAAAACATCTCTGAAACAGAGTTGCAAAAATATAGAAGCGCGATATATTTATTCCCAATAGTAGAAGATTACATACTACCAGGGATTCTGGGTAGTGGTACTCCATAGATAAGCCTAGAGTGGTCAAGTGTTCAATAGGAATCACCTAAGTAAAATAGTAGCCCTTTATAACAACCGTTCAGAACTCTTTATAAACCTCACAATGATTAGGTTTTATCCTGTACCACTTGTCATCTCATCTCCTTTTTTGCAAGCATGATGCCAGAAGTGTATCTTAATCACTTTCTTACACCTGGCATTATGAACCCAAGAAGAACGCAGGTGATTATCCCACAACGTATAACAAACTCCAAGGCCCTCTACCATATGCTAGCATTTGGGAACGTTTTGTCACCCTCTCTGAATGAAAATACACATATCCCTCTACTAAATCCCTTCTGCCAATTCATTGTTACTAGTGTCAAGGTTATGAGTGTCGTAATTATTTACACTGAATCTGTTTAGCCCATTAACTATATCTTGGATTCTCTGATCAGAATAATAGACGCTTGCCATATTAGATCGTTCCAAATTGTTGCTCCCGAATATATCTTCACAATCTTCTGGAGCATTTGATCTTCTGCATAACCTATCACAAAATTGTAATCTGGTACCTGAGCACTAATTATCGTATAAGTGACATTATCTTCGCTACCTACAATTCGATCAGCTAAATACACCAATAACTGATTATCTTCGTGGCACACAGTGATATTGCCCCAGACACTGTCCAATTATCCAACCAAATTTTGGTGCCGTGATCTTAGTAGAACTATGTCACTATTGTTGTCAGTTATAGTACCAATAGCTTCGGCTAACGTTGGTATCAAAACAAGGAAAATAAAATTATAAACTGGGGGGTGTCATGACTTATAAATATTTCTTTGTTTGTTTGACCGAATCGCTTCTCTTGAGCCTAAGCTCTGAGCTTCCCTTAGCTTTTCCGTTATCGATGTTGAAGTATCAAATTACCGATATCTCCTTTATGTGACACAAAGCAAAATATTCTTGTCTCGGACATATCGCTATTTGTATGTATAAGTATACTTGATAAAGCACCACAAGTAATGAAGTTCTGCAACACACCAAAAAATCATATTATTTCCCTTTGAGCTCCTTACAAAGAGAAAAAATAAGAGGAGTTTTAATTTCTAGGAGAAATAGCGAAAAGTTAAGCATGCTGACAATACAAAGTGTAGGTGCTACCACTAAACTTAGCCAACATGAGATTTTACCAGCTAAAACGGATGTTGGTGCCTTAGCAAACAGAATAAATGCTAATACAAAGGAATGCCACGACAAAGTTAATAAGCAGATGGCTTTGAAATTAGCCATCGCATTGAGAGATCCAAAAATTTATCGTCAAGGCGTTCAAAGTTTTTATCACGTTTTCTCAACCATTGAAAGGTGTTTGAATGATCAAGTGAACGCTAATAATGAATGGTCCCTGATTTTGAAACAAATATGGAAGCCTGAAGTAGCCAGAACGGAAAAGTGTGAAACAGACTTGTTGTTCTATTATGATGACGACAGGAAAAAATTTATGAACCCCGTCATGCCAGAACAAATCAAATTTGTAAACCATATCGAGACTGTTACGAAAGAAAAACCTTATCTTTTGTTAGCATATATGCATGTCATGTACTTGGCGTTATTTGCTGGTGGTAAAGTTTTGAGGTCTTCTGTCTCCAAAGCCACTGGATTGTTCCCGCACAAGGATGGATTAAAACACGAAGATGTAATAAAGTTGGGTGCTAATATGTTTATTTTCGATGTGGCTGATGAGTCTTTGTTGAGAATGATATACAAGAGAGATTATGAACTTTTGACTAGAAATAATCTCACGGAAGCTCAGAAGTTAGACATCATCGAAGAGTCAAAGTACATATTTGCGCAGAATTCGAGATGTATCTCTGAAATTGAAAAACACAATTTGGTTAAAATAACCAAAAAGTGGTCCTACATCATTGCCACTAGGGGGTACTACATTGCAATATTCTCTTTGATCTTAGCTTTGCTTTATTTCGTTAGACGGATATTTTTGCATTTATTTTAGACAAACTATCGCAATAGTTAACGTGTATATTAGTTTATGAATAAATTATGAATTCAGTTGAATCTTTATGTACTTTCGGTATTAGTATTTGACTCATGGTCGTCATCAGATTCATCACTAATTTCATCAACGGACGCATCATCACTTTCACTACCACTTTCTGAGCCTTGTAACTCATTACTCTCACCATTCTTATGATCCTTTTTCCAATTTGCGACCCACGCTGAGATTCGGTCAATGTTCTCCTCCATTTCTTCGACACAGTTTGATTGAAGTTCCACCACTATGTCAGATCTGTATGCATCTCTAGCCTCTTGTAAAATCACTTCCATGATTTCACAATCAAGATTTTCCTGGATTTTGTTATCTTTGTAGCCCCTTTTCTTCATCCTTTCATATAATAAGTTATTATCAGTCCTTAGCACTACAACCAAATCTATTAACCTTTCAGGAAAAATATCGCAGCAATGCCAATCTATTATGATGCCCCCTTCTCGCAAATCATTCTCCAAGCTGTCTAACAATCTGTTCTCATCCACCACTGAAGTATCTAGCTTTTCATCGTACCCCTCTATACAATCTCTGCTCTTTGCAATATCGCTGATGGAGAAATGCTTATAGGGCTTCGCTAATTGAGAGCTCAAGCTCTCAGAATGAGAAGTTTTTCCGCAACCTGGAGTTCCTGTTATCAAAATATTTGGGTAATATCTTCGACTCATTATATGGGATTGCCTTGGGCCCTAATGTCTTAACAAAATGATGTTGCTTAAGATTATATTCTTCTCTTTTTCCTATCTCATCACAGAGCGTAGATGTAGAAAATATTGAGGCACGTGATAGTAAAATACCTGCATCGATAAAAGTCAAGTTCTAGTCGTTAATTCATTAGACATTTATCGAGCTTACATCTTCAAGATAGAAATTTTAAGACTAGTTATTTCTGATATATTGAAGCATTTGGTGTCTGAGAACAAAAGTGAATTTAAGTCTAGAAAACTTTCGGTCAATAGGTAAAAATGGGTAAGTCTACTATTTTGTTAATAAATATGTTACCAATTCGTTACTAACAGCTAAAGCGATATTACCTCCTGGTTTATCTAATAATAGTGGAAGCTCACGACAGGATGCAACAAATGAAGAAATGGACAAATTTGGCTTAAAGGGTTTGTCATCTTTAATAAGAATGGATCAATCAGATCACACTGCCTTTGGTATAGGTCAAGATATAAGAAGATTCGGCTTGGACTTATCAGATGACTCCCATATATTGAAAAATTTAGCCTCTCCTTGGTCAGAGACATCCAGGTCAGACGTGGAGCCATATTTTTCGATTCCTAAGTCAATACAGCAGTCAAACATATCCCCACCTCCGGGACCCTGTGATACAAAAATTCAATCCTTCACGGACGAAACGTTATTCTATATATTTTACATGAAGCCAAGAGATACTTTACAAGAATACGCTGCGAGAGAACTAGTAGCAAGAAATTGGAGGTACCACAAGGATATCCAAGTCTGGTTAACCAAAGATAGCAATGTGGAGCCTGTCTTAATAAGTCAGGACGTGGAGAAGGGTGTATACATTTTTTTCGATCCTCATAATTGGGAGAAAATAAGAAAAGAGTTTGTCTTACATTATTCATCAGTACAAGCATAATCTTTGCATTACTAATATTTAATATACGTTATTCTTTTTGATAAACGATTTTATCCACCTTAACTTCGTCATTTATATAAGTGTATATGTAAAGCGTGCAAGTTGAACCAGAAGTATCTAGCAAGCAAAATGATGGAACAGAGGATGAAAGCTCGATCGCTTCAGCTAATTCGTCTGCGTTGATTTCGTCGTCGTCGTGTTTAATTTGAGATTCAGTCTCGACTTTTGGTTCATTATCGTCTAATTTGGTTTCATTATTGTCTGCACTATTACTGGAATCATTCGTGTTTCGATTCTTTGACTCACCATCGTCGTTTTCATTCTCTTCTTTTGTCTCTTCGGTTTTCTTCTTGCCCATTGTCGAGTCGGTTTCTATCTTAGCTTCTTCCCTGTCATTCTCGCTCCTCAGGTCATTGACTTCATTGTTTTTTCCATCGTCCTCTTTTTCTTTATCCTTAACATCCTCCTCTTCCACCTTCTCTTCTTCTTCTTCTTCTTTTTCTTTTTCTTTTTCTTCTTTTTCTTTTTCTTCTTTTTCTTTTTCTGCTTCTTCTTTTTCTTCTTCTTCTTCTTCTTCTTCTTCTTCTTCTTCTTCTTCTTCTTCTTCTTCTTCGTCGTCGTCATCGTCTTCTTCGTCGGGCCATTCAAAACTCGTAGCACCCGTAGCACTTCCAGGATTGACAAAAAATTTACCGTCCAAAGTGTAAGCTTCGACCTTATGGGTACCACCCCAAATCAATATATCAACATCTAAGTCTCTTGCAAGTGCCAGAAGTGAGAGTGGGTCATTTTTTGGCACAATCTGGTACCCATTTGTAAATCCAATTTTCAAATTATCTTGTATAATGGTCTGATGATTCGGAATATGACTATCTCCTTTAAGAACATTCAACTGTTGCAGTAAAATTTCGCTATCATCAAACTCACCCTTGACTATATGAAATGAAGGTGATAAGCTATTCAAAAAGGTCAACGTTTCTATAGAATTGGTGATGTTGCCCACACAAATCACTTTCGATATCTTACTATTCGTAGGAATTGAGTTAGGATTGGGACAAAGTAATTTACGAAACTTGGAAGGCAAGCTGACAGCTCTCTCTGGGATGTATAAATCCCCTATTGCCAACGTTAGCATCCTTACTTTACTTTGATACTCTAAGTATTAATCTGTATTTAAAACTAATCTCATTAATTTATGTTCGCACTATGCAGATACTTCCTATAATAGTACCATAAAACATTATATTAAAACAATTAATCTGTAATTTAAGAAGTTATATATAGATGCTGAAGATTGAATTTTAAGCATAATCTAATGCTCTGAAGTGAGCTTTTGCATGACTTGAGGATAATTTCTAAAAATTTCATCAAATCTATCTCTATTGGTCATTTGGAATACCTCAGGATCTTTGGCTAATGCAACAAAGAAGGAAGAAACACCTGATTCAATTACAACCAAGGATACACGTGTAATTTGACCTGATATCAAAAATCCAAAGGCAACAACAGGTGCATAGTAATTACCCAGTGAATTGTACTCTGGCTTGGTAAATTTGAGATAAAACCAAGCTAATAAAGCAGTAACATAACCGACAAATAATGAATACAAGTTCAAGGATGTTCCTATGAAACAATCATTGATCAAAGCGTCCATTCCCTTAAAGCGAAGTAGATCAAATGTGTCTCTAGCAGACTTCACGTAGCTCTTTCCGTATAACGCAACATAACAATAAGCATAATGGTTAAAGTAGCGAACCATCCAATCTATTAGACTTATGATGAAATCTAATATCAAGAATCCGCAGCCAGCACAATAATCCCCGCTGCTAAATGCATTGGATTTTAGCGAACTGATGAGGGCCCTAAGGAGTTGTATCAAGGACACTATTAAAGAACCAAAGCATATAGAACCAAAGCAATATGTCATGGCTCTCCTTAAAGATGCTAACGCTGGATGTCTTGGCTCACCTTGATCAGACCCGGCTAAATAATACCAAGTACCATATATACCAGCAATTACGACATGGATTATATTTCTGATAACCTCTGAAATATAGTAGCCTGCGAAGAAAACAAATACTAGGACACCAATTAACTTTGAATTTGAACAACTACCACCACCAACAGAACACCCGTCATTGTCAGAATTAGGTTCATACTTGACATACGTAGCAACGATAACTACTGAAAATAGAACACCAAACAACCCGGAAACGATGGTACCAATCAATGATGTAAGTAAGGTTGAAGGATATCTTCTCATGACATCAATTACGATTTCCAAGACTGTAGCACTGAAAGGAATTCTACTTCTAGCACCCCAGTAACACCAGGCTGTAAACAAAGTGAATATCAAAAACACAACTGCAGCTGAATAGTAATGCTCGACAAAGTAGAAAATGCAAGTTCCAAGTCCCAAGACAATATTCAAAATTAAGCCCGTAATAATAAAGACTCTTGCAGCTAATCTCGCAAACATAATGATTGCAATTGAGAGAACGACCGACACTACCACTATGAAACCAAATAAGATAACGGTGTTTGTGTTCAAAGTGAAGTTATTACTTGAGCCATAAATAGAAGAACCTTGATTATGGTAAGTCTCTCGCAAAGCATTCAACGTAATACCTGCTATGGCAATGAATCCAAACACAGTCAAAATAAAGAATATTGTAAACGGCCAATCATTGAACTTTGGCTTGTTTATTTTAAAGGAGTCATCGAAGTCCTTAGATGGTTGCGGCTTCTCATTAAAGTCTGCATTTTCTAGATCTGGCTGTACATGATACACACTATCTTGCTGTGGAGGAGCATAGTTTGGTGGTGCTGTAATATTGTGACTCATATTGACCCTCTTGTCATTCAAAGTGAATGTTACAAATTACTTGCTGAAATGATAATTTGAATGTGACTTAGAGAGAGCAGAACAGACCACAATTTCACCCTGCATCTATGGTCAGCCGCAAGTTGCTACCCGATTAATACTACAATAAATAAATATTATTGGCGCAACAAATGACTATAATTCACTGAAAAATAAACACGAGCCTAGATTCATACTGGAAACATTCTATCACATAGCGTAATGCTTGCTGTTTATCATTTCTTTGTTAAAAAATATAAACGACAGTGCGTCTACTGAACCCAGGTCAAGCACTTTTCGTGTATATAATCCGATATGCAATTTTGACATAACAGCGAACACATGTGTGCTGGTTATAGACATAATTAGAAGATAGATGTCATATTACTTTCAACTAAGTGCATACAGCAACGTAGCTATGTTCAGAATTGTAAGAAGTAGGATAGAAGCGTTTAATTCTAAAAACCCATTTTTGTTAAAGTGTAAAGGGTCCAATCGGTGTGCATTAAGCAACTACGGATCCTCCTAGCTTTGACTTGGATACAGAACTTTATGCCTATAATATATGCTATACCATTTCAGAGCTACTGTAGAGATTCTTCTTAGCAGTCTGATCATTATTAACAGATATGCCTAAGCTTTTCAGCCGCTCGTCGCAAAACGAGGCTTTTCACTGAGACACCAAAGCATCGTCTTTGCATTGGGAATTGTGGTTTTGTGTTCCTACTTATCGGTAAGTATATACTAATGCACCAGAAGCTATAATATTTTCTTCCAAAATAGAAATCACCTGCCAGCTATTAAATTTGCATATTTTATTATTTCCATGATCTTCTTCCAGAAACGTTTCTTATGTTACAGAAGATCCCGCATGTTCAATGTGTTTCTATATCGTAGCTCTCATTAAATGTTGTGAATTTCAAGTGTCTTCATTTTTTATTCTGATAAATGTAGTAAATTGCAACCTATCAACAGATATAAAATATAGGAAAACAGAGACTAATAATTGTTCATCTACTAAAGTATAGTTCTTATATCACTCTACAAAACCCCAATTTTAATTACTAAGTGCCCTTTGAGGGCCCTTTTTAAGTTTGGCTTAAGCCATTGAAGCATATGATTTTTTTATTATCTTAAATTTTTGTGAAAAGGTTCATTAATTGACAAAAATTACAATCTGATCGCAGCATAGGTAGATATGGATGACATCACTTACGTTAAAGAGAGAAAGTTCACGTAGTTTCTGCGTACACGCAATCCTGATGACTATGTTAACGATGAACAAGACTTCGAGCAACAACTAAATTGCGGCATACATGAGAGTGAGAACCTTACCACAAAAAGTTTTTCGGCTTGGAAGTGCTATAATCAGTATAGCTACTTCAGAAAATTTTATAAACAGTCCGATATAGTGTAATGGCTAGCACGGTTCGCTCTCACCGAGCAGATCCGGGTTCGATTCCCGGTATCGGAGTAATATTTCATGCAACTGTATTTTTTTTCCCTTGCTGCGTTTGTTCAGTAAATCATTAGCTTTTCATTGACCCCTTTAGCAATTATTATTAGTGGGGAAGAGCTTGGAACTAAACCTAGAGTTGTATTCATCTCTTTTAAAAAGATTCGCATTGTCCGAACCGAACCCCTCCAGAAGGAAGTTTGGGCTAATCGCAGCCACAATGCGGGCAAAGTCCGCTCACTTTGTGGTCCAAATTTCTCCTATTAAAAATCATAGAGATTGCCAATTCAGAAGGCATGATGTCAAGAAAATAATAAAAAAGTGAAAGAATTTTGCTACTGAGAATGTTAAATCAGTAATTGCTCAACATTAGATACGTAAAAGGTAGAATAATCTTGATGTAGTTTTCCAGTGAGATTAAAGACTCCCCCTTTAATATGTAGGTATATTACAATTAAGCTTTTAGTCCATACTGGAAAGCGAATGACCCCCTGTACATCGTAGGGCTGACTCAGATAAAGCAAGAAAATTGTGGGGTTTATCGCTTCCAATGATTTGTACCCCGGCTGAAAAATTCCTAATCCCATTAATCAAGCATTCTCGGTCCGCAATCTCAAGCACATAGTTACGGGGGAACACCAATTCTCCACATATAATCCTGCAAATCTACTTGACAGATAATTATCATAATTTAAGTAAGGCGATTCCCTTGTGCGATCGAAAAAGCACGAATCAATTAACGATACTTTAAATCCAAAACGCAAGTGGAATCGCTGATTACCATTGTACAGTCGGGGCAGGAAACTATATATTCATTTAAAAGAGCAGGAAACTAATCCTCTTACTATTAAGTCCGAGTAGTCCGATTTACCAGGAATTTGTCCAAAAATTTTTTTTTTTCCCAGATTACAATAATTCTGTTACCAACTAGCAGGAGAATGTCATTGAGAACTTTGGGATTGAAGTCAACTTTCAGTCGTCTTTTCACTAGGCATTCGGAGTTGGCGAAGCCCGTTGACACAATTTTGGACTTCAGAAATGAACCAGAACGTTCTTTGGACATGATCATGACAAGGTGCGATAAAGAAATGGGAGGGTTTTCCACAGTCAATTTTGATATCGATCCTGTAACCCATACTGGGCACTTTCATGGCTATTTGAGTTTGGATTTACCTAAAGACAAACCAGAAGTCACTCGATCTGGCTATGCTATGTTCAGGACAAAGGACCAGAAAGAATCTTGGTTATCTGGTGATAGCTACTGGGATTGGTCCAATTTATCGTCGTTAGTCATGAGGGTGAAAGGAGATCGTCGGAAATATTTAGTTAACATTCAAGCCAATACTCCATTGGTTACAGATTTATTTCAACACAGACTTTTCTTGAGCCATCCAGGGGAGTGGGAGACAGTTGTCATTCCTTTAAATGATTTTGTGATGACTAACTGGGGGGTGATTCAAGATGGAAGTGAACTTAACAAGTCTGAAATAAAGACTCTCGGAGTTGGCTTGTTGGATAAGCAGTACGGCCCTTACTCTCTTAACGTTGACTGGATCAAAGTTATGACTGGAGCAGAGGTTGAAAAAGAGACTCAAAGATCCAGAGCTGAAAGACTTTTAATTCATACACCTCCACCGGCTACAGAAAATGGCGGTGTAGATTCAAACTCTTCCTTCGGTCATGGCGCTGCTCTCCACTCCAAGAGGCAACCTGAAGACCCCAATGGTAAAGTAATTTAATCTTTCTTCATATACGATAACAAAATACTTTGAATTAACTGTACATACACATACAGTTACATGGGATATGATTACATTTGAAGCTTCAGCTTGGATAGAGTTGGAGAAGATGCAAGTCTCTGTCAATGAGATCTTATCATGTTCGATTCGTTACTATAAGCAAACAAAGAAAATCTTATAAGCCGGCTTGATGCCTATAAGTGTATTCTACACATTATCTTCCCATGTCGTTTATTTATGTTTTCAGATCTAAGCATATATATATATATATATTCAATACCGTCAGTTATGTAAGATCGTAGGGTGGATAGAAGCACCATCACGTGATTTTTTTTGGCATTTCCATTTCGTTCTCCTAACTTGTGCGATGAAAAATTTTTTCATACTCTTCATTTTCTTCACTTTTTCTTTTTACATCACTAAAACTTTATTAGAATTATCAAAAAATGGCAAGAGGCCCGTAAGTCTAGTTTGATCTTGATCCCATTGGAGTGAGAGATTAATGAGGCACAAATGGAGTACCCAATAAGGAGAAACACCATCTCAAGCAGTAGCTGGTCTACGAGCTAAAGATGGCTACCATCTTCTTTTAGAAGATCGGAGGGGAGCCTTGTCATGATAATTCGTCAGGATTGATACTTTTAGTATGAAAGGGTCAGGCTTGAGTGGAGATAGTAATGTGAATCGATCTTCTTGTCGTTGATGTTATTATCGTTTTCTGCCGTTGTACCATTTTCTGAAAACTGCTATCGAACTTTGACGCGATCATGACTCTATTTCTACTCTTGGGTTTACACCTTAGATGCGATTTACTAACATAGTTATAGAAAGAAGCACTTGAAGAGATTGGCAGCTCCACATCACTGGATGTTGGACAAATTGTCCGGAACCTACGCACCAAGACCATCTCAAGGTCCTCATAAATTAAGAGAATCTTTACCATTGGTTATCTTCTTAAGGAATAGACTTAAGTATGCTTTAAATGGTAGAGAAGTTAAAGCTATCATGATGCAAGAGCATGTTAAAGTTGATGGTAAGGTTAGGACTGACTCTACTTTCCCAGCTGGCTTTATGGATGTGATTTCCTTGGAGGCTACCAATGAGAACTTCAGATTGGTTTATGATGTCAAAGGTAGATTTACTGTTCATAGAATTACCGCTGAAGAAGCTTCTTACAAGTTAGGTAAAGTCAGAAAAGTTCAATTGGGTAAAAGAGGTATCCCTTACGTTGTTACCCATGATGGTAGAACTATCAGATACCCAGACCCATTGATCAGAGCCAACGATACCGTGAAGATTGACTTGGCAACTGGAAAGATCACCGATTTCATCAAATTCGATACTGGTAGATTGGTCATGGTCACTGGTGGTCGTAACTTGGGAAGAGTTGGTGTTATTGTCCACAGAGAGAAACACGAGGGTGGTTTCGACTTGGTTCATATCAAGGATGCCCTTGACAACACTTTCGTCACCAGATTAACTAATGTTTTTGTTGTCGGTACTGAAGCTGGTAAGCCATGGATTTCCTTACCAAAGGGTAAAGGTATTAAGTTATCTATATCTGAAGAAAGAGACAGAAGAAGAGCTCAACAAGGTTTATAAGCCCAATTATATAGTATCAATCCGGCTTAGATGTATTAATGTATGATATACAGTAAAATGATTGTAGATACATATCATGTGACGAATTCGGTATCTAAGATTACTAGATTTTATTGAAGACTCGTGGCTTGACTTTATAACCCCATGACGTCGAGATATAGAGTAGAATACGCCTTGAAGAGCCATCGTAGAGATGAGCTAATTGAGTGGATTAAGGGGCTACTAGCTGTTCCGTTTGTATTGCATGCTGACGTCGAAAATTATAAAGTGAATCGTGAGCAGTTCAGCACTATCGAAGAGTATGAGGAATATTGTCAATCACGGGAAACAGAAATAGCGGATGAATGTAGGAAAAGGTATCTTGAAATATTTGGTGATGTGGAATTACTTATTGAGCATTCAAGGGCGAGTGATGAAAGCACAATTGGCCTTGCTAAAAGTAGGCTACAAAAAATGGTCCCATCTGTCGGCAAGTTTTTTACGTCATTGCCCTTGAAAAGAGCTTTTTTGATTGAGGATTCAAGAAGACATATCTCGAGTAGAAGGTATGTTAGTCCTTCTTTCAATGATGTTAGGCACATTTTAAATGCGGCGCAAATATTAGTCCTTGCCGACTTGTATAAGGAGCTGGATTTGACAGACACACAGTTGAAACTAATTACATTTGATGGTGATGTGACCCTATATGAAGATGGAGAATCTTTAAATTCTGATTCACCAATAACAGAGAAGCTAATTAAGCTTCTATCTATGGGATTTTTTTTGGGTGTGGTTACTGCTGCTGGCTATCCTGGGCAAAATGGAGCATCGAAGTATTATGAAAGGTTAAAAGGATTGGTTGATGGTATACGTACCTCCAAAAAGTTGAGTGATAAACAGAAACAAAATCTTTTGGTCATGGGCGGCGAATCTAATTACTTATTCCGATACGACTCGGATCTTGGCAATCTCAAGTTCATAGATGGTAAAGAATGGTATTTGCCCTTGATGAAGAGCTGGGATAGTGAAACTATAAGTTCCATTGTCGACTCAATTTATTATCACTTAAAGCACCTTCAAAAAAAATTCAATTTGGAAGATAAAACGATTGTAATCAAAAAGGAAAGATCTATCGGAATAATACCGAACGAAAACCAAAAAATCTTAAGGGAGCAACTAGAGGAAATGGCTGTATCATGCTCTGCAAGACTGGAAGATTTGCTTCATAAATTGAGAAATCGTAATAAGGGCTCTGATGATGATATTAAGATATGCGCTTTTAATGGGGGCTCAGACGTATGGGTCGATATCGGAGACAAAAGCTTAGGGGTTGAATCTTTACAAAGATTCTTGTGTAAAGACTTAACGTATCATCACTTGTGCCCTATCCTCAAACATGAAACATTACACATCGGAGACCAGTTCGCTAGTGTAGGCGCAAACGATTTCAGAGCTAGACAAAGTGCATGTACGGTCTGGATAGCAAATCCAAAAGAAACCTTAGCGATACTAGACGAACTAATCAATCATGTAGAACCATCGACTTAAGACTATGGGGTATACATTCACATAAGACAAATTCTTTTCCGAACGCACTGTATACTCAAATATTGCAGCCTATATAAATATCATTTTATCCTCTTTCAAGAAACATAAAATTACGACCAAATTCTATACGTTAACATTATCACCCACCCACCCATTGATCCATTGTTTTCTTCGATGCTTTTATAATGCCATAATTCGCTTGAATTTATTAGAAAGGTAAGAAAAAGTGGCAAGATAAGTGCCTCATAACCAGTCTCACTTTTATGTCATTATCTTATCGCTCCACAAAAGTTTATATAATATAACGAAGAACTTAAACATATTTGAATTTAAAAGAATAGGAGAAATTGAAATAATTAATTGATCGCTAGGAGTATGATTAGCTTATTTAAGATTGCAAAGTATGTATTTGAACATGTTCATAAAAGTTCTTCAGAGTTTTTTAATCTCGGTATTTACGTTAAGGATCATCACGGAGCTTAATACTAACGTCAAACTATTTAGCGCTATTGCGTGTACTATATATCCTGTATTTGCCTCTTATAAATCATTTGAGGAGTATTCGAAAGTTGTTAGCAGGATGGGTGCCTCAAACATCAGTATCGCAGGATTTAATGTTCCAATTCAAGCTTTACTCAAGAGGGCCACCGGTGATAATACGGAACAACTTGGAAAGGACGAAGAGCTCTTACAGACACATTTGTTGACTATCCAAAAGTGGCTTATATATTGGATGGTAACAGCGTCTTGCAGTGTTGTTGAATCGGTGTTGTTTTTAAGGTATATCGTTCCATTCTACTCTTTTTTTAAATTTTTGTTTTCATTGTGGTTGATTTCACCCATGTTTAGCACAAGCACCAAAGTTTCAGGTATTTCTGAAATAAATCGTGAGAAAGAGTGGGCATATTTTACAGATAATGGTGCTGGTTTTGTTTACTATAAGTTTATCAAGCCATGGCTTGATGGAGAGCTAAACGTGTTGTCGAAATTGCCTTTCGAACCCCAGAAGGTCTTTAACAGTTGTGTCGATCGTATTGGTTTTTCAAATGCGTTAAAAATGATGGGCTTTATGTCTGCCGACCAGTCCGAAGAGGGTCAAACTGCTAATGATGGTATAATTTATACATTGAGATCATATTTATTTGATATGAATGGAATTACTAGAGGCTCGACTTCCACCGCCACTACTGCGACAGAAGCATCTTCCTATAAAGATGTTGTTGAAGAGTACGATTTAGTAGATAAGCCAATAGTGAAAGATGGTGTAACACAGAGAAAGACAGGTTCTTCAGAAGAAACGGTAAAGAAAGGTTGGTTATGGTAATGGCTCTTATGATAAGATATGATATTTATTTTATTCCGGTGGATGTTGGTTTTATGTCGATCTATTTTTTTTTTTACTTCATTCAGTTCTTCTATCTACTTGCGAAGCTACGCTTCAATTCACTTTTTATGAGTTTACGTATACCAATGCATTAGTATGCGCATTGAAATTCATATTAATTTTACCTTCGATCTATATTGGTTTTAAACTTATTCACCAGCTTTTTGTTTGATATAACATTCTCATGCTAATCTCGTTTTATCATATTAACGTTAATTTATTGAAATATTTACATGTCTTAAAATATATAAGAAACTACAATTTAAAGTCCTAAGAACTCAGACACCATTTCTCTTTCTGATTTAGACTCATTTCTTTGTTTCAATTTTCTGATTCTCATTTCACCTTCCTCTCTAGCACGGGATGGAATGAACGAGTCAGGTAAAGTTGGCTTCTTATATAATCCATCAAATGCATCACTCGGTTTTTGTTTATCAGAGCCATAGGAATTCCTACTACTGAGTGCTTTGATTTGATTTTCTTGCTGATCTTCTGCTTGCTTGACGATACTGTCAGGAACCTCTGGCCAAAAAAAAGGCTCCTCCATGTCAATTGTCATTTTCTTGTACTGAGGACCCCTGTAACGAGCATGGTCATCGGGTCCCCTAGTAAATCTTGCGTGCAACAATTGAACGGTAACGTTCAATGCTCTCAAACCATACACATGCCACAAATAATCTCTCAAATCCATTTTATTAAAATTTCTTGGAACTAAAAATTTAGCTTGATAAGGCGTGTGTTTAGCATTAGGACGAAGCAAACATATGCGGGCTTTAGGTAAAAATATTCTCTTTTCTCCTAACTTGAAATGTGGTTGACCTGTCGCTACTTCTTCTTGGTACTTCTCATAATTTCTTCTTGCAATTGCATCACTGTCTGATCTGTACTTAATCGGAACAGGCTTACCCTCTTTTTCATAAATTTCTTTAATTCTTTCTGTGACGAACAAAGTGTCACGCACTGACTCTGAAAGTAACAGCGGTCTTTGTCTTCTGAATCCGTATCTTGGTTTGTCAAGTATAACATCATTTATATGGATATCAGGATAATTCTTAGGGTTCTCCTTGTAATGTATTGATCTTCTACCAACATTCCATAGCCTTCTGACAAAACTCATGGTAGCAGTGATCCCTCTTATGTCAATGTTTTACGATCAACTAGAGGTCTCGGTAAGCGTCAGATATACTATTTGATTTTTCACTTGAAAATTTCTTTTTGTGTAATATCTATGCGAGCGGGTAAAAAGTGCTGAATTAATAAAATAACGAAGGCAACAGTAGAATATCTAGCTCTCTTGCCATATCGACCACCTATCCATTTCAACAGATTATGTCGCAGGATCAGGCAGCTGGTGATCAGTACTTGTATGATGAGGAAGACAACGGCATCACGCCAGAAGACTGTTGGACGGTTATTTCGTCATTCTTTCAAGAGAAGGGTTTAGTTTCACAGCAGCTTGATTCTTTTGATGAATTTATCGAGACAACAATCCAGGAATTGGTTTGGGAGGATTCTCATTTAATCTTAGATCAACCAGCTCAGCATACCTCTGAGTTTGATCATGAAAATAGACGTTATGAGATAACCTTTGGTAAGATTTATATTTCGAAGCCAACTCAAACTGAAGGCGATGGTACAACACATCCGATGTTCCCTCAGGAAGCGAGATTAAGAAACTTGACATATTCGTCTCCTTTGTATGTTGACATGACGAAGAAAGTTTTGAAGTCTGACGACAACAACAGAAAAGATAACGAACTAGAGTGGGTTGAAGAAAAAGTCGAGGATGAAGAACCTCAAACGAAAGTGTTTTTAGGTAAAGTGCCCATAATGTTGAGATCGAAGTTTTGCATGTTGCGTGACTTGGGCGAACATGAGTTCTATGAATTAAAAGAATGTCCATATGACATGGGTGGATATTTTGTTATCAATGGCTCTGAGAAGGTTTTAATCGCTCAGGAAAGAAGTGCTGCTAATATTGTTCAGGTTTTCAAAAAGGCAGCTCCCTCTCCTATTTCACACGTAGCTGAAATTCGTTCTGCTCTTGAAAAGGGTTCCAGATTGATATCTTCAATGCAGATTAAACTTTATGGAAGGGATGAAAAGGGTTCTACTGGGAGAACAATAAAAGCTACCCTTCCATATATCAAGGAAGACATTCCGATCGTGATTGTTTTCAGAGCTTTGGGTATTGTTCCAGATGGTGATATTCTAGAACATATTTGCTATGATGCAAATGATTGGCAAATGTTGGAAATGTTAAAGCCATGTGTTGAGGAAGGTTTTGTCATCCAAGAACGTGAGATAGCGCTTGATTTTATTGGCAGAAGAGGTGTATTAGGTATTAGAAGAGAAAAGCGTATTCAATACGCCAAAGATATCTTACAGAAGGAACTATTGCCTAATATCACCCAGGAAGAAGGCTTTGAAACCAGAAAGGCTTACTTTTTGGGTTATATGGTTAATAGATTATTGCTTTGTGCCTTGGAAAGAAAGGAACCTGATGACAGGGATCATTTTGGAAAAAAGAGATTAGATTTGGCCGGTCCTTTGTTGGCAAATTTGTTTCGTATTTTGTTCCGAAAATTAACCAAGGATATATATAATTATATGCAAAGGTGCGTCGAGAATGACAAGGAATTCAATTTGACTTTAGCGGTCAAATCACAGACTATTACAGATGGCTTGCGTTATTCACTTGCTACCGGTAACTGGGGTGAACAGAAGAAAGCGATGAGCTCCCGTGCAGGTGTATCACAAGTGTTGAATCGTTACACATATTCCTCTACTTTATCTCATTTGAGAAGGACAAATACACCAATTGGTCGTGATGGAAAAATTGCTAAGCCAAGACAGTTACATAATACTCATTGGGGTCTTGTCTGTCCTGCTGAAACCCCTGAGGGACAAGCGTGTGGTTTAGTCAAAAATTTATCGTTGATGACATGTATTTCTGTGGGAACACCTTCCGAACCAATATTATACTTCTTGGAAGAATGGGGTATGGAGCCTTTGGAAGACTACGTTCCGTCTAATGCACCTGATTCCACTAGAGTTTTCGTGAATGGAGTGTGGGTTGGTACTCATAGAGAACCGGCTCAATTAGTCGAAACAATTCGTAATTTAAGAAGAAGAGGAGATATTAGTCCAGAAGTGTCTATCATTAGAGATATCAGGGAGATGGAGTTCAAAATATTTACTGATGCAGGCCGTGTGTATCGTCCTTTGTTTATTGTTGATGATGATCAAGATTCAGAAACAAAAGGTGAATTGAAGTTAAAGAAAGAGCATGTTCATAAATTAATGAATTCTGAATATGACGAATATGATGATGACTCAGAAAACTATACTTGGTCATCTCTTGTAAACGAAGGTATTGTCGAATATGTTGATGCTGAAGAAGAGGAGACGATTATGATTGCAATGACACCAGAAGATTTGGAGTCAAATAAAGCAGCCATGAACCCAGAAATACAAATGGAGGATGATTTAGATCCTGCTAAGAGAATCAAAACTTCCTACAGCGGAAGGGGTCATACATTCACGCATTGTGAAATCCATCCGTCAATGATATTGGGTGTTGCTGCATCCATCATTCCCTTTCCGGACCATAATCAATCTCCTCGTAATACGTATCAATCAGCTATGGGTAAGCAGGCTATGGGTGTATTTTTGACTAATTACTCCGTAAGAATGGATACTATGGCTAATATATTATATTATCCTCAAAAGCCTTTGGCCACCACCAGAGCCATGGAGCACTTGAAGTTCCGTGAATTACCTGCCGGTCAGAATGCGATCGTTGCAATTGCATGTTATTCTGGATATAACCAAGAAGATTCTATGATCATGAACCAATCGTCAATTGATAGGGGATTGTTCAGATCTTTGTTTTTTAGAACTTATATGGATTTGGAGAAGAGACAAGGTATGAAGGCGTTGGAGACTTTTGAAAAACCATCGCGCTCGGATACCTTGAGATTGAAGCATGGTACTTATGAGAAATTAGACGATGATGGATTAATAGCACCTGGCGTTAGAGTTAGTGGTGAAGACATTATAATTGGTAAAACTACACCAATTCCACCTGATACGGAGGAATTAGGACAGAGAACGCAATACCACACTAAAAGAGACGCATCCACACCATTAAGAAGTACCGAATCAGGTATTGTCGATCAGGTATTACTAACGACTAATGGTGATGGGGCCAAATTTGTGAAGGTTAGGATGCGGACCACTAAAGTACCTCAAATTGGTGACAAATTTGCTTCTAGACATGGACAGAAGGGTACTATCGGTGTCACATACAGACATGAAGATATGCCTTTTACGAGTCAGGGTATAGTTCCGGACTTGATCATTAATCCTCATGCCATCCCCTCTCGTATGACGGTTGCTCATTTGATTGAATGTTTATTATCTAAGGTTTCATCGTTATCAGGTCTCGAGGGTGACGCATCTCCTTTCACTGATGTTACAGCAGAGGCTATATCAAAGCTTTTGAGAGAGCACGGATATCAATCAAGAGGATTTGAAGTTATGTATAATGGCCATACCGGTAAGAAATTGATGGCTCAAGTTTTCTTTGGGCCAACTTATTATCAAAGATTGAGACATATGGTGGATGATAAGATTCATGCAAGAGCAAGGGGCCCTGTTCAAGTTTTAACAAGGCAGCCTGTAGAGGGTAGATCTAGGGACGGTGGATTACGTTTCGGAGAGATGGAAAGAGATTGTATGATTGCTCATGGAGCTGCTGGTTTCTTGAAAGAAAGACTCATGGAAGCATCGGATGCATTTAGAGTTCATGTGTGTGGTATTTGTGGTTTGATGTCTGTCATTGCTAATTTGAAGAAGAATCAATTCGAATGTCGTTCATGTAAGAATAAGACTAACATTTATCAAATCCATATACCATATGCTGCGAAATTGTTATTCCAAGAATTAATGGCAATGAATATTTCTCCAAGATTGTACACGGAGAGATCTGGAGTCTCTGTTAGAGTGTAAATCAAGATGAAAAAATACATATATATATGAAAAGACATGATCTTTCAAGCAAAAGACGCTAAGCGATTTTACTAATGTTTTGTCCTATATTATTTAATTATTGTATAAAGAAAAAAATTACGGATTAAAAGAAGAGGGTTGATTTCGAAGCTTTAACTCAAGTAATAGATGACATAAAAAATTTAAATATCAACATTCGAATAGTTGAATTTAGTTAAATAAAAATTACAAGTTTAGATTCTCGTACTATAGTTTTTCTATTTACAAAGTCTAGCGACTGAGAAGTAACTAGGCTGTATCAAAAGTCTTATAAACTAATTCTTCAAGTATTTCTCACGAAGTTGTGCCATTTCAGACTCTCTTTTGTTCAACTGTTCCAATTTCTCCGTCATATCTTTAGTCTCATCGGCAAATGCTATCAAATTTTCTTTGTACGGATGCTCATCACCATCAAAAACCTTCAACCTATCCATTCTAGCCAATCTAAGTTTGTTTTTAGGTATCATACCTTTCACAGCTCTAGCGAGCACTTCACCATAACCTTTATTTGCGATCATTCTCTCCATTGGTATCAATTTTAAAGATCCAGGACGAGTATTATGAGACCAATATGTCTTATCTTGCATCTTATTACCAGTTACCTTCAAATGACTGCAGTTTGTAACGACCACATAATCACCGTGGTCTCTATTTGGCGAATACGTTGGTTTATGCTTCCCTTGAAGAGTGAGTGCTATGCTCGCAGCCACTCGTCCCAATGTTCTGCTGTCCGCTGCTATGTCAACATGATGCCACACTCTAGTTAAGGCGACAACAGAGTTACCTATCCTTTGAGACATATTTACTGCTACTGAAGAAAAGACAAATCAACTTTCAAGTGATGAAAAAATTGTGCAATTCGACTATCGATAAATGTCGCTCGACATTTTTATAAAATGTCGCAACATAAAGTTTTGAATATTCGATTTCCAACTATGTCGAAGATTGGAAAAAAACTGAGACTTTCATAATACATCCATATCAACTAAGGTTTCATAGTCTTCAGTTCTAAATCTCAAATTATAGGTCTAAAGGTCAGCTTTGTTAATTTTTTGCTTTTTTTTTTCAATTTTAAGTTTCAAAAGAAAATTGTCAAAATTAATTGAACGGCTCCGACAATAGACGTTCTCCAGCATTATTGTTCTTGCCAGCGATTAACGACAGACCAGGAATTTTGACATGTTTTTCTTGAAGGACCTATCTTTGAATCTCACATTGCATCCATCTTATTTTGGTCCTCAAATGGATCAATATTTGAGAGACAAGTTATTGAGCGATGTTGAAGGAACATGCACAGGTCAATTTGGCTACATTGTATGTGTACTTGATTGCATGAATATTGATGTTGGAAAAGGAAAAATTATACCAGGATCAGGAATGGCAGAGTTTGAAGTCAAATATAGGGCAGTTGTGTGGAAGCCTTTCAAAGGTGAAGTGGTCGATGCGGTGGTGACAACAGTAAATAAAATGGGATTTTTCGCTGATGTCGGTCCCTTATCTGTCTTTGTGAGTACTCATTTGATACCTTCAGATATGAGATTCAATCCATCTTCGAATCCTCCTGCCTATGTCAGTCCCGACGAAAATATCGAAAAAGGTTCTAGAGTGAGACTAAAGATTGTAGGTACAAGAACTGATGTAAATGAGATATATGCTATTGGTAGTATAAAGGAAGATTACTTGGGCCCGAGTCCTTTATAGATTTTGGTATGAAAATTAGACTGTATTATATATCGTCCTAAAAAAAATTTGCTTTAATATTTGAATACATAATTACAATTCGTGTTTGCCTTGAAAGTTTGCTTTCATCACCGTTACGCTCTTATGTGGTCTCTTCTGAATTTTTCTGCATCCTGCGATTGGGCCTCGGAGTGACTAGTGCCATTGTACCAATCTTCGAATTGAGAGGTGATACAGACTGTGCTTGAGGCAGATTAAGAGCAGAAACTCTATTGTTACCATTTAAGTCTTCCACTAACTTTTGTTTCTTCAGTGCTGGCGCGGAAGAACTGTCAGATACTCTTCTAGCTTCACTCAAGAGATCAAAAGCCAGCTTAGAATATCTCATCCCAGGATGAGCTTGCTGGTGCTCTTCCTGTTCATTAGATGTCACTGAAGCAGTTGCAATTTCATTTTGGCTTTTGCTTCTCTGTAGTATTGATGAAGGATAAGGTGACTCCAGATTTCCGTCATTCGAGGATTGGAAAGGTATATCAATCAACTCATTCAGGTTATTTCGAAAACTTGTCTCAGCGTGAGGAATAGTTCGATCCAACGATTGAGGATCATCATGATTGTCCTGATTTCGGGTTCGTCTAAGTAAGCTTTGTTGAAATTGATTTTTCATCTGTAAATGCTTCTCATATTGTTCTCTCTGTTGTATTCTATGCGAGTCTTGATATGCGAGCCTGTCCTTCATTCCTTCAGGATAGACATTATTTGGACTAGAGTAAGTGGGTCTATTATTTTTTTCGTTGGTCCCGTTATTGTTATTCTCCGGATTTTGTGCATGATTTCCTGGGCTAACCTCGCTATTATATACCGAAGTAACAGACGATCCACTACGGTGTTCATTAACTGCCGCAGTGGGTTCCATCATTGAGGGAAGGTCAGAGGTTGTCATGCTCGAGTTATTCTTTTGGCTTAAATCTAACAGTTGTCCTTGGCTTTCGATATTTGGAAGAAATTTAGTTCCGAATCCTGAGTTAACTCCAATGGCAAAAGATTCTTTGGGTTGATGGTGCAGATCTGAAGCTGAGCTTTGGGAATCAGGTGTACTTTCTACGACAGGAATACGAGATGTGGATGATCGTATCTTATGGCCCTGAGATATTGGTATCTCGTCTTCAGTGTCCATACTGTCAGTGTCTTCATTCTCGTTTTGATTTCGTTCCTGTATGATAGGTCCTCTACCTACATAGCTTCCGTATTGTTGACTAGAACTAGCCCGAGGCGGAATGGAAAACAGGGAAGACATGATTGGAAGTTGTTGATTCAAGATTGGCAAAGGAAGATTGAATGTCGGAGGCATAGAAAGCGAACTGAGAGACCCATGAGGATATTCGTTCGGAGACATGCCATTAATAATGTTACCATTCGGATTCCATTGGTTTTCATTACCAGAGACATGTACAGGTGGCCCCAGACTATGAGCAATATCTCTCAGGATTGCCGGTATTGAATAGTTTGCAGAGTTGCTATACTCCTTTTGTGAGTTGATTCGAGAACTTGAGTTGTTTGCATCTGCTGTAGCTGAGGGAGAGTCATCGTCACTTTCGCTATCAATTGAAACTACTTCGACACCTTCAGGGATGACGCTTGGTTCTTTGGAAATATGCTTTTCCGTTTTGATGTGGGTATCCGGAGTCTGGCTCCGTGTATCAGAATTGTTCTCCTCGACTTTCCATGTTCCATCTTCAGCTACGATGACATGATCAACGTCACTCGGCACCGAATTTAGGATTTCAAGGAAATAGTCTGAGATAGCCAAATCCTCTATTTTAATCGCTTGCTGACAATGGGGACAACTCCATGTAGGTATCTGTAATTGAGATTCTAGGAAAGTAAGACCATCAAAGCATTCTGTATGTGTACAATATATAGATTGGGTAGGATATTTCATTTTGGTATACGATAATGGATCTCGTAAAGTGACTGATGAAGTAGATACTACGATGTCGTCATCTTCATCCAACGAACTTTGATTTCGTATTTTTGAAATCGTAGACTCTTTATGTATGTGGGGTTTGGTCATTATTTTTTGAACAAGTTCTTTGCAAGGTATTGAGTCAACAATGAAAAGGTATAATAAATAGGTTTCACTAGAAGTTGTGTACACCATTTGGATCTTATTCGCCCTCGGGTTGCCTTTGATGTACAAAGTAATATCTGCTGGCTTAGCCGTCCCAGGTCTACCTTTTATTCCTTTCACATTTTCCTTTAAAAGCCTACCATTCACATGAAGTTCTAGCGGATTTGGAAATTGTAAGGGAGCTTCAGTTGAAGAAGGTGATTTGTTACTTTGTACACCACATAAAAGATAAAATTTAATTCTGTTATTCTTGGACCTTAAAAATTCGTTCTCCTCTGGAGTCAAAACAAAGTTATACTCACAGACACTTCTTCCCTTAGCTGGAAATGCAGCTTGGGGACCTCCATGAACTTGCCGTATTATTGTGTAAAAAGGGCTCTGTTTGAAGTATACGGAATGTCCCTTATATGCGATTGATTCATTTCCAGAAACACATACATCTTTTGGCACCGAGCTCTTCGAATATTGATTAATAATATCAGTAAATGCATAAGCTCCAGTCCTCACAGAGTTGTAAAGATCCAGGAAGGGTGGTAATGGATCATGATTCACTTTCTTCAAAACTAGCGTTCTTACACTTATCAACCTGAAATTATCATTCGCTTGTCTTCCTTGTTGAAAAAAATACACTATTCGATCACTAATTTCTTGCTTCTTTCCTGTCAACCTTAGTTCCATCGATCTGGCTAAATCCTTCAACTCTGAGACCTTGAATTTACTGATACGATATATTGTATCCGCTATTTCTTCGTCCGATAACGCTGGATTGCCCCCAGAGTTGTTCATGATGGCCCGAGTGGTAAAGTAACCGCTTGAATTGTAACTCTCTTCTCAGGTGTTTCCAATAAATTTATAAATTTGAAATGGAGACAAAATCTCTAAATTTTCATTTATCTTTCTAATCTCAATTTTAGGTTCTGAATCCAGTAAAAATGAACAGAACTGCAATAAATTAATATTTATCTATAAATCGACATAGTATAGAGCATTATAGTAATTCACATTCTTTCAACTGGAGTGAGACCTAGCAAGGTCATTCCGTTGTACAACACTTGTTTGGCAGATGCATACAAGGCCAATCTAGCAGTAGCCAATTCTTCTTTTTGACCTGCGACCCACAATATATCATAACATTGTGAAACTACATGTGTCATATTGAAAAGATAGGTGACAATATTGGACGGCTCGTTTGTCTTCAGTGCTCTTTTAAGAACATCTGGGTACTGTGCCAAGATTCTGATCAAGGCAATGGCACATGGCTCCGATAATAAGCTGAAATCTGCTTCGAGCAATTTAGACTTTTCGATACCAGCTTTTCTTTCAACAGAACTCAAACGTGAGTGAGCATATTGTAAGTAGGGACCAGTGTCACCTTCGAATGAAGTCATTCGGTCCCACTTGAACTCGTAGTTGTTAATACGCTTCGATTGCATATCTTGAATCATGACTGCTGATATACCAACGAGGTCAGCAATCTTGTCTGGATCCTCAATTTGAGCATATTTTGACTCATTTTTCTTCATGACATCATGCATCTTTTCTTTAGTCTCTTCCAAAATGTTATCCAAGAAAACGACAGTGCCCTTTCTTGTTGACATACCTAAAACCATACCGAAATTGACATGCTCTAAGTTCTTTGCCCAAGGCAAGCCCATCTGCTTCAATATTTCAAAAAATTGTGCGACATGTAAATCTTGTTGACTGGCAATCACGTAAATCATTTTATCAAATTTATATGTCTCGTAACGCTTAATTGCTTCGCCAACATCACGAGTCAAATACAAGGACGTACCATCGGATTTTTCGACTAAACATTTGCCCAATTTTTTGTTAAATTTGGTCAAATCAATAAGTTTTGCACCTCTGTCCTCGTGAATTAAACCCTTTTTGGCAAACATGTTAGTGACTTCTTTCATTGATGATTGCGAAACCTGAGACTCACCGGAGTATGTATCATATGTGATATTAAGACGAGCATAGGTATCAACGTATTTCTTTATGGAAAGATCCCTAAATCTTTTCCAGTTTTTCAATGCGTTTTCATCGCCATCTTCCATTCTTTTGAAATATTCCCTAGCCTGTGCATCAGTTGGAGAATTTTCTCCTTCAGCTTCAATATCTTTGTTAACCTTCACATAAATTTCAAATAAATGGTTGATAGGATCCTTTTCAAACTCTTCCTCTACTCCGTACTTATCAAATCCAACTGCCAATATTCCAAACTGCTTACCCCAGTCTCCTAAATAGTTGATTCTCTCAACATCCCAACCAAGTTTCTCATATAAGTTGGCCAAGAAGCCTCCTATTATAGTCGATCTCAAATGCCCAGCATGGAAAGGTTTTGCAATATTGGGTGATGAAAACTCAATAACTAACTTTTTGCCAACACCAAGGGGTAATGACCCATATTCTGTAGTTCTTGTCAAACTGTCTTTAATGACTAAATCGAAAAGGAGACTGGGATTGAAAAAAAATTGCAAAAATGGTCCTTCTGCCTTGACTTCCCCTAAGAATTTCCCCTTGTCAAAGCTTTCTGCCCATTCGACAGCTTTTTCTTTAGGATTGATACCTTTGATTCTGAGCCTAGGAATAGGGACAAGAAGATCACCCTTATCCAACGTAGAAGGAGTATCCAAGCATTCAAATATAAGCCCCTTGTCGACTCCAGTTAATCTCTCCAATTCTTTGGTTATGTAGTTTCTAAATACATCGACTACATTATAATCAGGATATGAATCTTTGACGGTATCAGGCTGCTCTATTCCCATCTTCTGCAAGCCCTTGGTAATAACATTCACGTTTGTTGCTGTGGACATTCTAAACAAATTCTTCGACACTAATGCTCTATTATTCCGTAAAGCCCTCCAAAAGTATAGCATGTACCTCTGAAGACTAATTTTATTAACGTATTTTTCACTGATAATGAAAAAAAAAATGCGTCCTTGGAGATGGGCTTTACTACTTTAGTACACGACCTAGAAACTATGATACCTTAACCAGAACATGCCATGGTTTGTTAAAGGTTAGAGGTGGACTAACTATGTCTTATCCTTTGTTTGCTCAAAGAAGACTAAGCCTTCTTTAAGTTAAAGTATCTTAAATATTGGATTTCTAATGATTTGTATTGTTTCTTTCTTTACTCTAAGGCTTTCGATGTAAGTTATATGCTTTACGATCTGTAAGTATTAGAAAGCTCTACAGTATGAAGGTAGAATGACCTGCAGCGCACAGCTATATACTCATCTTTTGAGCAAAGCGTAGAATATTGCTTAGTCAATTGGGTGAAAGGCTGATTAAAGAGTCATCAAACTTAATTTTCTGACCAAAATGAGAAGCTATATACTACATTCATCTGATATGATTCTGGCCAAAAAGAATACATATAAGGAATACATATTTGAATATGAACCATAATGAGATATCCAAACTCACTGATATGGGCTTCAGTGAAGAGCAAGCTGTCAAAGCTCTTGATATAACTAATAATGACGTGGAACTGGCAATTGCTTATTTATTTGAAGATCCAATTGAAGTGAATGATCCTAATGATGATCAAAGAAAGTCGCAATATGAAAGCACTATTGAAATACTGAATCCTCTGGAGATCCCTGATTTGAGTAGCTATGATAAAGTGGGGTTGGACGAACAGAATCACTTTGAGCATCGAGATCTTCCTGCCTTTGGATCGGAAGGCAATTACCAACAAGATGTAGCTGACGAGGATGAGGATGACGACGAGACGTCGGTTTACAGTATGTCTAATAGGCTCTTGAGGGGTGATTCAGAACCTCCGACAGTTCTTCCTAGTGAAAATGGGCGCTATGAGAATTACTTAATCCCTGCTCTTCAAATATTGTCACAGGTTGACAAGTTTGTACTGATGTGGGTACCGAATGCCAAGTTTGACTTCGGAAATGATAAAACGTGGTATAATCCTAATTATATAACTGAGGTTAATGTTCCAGACACGATTGAGCTGTCAAAAGTCAGCTCCTATAAATTTGTGGTTGAATTAGAAAGACTATTGGGATATTTACATGGTCTTAGTAGTAGGTCATTTATAAGTTCGAAGAGATTGCTACTGAATATTCCACATGCTGGTGGAGTGATTCATAGTAGGGCTGAAGAGTTTGAAGACTTGTTTGATAAACTCTATGCTACATTAAACAAGAGCCACGAGGCAATATTTGGATCTGAGAAACGAATTACCAACTTGTTTAATTCTGTAGTTCAAAGCGTTCAGGATGAAGTTAAAAACTCGATGACGGTACTTACTATAGATCACGAGGCTAGAACGAGGACAATTTATGAATCGCTCAACGCTATGTTTTGGACTGATGAAGATACTCTAGGAGACATTAACTTCGTTGAAATAGCTCCTATTTTGACCATTCCCCTTTTTGGAGACTCAGGTTACGGTGTAGGACCGGGCCCATTCACCCTTCATGAGTACTTCTACCCGCAAATATATAGTTCAAAATATTCGAATCTTGTGGTGGATATGAATAAAAAAAGAAGAGATATTGTTAGTCAGAGAAATGAAATATCTAAAGAGATGATGGCATTGAACTCATTCGAAGGTAAAAGAGTACCAGGATTCTTACAAGCTTCAATTTCTTTTCTAAAAGGGAAAGATTCTTCTGCGGAAGAAGATTTACTGGGACTTCAAGAACAGCTTCTTCAAGAAAAATCAGATCTCTCCGAAAAACTCGGAAGACTAAATGAGCAGTATTTGAAATTAGATATAACCCAATACGAGAATATCCTAGATATGATTTCTTCCCAGCAGGATCAACCAGAACCTTACCTTTTGATAGGAGTAATCTTGTCAGATACTGAATACTTCTATAAGGACAAGAGCCGTAGTACTCAAGATGAGGATTGGATTCATTTTAACGCAATCCTATCTAAGAACAATGAAATCAACGATTACTTGTTAGAGACGATGGCCTTTGAAGGGGTGCAGCAGTCTGTCTATGATTTTTCTAGGGACGCAAGTAAATCTATGATTTTAATATATGCGTCATCTGAGATTTTCAATGAGAACATCGACATAGTGGTCCCCGAAGAGCTACAAAAGTTTTTTGATGACGACAATAAAATTCTTGCTCTGCTGCTATCACAATCAGAACGTAGTAATGATGACTCAAAAGAGGAACTGATTGATAATAGTGATCAGCACTCCAACAATTCTAGCAAACGACCTCCGAATAGTAGTGAGCTCCCAGAGGAAAGTGCTCTGTTAATAGATCTATAGCTGCATAAATTATGATGTCTTTTTCACAATATTTACTTCTTAGCAATATCTATTGCATCATAGATTAACTAGGTAACACAAAAACGAAACTAAGCGGGTCCTTATTTTAATATCAATATATTCAGCATTTGTTGAGAATAAGCGTTAATAAGTTGAATTCGTAATCATGACGTCTTCTGTACCATTCAATCCTGATGATTTTGAGGATAATAATCCATTTGCTCAAGCAAACGAAACCATTACTGAGCCAGCGTTGCTTGCCACTACAAATGGATCTCAGAATAGAGAGTCACAGCCAGTTGAAGAAGATAGAGGTGATGAGAATGAACATAAAGAACTACTTCCAGAGGAAGAGTTGAAAAAATTGCTCCCTGAGAGATTTACGAACAAATATCAGATGAGTATACGATTGACTGCTATTGAAAAAAACAAGTTAGGTAACCCTATATTGAAATTTGACGCGGCTGTTAAGGGACTTCCCAGATTTCGACAAGCAAAATATAAAGACATCCGTAGAACCTACAATGAAGTGGTCAAGTTCAATAAATACTTGGCTATTTCCAATATGGAGGTTTTTGTTCCTGTCATACCTCTGGCGTCAACGTCTTATCCTGGTTCAGGAGATGAGGAGATCAAAAAATTGATGAGTGAATGGCAGGAGTGGTTCGATAGGATAACTTCCAACCCTATTCTTATAAGAGATGAAGAGTTTGTCTTTTTTATTGAAAATGATTTTGGTTACTCTATTATAAATACAAACAGAAAAACATCGATAGCTAGCGGGTTGGTTCGAAAAACATTAAAGCAGCTAGCACTTCCTTACGATCAATATGAAGAATTAGCTGATTTCCGTCCTCTCATTAAATCAACCTATTTGTCCTGTCAGAAATTGCACAAAGCTTTAGATAGGCTGTCAAAAGCCGAGAAGCAGTTGTCCATCTATATATTTGACTTATCTAATAAGTTGGACTGTCTTTCGCAATTCGAAACCATACACCCAGGTATGAAGAATATGTGGGAGAAATTAGGTAAATTAACTCAGATTCTTTCAGATTTAACTCTCATTGAATGCGTTTATGATATGGGAACCTTAGGTGATGGGATACAAAGCATGATAGATGATTTTTATGAAATAAAAGAAGCTTTAACAAATAGATACTTAATAATGAGAGAATTGCTGCAAGCTGAAGCACATACTCAAGCTAAACATTCTCAGGCAGCTAAAATCAAAAGCAAAGTTTCTTTAGATCCTATCAAAGTTGACGAGGCGATCAGGTCTTTGGAATATGCAACCAAAGCAGAAGAATCATTGAACTTGCAAGTCAAGAGAATATCTGGTGAAATGATTTATGAAAAGAAGGAGGTCTTAGAATATACGGAAAAAAAATTCCAAAGATTGCTAAAAGATTACACTTTAAATAAGGTTGAGCATCATAGGAAGATTTTGAAGCATCTCGAAAATATAAGGCTTGATATAAGAATAGTTGATGAGAAGGGTGGTTTGTCGAGACTAAATAGGGACAATCTTACGAATTTGAAGCATAATCTTGCTCAATCGCAGTCAGCAAGCGGAGATTCCTGGACATCTAGGACTTTTAGATCTTTGAATAACGAGAAGAAAAAGAAAAATGAAGAACAAGATAACGATGACCCCGATGCAGAAGATGACTCGAAGGAGCACAATACAACAGTAGATGCCAAAAATGCGGCACATTTGTTAGGGGTTGCTACGTTTTAAAATCAGTATAAATAGTCATAAATTCGCTTCATTTCATATGATAGCACTACATATATAGCGTCATACATAAATCAGTTAACCAAGAATCTTCTTTCAGCCTCTTTCCAGTTGATAACATTCCAGATGGCCTTGAAATAGTCTGCCTTGACATTCTTGTATTGTAAGTAATATGCATGCTCCCATGCATCAATTGCAACCAACGGAACTAACGGACCGGTAACAGTGTCCTGGTTATATGTTTGGACAACATCTAACTCCCCACCATTTTCTTTGTTCTTGACAATAAAAGCCCATCCAGAACCTTGCACACCTGCTAACTTAGAATTGGTGATTGCCTTTAAATTATCGAGAGAACCGTATTGTTCCTTAATTTTTTGGGCCAATTCAGAGTCGCTTGATGGGGGTTCACCTCCTCCTTGCTTCTGTGGTGCCAAGTTTTTCCAGAATAAGCAGTGATTAGTATAACCTCCACCGTGGAATTTGATGTTCTGTTGCAATTCAATTGTTTTTTTCACCTCTCCCTTAGCTTTAGCTTCTGCTGCTTGTTCAATAGCCGTATTATAGCCATTGACGTATGTTTGGTGATGTTTGGTGTAATGAAGTTCATTAATCTCTGCAGAAATGTATGGCTCTAAAGCATCAAAGTCCCAATCTAAGTCTGGCAAAGAAACTTTGGTTCTAACGGCCCCAATTGATCTAAAACCATTCTTAGCAAAACTACGAGTTGATGACTTTAAAGTTGATGAAAGCATTTTAAATTTGAAACCTTTTAATACTGTCAATTGAAAAAATTGAAGAAATCTCAGTCAAGTTGATTCGAATTGAGTCTTAAAGTAAATATATTGGAAAGTATTCGCAAGCAAAAAAAGGAGAAATATATCTCTGCTTTATATCTTTCATCATAGATCCAATTGGTTGCTCCGGGTCTCGGAACATCATTGCATACAGGACACACAACTTAAACTGGTTACATGATTAGTTATATATTAAAACTATCCATAGAAAGGATAAGAGAGAAAAATGCCCATGCTATTATGGTTCCGCTAGCTTACTGAAGTTCACTTATTTAAAAATAAAAGAATTAGACAAGAAGGCGCATATCAAGTTTCAATTCCTTAAAGCTCTTAATCGCTCGGTTAGCTGATCCTCTTTTTCCTCAGTAATGTTATTGGATACTGGAGTTGCTATCTCTACTTTTGTTTCATTCAAACCTTGCTTCATCTCTATGCCAGCTTCATCTGCAACTTGGTTCATCAACTCGTCAACTTGATCCTGAGGTGTCGTAAGTGCATTGACATTATTAGTTGTACTTTCGTAGTAGCTGGTGGAGGCATCAAGATCCTCGAATTGATTTTCAAACTTGTCCATGACTAACGCTATTCTCTCGAGGTTCATAGTTTGTAACGCGCGATCCATTCCCTTTATCACTTGGGTCATGTTTCCAGTCACAGACCTCATAGTGACTGCAGTTTGAACTCTAGAGGCAACTGCATCTATCCTCGATGCTAATCGTAACAAGTTGACCCTCTCATTAGCTTTCCGTATTGCGTTCTGCGCATATAACTGTGCAATATCGTTATTCCCCTGCGTAAGTGCTTTCTTAATCTTTGCTTTTTCTTGCGTTTCCTCCTTTGCTGCTTTAGATGCCTGTCTATTTAATTGTTTAGCTGTAAATTTGAGCTGAAACAATGATTGTTCTAGCCCTGCCATGGTTCTCTAACCGTCTGGATATCGTTCTGGTTTAAAATTCACTAAGATCCTTAAAAAGTATGGCTTTTTCTCGATATGAACGTACGTAATTTATTATGTGCACGCTTAATCTCTTTAACCTTTTTTTCACTAGCAAGATCAATGCAATTGGAATACCAGATATCTTTTGCAGGAATTCTAAAACTAATCAGCCATGTCAGCAAATTGCTTCTGTAACAAATGCATTCCAGGTGAATTAATCTCCGAATCAATCACGAAAGATAAGTTGCTAGATTTGAATAATCCAGAGCATCCAGCAAGCTTGATCTGTGAGCTTTGCCGCTTATTTTATGATAATAACTGGGTTACTGGAACAGGAGGAGGTATATCTATCAGAGATGTAGAGGGTCAAAATCCTAACTTGGTCTATATAGCTCCGTCTGGTATTCAAAAAGAACGGTTGAAACCCTGGGAAATGTTCGTAGTCGAATTGCCTAATGAGAAGTTGTTACGGACACCTAACGATTGTCCAAAAGAGTTGACAAAATCTTACAAATACAAGCCATCTGCTTGTACGCCTTTATTCATGAGTTGTTATACGATGAGAGACGCCGGTGCCTGTATTCATACACATTCTCAAAATGCCGTTATGGCAACGTTGCTTTGGGGTAATCACGTTGAATTCAAGATATCCCACATTGAACAAATCAAAGCTCTTCCCCAGCTTGAATTCAATCCGAAGACTAAAAAAGTTGAAAAAGTGGGCAGTATGCAATATCATGATACTTTGGTTCTCCCGATAATAGAAAACACTCCACAAGAAGAAGATTTGACAGACAGTTTACAGGAAGCTATTAGAAAGTACCCTGGGGCAACAGCCGTACTAGTTAGAAGGCATGGGATTTACGTGTGGGGTGAAAACGTTTGGAAGGCTAAAGTTTATAATGAAGCTTTGGATTACTTATTGGAATTAGCTGTCAAAATGAAGCAAGCTAACATTTCAACCGTGAGGGACGCATGATTAGATGTAAAATTCAAAACTTAGCCGTAATCTTCATCGATTGGTCTAAAGTGTCATACATAGATTTTTTATTATATTGTAATCCAATTCGCATCAGCTAAATGCCGTAAAACTTATTATACATAGTTCATAATGTATTCCTCGTACTTTTTAACGTGGATCCTTTCACTTTTAGCCAATCAATTTTTTCTTGATTATCATCTACTTCACCTATGCACACAACACCATCTCCTCTCATCAAATAAATGCCTAGTTCTAGCTCTTGATTCTCTTCTTCTGCCTCAGAATATATAATGATCTCCTTCGTGTTGTTAAGTATTATATTAGTCGATTTATCATATCCTTCTAGTGTCCCTTCGAAGAGCCTCGCATCAGTCGTAATTATTCGAACAGTTTCTGGTACAGTCAGTATATGTCTAAAAGCGTAAGATATTTCGTATGGAGTCTGTATCAAATGCACTTACTTGAAAGGAACGATTGAAGTCCGCTCATATTGTATTAATTGTCTATTATTTACTTTCTGTTGTTCTTTATATACATTTGCCGAAAGATTGTTCGGGCCATCTCGATATTTAGCTGTTGCAAAACTCACGAACTGCTAAAAAAAACAAACATTAAATTTATAGAGAGTTCCTCCTGAAATCTAAAGCATGCTGGAATCCATTCATAATCAAGAGACAGACCTTTCCAGCAGTGACTCGGAATTTTCTCGTGATAGGTCTGGTATCGACAGTCTTGCAACTAGCCATAAGTCAAGAACACAAGATGAAATGGATGAAGAAACAAAGAGAGAGATTAGGGACTTAGAGCTGATAGAGCATGAAGCGGTAAATATTTCATACATTCAGAAAGAAGATCTAGGGAAGAGCAAAAATAATTTATCTAAGTGGGCAGCAAGACTTGAATTAGAATCTATAACGTTAAAAGAAACAGTCAAGAAAGATGTAAATCAAATTTTGAAGGAGAACTGTATGCTGTTGCAGAACTCTTATAGCGACATGAGTACCAGATTGGATAAGCTAGAGGCACTGATTGGCACGTTGATAGGTATTCAAAGGGATATAAAGGGGTCTTCAAAACTGAACTGTCAAGACTTGGTGTACCAGCCCAATGTGATACACGATTTATTGAAGCTGATCTCCACCAAGGCCACACAGATCGAAGATTTGTCAAAGCGAGACCGGTCAACAAAACTCAAACTGGTTATGGAAAACGTCTTTAGCCAGTTTTCAGCATCTTTGATACCTCAAAGTACGTTTAATCAAGGCATCGAAAAGCTTCAAGCACAAATAAAAGAAATGAGGAACACACTTGATTCATACCAGAGTCAGCAAGGTTTGATGATGTTAGCATTAGGCGGTCTTGATGAGAAGATAGTCACTGGATTCAATGAAGGAAAGGGATCAATGGAGGACATGTCCAAATTAATTGCAAAAGATCAAAAGCTTAGTAGCACCAAATCGACAGGAAAATCTAAAGGACCAAAGGCTGAAAGAAACGATGACCACACTCATATTTCTAATGAGCTCCAAAATATTAAAGAATTTTTAAAATTGCTTCTTCCAAAAGTTGTGGGGCTCAACGACTCCTATAGAAAGCTTTCACTTGATTACCAAATATTGACACTCAAAGAAAATGGAGCAAACTCAACCCCAAACGCTACCATTGCTGATAATTCCACAGATCTGGAGAAAAATTCTGGTGTAACCAAGAAGCGGAAATTGCGCCTGACTGCATTATAGAATAGAAAAGTCAAGGAGATTCCTTTGCTCATTAATCTCTAATTTTAAGTTTGTCTTCCCTTCTAGTCCATGATCACACATTTGATCATAATACAACTCATACACCGGTAGGTATCTTTGAACAAAATGTAACACTTCTGAATCAGACATGCCTGCTCCTGACTTTTCGATCAAGCAATGCTCTTGCTCAATCCTCCACTTGTTCACATTTTCCACTGAGTCAGTTTGTATGAAAATAAATACTTCGAATAAAGACCAGATTTTCTCGTACAGAATTAGGTTTTGATTGATTTGAAGTAAATGATACAACTTATATCTTTTCAATACCGAAGAGTAGTCTGCAGTTAAATATTTCAACCTCAATTGGTTATCCGAAATTGATTTGAACCCATTAAACCAACCTTCAAAAAGGACAACATCTACGGGAGTATTTTGTATTTTCCACTTCGTCTTATCAGGCTCTCTATCTCCTTCACCGTTAAAAAGTGCCTTGTTATATCTGGGAATTGCGACGGGGGCTTCTCTATTAATCAATTGACTTAAAACTTTTAAACCCAATTTTAAATCATGAGTTCCTGGTAATCCCCGTCCTTGTAATAACTCGTTATCATCTGATTCTGCGCTCTTGGTGACTTCTAATTGGTCTTCATGCGTTAAGTAGAAATCATCCATCAGAAGCAGAACAATGTTGAGTTCTTTATACTTCTCAGATAATATGTCCGTCACCTTCTCAGTTAAATATGTCTTTCCTGAACCTTGTGGCCCACTCACACCAACAATTAATGGCCTTGAACCGAGCAGCCCATACCTCTTATCTATAATTCTAGAGAGAAATTCGACCGATTTCAATAAAGTAGTCATGCTATCGACTGTTATGACGAAATCTATAAAATGATTATAGATCGGACTCAATTTCGAAAATCTGTATATTGTATACTGTAAATATTATCTACATAGAAGTAAGTCAAATATTTTTTTTATGAAGTTCTTAACTAGAGAATTTTAATGCATATGAAATACCATTTTAGATTGCTTTAAGCTCCTTTAGTTTGGCTACAAACTCGTCAACTGAGTCTACTTTTATACCTGGCTCTCTAGCAGGTGGCTCTTCAACCTTTAATGTTTCTAACCTGTTCGAAATCTCAACACCTAAGTCACTCGCCTTCAATTTCTCCAAAGGTTTCTTTTTTGCCTTCATGATATTTGGCAAAGAAGCATATCTTGGCTCATTCAATCTTAAATCAGTTGTAATAATCATTGGCAATTTTGCTTTTAAAGTGTCAGATCCTCCATCTATCTCTCTTGTTACAGACACTACATCTCCATCCAATTCGACTTTCGATGCATTGGTAGCCTGGGGCCAGTTAAGCAAACCAGCCAACATTTGACCTGTCTGATTGAAATCGTCATCAATTGCTTGTTTACCCAAAATTACAAGATTGCTTTTTTCCTTCTCCACAACCTTCTGTAAAAGCTTAGCCACTGATAAGGGTTCTACTTCCTGGTCTCCGACTTCAATCAAAGAAGTTGTGTCGGCACCTTTGGCTAATGCCGTTCTGAGAATGTCTTGAGACTTTGTCGGTCCAATAGATACCGCGTGTATTTTCTCAACTAAACCCTTATGTCTCTCTCTGATCCTCAAAGACTCCTCCAATGCAATATCACAGAAAGGATTGATGCTGAATTTCACTCCTTTGGTTTCAACTCCGGTGTGTGCTTTATTGATCCTCGGTTTAATGGCAAAATCAATTACCCTTTTCACAGGTACCAAAATATTCAATTTGCTAGACATATTGTCTCTTAATTACTTATTCGATAGACAACTAAATACTCCCAAAGTCAATTTAACTCTAATCGAAAATTTTTGATGTTCTAATATATCGCCGATATAGGACATTGTTGTGAGACCACGTGACTATGATTTTTCTAATTGAGACATTAGCTTTTCTCAGGGTACTTCGCAACTGCTCTACTAGTTCATAGCACTTGCATACTCTTGCTGCAATAAATACTTGAAGAGAAGATTGTAAAACAAGCATGCGGTTCGGAGTCAAATTAGCTAGACAGGTTTTTTGACAGTAATAGTCAAAAGTACATGTCCAACGCGTCCTGTACAGCGCTTGTACGTCTCTGCTTTGGCTCCGCATTCCAGATCCCACGCTACCTGCAATGCGTGTCGTCACCGCCTTAGCAGCTCTCGTCCAAAGTCTTCCTCAACGTCTAAATATCAAGCTGCTAAACATATTTAAGGCTTTAGTTTGGACTGACTATTTTTTATATTGTTTAGTGACAGTACTACGCGGGCTAAGTTGAAAGAGGACAAATTCAACTAGTACATTCTATTTTTGGCATATGACTAATTAAAGTTGAAATTGCTTTTTCTTTCTGCTGGTACGATGTAGAAATTTTTCATCTTAATTGATATTCATCGTCTGTGTCTTATACTAGGTGGGGGCTTCCAGGTCTATACAATCTAGATCGGCTTTTTTCCTTAAACCAAATAATATTATTCCTCCTCGTTTTCCAAATTAGTTTTACGCCTTTTTCTATGCATGAAATTTTAGGCGCTGATCTCAGCTATAGTAAAGATTTTGTTGGAGTTAATCGATTCGGAAGATTATCAAAGTGCGCATGTATTTATATATAGCAGTAATATCTTAGGCACAATAGATACAATAAAATGTCATATATTGGGCAAATAATTGGCATACTTCTTCAACTATCGTAGTAAATAATTGAGCAATAAAAGTTTAAATTTATAACATAGCTATACAGAGTAGATACTGAGATATTTGTTGCTGACAAATTCTTGGTGATATTTGAGAATGAAGATGGTTCTGTTATGGCGGAATTTTAGGGGTCGAAGACTGATATTACTTGAAACTGTATCATTGGCTGTTGTGTTACTCTTTTTTTTAAGTTTCATAAAGTCTCCGAGTGATCGCATGGGTCTTGAGAGTATTAGCATTGAGCAGAATCTATTAAGTATCATGAATTCTAACAGAATAGTAGGAGACGCGTCCATAATACGGTGTTTTCGAAGATACTGTAAAACTCCGGACGGGTATGATAAAGTGTACCCTGAGTTAAACAAAAGCGAGAAATGGAATGGGCCATTTAAATATTTCTTAATTGTGAAAAGTGTACCATATGGAAATCAGGTACTGAAATACTTGGAGGATTTTAGGATTCAACCAGAACGTCCAAGTAAAGAGCATCTGCTAGAGCTCAAGTACGGCATGCGCATATGGAAAAAGATTGCGTTCGATGAGAACAATAACTTTAATGCCGTACCGTTGATTCGTGATATCAATGTCTTATACGGGTCAAATGCATTGCAAGATGCTAGAGAAAACTGGGAATATAATAAAGACAGTATACTGTACTTTGCTAATCCTGTACCTGTGCATTTATCTTTATTGAAGATATCTAAAGATGAGGAGGTTAAATTACGTCCTAAATTGGAAGAGTTTGCAAATTTGAAGAACCACGGCGCTCTTATTTCTAGAAAAGAGAATTATAAAATTCTTCAAGTAAGCGACTTACATTTTGGACTTAATGATGGATTATGCTATGAAGCTAACTGTAAATCTGACGAGAGGACGTTGAAATTCATGAAAGAAATCATTGAAAAGGAAAAAATAGATCTAGTCGTCATAACAGGGGACTTGATAGACTTGTATCGATCGATCGATTCAAAATCAGCAATGCTTAAGGGATTGCTGCCCATTTTAGCAAGCAACATACCATTTGTCTTTACCTTCGGAGAATCAGATACTGACGAATTCAATAATCCTCATTTTAGAGATGAAAAGGTACATATTGTGAATTTTTTATCGAGTTTATCGAATTGTTACAATGAATTACCTCCAATCAGTGTTCGGGAGAAATCAGAGATCCATGGGTTAACCAACTATAATCTTAAAGTTTTCAACCTAGATGCCAAAGATGGTGGCGAGCTTTCACTCGATAACCCTCATGCTTTAATCACAGTTCTTGATTCCCAGGACCATAAAATAGCTCCGTCTCAGATGAACTACTTGTATAGACAAAACGATATATCGTCACTGGGGAATATATTTAAATTGCTATTTTTCCATTATCCTTTGCCCAATTTCAGACCTGCTGGCAGCTTCTTACTCGTTGGTTCTTATAATGAAAAGCATCAATTAAATTCCAAATCAAGTGCAGCTTTCAGAGATGATATAATAAATTGTGGATATAATGTCGTTTCCGTTGGCCATGAACATCAAAATGATGCATGTCTACTTAGTGAAGATAAAAAGTCGGGTAGAAAAATATGGTTATGTTATAACAGTGTCACTGGTGACTCTGCGAAAACTGATCTCATCAAAGATTTTGACAGAAGAGCAAGAATTTTTGAAATTGATTTCCAGAACCAAAAGCTTTTGAGTTGGAAACGTGGACAAGGTAAAGGTGAGTCATTCCATTATCAATTAATACATGCATTTTAATATATAGTTCCTATAGGCGGTTATCTTAAAAATTATATCATAATCATAACTACTGAGAATCTCATCGCTCTCTACATGTGAAAAAATAAATTTTAAAAAAAAAAAAATTCGAGTATTCTCAAGCATTCTTAACTTAATACTAAACTATACCATTAGTCAAGCTATACCTACACAAGTTAATAGAGGCTATGGGTAAGGCTAAGAAAACAAGAAAGTTTGCTCAGGTTAAACGTACTATAACCTCAAAAGACCCAAGAATCAAAAAAAATAATGAAAAGCAAGTTGCACAGAAGGATGACCCAGAAGTTACTAGATCAGTTCCACAGGTTTCTTCTTCTCTTTTCTTCCAATATAATAAGGCCATAAAGCCGCCGTACCAAGTTTTGATTGATACAAATTTTTTCAACTTTTCAATACAGAAAAAGATAGACATTGTGAGAGGTTTGATGGATGCTTTATATGCGAAATGTATACCAATGGTAACGGATTGTGTGATGGCAGAGTTAGAGAAACTTGGGCCGAAATATAGAATAGCATTGAAATTAGCTAAGGATCCTAGAATCAAAAGGTTGACTTGTTCACATGGTGGCACGTACGCTGATGACTGTCTTGTTAATAGGGTCCTTCAGCATAAATGCTACATTGTAGCCACTAATGATGCTGATTTGAAAAGAAGAATAAGAAAAGTTCCTGGTATTCCCATAATGAGTGTAGGCGGCCATTCCTATGTTATTGAAAGGTTACCTGATGTGTTCTGAGTGCAAGAACGATTTTCTATATAAAACTACATGATAATGAAAATATTAAATTGGAAAACAGGCGTATATAAGTGCATGGGCGTGTTTCATTTCCCTGAAGGTCTCATAATACAATTATTCAGCTTTTATTGGAAGACTTTCAACATATTATTGTTCATACAGTAATATCAAGAAGTGACTCATTTTTAAAGAACTTTCATTAATTTAATATGTTTAATACATATTTTAACTCCTCCTTATTATGCAATTCAAATGTAGTTTAAGTAAATATTCAATTAGTGATTTGAAAAAACGTCACTTTTAATTGCAATCTTTTTACCACAAACAAAATTTTGGCGCCTTGGTTTTAGTGGACTTAATTGGTATAATCTGTGATACTCTAAATTCAATTGTACGGGTACGGTGAATTGCCTCCTCGATGGATTTATCTTGTAACGGAGAAGGGAAGTTTGAACACTCCTTAGACTGTGAACTAAATAATATTCTAATGGAGAATTTACAACTTACATCTGGAGATTCTAGCAATGCGAATTGCAGAAAAGATTCTGAAGTTATTGGGGATAACTTTTCAGCATCAGATGACTATGCCGATAGCATCTTCACTCTTTCTCCAATAAGGCGGCCAAACATTAAGTTAAATGACAGCAGATTCAACAAAGTTAATGAAATCATAAACCAGTTATCTACCGATGACCAGACTTTTGAAAACCAGGTAATACAAAACCTGAAGTCCATGCAATATCGAAATAGTATTTTGCGAGAATTGAAAAAATTAAAGATAAAGAAGATAGAAATACCAACTTTGACGATTAATGAAGATGTTTCGGAGACAAATTATATCAGATTAGTGGAGTTTAATCAAGAATTGATGAAAATTCTTTTCAGAATCAATCAAGAAATTGATTTGTTCGGTTTCAAAAAAACCCGCTTGGTAGATAAGCTAATAACGGAGCTTTTCAAAAATACAAACAGCTATAGCTCGAATACAGTCCTTTCGGGCTCTCTTACTAGTCTACATGAGAAAAAGCTGGTCCCTAATAATACGTATAAACTCTTTGACGACTGCGAAAATACATTCGATGCTTCATTTTCAGATGGCAGAGCGGAACTTAATTTCGAAGAAGACTATCATAAAACGCATTCTCTTAATGATAAAGAGAATATCACTCAAGGGAGTGAAACTGAAGCCGGCTCTCCCGTTAAAAAGAACTTGCAGCAGCTTTTCATGTCAAAACGTCTCGAAAGAGAAAAAAAACTTCAAAAAATAAGCGAAAACCTATTCGCAGACGACGCACTCTGAATCTGGATTGCCAAAATTTTCAGGGTTCACAGTAGAGTTGCCATTAACGAAAGAACCTTTTATTTAGGGAATACATAATTACTTATATAAAAATCATCACAATTAAAGAAATTAAAGTCGAATAAATCACAAATTCAATAATAGCACGATCAAATTAAAAAATAAAAGCTCCTCACAGTTAAAACAGGGTATATGTATACGTTCAAATATAGTTAAAACAAGATTTAGTCCACTACACATAAAACAATGGTAGTAAAGTAAGTAGTCACATTAAATTAATGCGACAGCTGCTACAACAGCAGCACCAGCAGCTAAAGTACCGGCATTGTTAGTCAAAGCAGCAGCAGCACCTTCTGATGAGGTACTGTTAGAAGCAGCCTGAACAGTGGCAGCGGCGAAAACACATGAAGCTAAAACTTTGATAAATTGCATTTTATAGTTTCTATTCTTTAATACTGAATTTTGACGGATATGAGCCGGCGAACTCCCCCAATATATACTCTCCGGTCCCTTTCACTAAAGTACTTTATAGAACCCAGAATCCGCAGCAATCGATGATCCTTATCACGTGCAACTCGATAACGTTCCTCTTTCAGATTAAAATTTCATTTTGGGAAGTGCTCTTTTGACCTTTTACTGAACTTCCGAACCCTCATTTCAAATTTAATTATTTTATATACAGGTGGGAGCTGCATTTGCAGGTAATTTAACTAGTTATGTTGAAATTTCCTGGTGTAGCTTGCATCGAGGACCTGCTTTGAGCCACATTGCTACCAAGATCATGTTAGCAGTAGAAGCATTGTAGATTCGCGTCTTTTTAACGCTTTCGATAACTTTACCACTTTAGTTTGCGCTGTAAGATAAGACCAAAGCCGCGGATATAAGCTTGCTTAGCACTCCGAAGAAGGCACTATAGCAATTTCGCAAGTAATAACTGCAATTCTGATGATAACGACCGTAATAAGGATTACTATTATGATTTATTACCGACCAATGTATCCTTGGCTTTTCAAGAAACATAATGCCTGCCGAGCCTCACTCTCAATATGCGACCCCACTATTTCTAGGCCAAAAGCGCCTGAGAGGCGTATAGCTTTCGAAAGGGAAAGTGGAGCAATACCGGATCATTGCAACAGTATTAGACGCCCTCAGGCGTATTTAGGTTGCACCAGATTCCTGAAAGGATCTCTTATTTAGCGGCATTATTTCCGACTCTCTCTATCTTGGGGGAGGCAATGCTCTTCTCTTTGATGGCACTTCGCATCACGTTTTAAAGCCGACACACTAGCGAGGAAGCTGAAAGAAGTGCAGGTAGAAATATTTGATTTTTTCTGGTCTACAGGTCGAGCTTTAAACTATCTCCTTATATATGAATCGCGCTATATGTGTTGCAAGTTATTTCGTGATACATAATTTGCAACAAAATGTTGCAATAAAGAATAGGTTAAAAAGCTGATGATCCTTTATTAAAAAGTGAAAAGAGCGCTTCTCTCTTTGTAGTTTGTCTATATGGCGCAAGATACTTCTGCTGATGGTTTCAAGAAGCCGGCCGCTACAAATAAAGCGTTGAAGAGAACATTCACAACTATTTCAACACGGTCAAGGCTGTCGATAAATACAAGTATACAGACATTGAGCAGGTCTGTTTCCTTCTGCAATTCTTCGAAAAGACAAAAAAACTATGAATCGGGAAATCTTACAAGCTTAGAAGTAACTTATCCCACTCTCGATACTATAGAAACAAGCAATTCACCATCTTCGCGATACTCTTTCAAAATGTGTGATACGTCAAATCTAAGTGTTAAGGATATTGCCGAGTTTAATGGGAGGTATATTCCTCAATGTAAGCCACCGAACCCTCCATCAAACTGTCAACCTGTCCTCTCGGTTCACGCTGATGTGAAGAATCTGCAATCTGCATTTCGAAGAGCCTCGATACTGAGTAGATGGTTCAGTAATAGTAATCAAGAGAGCAATTTGTTGAAAGAATTCTCTGAGGTAAAAAAGGAAGTTCCCATAAAAGTCACTACGATGCCTGCCATGGGCGAAAGAGATTCAACACACTTTAAGTTCGCACCTAAATTCTCAAAAATGCTATCACATTCAAAGTGGAACCTTAGGGAAAATATGATGAGGCTAAGGAATCATTTAAGAAATGGAGTACCCAAAGACTCGTACAACAAGGTCCAAGCCCTAGCTTACAAAAAGATATCTTCAGTGGATGTTCTGAAGTCATCCGCTAGCCTCGCTGCGAATTTGCATATCGCTAAGAACCACCTGACAGCAAACTTATCTGTAGAGAGTTACGACTCAGATTTACTATATTATTTAAATAACAATAATGATCTCACCGGTGCCTTATTGTTTATATTGGAAAACGATTTAGAGGACGAATTCTTCTTCGGAAACTACGATAATCAATTAAATGATGGACCAACTGAAATGCAAACACAAAAGCCACAAGAGTCTATAATATATTCAAAGTTAGACGACCTTCCTGATGAATTGGCCTCTCTTTGTCTAACTTCTGATGGCTCTCTGGATCATAGTATAGATAGGTATCTTTGAAAGAATACAATAAAAAAATGCGATCTACACGAAGCTAAATTCACTCCGAACAGTTTTTCTGCCATGTTACTCTAATCGAACGTGACCAAAATATTTCCAAGAATTAATCACTTAAGAAGGTAACAAAGAACAGACCCTAGCATAACTGTATTTTAATGGCTTAAAGGAAAGAAATACCTGCCTACTGCCTTTGCATATAGATCTATTAGATTTAGTGATAAATTTCAGGTAAAAAGTCATGACATATTCAACCGGCAGAGGTGGCGCTGGTAACATTCAAAAGTCCTCCGCCGCAAGAAGTGACAGCAACCAAAATGAACTGAAATCACCAGAATTATTACCCGTAACATCTGCAACAGGAGTCAATCATAACGAAAAGGACAAAAAGGTATATTACTCTACCGGTCGTGGTGGTGCAGGTAACATAAAATTATCAAAAGAGAAACCGTCTCCAAAACTTGTTGCTCAAGGATCAAGCACTCCCGAATTGCATACCAGCAAGATATCTACTGGACGGGGTGGCTACGGTAATATGATTAATAATGATGATCCCAAACTTTCAAGGAAGCTACAGGATGTCGATGGACCTTTGGGCCATTCCAAAGAAAACGAGTTGTACGCTGTTGCTTCAAACAAGTCATTTTCAGTTGGAAGAGGCGGATTTGGAAATGTTGTGACATCGAAGTCAGTTTCACCACAACTGACTGAAAATAATTTGTATACGCTCTCGAGTCACGGTGAAAAAGGAAATAAAGAAAGGCAAAAGAAAAAAGGACTCTTTGAGAAGCTCAGAGGTATGTTCAATAGCGAATAGCTATATTTTTTATAGCTTCTCTTTAAATACATAGAAGTCGGCTTGTCTATTATTTTCATGTAATGTACATACACATTTGGTACTCTTGTCATCTGGTTTTCATAGCTCTAAGCTGGAGAAGACAAGAATTCTTTCAATTTGCTTAAAGCTTTAAATCTATGTGAAATACTATTCTTAGTAGTTTTGTCTAATTCAGCATATGTCTCCGAGAACCCATCAGGTTCAAATATAGAATCCCATCCGAAATGTGTTGGACCTCTACTGGGAACTATTTTTCCTTTAGTAATTCCTTGAAACAATTTTACCTCTTTACCAGGGCCCTCGCAATAACCAAACGTACAGATGGCACTTGCACTTTTGTCATCAAATGCGCTTAGCATCTTGTTCAATCCATCTAATCCAACTTCTTTAACGAACCACTTAATGTATGGTCCAGGTAAATTATTATACGCAGTGAAACCTAAGCAAGTATCTTCAACCAATACGGGTCCTTTAAGTATCTTGGCTGCACTTGACGCTTTCTGTATAGTTACCTCATCAATCGATCCCTGAACCTCATCTAGATCTAACGATTTATTAACGATTTTAAATTTGCCAACTTTGGATTCTCCATCTTTGGATTTACAAGTAGATAAAATTGCAACAACTTCTGCAAGTTTATTAGCATTACCAGTAACGAATGTTATAACGTCTTCAGTCATTTCTTGATATGTGGCTACTTCTTCGGGTCAATAAGCCTTATCGTTGAAATTTTTTGTTTCGATCGATCAAATTTCTATATACATGTCTTCCCCGAATCGATATAATACAAGAACAGTTTAAGTTCAACCTCAAAGACAATATCTTTGGAAGACTGAATTACATTATATAAACTATTACATCAAATAAGTACGTCGTCTCTGGCTTCAGGGAAAATGGTGCTCTTTATGTATATCGAACGCTGAGTGGAACAAACTCAAGTTTAACTATGTACAATTTAATCTTTCAATTTAATTAAACGATTCTCTTCATAGCTCGCATAGAATAGTATTAGAAATAAACACCCATGAGCCAATATCTGGTGGTAATCTAACTCACTAATTTATTCTAGTATGATTGCCATTTCTTCCGTATTTTCATAATTTACCCAACCTTTTCTTTAATGATCTTTGGGCTCTTCTTCTCTTTCTCAATTTATGCTTTTTCATTTTCAACCTTCTCTTTCTTAAAACAGAATCAGCATATAAAGTTCTATCATGATCGAGGTCATCTTTTTTGACAAAATCAAAAGCTGTGTCTATGTCCTCATGAAATTTGACAAAAGGAAGCTCCATGTACGGTCTATAAGGTCTATCCGTTGATAATGCTGGAAATGCTGACAGTGAATGACGAATAACAGGCAATTGCTGAAACTGTGGTCCGAATGAGGGAAAATATCCCGCAAAAGGATTGCGAAATATTGTGGAAAGGACCCTCCTATATGGTGTCCGTATTCTTACCGCTAATCCTAAACTAAACATATTCTTCAATAAGACATTCGGCAAAAAAGACAGGAATGAAATCTATTAAGGTTATTTTAATGTTAAATCTAATGCAAGTGAACGAAAGAATTTTCAAATGTTTGTAATCTATTACATAATCCGTGTTCTATTCAAAGATTACCTGGTTTCTTGGAAATAATCCACGGCAATGTTAAAGCAAATATCATCTGTAGTCAGTATGACAACACCCGTAGTTCCACATAGTGCGTTACTCGAACTGACTTGTGTCTTCATACTTGACTCCCAGTTTTCAATATCATATTTTAACCCAAAAGTGGTCAAACGTGTGGTGGATGTTCCTATAGGAAGTAACCCACATATAGGAGTCTTTGAATTCGAGAATGAGGATTTACTGGGATAAGTTATATAATTGATACCCTTGCTTAGCAAGAATATGAAGTCGGTTTCTGTGATAAAGATTTGCTGCAAAAATGGGTCTGAGCTTTTCATTCTGTATAGCTGATTGAACGAATGAATAGTTTGATCAAATCTACCCCCAACAGCTCCGAGAATATGAACTTTAATTTTAGGTCCCTTTTGAGAATCGACAGACAAATCATCGACTAGCTCTGATAGACCATCATAAGAGTCTCGGGGTAACTCATAAAGCTTACTTCGCAGGTTGTCAGAATAAAAATATAACTTGATCAAGTCAATGGCTTTCATATAGTCCGTAGAATATTGTGTGGCTTGTTTTATTATCACCGTGCCCTTCTCTTGGTAATATATTTCTGTCTTATCTCTGAGAGAATCACAGTCCCCTACTATAAATTGAGGAATGAATTGTTTTCTTTCTTCATCGTTGGTAAAGTAGTCGTATAACCTATTGGCTCCACCATCAGCGCATATGCATAATCGAGATGATTTCCATAGTTTTCGCAAGTCAATGTTTTTGATTGCTTGATTTAAAATTAAGAGAACATTTTTCTTATCGTTCTCTTGGCCAGTAAAGATGTCGAAAGGCTCTATCAAATTGTACTTTTCAGCAGGGGGCGCCACTTCTAAATCTTCTGGTCTCTCTGTCACCCTTGATTCTTTCTCTCTATTTTTCAGCATGATATTTCCGATATCAATCAAGGAGTAGACTAATTGTATTAAAGACGTGCGAAACAAGATGTTTGATAATTTTCATAAAAATTGTGAGATTGTCCAAACCCACCTTTTGATACACTTTTTCGTTTAGTGATAATAATAAATCTCTGGGAGCACCACGATAATTTCAAGATCTATAATTAACGCTGGAAAGCACTTAACGGCTGGATTCTTCAAAATTTGGGAAGATAATGAGCACTTCGAACCAACCTGATAGCAACACAGAGTCGAATGAAAACAACTCTGCACAAAATAATGCAGTGCCAAGGGATGTCAGACTATTGCATCTAATATTTGCCACACAAGGCATTCAAAACTACCAAGATCATGTCCCACTCCAGTTGATGGATTTTGCGCACAGTGAGTATGATTTCAAGAAAAAGCTACATTGAATGTTTGCAAAGGACTACAGAGCGACATACTAACGAAAGATAAAGGATATACCACATCTGTTTTAAAAGATGCTCTAGTTTATAGTGACCATACTAAGACAATCAACGCAAACACAAACTTAAACTCAACTGCAAATACTACTGTTAATACTGATGATATCAGGTTGGCCATTGCAGCTAGAACAAACTATCAGTTCAAACCAGTACCTCCAAAGGAGCTTATGTTGGAATTGGCACATGAAAGGAACTCAAAGCCCCTTCCACCAGTGATTCCAAAGTGGGGTTTAAACTTACCGCCTGAAAAGTACTGCTTGACGGCTAGAGATTGGGAAAATATTGAAGACGAGAATGATATCGATGTAGAGGAATACCGTGACAGCCAGAGCAAGAGACATAAAGTTTAATATCTAAAAGCAGACAAAGATCCAATATAACGAGAATTTTATGATGTACACTCACTAATCACTTTCCCACTGTTGAAAGAAAAAAAAACAACAATATGTATAACAGAATCTCAATACATGCTATGAGAGCTTAATTCTCTATCTTATTCACTCTTTAAATGATCAGTATTGTCATTTTAACAGACTACTCTGTCACATTCGAGCTTATGTAAGCTTGAGCTTTTTGTGTCGAATCTCAAAGTTTACACTGCCTGTTACTTGGCCAGACTATGACCGAGATTTTATCACAAGAATTAAGATTCAATAAAAGGATTATTAGACAGCTGGTTAATAATCGAATCAATTGAATATGCTTCAACCTACTGTGTCTTCCATTCCAGAGTAAGTAGCTTGATTGACGCCATTCAGCGCCGTGAAGGGACGCTTTATTATGCACGATGTACTAACATTTTCATCTAGGGCTAAAGAAGAATATCTTGGTTCATCTTTAGTAGAAAGAACAAGTCGATTGCATGCAATTGTAGACTTGGGGCCTGCTGATCTTTGCAACATTTATAAGCAATTGACAACATCGAAGAAAAATTCTGAAATTGGAACATTTCTATATTTCACCGGAGTTAACACATCAAACTCAGCTTCAATAGCTGCACAACTCCAAGGAATTGCATACTTGATTACTTCGAAATCTCAATATTGGTTCGGAGAAAAAAAGCACTGGAAGGTACCTCAACTAACATACTGTTCCTATAATGCATTTTCAAAAGTTGATATGAGAGTGACTGTTCATATTCCTGGTAAGTTTGAAAGCACAGTTGTAGACCAAGATGGTCAATTGATCCATGACAAGATCAGCAGTGAAGAGCTTGAAAAGTTTTGGTTAGAGACTTTTGTCAGTTCCATAATTAGATCAATGATCGATTCTGACGAAGATGATGTGAATAAAGCAGGGGGCTTAGTTGAAGTTAGAAAACTTAATCCATTCAGTAATGGAACGTCTTCTAAAGAAGACTTAGAGTCGTTTATGCAAGGCTTTGAGAAATTGTTCTTCGATGGACCCAAACTAGGCTGCGGAGTTGAGATTCCCCAACCCACCTTGATTTCTAATTATCTAGTGGATGGCTTTTTAAAGGTTGTGAAGCTTACCCAACATTATGAGAGAGCCTTAGAAGTATTAGGAAACTTAGAAAAGGAAGAGCCAAGTGTAGTCACCTTAATTGCCCAGGTTTATTTGTTGAAAGACGAAGAAATAGAAGCTGTTCAAATTATGAATGAAGGGATTAAAAATCATAAGCGAGATGCAGATTTGTTACTATTACAAGCCCAATTTTGTATTGATAAAAAGAGGTATGACCTTGCTTTGGATTTGGTAAAGCAGGCAGTTAAGTCTTCTCCTTCGGATTTCAAAACATGGTCGAAGCTTGTAGCGGTTTATACAAAATTGGGGGATTTTGAAAATGCATTGTTGACTTTGAATTCTTGTCCTATGAATTCTCACAAGGAAAAATACGTTTTGCGAAGAATTGTCCCCTTGAGAGGAGGAAACGAAGATTTACATTTGCCATCACCAATGGACGTGACCCTTAATGAAGTTTCTAATTTGCAAAGCAATGAAATCGCATATGAGCAAAGAAATTTGGATCCCCAATTAAGTAACTTACCTGCTGCAAATTTGAAATCTACATTCGCTATGGCATATGATTTGCTAACCGAAATTGCTCTCAAGACTGGCTGGGAATCGTTGTTGAAATATAGGGCTAAAGTTTTTGTTATGGAAGAAGAATACCGAAAAGACAAGGGCCCGACACAAAATGGACATGTTAAAGATTCAGACACCTCAACTAATAATGGAGAAACATTGACTGCTCAAGCTAGTGAAAATGATGCGTCTTCGACTAAGGCACTTAAATCACCGAAACGAGATAATGCTGATGAAGACAGCTCTCTAGAAGATGAGTTCAGAAAAAAGAGATTGTGTGAAAGGTGGCTAGACAACTTGTTTATGCTACTTTATGAGGACTTGAGAGCATATACTATGTGGCAGGCGGAGTATGTTCATTTCCAAGCTCAACAAATGGAGTACAAAAAGTCAACATTGGAGTGGGAAATTTTAGGATTAATTGCCAATAGATTGAAGCATTTTAAAGAAGGATCGATTGCATTTTCGAATGCTTTGAGCGGGAGATTTTCTGCTAGGTCACAGTGGGAACTATTAAAGTATCATCAAATGGAAAGAAATAAATTATTATACAACAACTCATCTAATGCATCTTCAACTTCTGTAAGTGGTATTACATTCACTCATAATTTCATCAAATACAATAATCTCTTGAATGAAAAGTTATTAGAGAGCTGCATTAAATTACTTGTTTGGAATCATAGGTGGTACTGCGACTTTTCACCAACTTTGATTAAAGTATTGAGTGATTTGGTATCCAAAGAGGGCCTAATAAAGATTCAATCTACTATTCAAGCTATATACTCAAATACGAGTGCATCAACCGTAATCGTAGACCCAAGCGAAAGTCACGGAATAACGGATATGATGGAAGATATTTATTCTTTCTTTAAAGATTACAATCTCAGTGGCTCAGACAACTAATAAAGCGGCCTTAATCGAAGTTAAATGGGATCAACACAAAAGTTCCAACTAGAGTTTCTTTCTTTTTTTTAGTGATCATTTATATCTGTATGAGATAGACTAATGTACAATTATTAGGTGATAAGCAGCTTGTAAGAAGATTAGATTTTATTTAAATGGTTACAGGGAGTGATTGAAATTCCGAATGAGAGCAGATTATCATATACTACTTAATTAGCTATTTACAAGTCGGGCAGAAGAAGACAATAATATAAACGATTTAGTTAACGTTACTTATTGCCTGAACCTTTAAAGGAGTCTTTGAGTTTTTTGGCATCCTCCTCGACGTTTTTTTTCTCTTTCTCGAAGCCATCCTTTGCTGCATTAATTAATTCTTCCTTTGCATCTTGAATCCTCTTCTTCCTAGCTTGAATTTCTGCATCTCTGCGCTCCAACTCTTCAATCCAAATCAGCTCTCTTAGCTTAGCCTTCTCCCTCAACTTGTCTTCTCTTGTCTTCTTCTGTTGCTCCGACTCAACTTGGAAGGCGAGACCTCCTGCTACCAATGCAATAAGTGTTAAGAGTTGAAATCCAATTCTATAACGGAAGTAAAGTTGGGTCTTAATCCTATCTCTTCTTTTAATTGATCTCGTAGCCATGATAATGGCTCCCGTTGTTGCTAGAGCCCCAAGAGGAACAAGTGGTTGCTGCTTACATTTGAATATCATCTTTTGGATGAGATCCATTTCACTTTTATCAGTTAGTGAATGCCGCCCTTTTAAGAAAGACCTTTTGACTTCATACTTACTTTTCATCATCGCTAGGTCCATCAAAGGACGAAGGAAGTTTTGTACTCATTTTGATTGAGCTCTAATTATATAAGAAGCCGACTGATCGAGATCTCATTTAGAAATTACAGCTCAATATTGCAGTCACCTGATTCAATTGACCTGGAATCAAGAATATCTTACGAAACATACATCAAAGCCAATAACTACAGAAAATGCATGTCACACTAATTCACACAGGTAGAAGCAGTGGTACGATACCATTTACTTCCATTTTATAACTTACAAATGACGCGTCTTTAAAGCTGAGGAGGATAAGACAGGATGAGGAAATTGACAAGCGTGGCTGTAAGCTCTAGAGCTAAAACGTTTAATCTGGCAAGAAAAATTACTTCTTTGACTCGGAACACTTCAGTTGTCGATGTTTATTTCATATTTATTTTTGTTCAAGTACGAACTGTTTAAATTGTTTGTATGCTGTGTCTAAATCGTCATTGACGATTATTTTTTCATGTGCGCCAGTCTCAGCGTATTCCATCTCAGCTTTGGCTGCTGCTAATCTTTTTTCTATCGACTCTGGAGTCTCGGTTCCTCTCCCTTCGAGCCTTTGTCTTAAGATTTCGAGTGAGGGAGGACTCAAGAATAAATATCTAGCATCTAGATGCGAGTTTTTCACTGATTTAACACCTTGCATATCGATATCAAGCAAACAAGTTTTGCCCTTTTTCCTGACGTCTTCTACGGCCTTGAAGGTCGTTCCATAATAGTTTCCAGAGAACTGAGCCCATTCGATAAATTTTTTCTCCTCGATTGCCTTTTTGAATTCATCTACAGTGAGAAAATGGTAGTCTACTCCATCAACTTCCCCTTTTCTTGGTTGTCTAGTGGTGTTTGAAACGGAAAACCCAAATTTATCTGGTATTTCAGCAAACAATTTCTTCAACATTGTGGATTTCCCGCTCCCTGAGGGTCCGGAAATAACGATTGGCTTGGACATTATACTCTCAATAAGATATCTTATTATGACTTTAAGGTACCTCCCACCGGTTTTTTAACGTCTCTCTTAATTTATTGATCCTGATATTTTTATTGACAATAAACAAAGAACTTTTTCGACTCTGAAATATTGAAGCGGCACAATTTCTGAATTCACGTGTATTAACGGTCTTTATTTGCATCCACTTTTCCCACTCTATTCAAAGAAAAGAGTAGAGGATTGTGAACTTTAATCTTAAGCATAGTCTAAGGATGGTGGATATATCCAAAGAAGGTAAATTTACTGAAGAAGAATTGCTTCATTTTTCTCATTTCTCTACCTTCCTACTATGTTTACTCTTAATCTCTTGACTCGTTCCAAAATATGCCTGTACATAAATAAATCACATGAGTCGTGTATGAAGGCGAGAATCATGAAAATTCTATGTCATTACCTAGAACAACAGTAGGCCCGCAAATAGAGGGCGTTAAGCTTAACAAAGATTGTATTGAATAGTGATGTCTGGCGAAGAACATATAGCTCAGGTAAAACAGGCGCTAGGAATAATGTATTCCAATGCGCCTCAAGCTGAAAAGAAGCAAGCCACAAACTTTTTGGAATCGTATCAGAAATCACAAGAAGCATGGACTACGTTCGATTCATTGTTAGAGGATTCTAACTTACAAATCAAGTTATTTGGAGCACAAACGTTACGCTCAAAAATCACTTATGACCTACCACAGTTGCCTGAATCAAGCTACGTACAATTGAAGAACTCGTTGATCGAGTTGATTTTGCGGTATCCTAACCAGACCGATAGGCTTATTAGAACTCAGCTCTGTATCTCGTTATCGCAACTTGCACTTCAATATCTTTCATGGTCAAACGCAATGGATGAGATCATATCGAAGCTTTCTTCAAATGAGATTCACATCGTATGCTTGCTTGATTTTTTCAAGATCTTACCTGAAGAGTTGTCTGACGTGAAGAAAACTTCGTTGACTGACGAGGAGTTCAATGCAAGGACAAAGCAACTTATAAGCGATAATGTAGATCGCGTACTACTCATTTTGAAAAACCTTGCGGATAAAAATTCAAGTGCGAATTTAAACTCCTACATTTTAGGCTGTTTGAATAGTTGGATCAAAGAATGTCCCATCGAAAGCATATTGCATGTCAACTCGTTGACCACATTAATATTTCAGTCTTTGACAGTTGAAGAGACGTTTGATCAATCAATTGAGTGCTTGTGTACCATCATGAGGGAAACGAGGGACCTCGAAAACTACGAATTAATAGATGCATTATATCAACAAATATTACAACTTCATGGATATATGAGCTTGAATAAAGAAAAGTTGGAAGATCCAGAGACTTTCAGCAGCCTCACTAGGCTATATGTGGAAGCAGGTGAAGCTTGGCACGTGTTGATTGCTAAAAATCCTCTGCATTTTAAGCCATTAGTTTCGATATTGTTGGAATGCTCTAAATATGAAGAGGACTTAGATGTTGTAAAATACACCTTTTATTTTTGGTATCTTTTAAAACAGATTATTGTCTTACCTAAGTTTCAAGAACCCAAGTTGGAGTTTCTGCAAATTTATCTTGATTTGATAGCGGTAATCGTAAAACATTTGACCTACCCAATCGATTATGCAGATGACAACTTATTTGATGGAGATAAGGAACAGGAGGACAAATTCAAGGAATTCAGATATGAAATGGGAGATGTTTTGAAAGACTGCTGTGCTGTCGCGGGTGCAAGAAAATCGTTAGAAGTACCTTTTTCACAAGTACAGCACATTCTTTCTACATCGTCTCAAGATGCCAAATGGCAATACATCGAAGCGCCGTTATTTGCTATGAGAGCCATGGCGAAAGAGGTACCTTTGAAGGAAAATTCTATTCTACCTGTAATTATGAAGGTCTTATTTCAATTACCTGAGCACCCTAAAGTTAGGTATGCTGCAACTTTGGTGTTGGGCCGTTACACTGAATGGACTTCAAAGAATCCTGAATTTTTGGAACCGCAGTTGAACTATATTATCAAGGGCTTTCAATTACCTGATTTGGAGAGCAGTAATGATATTATAGTTGCTGCATCACACGCCTTAATGTACTTCTGCCAAGATTGTTCCGAATTATTGGTTAACTACTTGGAACAACTATACATGCTCTATGGTCAAATAAAGAATCAATTGGATATTGAGTCGACTTATGAATTAGCGGATGGTATAGCACATGTCATCAAAAAAATACCATCTGAGAATATGTTCAAAGCCACAGAAATGTTTTTGGCACCCACAATGGAGTTACTAAACAATCTTTTAAAGAATAATGATGCAAATGATGAAGCCACAAACATTAATATAGCAGACCAAATTGAAGTTGTATCGACGTTTGTCCGTGTATTAAGATGCTCTGAATTTGAGAAACCTCAATATCCGATTGCAAGCTTCTTTATTGAGAAGGTTTGGTTAACAGCTCATGATTTGCTTTCAAAGTTCGGTAAGTCATTAAAAGTTAGTGAAAGGATTTCAAAATTGATCAAATGTGCAATTCAATCATTCAGCACTTATCTAAGTCCCGTTTTGCCAGATATAGCAAATGTTCTACATGAAGGTTTCAAAGAGACTAGGTATGGGTGTTTCTTATGGGTCTCGGGGATTTTGATAAGAGAGTTTGGAGATGAATACGCTAATGATGATACAAAGAAGGCTGTATATCAATTTGGCCTTTCACAATGTTCTTTATTCTATGATCTTTTAAATTCGAATTGCAATCCCAACGACTTGCCAGATGTCGTTGAAGATTTCTTTAGAATGATGAATGACCTACTCATGTTTTTTCCGTTTGATTTGATTTCGAACTTAGATGTATTGAAATCCACTCTCACGGCGAGCGTTTTAACCTTGAATACAGTGACTGAATTTGATGCCCTTATCTCGTGCTTGCACTTTCTTATAGACTTCGTTTCATGGGGATTTCCAACGCCTCCAATATCTTACTTTGATGAAAACCCGAATCATATCCAAGCTTCTGTTAAACAATTTTTACTCATGGATGATAACGGACAACTTCTTTTCAAATCTGTATTAGAGGGTCTTATCTTCAAGTTTCCGAACGATGTCCAGCCGGATGCAAATGAGCTCCTCCTTAAACTTCTTTTAGTTGCACCAGATGCAGAAATCGCGATTACTTGGGTATCTAGAGTCGCCAATGGTCTTCCAAATGTCAGCAGCCGCGAAGTGAACAAACTAATAAATACAGTTCACGTTGCATTACCTAATAAGGACAACAGGCGAGTACGTTCCTCGATTAAAGATTTCGTGAGCTGGTATTCTCGAAGAAATGTCACACCACGTTCTGAGTTCTAGATCTTTTGTAGCGTGTTAATAGATGTTAAGAATAACATATTTTACAATTATTACTCGTTTTAATCTTCTCATCTGCTTTATGCACTAGCTGCAAAACTGCAAAATCGCGACTCGACATGATTTTTTGTCTTTGCAACGTAGATAGCCCGACACACACCCCAACTGTGACAAATTTTTCCGTACTGAACGCGACTTTTATGCTTAGAAGCATTTTCCCACGACAGGAAAAGTTGTTATTGCTACTGTAAAAACTGCCACTTGCTACTGCAGGAGTTGCAATTTCCTATCATGCTATAATCGAGGGTAAGCTAGGGTGCAGAAGCGTAAAATACAGCAGCTCACAGCAATCTTTGGTAAATCCTGGACTGGCCGACAAGCAATCGAGTTGAGTTCGGTTATAGTATCCCCGGTTAAGAGAAAAATCTAAGAAAATCCTGACTTCCCCTGGCGTAACAAACAAAAAGACGTTAGTTATGCCCGATTGTTGCAACAGATCCGACCTAAGGATTAACCAATCCTTGTTGCTTTGTATGCGCTCATACTCAAATCTACCCCTTAGATTGCTCATGAAACAGGAAAAGGAAACTGTAATTTCTGTCGCTAGATGCCGCACACTGTTCTGGGATAAGTTAATTTCCTTTTTTGGTATGTTTGTTACCGAATTCAGTAAGTGGGCCATGCTATTTTCGTCACTGAAGGTAAAGATAGTATTTTGGATACGCCCTACATCATCTAAGCAGAACTGAATGGGGGCCAGGAAAGATGAGTATATAAGAGACATAGCTCCAATATTTATTTTTCTTTTTTATTCTTTATACTAAGTAATAACTCACTTATCTTCCTTCGCTAAAATACAAATAAAAATGCAATTCTTAAATATCGCTTTATTAGCTGCTGCTGCCGTTGTCGTCAAGGCTGAAACTACCACCGAGACCGACTTCTCTACTGAAGTAGCTACCATCACCTCATGTGGTCCTGAAGTTACTAACTGTCCAGCTGAATCTTCCGTTTCATCTGCTCCTGCTAACGTTTCCAGCTGGGAAGGTGCTGCAGTTGGTAAGGCTCAATACGGTGTCGCAGGTGCTGCTGCTTTGGCTGCCGGTGCTTTGTTGGCTTTGTAAGTCAACCTTTGAGATTTTAGTTTAGTTCTAAGTTAAATCAGTACTCTATAATTGATTAATACAATGTGTAATTTCATTTTGATGTATGTTAACTTTTAAGAGGTTATTTGTGTAACAATGCAAACAAAGCTTATCGATTGCTTTGTCTAAATAATACAAAAAAAATAGTTCTGTTATTAATTATTAATTAATGATTACTTGTAGTTAAGTGCTATTAATTGCTTATCGGTAGGGGCAGGGCAGCTGATGGTGTTGGCTTATTTCTTTCAGGAATAGCCTTCATAAGCTCATCAACGGTTAGGACTTCTGAGGTCAATAATTCTCTGATAAGTTCCACTGTAAATTCAACTGCACCTTCTCTTGTCTCCGGGTCCGTCAACAAATTTTTTATGACATCGACTGCAAGTCCCGAATCCTTGAGAGCCTGAAATATTTCCTCCCAAGGGATAACATCGGCCTCTAAGAGATCAATTGTGACATTCACAATTTCGGGTCTTACTTCGTCATCGGTGAGCGACATCTTTACCACTGCATTAACTAAACCTGACCTTTTCAAAGCTTTGAATAGTTTGACGAGTAAGTCTTCAAACAAGTCTCTCTTGAAAAGGCCCGTGCTGCTGGCAAAAATGTCTTTGGTCTTATTATAAATTTTCTTTACCTTAAAGAATCTTCCTTGATCAGGATCATCGTGGTCCTCTACTTCTTGATTTTGAAGTTTTTGAATCTGTCCAACGATCCCGATACAATCCTTCAAAACCTTAATCGATTCCTTGGTTTTTATACCCTTACTCTGCACTTGGTTCCATCTAGACTCCATTACTCCTTTACCTTTTAAGTCATCTTGGTCCCCTTGTTCTGTAAGGGTTTGGATGGACTCTACGCTACCATCGACATCATTTGTTACTGCTGCTGCAAAGCTCAAGGATGCTGTCGTTAAAATCAAGAGAAACTGTAATTTCATCATTTAGGTTTTTGTTAAACTCTGAGAGTAGACTTCTAGTGACATGTCTGGGTACGTACTGGCTTTATAAGTATAGAAGAATGTAAAAATAAAAAAAAAACGAAGCTCCACATTTTGATGAATGTGGCATTAAGTTATGCAAATGGGTTACTCTCAAGCATAACTTTTGATTAGTTGCAGATTAATTTTGAATGAAATGGGGTAGTTCTCTCTCGATAAGCATGGAAAGGATTTCACATTTAACATTTAATATTCAACACTACTTTAGGCTGCTTAATCAGATTTGGTATTCTTTGGAGTTTGAAACCCAATCCATTTGCATTTACTTTCAATGTAAATCGCCTTTTCTCTTAACTATTTCGAATTGTTGCGAAAAGTTGAGAAATGACAGAACTAAAATGTACTGATAAGCCCGATGAGATAAGCATAAATATATTATAACATTACAATTTATAATAAATATTATTATTCTATAAACAGCAAAATTAATTATTAGGAACTAATTCATAACCAGGATCTCTTTTTATCGAGCCACGTATCTTTTTAAATAACTTAAATCGTAAGTCGTTGTTTCTTTTTGTCGAATTAAATTCAGACAATGTGGAGCTTTGAAGACTAAAATTAGATACCTCATCATGTCCAATATTTCTTTCCAATGCTGAGACGTCTTCTTTGATTACTGGAGGTTTCCAAAATTTTAAAAGCAAAGAGCTTACGACAACACTTACCGAGCTAAGTGCCATTGCAGCACTGGCTGCAATTGGTGGCAAAATTATGTTAAAGGGGATGAAACAACCCATAGCAAATGGAAGCATAAGCATATTGTACAAAGCCGCCCAAACAAAATTCGCCTTGACCCTTCTGAAAGTAGCATTCGAGATATCCAATGCAAAAGGAACTCCAAATAAGTCTGAACGAAACTGATTACCACCAAGAAGCACTATATCTGCTGTCTCCATCGCAATATCAGTTCCAGAGCTGATAGCCATACCAATATCTGCCTCTGCCAAAGCTGGCGCATCATTGATGCCATCCCCGACGAATGCTATACCTATATTTCCTTGATTTCCAAATCTCAATTTCATATCCTTAATAATTTTATTCTTATCGATGGGAGTAACTTCACTAAAAACATTGCCAGAGGGAATTCCTAACTCTTCAGATATTCTTAGAGCAGCCTTTTGATGATCACCAGTCACCATACCCACAATATAACGTTCATGGTACCGCAAGTAATTTACAACATCTTTAGCATCAGATTTGAGACTATCAGATAATTCAATATACCCAGCATATGTTTCATTAACTACCACATGAGCAATAGTATTTGATGACTCACTTGTATTCCCAACAAAATGGTTCAAGAATTCCAAATACAAATCTGGAAACATATCTCGAAGCATTTTGACATTTCCTATGCTTACATGTAACTTGTCAATTTGAGTCGTATGCAATTCAACTGTAGCACTCACACCTGAACCTGTGAAAACCTTAAATTCACTTACAGTAGCTTTAAAGGTATCTTCTTCAAAATTTAATCCAAGTTTTTCTTTAGCACCTCTCGATATGGCCCTACCTACAGGGTGGTCTGAATTGGCTTCAACAGATCCCACCATACTCCACCAGTCGGCATGGTTCAAATTATTGGAAGGTATTTGATTTGAATTACTTATTTTCATATCACCGGTAGTAAGTGTACCAGTTTTGTCGAACAAAATCACATTGATATCCTTAGCCTTTTCCAAAACATCGCCTCCTTTAATTAAGACGCCGTTCGAAGCACCAACTCCTGTTCCCACCATTATTGCAGTGGGTGCGGCCAAACCTAATGCGCACGGGCAAGCAACGACAATAACGGATATTGACAACTTTAAGCAAACAAAAGCCTTCCCATAGTCTTCCATCTTAAACGCTTTTGGTAGATCGTCAACAGAGTAACAGAAAAGCATCCAGAAGAGAAAAGTTATCACAGATAATACTAAAATAGTAGGAACGAATTTAGCGGCGACGAAGTCAGCAAACCTTTGAACTGGTGCTCTATTGGTTTGTGAATCTCGCACTAAATTAATAATTTGCTGTAACTGGGACCTTTTTCCTGATCTTAAAACTTTAATGTGAATCAACTTGTTACCGTTTAATGACCCACCAATGACAGAGTTTCCTACCTTTTTGAAGACAGGAAGTGGTTCTCCGGTTAACAATGATTCATCGATATCAGATTCTCCGTATATAATGACACCATCTGCAGGAATCTTTCCTCCAGGTAAGACAATCGCTATATCATTCGTTTGAATCAAGTCAATACTGATCGTACGAGTTGGAAAGTCAGCAATTCCAAATACTGTGTCTTTTTCGGCGTTTTGAGATCTGACTGCCTTTTCGTATGTGTCGACATCCAGAGCAATCAAACAGGTGCTTGGTGTCAAAGATAGCAATCTAGACAAGGCAGTTGATGTTGCTCCTTTAGCTTTATTTTCCAAGTATTTGCCAAAGGAGATAAAAAAAATTATCATTGTATTCGTGTCAAACAAGACTTTAGGAGGCTTTTTAGTCTGACCAGACCATACACTCAAGACAATCGATAGAACGGAAAAAATGAACGATATCGAAGTTGAAATGTACACTAACACATCCATGGAGGCATTTTTTCCACCATTCACTAAGAATTGTCGGAACTTCTTTAAAAATACCGAACCTAGCTTGAATTGAACAATTGAAGTGAGCAATAATTGTAAAAGTGAAACCAAGAAAAGGCCGGGAAAGATGATGATATTACTCCAAAGTTTCATATTTTGCGTTGCAGACATCAACATAATAGGAATTCCAATGAGGAATGCTTTCCATGTATTGGATTTCCAATATTGAATATCCTTTACTCTAGATAGGATTCTCAACTGTGAGGTTGACGACTGATCAATTGAGTTCACGATGCTAAAATATATTCCTTCTTCAATCTGATTTAGCTGGTCAACAAGAGTCCTTATGCCTAAACGCAGGGGGTTGAATGTTACCGACAATTCATCAATTAAATTTTCATCTTCGTATAATTCTTGATTATCTTGTGAACGAACCGCCTGTACATTTGAAGAATTAGACTCCGTAACTAATGGTTCGGTAGAGTCATATGAATTACCTTTAAGTGCAAGCTGGAAATGAGACACGCCATCTAAGCTTTTTACTAGAGCCTCAATATTGTACTGTAGTTCGACTAGGTCTGTAGTATTTGATATTCCAAATATCTGTAAACTGACTTCATCCTCATCCATCTCTTTCCCTTGATCATCATTTTCAGCACCAGAGCTTAAGACTTGACAATCAAAACCACAGTCTTCTATCGCATCTTTGATTTGATCTGTGGTTACCGAATGTCGGTGCTTTACTACTGCTTCTTCTAACACTAAAGATACATTACAACTTATCACGCCACTTATATCCTCCAAAGCTCTAGTAATAGAAGAAGAACATGCGGCACATGTCATACCCTGTATTGAGCACTTGGTAATCGTAGCCGCATCAGCATTCTGTTCAGCATTACTATTGATAGATAGTACTTCAAACCCACATACTTCTATCTTGCGTTTGATTGAATCCAGAGTCACATGTGTGCTGTGTAAGCATGTAACAGCTCTTTCAGGTATCAATAAAGACACTTGATTTACTCCTTTCATGCTTTGTAATACATCAGTAAGCTTTTCCGTTGCATCCTTGCGTTCCAAGCTGTCTACGATTGCGGTAGACGCTACCAAAGCTGCTTTGTTGACATGACTCTTTATGTCAGCATCAAATCCGCAGTCTTCAATTACCTCTTTCAAAGCTTGTATTGAAGTCTTTGAATCATCAAATGTTACCTTTGCTTCCTCTATTAATAATGATACAGAGGCATCCTTTACACCATCTGTTTCAGACAATGCTTTAGTTATAGATGCTGAGCATGCCCCACAAGTCATCCCAGAAACTGAAAAAACCACTTCGGAGCTCATCTTAGTTTGATAAACTTCTATATAGAGAAAGAGCTTCTCTTTTTAAAATTTGTCTTATTATCTACAAAATGATCGGAAATAAAATTTTATCTTTTCAATCAACTATCCGAGTTCGGAACTCTATACAGAAAGATAAATATTATATGTATATATATATGTCGACTATAAAATCGAAGGTCCTAATGAGGTTTTCTGTCCTTCTCTTTCTTTAGTATCTTTGTCCGACTTTTTGGAGCTGTCAAACCCATGAAACTTATGAGATAAGTACTTAAAAGCTTGTTTCTGGCCCAAATCTTTGCCCGAGTCGTCCTTATACGATAGTTGCACCAGAGGATTATACGAGCTTAACAGAGAATTGAGATCCTTCTTTCCTTTGGTACGATGAGGTACCTCTAGCAAACCCTTTTCTTCAAGTCGGTCGTCAAGAAGTCTGTTAAAGATTTTTTCTCGTTCATCCTTGGACAATTTCATATACTGCTTATCATCTCCTAACTCCTCTTTGAGCAACCTTTCTTCTATTCCAATTTTAATTTTTAGTAACTCGGATGACCTTTTAGCAACTCTTATTTCCTTATCATGGAGCAGTTGAGTGTCTGGCTCTTTTATTATGTTTCGAGACCGTAGAAAACTCAACGTGGAACCAAGACCCGAGAAATTAGGTTCCAGAGATGCTTCAGTTTCTTCTACAGACGGATTAATGCGATCATCATCTTCTTTCTTAAGATTCAAGGTATTGTCTTCTTGTTTCTTTATGATGCCATCTTGTTTGCCACTAGCAACGGGATTAAAATTCAAAGACTCTAAAAAATCATCCGTTTGATCGTAAACAAGGCTCCTCTCATTCTTTCCGTAAGACAGAGAATCCAAGTCATTCTGTAAGTTCCAGTTGCGTGACAGTCGAATTTCACTTGCGATTTCCTCTGGAGTTAAATTTTTACGTTTTTTATGATTTACTCGTCGTCTTGCGGAAAGTACTGACTCCAACTCGTTATCATCCAAGGGATCATCAAACTTCTCTAGATCAACATTTTGAAGCTCCATATCAGAAGTTTCAAATTGAAGCCTCTTTTTATGGGATTTCTTTTTCAATTTTTTCATCTTCACCGGAGCTCTCTTTTGTTGGGCAACGTCAATACTCATAGGGTCTATTTCCTCAACCCCATCAAAGAAACCACTCGTCTTTTTCAGGGTTGGATTCTCATCAACCCTTATGCTTTCATTTTTTTTCTCTTCAGAAGTATCATCACTAGTTCGAATTAAATCGTTGTTCATGGCACTATAACTTTCCATATTTATCATACTATCGATATTAGTCCCTAACTCTTCTTTTTTCTTGAAATTCTCGTGTCCGTTGAGTTGATCATCTGATTCATCCAAGATCCCCTGATCTTTCAATGTAAGGATTTCTTCGGCACCACTATATACTTGACGGTTACGCTCATCTCTATTCTCCGTTTTCGTCCTCGATTGGTTACTATTCAGTACATTATGATCATTATGTAGTTTCCCAATATCATTCAACCATTCATCGTAATCTTTTACTTCTTTATCATGAAAATCTAACGGCACTTCAGAAGTACGCTTTCTTCTCTTGATGGATTTGACCTTTGCTTCTTGAAGTCTGAGGCTTATATCATCACTCTTCTTTTCATTTTGACCTGAAGATGCAAGCAGATTAGTCTCTGAAGAGTGTTTAAGCCTTTCAGCTACATGTAAGGGTCTGGATGTCGCGAGATGGCTATTTAGTGGTTCCAAATTATCATTCTCTTTGTTCGTTTGGCGTTGTTCTTTGTTTCCTTCTCCTGGAGATGGGATCGGAGGCAATCCAATCTGGGCCCTTAGTTTATTGGTCTCTTCTAAAGATATTTCTATCTCCCCACCCATGGCTTTCATCAACTTTAATCATTTTTAATTCGAAGGCCGATAAGTGCTAGAGCGGCTTTCGAGATGGATGCGTGCACATAAAAAGATTTGTTTACAAACTAAAGATCAAGAGACCGCTTCACTACACCATTGGGTGAAGCAAGGGCATAAGAGAAGTAACAAGAAAGGACATAATGGAAACGGACGACATATTGAAAATGAAATTCAATCAAAATACTCCTCATATGTCGATTGAAAAGGTTTATGGTACTTCTTTGAAAATGTCAAATCATTTTGATGTTCAAGGTAATTATATTGCGTACACTGCTAGCGGTGGAGTCGTATTATGCGAAATAGATTTCGTAACTACTGGTATCATCAGACAGAGGTTCTTCTGTGCAAATAACAATTCTAACTTCAATGGTGTGAGTCCAAATTCTGCCAATGCTTATTTGAACATGGCTTATCCAGATCTCAACAAATCTGGTTCCGTCTTACCTACAAAAAAAGATCAATATGGTTATGCTATGTATTCTGAGCCATTAATTATAACTGGGAATGAAAACAATGTTAACGTGAAAAAGAATATGAATGATGTCGCAGATAATGAATTATCTCCAAGCAAATTAAAAGACAGAGTAAGATCAGTAACTTGCCTAAAGATCTCTCCTAACAAGAGACTTTTGGCCGTAGGAGAAAGCGGTTATCAACCAAGGATTCTTATATTTTCTTTGGCCTCTGATCTGACTTGCTCACCAATAGCAATGATATATGAACATTCGTTTGGCATAAACTCCATCCAATTTTCCCCCGATCTGAAATACTTTTGTTCGTTGGGACTTATAAATGATGGATTTCTAAATGTTTGGAAAATTGTATCTAACACATTTACATTGCATTCAAGTAATAAATGCTCTTCCATAATCAATAGAGTAATATGGCATGAAAATTTCATTATAACTTTGGGTGTGAGACTAATTAAGGTATGGAAACATAACACAGAATCTGCTGCTACGAAGCCGAATATTCTCAAGGGAAAGAACGTTGTCCTAGGGCCACTTCTCAATGCAAATTTTGTCTTTGGCGAAGTTCTAAATGATGCTGAATTGATAATCGGTACATCTGATAATCAATTGTTACTACTCAATCTTGACTATAATAATCTCAAGTTAATTAGCTTGGATTCCCCGAATTTAGAGTTCAAATCGATGTCAATAGACTATGAAGATGAAAAAATTTGGTTTGGATCGAAAGACGACAAATTTGAGAGCATAAAGATATTCAGCTTAAAGCCTTCGACTAATTTATCTTCATCAAAAAGCTTCATCGAAGAAGAAAAATGCACATTCAAAAGTCCTTTCAAAAGCGTTCAAAGTAATTATTCCTTCAGTTTAAATAAACAATTCATTATATTTATTTCAGAAATGGGAGAAATATTACTAATGGATAAGTCCAGCAAGCTCACGTCGCCTTTGATTCCCTCATTGTTTAAAGACTTGCTGGGTGCAAAGGTTTGCTCACTGGGCGACTTACTTTTCTTTTCACGCCAAGGAAAAATCAAGAAACTAATACTGTCTAATGACAACTTTGAAAATATCATGGATTTCAACTTGCCATCTACTGAAATTCTTTCAAATGCGTTGACAGCTATAGAATTTGATGGCCTGAATATGGTTTTAGGCGACAGATTTGGCCAAATATACATAATCGAATTATCTGAGTCGACACAGTATCAGATTTCATTTCAAACTAAAGCGCATTCGAGCAGTGTAAACGATATTCAATGTTTCAAAATTGGAAATACTTCTTTTGCAGTCAGCATTTCAAGAGACAGAATGATCCAAGTATTTTGCAAGATCACCAACGAATGGGAGCTATTACAAACCATCCCTATTCATACTGGGAATTTACTAAAGGTGTTATACCATGATAGAAGAATATACATCAGCTCTTCTGACAGAACAATTTCGATTCATGCATTTGAAATACACAACAACGAAGTAAAGATCACTCAAGAGAAAATCATTGCGACAAAATCAGCTCCAATCAACATGAACATATTTGGAAACGACTTTGTTGTCTCTACTAACGATAAGAACATCTTAATCTACAAAATAAACGAGGGTCTTGAATACAAAAGATCTTTGAAATTGACCAGCGAAAAGGCGAACGATACTCTTTTAGTTGAACATTTTGTCCTTTACAATGGCTTGATTGTTTTATCTGCTTCAGATAAGTCGTTAAGAATTTTTGATTTTAATAATGGAAATCTTATGTCTACTGTTTGGGGACATCTGGAAAGCATATTGAACCTAATTCGATTACCTGAAAACAATATAGTTTCCATAAGTGCGGATGGCTGTATGTTTAAATGGTCGTTGTTTGAGTCAAGCAACTTAGCATCAAGCATACAATCTCAACATTCAGATAACGAAGAATCAACGCCATTACAAGCTAAGGTTACTAGAAAGATTTTACTGTCTTCGCCATTTAGATCAACTCATTTCAAGCAAAACGATAATGAAGATACTCTGCTTTCACCACTCTCGCCATCGCCAAAAGTATCATCTTCCCCCAGATTATCAAAGGCAACATTAAAAAGAATAGAGGCAAAAAAACTATCTGCATTTGAGAAGGGATCTTCTATCCCTGAACGATTACAACCGCCTATCTCTAACTTGAGCCCATCGCCAGGTAACAAGTTAAAGACTGCGACCGCTTCGCTCTCGAGATCACCATCTAGGTCACCACTGAGATCACCATTAAGGAAAAACTCAAGTGAAACTACAAAAATTAATCTTACCGGCTCACAAAACACAAATAAAAAAGATTTTGATGCATATATGAAAACGCTAATATCATTAGAGAAATTTTTGAAAACATCTCTGCTTTCTCAGCAGTCGAGGGAACTAATGGCCTCCCAAATGAACTCAATAATTGCACTTTTGGATGCTGACGATCTGCTAACTTCCAACTTTGAAAAGATGACTGTTAGCGACAATCATTCGTTGAAACGAGATTTGAAGTCAGATAATTCAGAATATAGCGAGGAAGAAATTTTGAATAGACTTGGGGACAAATTAATTTCAATATTTGAAAGGAAAATTGAACAAAGAGTCTTCCAGCCTCTTAGTCTAAATTCAATTCATGAACCGAAGCAATCCATTAAAAAAACACTAAATTTAGATGAGATTGATTGATTTTCATGCTATGTGTATTTACTTATATAATGTCTTGATGCAATGATATGATTCTCATCTTTGTCGAACATTGAACTTCGCAGATTCAATGGGGTTCTCATCTTTTGATATCTCAGCCTGTTTCCATGGATTTTGATCATCTTTGTTCAGGTTATCCAAGTGGTCTGAAGCAGTATTACTGAGGTGTTCTTGTTCATCACTTTTGTGAATATCCTCTTTTACTTGTTTATTCTCATTTTGAGATTCAGGCTTCGATTCATATGTCTTCGATTCACTCTTGGATCTCTCTAATTCCGAAGCTAATTTGATTTGGTTTTCTTGCTCCATCCTCTCTTTCTCCGATTGCCACCTCTCGTCAGCTTGTTGCGCTAATATCTTAATTTTTTGCTGTCTGATTTTATCATTCACTAACTCTTCCAAACTCGGTGGATCAGGCCTCGTCTGCCTGAGCCATTGCAACCACTGAGGTGGCACTTCCAGAAAATAATCCACTTTGAATAATTTTGGCTCAAATGGCTCAAGCTTTCTTCTTAATCGTCGCATATTACCATCTGGAGTGAACTCCCAATATGTATTGCCTGCTAAGTCATAACCCACAAAAAACTTCTTACGAAAAGGAATATCTCTTCTAGCTTGAAACTTATGAACGAGCCTCCTTAAATACGTATGTTTTGCACCGATAGGATCCATGTTTACTGAGTATGACCTATTAACTTATTTGTAAGTTACTCTACGTAGAGATGAGATAAGTAACTTACGCATCACAAGTCATTACACAAAACCACTGAATTAAATTCGATGGACTCAGACTCTCTTACTTCCAAGATCATTAGAGATGAATCAAATGTCGAAGGAAAATCAAACCGGGACTTCTACACATTTGAAGCCAGTGTTTCCAATACCTATTCAATTGAACGAAGATGGACTGGGTGAACCCTACAATTTTTCGCATATCAGCAATGTTTTGGTTGGGGATTACCACTTAATTCAAGGAGAGGGTGGAAAACCATACATTGTTTGGACTATAAAAATAGCTTTAGATGATTCTAACTATTCTTCAATAATAATATATAAGAGATACAGTGATTTGGAATGTTTTAGAGAAGAAATAGGAAGAACTGCAGGTTTTGACAACTTACCAAAATTACCACCAAAAGATAGTTTCAGCTTAGACCGTTTACTTATGACTAATAGGTGGCTAGAAGAAAGATTGAAGGGCATACAGTGGTTTTTGAGCAACGTGCTTCTCAATCCAAGATATCAGCGATTAGAGGTTGTACGAGATTTCATATTAAGCTAGTAGACTGGTTCTTTCTGCTCAAGCATGCAATTTGCAACCGTGAATATCTCTTTAACTAGTGAGTTCATGACTGCGTATCTTAGAATAGTGACACTGACTTGTGGTGTGTAAACAGTCGAGCTTTAGCCTGTCTGTAGAGATTATCCCATTCACGGCACTCAAAAAGTATAGAGGAAGATAATCTAACCACTTAATAGAGCCCGGCAGCCTGATGTTCTAATACTAATACTGACTTTTTACTAGTCCAGATTTACTTTTATATTATTATACACTTGACAGATATCAGAGACTGTTTTTGATTACGTTATCTGTGGCATCTATGGACCCTTTCACTATTCGTGCAAACCGTGCGAAAAATGTTGGAGCCTATGACCGTTAATATGCTATTCCACTAAAAAGTCTTCGGATACTCCAGTAGCACCTAATACTTGGTCACTTTGCACCGACCCTTGAAATTAGTTGAGTCCAACCTTTTCCGAATCGAATTTACTTGGCAAGACTTTTCTTGATAATGAACCTAGAGTTCACGTATAATTAAATTGCTGAGAAAGCATCAGTAGTGCAGATGTTCAAAAATGTATTGGAATATTCTAATCCATTCCAGTCTAGATCGACATTTTATTAATGCAAATAAATATATATATATTACAGGATTAGTTGTAGTTTTATGCTAAAAAGGCGACTTTGCAAGAATATAAACTATAGAATTACCCCTTTCTCGCATTTTCACAGAATGACTCATCACAAAGTTACTATTATTGGATCGGGTCCAGCAGCTCACACAGCAGCTATTTACTTATCTAGAGCAGAAATCAAGCCCACTTTATATGAAGGTATGTTGGCTAACGGTATTGCTGCTGGTGGACAGTTAACAACAACAACAGAGATTGAAAACTTTCCAGGCTTTCCAGCTGGTATCGAGGGTTCAGCTTTGATGGATAGGATGAAAGAACAGTCTGTCCGTTTTGGAACCGAGGTCATCAGCGAGACAATTTCCAAAGCAGATTTATCTCAAAGACCTTTCAAGTTGTGGACTGAATGGAATGAAGATGGCGAGCCCATCACCACTGATGCTGTAGTTATTGCAACTGGGGCTTCTGCAAAGAGGATGCACTTACCGGGAGAAGAAACTTACTGGCAACAAGGAATATCTGCTTGTGCAGTTTGTGACGGAGCTGTTCCAATCTTCAGAAATAAACCATTAGCCGTTGTTGGAGGTGGTGATTCTGCTTGTGAAGAGGCCTTATTTTTGACAAAATATGGCTCCAAGGTTTTCCTTTTGGTAAGAAGAGATCAATTAAGAGCATCTACTATTATGCAAAAGAGAGTTAAGAATAACGATAAACTAGAAATCTTATGGAACACGGAGGCAGTCAAGGCTAATGGTGATGGAAAGCTTTTGCAATCATTGGAGGTTGTCAATAACAAGACGAACAAACACAGTGATTTGCAAGTCAACGGATTATTCTATGCCATTGGTCATCTTCCAGCTACTAAAATTTTTGCTAATCAATTGAAGACAGATGAAACCGGATACATCTTGACTAATCCTGGTACGGCTGAAACCTCTATTCCAGGTGTGTTTGCTGCAGGTGATGTTCAAGACAAGAAATACAGACAAGCTATCACTTCTGCTGGTACTGGTTGTATGGCCGCTTTAGATTGTGAAAAATTTTTGGCTGAACAAGAAGTATAAATAATAGATACGAGAGTAGATATCATCTCCTTTAATGTGTGTATCACCTTTTATCGGAAAGATTAATTTGTTATAAATATAAAATATACACGTAGAAAGTCGAAATTAGTCGAAATTTGTATAGATTGCGAGGCGCCACAAAATACATACTGAGACCTCACTGATATTATCAATAATCCTTTATACGGTGTTAGAGACTATCTTATAGATAGGCAAAAATGTCATTTAACAATCCTTTTAGTGAAGATTTAGAGGCACAGGTTTCGAATAGATCTCAAAATTACAAGGATTTTCCAGAATTTGATAGAATTTCAAGTTCAATCGATGACCAATTGGCTATAGTTAATAGAGAAAGATTGGTGAATTTAAAGAAGCTCTTGAACGAGTATGATAATTCAGAAGACATAGAGAAATCAAAACTATCGGAGGATATAGCTGCTGAATTGAGCAAATCGACTAGTGCCTTCAGAACTTTGAATTTATCTGTTAAAGAACTAAACAACTATTTACGGGATATTGAACAAAATCATGAAGATATTGAAGTTTTGAATTACTTGAAGCAGAAAGAAACGCTTCTAGTCAAGTCAGTCAAGGAGAGTGTTAGTAAATACAAGAACTACCAGAAGAGGGCCGAAGCGAATCAGACATCACAACTCCCTAGCTCGACGGCTGGTTCTCAACAGGAAGCAAATAGTCAGTTACAAGATCAAATCCAGATAAATTATGAACCAATTAATGCTGAACAATTGGAACAGCAGACTTTACAAATCGAGGAAAGAGAAAGAGAGATCAGGCAAATTCAAGAGGACACACTAGAAATCAATGAAATTTTCGATAACCTTTCAAATATAGTGACTGAGCAGCAATATCAAATTGACAACATAGAAGAGAATTTGTTTAGTTATAGTAATGATGCGAGGAATGCCACTCGAGAACTAAGAAGAGCAGAGAGGTACCAAAGAAGATCAGGGGGGAGAATGATGTGCTGTTTATTAATTCTATTAGGGGTTATGGGATTTATAATTTTGATAGGAATAGTGTTTTAGAGCATTGAATGAATATACGATTAGATGAACAATGAATTGAAGTGTAGAATTTGAAGTATACTAGCCAACTGGTGAAGGATTCCAGATATTTACCACTCCATCATCACCGGTGCTGACCACGACTTCACTGTCATCGTCAAGCACCGACCAAATGACACAGTTTATTTCATAAACACCATGTGCAGAGTCTTGGACACTTTCAATTTGCCAGATTCCATCTTTTTCTCCGTAGATTACAATCTTACCATCACAGCCAGCAGTTACAATTTTGCCAGTTCTTTCCGACCAGCTGACAGAATAAATTGGATATTTATGTGCTGCTGGAAGAATGCAATCTAGCTCCCAAACCATCTCATAATTATGCTTGATTGAGCTGGGTAAGCTCGACTCCCTGGAATCTTCAATTTCGGCCAGTTTTGAAGACCAAATACGGGCAGTTAAATCATCACTAACAGATACCAATCTTGTGATACCGGCCCTTGCATGGGGGCTCTTTGGACTCTCAAACTTTGAACACCACACTGTTCCCTCGTGGCCATTCAACACTCCGACACAAGTCCAATCATCATCATCCGGATCTTGCTTGTACAATCGAATAGTGTCGTCGTAAGAACTACTGGCCAACAAATTTTGGCTTGGGTGCCATTCTATATGCTTTATATCATGCTGATGATCATTTAGAACAGAAATGCACTCAAATTCTTCGAGCGTTTCTGGATCAGTTTCCCATATCCAAACCGTCTTGTCCCTCGAACATGAAGCAAGTAAATTTCCACAATAATTCCATGCTACCGCCTTAATTTCGTTTTCATGCCCTTCAATTATAGCCATTAGATTCCATTCATTATTAGGATTCGTCAAGATTTGCTTCTGATCATTCAAAAGGTCTTCATTATCAAAATCCTCGTCCGGCTCATCAATCCCCCATATAGATATAGTGGAATCAAATGATCCACTCGCTAACACAGGTAAGTCCAAATAACTTTCATCAGTAGATTCTATAGGGGGTTTGAAAGCAACTGATCTTATAGATCGCTTGTGTGTGTCTTCTAATTTCGATAAAAGTGGAAAATTTTGTTTGGCCGATAACTTATATATGTTTGATGTCTTGTCCGTTGATCCTGTAGCGAGTAACGGTAATGTGTTATGAGAACTCAAGGTCCATGATTTATCAGAATGTGCCCTTATAGACTTTATTAAATGAACCATTACTTTTTCACCAAAATGAAGGTTCTATGTATTAATATGGATTGGGACGCTATATATTAGTCAAATAAATTTTTTTAATTTTCAAATTTAACGAGATACGCTTAAGCTTGAGTAAATACGAAGCTCAGTTACTATGTGGGTCCCTCGTCTGATTTATAGAGTCAGGAGTTTAAATAGGATACGTCCTAGGACCATCCAGAAGTTTTACAGCTCAAGCAATAATCAAGACAAGGATTTGGTACCCCGGGACAATAATGAAATCAAAAAACATAGAGAAGAGTCTTCGACATCGCCAGCGTCTCCCGCTCCCATGAACTCTGATTCAAGGATAGAAAAGCTCTTAAAGACAGATAATAAACCCTACATCCCAAAATTGAACCATAATCGCCTAAGCTATGAATACCCTGGTCTTCCTAACCAAGATGATTTCCCAAAGACGATTAATAAGACCAAAGTTGTTTCTCGTTGGTCGAGATATATTCCTAAGATCTTGAGTGCAGTTGTAGTTGTGTGGGGTATATACTCAATTAAGGTATGGATCTATGCTCCTGAAGAAGGCAGCGATAGTCAAGAACTCTTGAGTCCGGCTAAGTTTCATAAGTTTATTGTCACTCACGTCGACGATCTTGGTTCAGATTGTTATTTAATTGAGCTAACTCCAAAATTCAATCATTGGGTGTACAGCTATGGTACATCGGAATCCGTCTGGAATGGAGACAGGATCTGGTCCGTAGAGGTAAAGCAGCCAGACATAAATGTTGTGAGGTCTTACACCCCTCTACCGTTGTATTTCATGAAATCAGAATATACAAGATCCGGTGAAAAGAAGCCATTACTTCGTGTGGTGGAAAATGATTCACAGGACTGTGATAAAGGTGGAGTTATGTGCTTGTATGTCAAGAAGTACGGCGATGGTGAAGTTTCAAGGTATATTACTAGTAGAAAGAATGGTGATGAGCTCGAACTTCGTGGTCCACATATTGATTATAGATTCCCATTTCATCCGGCCAAAAAGCTCTATCAAAGACCCATATTTAGAGATTTACCCTCAAAAGTGGATGCGGATCCTCTGATAGACCTCATAAAACATGAACATAAGCTACCGGATATTGATAATTTGTCTTTCTATGCAGCAGGCACTGGTATTGCTCCAATTTTACAAGTTTTATTGTCACGTAACCCTTACAGAGGATTTGTGACGTTACATTATTCAGCAAAGAAACCTGGAGAAATACTTGCGTTCGAGAGATTTATATATTTTCTAGAGAAATTAGACAGAGCTAAGTTCATCCCACATTATGATTCCATAAAAAACTCACAATTGAGCTCGAAGGATATAAGCTCTCCTGAAAAACCTAACTACATTAGCTCTATGAGAGCAAGTGAGCAGAACCGTGAAACAACAGAAGAATCATTAAGGCTCCGATTAAACATCATCAGTGGCGAGAAGATGGCGGAAGAAAAGGTCACTCCTGCCAAAAAGGAATCGCAATACTTTTCAAATGCCATTGATCAGGCAATCGAAAGCAGCAAAACACCTAAAAAGGGATCTAGTTTAGCATTGGTGTGCGGTCCTGATGGATACATTGACTTTTTAGCGGGGTGTAAAGGTGTAAATGGAGAGCAATATCCAGTCGAAGGTCTTTTAGGAAAAAAAGGATGGGATGAAACAAATGTTTATAAATTGTAAATAGACTTGAATTATAAATTTGCATATCACATAATCTATAAACTATTTAGATCACCTACATCGATTAGACCAACTTTTCTACCAAAATGGATTAAAACTCTTTGCGAATTCCTGTTACTAGCACACGATAGGATCACTTCTCTCAAGAGTTCATGCTTGTCATGCCCACATATCTTAGAACTCTTGTTAGTGTTTTGTACATCTTCGTTATTGCCAACTGGTCCGAGAAGTTGGTCACAGACTTCATACAACTTCGCCTTAAGACCCAACTCACAAATTCGCTGAACATATGTAATAAAGAACCTTTTGAAGTCGCTATTTTCTTCCAAAATCTCACAACATAATATTCTGTTCTCTAGGTGACTTAGTGATATTGTGTTTTCCAAGTTTTCGAATCCTTCTTTCATGATCATGTTCTTCGAAATTTTGTTAAAATACTTGCCTCTTCCCGTTCTTGATTTTCTCAAGATTTCATCATTGGTTTTTTGCTCTAGCAATCCAATAATTGACGAATCAGAGTTGGAATTCCCATCAAATTGAGGTTTGGTAGAACTATCTTCGTTCGAATCCCAATAGTGAGACCCAAAAGCCCACCAGGATTCTGTGATAGTCTGCCACGTACACAATTCCTTATTGAATAAATACCCAGAGCCATTCGATAAAGTTACCAAAGGTATTCCATTGGATGTAATGGAACACATTGTTATATTGTCAGATTTTGATAAACCATCGCTTTGAGATTTAATACTAAGTTCCAATAGAGGACTAAAGGAACAATTCAATTCAATTCTCTTTTCATCAATATTCCAAACGAATAACTCTCCGACACAAGTGACTGCCAATAAGTATTGTTTGTTACTTTCTAGAAATGATAAAGGCGAGCCCAAAATAAAAGGAGGAAGTAATCTTCTCCCTGAGATTTGAGAATATATTATTATCTGGCCATCAGCTGTGCAAGTCGCCCAAAAATTTGAGCCTACTGTTGCTAACTGAATGAACTTTGGAACAAAGTCACTCCAAATCAACTTTTCGTTCTTACTGCACGATACTCGAGATGGCGTAGTTTCATTCCCAGTACCATTTCTAATATCAAGTATAAATGGATCTGCACTCTCAGTATTCGAAAGTTGGAAATTTAATCGTACTTTGGGAATAGAAAGTCTGACTCTTGCGAAAGTGGTGTTTGGGTTTAATATGACAGACCCTATGAATTTAACAGGTTCTAACTCACGCTTCATCTTCTTGTTACTCTGTAATTCATCTCCTGACTTTGATCTCTTGCTTTGTTTTGAGATATCTTCAGAAACGGAATAAGATGGTTTATCAAATTCCATGCTTGTTTTGGATGAAGAAATTACCTTTGATTTGGTATTAGACGACAGATCATTAAATTCAGATCTGTTGGGATTATTGTTAGATATCAAAGTTGGCTGTACTCGTTTTTTCTTGTCTTTCGTTATTTTAGGCCTCTCTAACGTCAAAGCTTTAGGTTCTTGCTTAGGTTTCTTCGGGCTAGCTTTCGCTTGACGACTACTCATTGCCGACAGGAGGACATCTTTCTCTGTCATGACAGGTTCCCCGATTGAAAAAGGTATGATACCAGGCTCTACATCTCCCTTGGTGATTTTTTGATTTACGCCATCATGAGTGCTATCCATTTTTTTTTCACTGTTTTCATTGTCTTTATCTCTATTGTTGGATGATGCATTTTCAGTTGGCAGATCAAGGATATCCTTTTGATCCAAAATTTCTAAGCTAGAAGACGCAACTTTCTTCCCGCTATTATTCTGCTGATCTTTTTCATTCTTAACGTTAAAAGGCTTTACATAAACATTTTTGAAATCAGTTAGTTCTGCCAAAAGCTTTTCACTTATTACCTCCCCTAAGTCTCCTCCTTCAAAAAAGTATATGGACAAGTAGCCATCCAAAGCCACCGAAAAAAGAATTTTTCCATTTCTGCTCCAACTCAAATCAACAATAGGTTTCGCAGCAACGTCTTGTAAGATTAGAATAGGCGAGTCCTTAGAAGTATTCCAAATGACCACTGTCTTATCAGACCCCGCTGTGGCGATTACGTGGAAGATCTGATGGCCATCAGAATCTTCTTGGAATATTTTCGGATTGAATCTAACCACTTCACAATTATAGTTATGTCCAACAAGACTAATTTTACTCTGCCAGTTCTTAGACCTGGAAATCAATGACACTAGTGAAGTTGTATTCTTGCTGGCAGTTGGAACAGAGACAAATTCACCATCCGCAGACCAAGATATTCTCTTATATTGCACATTAAGTAAATTCTTATTAATTAACTTTGAAATTTTACTAATTAACTTGAATTGATAATTGTTCGAAGATGATTCATAATGATATTGATATATATATATGATTGTATCATCACCAAGCGATGTTAGATAGTTGTTTGTGGGGTCAAATGCGAGACTCCTCTGTATGACTTGTTTCTCTAGATTTGATAACTTTGTCAATTCCTGGCAGGTCTTTTTCAATGTATCATACAAATTTATGTTTCCTTTTGTATCACTCCATGCTATTAGTCTTCCGTCATTGGACCAACTTAAGTCCACTATAGACAATTCTCTCTCGTCTGAATTGTTTCCGTTTGGAAAAATCTGGTCAATGGAGTTCGTCATTGTATCAACAAGATAAATATGCCCATCTACATCTGCAGAAGCAAAAAGATTATTATTCTCTGGAGACCACCTTACTATTTTTACAAGACTCAGGTGATGCTCAAACCTGTGGATTGGTGCTATGTCGAAGCTTTCCAGGGAGTGATCAGTTCCACTAGTTAGCCCTATGTACAAGTTTTCAAAGTCTGCGTAGTCCCAAAGTAGAACTGATTTATCTTTACCACTAGTTATTAGTTTTGAGCCATCCTTGTTTATGTCAATAGAATGTATTTCTCCATCGTGTAAGACTCTTGGAAATCGAAGATATTTCATCTCTTTGGCTCCATTCACATATAAAAAGTAGATAACTCCAACTACTTCAATGTGTTTGAATGTTGTGAGCACATTATTCCACAAAAACAAATCCTTGATAATTACTTTTATTTCCACCTCTTCAAAGTGAGTTCAAGAGAACTATAGACGCCCTGATAATGGCGAACGAAGAATATCTTACTGATTCAAGTTCAGATTTTACAGAATACTGGATAGATTTATTTTTAGGAATCAAAGGGAACGAGTACTTCTGTGATATTGACGATGAGTATATCCGTGATAGATTTAATTTGACTGGACTCAATCAAGAAGTAAGCAAATTACCAACTTTGATCGATATTATAACAGATGTGGTTGATATAGAACTGCAACCAGAAGAACACAGAGATGCTTTGGAACACAACGCAAGAATTTTGTACGGTCTAATCCATGCAAGGTATATTTTGACGTCCAGAGGCCTAAACAAAATGTTTGAAAAATACAGAAATGGCGATTTTGGATATTGCCCTAGGGTTCATTGTCAGTTGCATCCATTACTTCCTATTGGCTTACATGATCAGCCCAGGCTAGCATCAGTTAAGCTATATTGTGCGAAATGTGAAGACATATATAATCCTAAGTCAGGAAGGCATGCAGTTGTCGACGGAGCATATTTTGGGACTTCTTTTCCTGCCATGTTTTTTCAGAATTTCCCACAGATAGTCCCAATACATTCTAAAGAAACTTATGTGCCAAGGGTATTTGGCTTTAAACTTCATGAATATTCGAAGCTAACTAGGTGGCGGGATATGCAGAGAATGAAACTTGAAAAGAGGTTGATCAAAAGTGGAATAGACATAGATAATGTGGTTGGGGGATTTATGACAAAAGCGAAACCTAATAACACGTCAAGTATTGATGACAAGGAGAGATCACAACCTGCCATTGCAATTAAGCAGTAGGTCTCTTGTCCTCAATAAATGATAATTAACGTCATAAAATTCAATCTGTTTACTGCCCATGGATCACTATCAAGTTCTCATTACCAGGAGTAATCTACTGGCTTATGATATTTTTAGGATTATTTCTATCTATTTGATGATTTATAACACTTAGCTAATACTTATAAGAAATGTATTGATACTGTAGCGCATGTGACTCACTCAATATTAAGTCGACCTCGAAGTGCTTTTTAGGAGCAGTATATTGCGATGTTCAATGTTTATTAGTTTCAGAAATTCAACTAGAAAATATTCTAGCGTGAAGCTCGTGGAGTCAATACCTGAGTTTGCTCCGAAATCAACGATCTTTTCGTTGATCCAGCCCACCGGAAAGATACATTTGGGTAATTACTTGGGAGCAGTTAGAAACTGGAAAGACATTTCTGATTACAAGAAGCCAGATTCAACAGTGATATTTGGGACAGCAGATCTACATGCAATAACATTACCACAAGACCCCGACTCTTTGAGAAAGTGGAGATATGAAACACTTGCTAGTTTAGTGTCCAGTGGTATAAACCCTGAGAAATGTGTGCTCTATCATCAGTCATCAGTGCCAGAGCACACAGAGCTCTGCTGGCTATTAATTTGCTTGTCGAGCATGGGAAGCTTGAATAGAATGACTCAATGGAAGCTGAAGACAAAGCAAAATCATTCGGCTTCAATATTTGACGAGGATATTTTAAGCAATACGAGAGCCGGAGTTTTATGCTATCCCGTACTACAGGCCGCTGACGTCTTGATCTACAAATCGACACATGTTCCAGTCGGGGAGGACCAATCTCAGCATCTTGAGCTTTGCAGAAACATCGCTGCTACGTTTAACAATACCTATAAGTCCGATTTTTTTCCCTTACCACAAACATTGATTACTCCCACTAAGAAGATTCTATCGTTGAGAAATCCGGAGAAGAAGATGTCAAAATCTGACCCCGATGAGTCATCTTGCATTTATGTTATTGATAGTCCTGACGTTATCAAAAAGAAGATCCGAAGAGCAGTGACTGATTCCATACAAGGACCAATTTACTTCGACCCTGAAAAGAGGCCCGGTGTGTCAAATCTCATCAATATCATTTCTGGTTTAACTAGGAAACTGGTTGAAGATACTGTCAAGGAATTGTCCTGGGTTAAGGATCACAAACAATTAAAGGATCACGTATCGGACATCCTTATACACGAATTTGAGGGCCAGAGGAAAACTTACAAGGAATTAATGAAAGATCACAGCTATATAGATGAAGTGAGCAAGAAAGGCACAGAAAAAGCTAGAGATATAGCCCTGAAAAACTTGCTTGATGCCAAAAAATTGGTCGGTTTAGTATAGCAGCTCCAGTTGCATCATTGTCGTATGAAGAAACAATTTAGTTTCCTTATTGTATTTAGAACTCTTAGATAGAGCTTGTATTTAGTTGACTATATACAGTAACACTATATTTCAAAAGTTAGAGGAGCATCACCAGTTTCGCGTCGCGTTTATATGTAGACGCCAAATATCTTACAATATGTAAACACACATTGAACTGAGGTTGAAAAACGATTTGCGAGCAATTTGAGAATTAATAGCTACTCATTTTAAAAACAAATAGCCTACTTTCTAGCAAGTGTTTTCTTAAAGCTTTACACTTGGTTAACTCTAGGAAGGAATAGCCTACAGATAAGGCGAAAAGCTTCCATTATAGATAAGATAGATTAAAGAGGTCACCCATTAATAAATAACCCAACCTCAAACCAAGTTCTAATTAGAATTTTTAAACTGGGTAGGGAAGAACGCCACCAGGCCCAAAATAAGAAGAAACAAGAAACAAGAAAAACATAAATCCTCCACTGTCTTATCAAATCAAAAACCTCAAAACATCACGAGATGAACGAAGATCAACAATACAAGCGAATGCAAGTCAAGGTGCTCTATTCCTTCAATAATAATGCTACTGTGTTCTTATCTCGATCCAAGTCTCAGTATTCAGTGAAGGTTGCTCAAATACCGATTGAAGTTGGAGATAGACAAGGTGAGGATGTGATGATGTTGGGTGCCTTTGAGCTAAAAAGTTGTGTGCAACAAATACTAAAATCATCCCCAGAAAACTTCAAACTTCAAACTGAAGATTACGCTGTTTATTACAAAGACTTAACTGAACAACCCGACGAGCCATTTGTTTCAAATGGAGTGATGTCAACCTTGCTTTACTCATCAAAACCGCTGTTGATTCCCGGGAGAGTGTGCCAAAATTTGTCTGCAAGTTACCTCTTTGGAGACAAACAAGACTCTTGTTCATTGACACTTGAGATCAGATTGATGCTCCATTCCATCGAGCGTACACAGAATCAATCTCAAATGCTGAATAGTACGCAGCAGTCTCAAAGAATAACAGAACAAACAGCAATTCCTTCTAAGAAACAAAAGTATAGTAAGGCTACTACTTCAGTTCAACCGGTTAAGGCGTCAAGGACCAAATCACTTCCTATTTTTTATAACCCACATAATCAACAGATCTACAACATTATCAATGCCGATAAATCCAATGCTCCTTCAAAATATGACAGTAAGAGTGTCCAAGACAGATTCAAGCTGGCACCATTTTTACAGGCGAAGATTATAGACAATCCTTTAAAAAGGAGTAGACAATCCTCAGAGCCTCAAAGAGCCATGAGAACTAGGTCAATGATGACCCAACATCCAATCAGTATCTCCTCACCAATAAATGAAGAAGGAATGTCTGACAACACTGATGCTACGGATGATCCAGAGTATAGAGATATCAACGTCCCAATCGATGAAGGAGATGAAGAGGAAGAAGAGGAAGATGAAGATGAGGAAGACGAGGAAGCTAAGCTTGCTGAACTCTCTCCGTACACCCCACAACAGCCGCCATATAGGGTTCCTGATACAAAAAATACATTCCAAGCATTACCAGATATGGAGGACTTAGATGGAAAGAAGACACACACCATTCCAAGCAGTAAACTTAAAAAAGATCATGGCTTGCTGTGTATCAATAACAATTGTGCAACTACTTCATCAATAACGTGGAGATACTTTGAAACTGGATTTCATAAAAACCATTTTGACATACTCAGAGCACAAGAATTTGATCAAAGACATTATGAAGGAATGTTTGGTCCATTGTGTAATGCTTGTTACTTATTTCTTAGAAACAAGGGTTTTATGAGACCCGAAGGTGTGGTTAAAAAGTACCTTCAGCAGCAAAAATACAAAAAGGAACTTAGACATAAAAAAGAGGATTCTAGCGGCTTGGCAGATCACCCCTTAATTGATAGTAATTCCCTGAAGAATTTAATGCTGCAAAAAGAAAGATCGAGTAGCATAAGCAGCATTCGAAGATATTCACAGCCACTGTCGTCTTCACCTCATAATAGCAGAAATGATAAATTCCTTACTCCCTCGCACACACCTTCAGCTATCAATCAAGCTATACAAAGCAACAGTAATAGAAAATACAACTCGCATGTAAGTAGGGGAACACCAAACTATCACGATTTTAACGACTTTATGAGTCAGTTAAATAATTTTGAGGGTCCTTTAACTGATATTGATTTCATTTCTCAGGATCATCAAGGAGTTAGCTCACCAATGATTGCTACTAAGTCTAATACAAGAGTTATAAACGTGACAGACGAAGGTGAAGACAAAGAAAACTGTCCACCGAATAATGATGAGCTGCCTAAAAGAAATGGTCTTTCTGATTTCGAAAAAATGATGGTTCGATCATTTTCTAATTCCTCAGCCAAATCAAGTCCAATTGGACAAAGCGAATGGATTAATAATTTACTAGGTGAACCGACACCTAAAGATCAAATATCTCCCACCCCGAAAGAAGCCAAATCCACACAAAAAAGTGGCGATGATACAGAAAGTGAAAGTGGAGAATACAACAAACAGTCCAATTTTCCTCAATTAAGGACTTTTGTTACCACTAGAAGTCGTTCTCCCAATGATGCGTTAAATGAAAAGAAAACGGGTCTTGCGAATATGCCATCTTCCCCATTAATAAATCCTCATTCAAACTCGGAAGAATTAGAGTCTTTTCTAGATGAATCACAAAGGCACAACATATCGCACCTAGTCCGCATAAGTGACTTTGAAAACACTGAAGGACTAAATCATGTCAATGCGTCGCCAAACGCAAAAAGGGCCACGAGAAATGATACGACTAACCTGATAATATCGTGGGGCAATTCAAACTCTACAAGAAAAGCTAATACAAGCTCAACTCCAAATACTGAGTTCTTCTCTAATGATGATATCATGGAATTGCATGACAAAACTGTCCTAGATAAAGTCAAAGATGCATTGAAAGAAGAACAAAATAAGTAATTATATAAATCACCTTAATAGCATTAAACATGTTGCATTTATCTTAATATTTCAAAAAATTCTTATATAATGTGATATTTTAGATAACAATTCGATATGAACGCGACCAGATTTAACGGTCGAAGTTCCTCAATTAAGCTGGGATAGCTAAATAACGTTAACTTACTATGTCGCAACAGTTAAGCCCATCTGACTATACACAGCTCCTTGATCAAGCAATCAGGAAAGTCCAAGCTACATTAGAATCACAGCCAAGTTTGTTTCATCCAAGAGTTCTCATAATATGCGGATCTGGATTAGGAGGTATTGTGAATTCACTTCATGAGGAACCAAGAATCGAGATTAGTTATGACAATATTCCGGGATTTAAATCATCGACAGTTGCTGGACACGCAGGCAAGCTAGTATTTGGCCTTATGGGCTCAAATAGGGTGCCAGTGATGTGTATGGTGGGCCGATTACATTTTTACGAAGGGTATACTTTTCAAGAAACAACATTCCCTGTAAGATTGGCACTGAAGTTGAATATCCTGACTATCGTAGTTACGAATGCAGCAGGTGGTGTCCGTCCAGGTTTCAAGCCCGGCGATTTGATGTTAATTAACGACCATATTAATTTTCCTGGTTTGGCTGGGTTTCATCCTTTAAAGGGGCCGAATTTGGTTGAATTTGGTCCTCGCTTTCAACCTTTGTCTGATGCTTATGATTACAATTTACGAAGGCTATTTATGAAGAAGGCTAGAGAAGAGTTGAAAATAAAGCGAAATATTTTCGAAGGAACTTATTTCTTCGCTGCTGGCCCGACCTACGAGACAAGAGCAGAAGTGAGAATGATTAGAGCATCAGGGGGTGAGGCTGTTGGTATGTCCACTGTACCAGAGGTCATCGTTGCTCGTCATTGCGGAATAAGAGTTCTTGCGTTATCCTTGATTACGAATACTTGTGTTGCTGATAAACCACCAAGTGCTTTGGAGGAGGAGCCTAAGCCATTAGATGACGGAATGGCTTCTCACGAAGAAGTTTTGGAGGCAGCAAGAGAGGCTTCAAAAGATGTAGAAAAAATAGTAGAGGCAACCATCAACGATTTATAAATGATATTTTTTATCAGCAATTATACATAAGATAAAATACAAGTTTAGTATATCTAAACTAAGAAATACTACGTCAAACGCAGTTTCATTGCTCTACTTCGCCAGCAGATTCCCACTTACCCTGTAAATTTTCTTTCCATAACGTCACGCTATTATTACCACCAGACACTGCAAGTATATTCCCCGATAATGACCAAGAACACCTCCAGCAAACATCTGGGAACTTTTCCTCAATAAGGGGTTGCTTTTGCCATTGTCCTGAACTATCTTGCGACCAAATCAAGACTGTACGATCTTGAGAAGCAGTAGCGATATACGAACGAACTAAAATAGAGGGAGACCATGCAACATCACGAACCCAATCAGAATGACCTTCAAGCTTTGCCTCTTCTAAATATGTATTTTGAGTTGGGTCATATCTCCAAATTTTGGCCAAATTGTCCGAGCCACAAGTAACGAAACGACGATTTTGTTTCAAGGTGGCAGGGTCTTTCGAACTAATATTTGGAATAGGTGACCACGATGCGGAATTGACTCCAATAGCATGGGCATGAAATATAACATGTGATATTGTTCCGTCATCGTTAAAATCTACAACTGAGACTTTACCATCAGAAGAGGTACATAACAACACAGCACCTAATTCATGAGGAGCCCAACTAACTGAATTCACACTGGCCTGATGAACTTTATGTTCTGCAATAATTGACCACTGCTGCGTCTCTGGCTGTTCCTTCCAAATCAACGCTTTTCCATCGTAGGAACAAGATGCTAATATAGATCCAAACTTAGGATGAGCCCACCCCACTTGCCAAACTGGGCCCTCATGTCCACTCAAAGTTTCAGTCAACTTGTAATTTTCCGTTCCCTCTATGTCAAATACTTTTATGGTTTTATCTGATGAACATGTTGCAAGTCTTTTTCCATAATAATCCAATACAGCATCATGAATCAAATCATCATGTGCGTTTGCAATGGTGACCATTTTTAACCTTTAAACTCGCAAAATTTAACGGAAGAAGATTATGAGTGAGACCGTGTAAGCACCTCTATCTCTATACTTCCAATAAGCTAAATTATATAGCCAATGCTTGAAATAGTTTAAGTAACGTGTTATTAACCGGATGGGTTGTTTAACTTCGATCAAAACGTCAACGAGCCGTAACCCGGCAAGGACACTTAGATACAGTCTTTATGAACAAAAGATACAAAAAACTCTAAACATACTACAAACATCATAGTGTCATGAGTAAACGGAATGATGAATTTCCTGTTATTGCTTCACTTGTGCTGCTACTTTCGAATCAGTTAACTCTAACTAGCGAACGAATAAATAAGCTAGAAAAATTCACACATGAATTAGTACCTAGCATTGAAATTAGCATCAATGAAGAGAGGAAGAAGGATGCCACTAACGATAACGATAAGCTGGGTGAAATATCGAACCTTGACAATGGAGAAACATCCGATAGCATTAATGATGAGAAAGGAGAAAAAATCATTATAAGGGAATTGGAAAGGGAGAGATTAGATCTTGTCATGGACTTACAGAAGCGAGATTATATAAGTAATAAATTGTTGGAATTAATAGATCAAAATAAAGATACTGTTGATAGCGTTAAACAGTATCTAATTAGGCGTGAAGGATCTCGAGCAAGCGAATACGAATTTTATCAAACACGTATAACGCACTACACTGAAGACTTAATAAAGCCTGTTATAGCTAAACTTGATCTGAACTTATTCGATATCTACAGAGGAATTCACAAAATACAAAGAAACCTAAACGAATCTTTACAAAATATGGAAAGTTATGACAAAGTGTTGCAGTCTGAGGTTTATAAGCAGAAGCTTGAATGTCTCATAAAATCTCTAAACAAGGCATATTACGAGTTTAGCCATGTAAGAGCCAAGCTACCATTTCATTCTGATAATGGCTCATCTTTGGCTCTGGCAACGCTACCTCTAGAAGGTTCTCTACCAACCATGGAGTAGGCTCGATTGATGATGGTTCTGTTCGGATCGAGCTTTATCCAAGTATTTCTTATTCTATTTAAGTTCATTTTGCTTTTATCAAACTTGAAAAATCGAAAGATATACTCGATTAAGTTGTAGAGAAATATGACAATAACCTGGAATATGTTTCTGCTTGATTCTTGTATGGTCAAATCGCTTAATATCTCATTTGGATCTTTCTCAGTTAATTTGAAAATTATCTCCTTTTTTTCATCTTCATCCGCAAAAACCTGATGGAACTTAGTCAGCCGTATTAAGTTATTTATTATTTGCTCCAGCTTCGTCAAACACTGGTCATTCAACTTAATGTTGAAGACTGTACTGTTCTGTTCCAATTCGTTTACTCGCTTGACAACGATCCTGGTCTCATATGCTAATCTATCGATAGTCTTTGTTAAGTCATCTATATTGAATTGCAAGTCTTTAGATAAATTTTCATCCATGACATTAACTTTCTTTCCCATAACTTGATTATGAAAGTTATTCAGTCTTAAGAGGTCCAAATTCAACTGATTATAGATTTTCTCCATTTTTCTATTAGTGAGTAACAGTTCATCTCGGGTATCATCGAGATATGTTCTAAAATTATTTGCAGTCACCAATAAATTTATTACATGTAAATATTTTTGAGACAATCTATCAATTGATGATAAACCCTCGAATCTATTGATGTCATCTTCTATGGCTGAAAAGCTCGAGCTTCTCTCGAGCTTAAGGTTAAAAGGATATCCTAGTTCGTCAAAGGTTATTGATTGAGAGCTGTGTGCGTATTCTATTAAGTTCAAATTATTCTCTTGCTCACCGAACATAACAGGGAACGAGTTTCTTCTATTGATAGTTTTGTTGAATCTTGTTAAAGGGTCATCGTTAGTTAGCTGGTCATAAAGTGTATTCCAATCTTGGCCCCCTTTTTTTTCATCACCAAACAGTTTCTTAGCATGTATAGGCAGGGCTGCATCTATAGAAGGTGCAGCTTCGAGTCTGTCTGTATATCTCTTGTTCAGTCTTGCTTCAGAACTGACCGTAGGAGAATCTGTTTGGTCATTCTTCTTACTAGAATTGGAGAGAAGTAACTTTTTACTTTGAAGCTTCATTTTATTTATTCCTCTCGAATACCTCGAGAGGTCTGAGACGGGCAGAAGTGAGCTAGAAAGATCTTTATTATTGCTGACTTTGTCTCTTAAGCTTTCAAATTGATACTGGTTTGAGGAGTATTGACCATGGCTGTAGGTATGGTGATGATGATGATGATGCCGATGCTGATGCTTTTTAGAAGCATCTTTAAATGCACCACTGAAGGTGCTATGAGTGCCATACCACAAAGTGATTAAAGTCTTACCTGTGAGATAGTTACGAACGAGAACATCTAAGTCTAATGTTTCAACATCAAGGGGGCTCAAGTTGTCTGCTAACTTAGCAATAGTATTCCGTAGCCTTGCGGAACCAGACTTAGGATTACTTGATCCTTCCTCTGCTTCAAGGTTAGCAGCATTTATATGGTCTTGCACGGTATTCTTAACTACATTCGTCAACTTCTTCAATTCTTTACTATAATAATTCTTGTTGCGTTTGTAAGGTGATCCCAGATTAGCCAAATTAGTATATGAAGAGCCCGTAGCTCTTGAATACAAAGAATCGACTGCCTGAGGATCGTCATATTCCTGACCTTTGTATAATTGTTCACCATTCGCATTCTTCCCTTCCGGTGATAATTTAGCATTTGTTATCAAGAATAACTTATTAAGTGTCTCAAGATCCAATTTCCTTGTCTTCTCTAGTTTATACTGTTTCTGAAACTGTCCAACTGATAACATGAAACTTTCGTAATCAAAAGGATCCTTCGGTACCTCACATCCACCTATAATTTGAAGTCTTAGTTTTGAGCTTAATATCAAACTCAAAATAGCCGTGACAGTCTTAGGCTGTAGCATTCCATATTTGAAATTCGGTTTAAAATTAAAGTGAGGCAAACCAATCAAATTCCACCAATTCATTATAGCCTCCTCTGTCTTGAAGCAAAGTAAACCATCGCAATATTTTGCATCTAATAAGTCGAAATAGAAGAGGCATGTCTGAATAATGCTAATTAATTCCCGGACCGCAAAGACTAGAGGAATTTTCGGATTAAATATTCGATACTGGTGCCTAAATTTATCTTCATTAACATCAGCTATTCTTTCCGATATTAAAGACAACGACCTTCCAGTGCATTGGAGTTTCTTCAAATTAAAATTTATTACAAAGGGCATTTCAACATCTCTGTAGTCTCCATTTGGAATCGGAATCAAATTCAAGTTAGAAGGAAGAGCTGTTATATTAGTCACAAACAAAACCTGATTCGAGTTTTCACCTAATGAGCCGTTATGAGGCAGATCCGACAGCTCTCGCTCCATTTTCTTCACCTTGGCATGGTTTGAAAAGAGCTCATTCAAGTAATCTTGAAACCTCGGTGGATAATGCTTTACAGGCTTTTTTATAATTGTTAGCTTCACAACAGAAATCTTCGTCCCCATGTTGCCCGTAAAGTTAGAAACCACGGTCCCAATATTACGAGTATTAGCCCATTGCTCTACTAAATATATGTCAAAGCCTGTTGCTGTTGACTCTTCTAAAACATGAAACTCATCATGAAGTATGAAGTCCCGCTGAAAGTATTTAACCGCATTGAAATCTGGAAAGATATAAGTCAAGAGATCGCTACCACTATTGCCTTCGGTAACATCGGTTCCAATATAAGTCAGATCAGATGAGTCCATGAGCTTTACTTTGACTTGGTGTCCTTTACACCTAGCCTCTTTAGACACTTGGTCACAGCGTTTATCACGATCGCAAATATAATGAAGTACTTCCTAGTGAAACTGAAGCTGAGATACTACGTTAACTTGCCGATACGACATTTTAAACATTTGGACGACATTATCTGTTCCTGACTCTATATAGGATACCGTACGATATTGCTAAAAGCCCGAATTTTCAAACGTCTTTTTGACGTTATTAAGTTTGTAAAGGATTTGTTTAGGGATTCAAAATTAAGAGGTTACTCTTTTAGTTTTAAAAAACTCTGTGGCTTAGTGCACAAATAAAATCTACATTTCTTAAGCTACTTATCTCCAGACATTAGTAATAATCCTGAACAATTCAATAAAAGCCGATTTGAATCACCAATATGAGATCAATTTTTTACGATGCTCTTTCATGATCAGATATCAGGAGTTTTGGGGTAAGCAATTTAAAATCACCAATCAATCCTATAATAACAGTATTAATTTCAAAGTTGGAGACGTAATGTGTAAAAATCTGGGGTTGCGTTATTTTTAGCATGTTCACGCTCAAATCCATAACGTTGCTACGTTGAACTTCTGCCGCTGTATATAGTCACTGACTGGCAAGCAATGTTTGTACATAAAGTTCTTCGTAGCAAACGAGGACTTCCTTTTGTGCTTAAATAAGTAAGTCTCCTCTTTATTATTACTTGGAACTGGTCGCCGCTTTACCACGAGCTCAAAATCACTCTAACTGGGACAAATTGCAGCACTTTAACTACAAAAATTTGCACAAAGTTGTTTGGTATTGCACCTAATGGAACCATATAAGAATGATCTCGCTTATTGACAGTGGAATGCAAAAATAAAGCTTCGGGATCGTTAGGTTTAAAAAGATCAGATACATAAATCTAAAGATACTTGTAGAATTTGAATTTCGTACTTGACAACAGGCTTCCAAAAAGAATATGAAAAGAACTCCTCTAGAAGTCGAGAAAGTCACTACTCTTTCCTCTGAGCAGGTATTTGACCAAGCCCGAGAAGATGAAACGAGCTCGAACGAACAGAGGAGTAAGGATTCCTTATGGAGAAGATTTTACCAAAAGCTAGAAATTAAAGAGCAAGGAGATTTTACTGCAACCCAGTTGTTCTTGTATAATCATGACTTACGTCCTGTTGAGCAGGCACGAAGAACTTGGGGTTGGCATAACTATGTTTTCTTCTGGGTTGCAGATTCATTCAATATTAACACCTGGCAGATAGCTGCTACAGGCATTTCCGACGGTGGAATGACATGGTGGCAAACATGGCTTTCAGTCTGGGTGGGATACGCTCTCTGTGGTATCTTTGTTAGCATAGGGGCTAGAGTAGGAATATTGTACCATATTTCCTTTCCTGTTGCAGCAAGATCATCATTTGGTATTTTTGGAAGTATATGGCCTGTCTTGAATAGAGTATTCATGTCTGCAGTATGGTATGCTGTCCAATGTGCAATTGCAGGGCCCTGTATTAGTGTGATGTTGAGGGCTGTTTTCGGAAGAGATTTGGACAAGACTATGCCTAACGGTATCAAAAATGATCCTGACCTTACAACGTTCACGTTTTTATCATTTTTTTTATTTTGGTTATTCTCATTACCATTTATATGGTTTCCTCCGCATAAGATAAGGCATTTGTTCACTTTTAAAGCCTATGTTGTACCATTTGCTGGCTTTGGTTTCATGATTTGGGCACTTGTTAAAGCAAAGGGAGCTGGTCCTGTGATTCGTGCTAAAGGAAAAAAGGAAGGTTCTGAATTAGCGTGGGCTTTCATTGAATCTACAATGAATGCATTGGCAAATTTTGCGACCTTGATTGTGAATGCTCCTGATTTTTCACGTTTCGCAACCAAACCTTCGTTCTCAATGAAATATTTGGTGTACTCACTTTCAATACCGTTATGTTTTTCAATTACTGCGTTGATTGGGATATTGGTCTCTTCGGCTGCCTCAGAGTTATATGGTGAACCGTTTTGGAACCCACTTGATGTTTTAGGTAGATTTTTGGATAACTATACTGCTGGAAATAGGGCAGGGTGTTTTTTGATAGCTTTCGCGTTTGCAATTGCACAGTTGGGGACGAACATTTGTGCCAATTCATTATCTTTCGGAACTGATGTTACGGCGATGTTACCCAGATTTTTAAATATTAGAAGGGGGGGATATATTTGTGCTATGTTGGCGCTTCCTATATGTCCATGGAAATTGACAAGTAGCTCGAGTACCTTCACGACTTATTTATCAGCCTACACAGTTTTTCTCTCATCAATAGCCGGTGTTGTCGCAAGTGATTACTTTTATGTTCGAAGAGGTTATATCAAATTGTCACACTTATACTCGTTGTTTGCTCCCGAAAATCCTAGTAAGCCTTCTTTCTATAAATTCAACAAGATTGGTTGTAACTGGAGAGCTTACGTTGCTTACATTTGTGGCATTGCACCAAATATTACTGGTTTCGTTGGTAGAACAAAGACCCATCATGTTCCAGCTGGAGCCGAATATGTTTATAAACTAAACTTCTTCATGGGGTTTTTTCCTGCGTTCCTTGTTTATGCTTTTTTGAGCTACTTGAGTCCGGTTGCAGGTACGCCAGAGATCAGCCCTTTCGATAGATCATGGTACGAAGAATGGCAAGACGTAGAAGATTTCGAGGATGAGTTGGCAGGCCATATTGTCCATCAAGGGATTGACCCAACGATGAGTTACACATCAGGAAGATCTGAAAAGGATACAATTAAAGATTCTGTAGTTTAGTTCCCTCAAAAAAATAAGTTTTTAGTAGCATTTGATTATTAGTTATATTGATAAATTTTTACCTCGGCTGTAGTGAGATCTATAAATCTTTAAAATTTGATTTTTGTTTTCAACAGCCTCAACACGGCTGCAACAGAATAAAGATGAAGGCAATCTCGAGCGCTCTGCGTTCGCATATAGAGCGACGTCTATTCGTTTATCCCATCAATAAATACTTTCATTTACCGTCTGGATATAAGCCTAATACTGAACCTATAAAAAAATTACCTGTTGCTCAGTGTCTCAAGGTATGGCTAATGTCATTAAAACCAAACAGATTAGAGGAGATTCAAGACGAGCTTGTACACCTTATGTATCCACTGCATGCAAAAGATAATCATGGGGTAAGCATTGAAAAGAACAAAATAAAAATTGACCAAAATAACCATATAAATGAGATTTCATTCGAAGTAACTAATAATCTCGACAAGCCCATTAAGCATTTGGTTTTCATACATGGATACGGGGCATCTTTAGGATGCTTTGCGAGAAATTTTCAAATTATCAATAAGCTTAAAGGTTTGAAGTATAACTACAAGGTACACTTCTTAGATAACATAAGTTTCGGACTCTCATCCAACCCTAGGATAAATTCCAATTTGATAAGTCACTGGAAGATCCCACGATGCGTGCCTATTAAATTAAATGATCCTGATCAGCCTACTGACCTCAAAAAATTACATAGAAAGTACTATAAGTTGATAGAATCCTATAGCTGTGGATCTAGAGAATTTCAAAAGTACCAAAAGAAATTTAAACCAATAATAGAGGACATTGAAGCTTATTATCTAACAGCAATAGACAAGTGGAGGATTGCATCCAAATTGGATAAAATTGACTTTTTAACAGCCCATAGCTTCGGAGCATACTGGTCAGCTTCGTACGCTGTAAAATACCCTCATGCACTAAACAACTTAATATTATTATCACCGGTAGGTCTAGAAAGGCATGTGCATGCAATCACAAATAACACAATAAGTGACAAATCTAAAGAGGTGACACTCAAACCAACGCTAGATCCTTCTTCCTTCAGGTTTTTATCGAGGTTACCAATCTTATCTAAGCAGCATGTTAGAAAATGGTACCATATCCAGCCATATTTACCTAGACTATTAAGATTCATGGGACCATTTGGTGTTCAGAAGTTTTATGATATGTGGTATTTGAAATTGTTCAAGATCAATAGATTGATAAGTAAAAAGGGAGGAGCCGAGAACGTATTCTGCAGTAGCAATGACCTTGTATATGGTACCAATAAGGAATGCCATTTAATAGTTGAATATCTATACAATTCAATGTCTCAAGGCTCAAATAGTGATATATATATAAAAAATTTGCTTACTCCAAGCACGGTAAGCAAATGGCCCTTATACGATAAATTTGAGGCATTTGCATCAAAACACAAAGAAGAAATAATACCTTTCGGTTTACACCTTTCATACGGACAATTTGACTTCATGAACTCAGAAGCTGGTCTCATGCTTTGCAATCGAATCAATGAAATATCTGGACCGGACGCTGCCCACTTTCACGAAATTAGTGAATCTGGTCATAATTTGTACATTGACAATCCCATGGAAACTAATGCGCTTATCGCAAAAATAGTAGAGCAGGACGAATTGAATGGTTAATTCTTAACGGCAATTAAAATTTATTTAGCTTAGCATTATGAATCAATTATTTATTATCTTGTATGTTTCATGATCTTGTGCTCCGAAGTGATTGTTGATTTTTATCTGCATTGGCCGTTTTAATTAGGAAGAGAGCTAAAGTTTTACTCAGCTTAAGCATTCTCTATTTGAAACTTTTCAGTTTGATATAGGTGCCGGATCTTTCGTTTTCTAGTTGCTAAATATATCAGGGCTTCCAAGAATGCACCTTAAAGTTGATTAGTGCTCATCTAATCGGCTGCTCGCTTAGGTCCTAAAATGGAAATTTTTCAGAGGGGAACTTACTACTTTTGGAAATTCTTGCAAATTCAATAGTCTCAGATCCTTTTGAGACTTCAGTGGGTTAAGTAGCAAGCGATAGACCCTTTTTGAAAACTGTTATAGCAAACCCAGTATAAAAAGAAGTCGCTGGCTTTGATTAATATTCTATTGTAATACAATAACATCTAGCAATGAGGTTGGTATTTCTAATTCTTTTATGCATATCGTTAGCTTTAGCCAAGTCACCTACAGGTGGATATGCTCCAGGAAATGTTACATGTCCATCCTCTGAGGTCAACTTCTTGAGGGAAGCCAATTCTCTATCAGTAGATGAGAAGAATTGGGTCAAAGAAAGGCATAAGAAAACGCAGGTTGAACTAAAAACTTTCTTGAAAAAAACCAACTTGAAGAGTTTCGATGTGGAGCAATTCTTTAAAAATTCCCTGCTGGTGAATATTGGTTTGGCATTTAGTGGAGGCGGATATCGAGCTATGTTGAATGGAGCTGGACATATGGCTGCATTGGATAAAAGAACACGAGTAGGTAACTCCACAGGACTCGGAGGAATCTTACAAGCATCGACCTATGTTGGTGCTTTATCGGGAGGTGGCTACATGCTTGGGTCACTTGTCATGCAAGGATGGCCAAGTGTTCAAGATGTCGTCTTTCAAGATGCCAATGATCTTTGGAATTTAACTGACACCCGTCAATTAGTCAATCAGACCCATCTCTATACATTAGGACTTTCAATTTTGTTTGATAAATTAGACGGTGCTCTAGAACACCTTAATTTTTGGGATAACAACAAAAATGGCATAAAGTACGATATCCAAAAGAAGGAGGCTGCTGGTTTTGAAACAAGTGTCACGGACATATGGGGAAGAGGACTCGCTCATCAACTTTATGCCAAGGGAAAAGATAATTACATGGCTTCATCAACGTGGTCAGACATTCGAAATGAAAGCAGTTTTAAAAATCATGACATGCCTTTTCCACTTCTTACTTCCCTTGGAAGAAAACCAGGGACAACTGTATACAATTTGAATTCAAGTCTTTTTGAAATATCTCCATTTGAGTTGGGGTCATTTGATTCACACGTCAATGCGTTTACGGACATAAAATACCTTGGAACTAAAGTTGTAAATGGCAAGCCACAGGACAAATGCGTCGAAGGCTTCGATAATGCGGGATTTATTGTTGGGACCACATCTTCATTATTCAATCAGTTTTTGAACACTTTGGTATGTGAAGACTGCAGCACGCTAAATTGGATCCTCAAGCCAATATTGAAACGGTTTTTAGACACATTATCTAACGAACATGAAGACATTGCAAGTTATAAACCAAATCCTTTTTACAAATCAAACTACACAAAGTCTACAAACATTTCAGAAAGCGATACTCTTTTCTTAATGGATGGGGGTTTAGGTGGCGAGGTCTTACCCTTAAGCTCTATGCTGGTGACTCATAGAAATTTAGACGTCCTTTTTGCATTTGAGGAGACTCCAGATACTCAAACAAACTGGCCAAATGGTACATCTTTGGTATCAACGTATGAGAAGCAGTTCACAAGTTTTGGTAGCTCCGTTGTTTTTCCATATGTTCCAGATGCAACATCATTTTTGGAGCAAAATTTGACTGCGAGACCAACTTTTTTTGGCTGTGACGCGTCCAACTTAACTGATTTGAAGAAAGATGGAGTGATACCTCCGTTAGTGATTTATATTGCGAATCGTCCTTATGAATTTTACTCTAACGTTTCCACCTATAAGCTCACGTTCACGGACGAAGAGAAAAAGGGTATGATACAGAACGGATTTGATATCGCAACTAGGTTAAATAATACCATAGACCATGAGTGGGCCGCATGTGTTGGATGTGCGGTGGTAAGAAGGGAAGAAGAAAGAAGAGGCATCAAACAGACTAGCCAATGCCAACAATGCTTCAAGAGATATTGTTGGGATGGCAAGGTCTCAATGAATAAAAAGTTTGTGCCTCCAGTCAATTTCACCGACAACGGCTTAACCAATGGTTCGACTGTATTTTATGGTAAATCGCTTAGCAAATCGCTCAGTGCATCGTTTGAACTAGCTAAAAGAACAGTATTGCCCAACAGTGCACCAGCTGTACAAATACCCTTAATAAGTGCAATTACACTTAGCATTCTTTCTACCGTATGGATGTAAAGAACGATAACTCAAAAGTTCTCCTACATAAAATAGATAAATAAAACTCCTGCATAGTTTGCTCAATGATGACATCCTGTATATAATGTCGGTATTTCGGTAATTACTAATGTGTAAGAGCTGACTTGCTATATAAATGGAATATGCCAACTACTAAAATACTTCTCAACGAGTTTGACCAAGATCAAATATATAATTCACGAAATGTCTTTGCATACAAATAAACTATTGCGGTTAAGAAGTTCTTACTTGGCTAAAAGGTTATATTCATTTCAGACAATAACTACGCCAAACGAAAATGCATTGAAATTTATATCCCCAGAGTGCCAAATTGTTCCATCGTCAAATAAAACATTTGAATTCACTTCTTCATTACAGGCTATACATTCGCCATTAGCATTAAAGCTATTCAAATTACCGGGGGTGAGATCTGTCATGTTGGGTCCAGACTTTTTAACAGTCAACAAGCAGGATCACATAAACTGGGCAAACTTAAAGCCCGAAGTCACGCAATTATTGGATAAGTTTTTGACTGAAAAGAAGGAGCCTACTATAACTAATGAATTAATAAAGCTGAGCGAGGAGGAAGATGCTGCAGCTAATGAGGGAGATCTGGAAATTGTGTCGATGATAAAAGAGTTAATTGAGACGAGAATCAGACCTGCAATTCAAGACGATGGTGGTGATATTGAATACAAGGGATTTGACGAAGAAACAGGCACAGTTTTCTTAAAGCTTCAAGGTGCCTGCAAGTCGTGTTCATCTAGTGAAGACACATTGAAACTGGGTATCGAATCAATGTTGAAGTATTACGTAGAAGAAGTAAAGGAAGTAGAGCAAATTTTGGATCCTGAAGAAGAAATAGCACTCAAAGAATTTGATAAGTTAGAACTGCAGATTAAAGAAAAGAAGCAGTCGAAAGATGCACCTCCTCCATCTTTATGATCAATAGTTATCAATCATGTGCATTTTTCTAATTTTTTAATGACTATTTATTCTATATTAACGATATTACACACATTATAACATTCTAGGTCCTATGTAGTAATGCTTTTATTGCGATTTCATTATCCCCCGTAATATGCTTTGTTTTAAGCTCAAGAGTTCAGCTTCTTGGTCATATTTCTTATTCAATTCTTTCAATACTCCCTTATCTATGCATTGTGAGCTCAAGCATACCCTGATTTCTTCAAATAATTCCTTTAGCCATTTTTTCGTAAATTTGGTCCATGACTTAGACACATAGTTAAACCCAAGGATCCAACCAAACAACCCCAAAGCAACTGCACTATTGGGAGAGAAATGAAAATAGAAATACGAGAGATATGATAAAACAGATATAGGCATCTGGTAGTAAAAGAATCCTTTTGTCAAAGTCGTATACACCGTGGACTGCACTTCATTAGGTACCTTGACATTAATAACATTTTTTTTCAAGTTTATAAGGGGATTGTAGAATTCTCGTTCTAATGCGTAATTTGCATATTTTTGCTGCTGGAGTCGAGAGACAACTTGGCCACGGTAGTAATTGTATTTTTCAATGCTCTCATTCATGAAGTTCGAACTAAAGAAATCTTTCAAATCGTATTCAACATTATCATTTTTTATATAAAGTTTCCACCAGCTCAACTTCGATCTAAAAAAATGATTCGTTTTTGGTATGAATGAATTTTGCAACTCTGAATGAATAGAGCTACTAAACTCTATTATACCATTTTCTCTTATTTCATCATACGTTTCACTGAGAGAATTAGGACCAACCATTGATTCTTTAATGTTGAATATTATTCCATTCAAAAGAAGTTTTTCTATATTTGTGTCAACCAGAAATAAGCCAATAGTTTTCAATAATTCAAATATGTTACTTCCTTTCAAAGAATCAAGATACTTGGAGGCAGCTTTGGTGTCATACTTCATAAGCATACTTATGCCTTCGAACAACTTTTGTGAATCTATTTTAATGACACGTTCTTGGGGTTGTAAATCTGTTGAGATATTCATATCTTCATCAGAAGCAGACGTGTATTCGGTATTGTCAATGACATAAAACCTAACTGTATCAAACGTATCGCTTGCTCGAATACTTGTAACACTACTGACCACTTTAATAAAAAAATGACACTCGTTAGCATTAGATAAATCGTTTATTTCCCACAATTCAAAATTTCTGGCCATATCACAGTTCGATGGGATCATGTATTTGGGCCAAAAATACGAGCTTAACAAAGGGGATGGAATTTGGAAAGTAGATACATCATTACCATCTTCAACTGATACATCACTCGAATAAACGAACTTATTATTGTATTTGCGAGTCCTTGACTTCAACACTTCTAATATTGATTGATTTTTACTTGACAAAGGGTCCGCCAAAATATCCTCGATAATTTTAGACTTCGTGGCCGCCGTTTCATCCTCATATATTATCCCAATCTTGATTACACCATTGCCTGAGTTTTTTAAACTCGAGTAATTATCGATTAAAGACCCAGTAGCTGAATCACGAGGGAAGTACGTTTTGTATTCATTCATATAGTATTCTGTCGATCTCACTTGTATATCATCGTTAGGTTGTGTGTCTTTCAGAGAAACAGATGTAGAGGTATGCGATGATGGATTTATGTTGATTGCTGAAGAATTGAATCTGTATGTGGCCCTCAACCATCCCACAGGAAATGCTCTCACCTTAATTACTCCATTGAGATGCACCTTTAAAAGTGATCTTTGAAGCATATTGAAAGGATTGAATATCAAAATTTTGACATTAGTGCTGCTGGAGCGTGTTGTAAACTGGGCCAGCTCCATGATTCGACCATTAAGTATCATGTGACCAAAAGTTTGATTTCACATCCTGAAGTCGCAAAAGCTGCAATAGAGAGGAAACAGATTAGGTATTAAGAATTCAGCATCTGCTTTGACTACCACTGTGTAGCAGAAAGCATGGATATAAATCGCATAATTTGGGAATCATCGATAGTCTCAGTCAGGTTAACTTTCATTTTCATTTCCTTTTGCAGGTCGTTAATTATAGTGAATTTCAAGAATTAGCCTGAGTTACAGTTATAGGTATTTAGCGCATACTACTTTGTGCTGCAACCCAAAGGGACTCTCTCAGACTGACTAGCTGACTAGTTTTATGTGCCCACGGCCAAAACTATCGGAGCTTTTAGGAACAACAAGAACTTTTGTGGAACCTGCATATTGTGATGCGTATATATATGTGAATATTGTTGCGTACAAAGCTCAATGACATGGGCAGCAGCGTGCATTGATATCTTCATTATTTGAATCATAAAAAAATAAGGTAGCTATATAAGATGATTCCTGAGGATGTACGTGGTAATGCTATGCTTCGGAAATCAATTGCAATTATGAAGAAATATGCTTCCTTTATAGGTCCCGGTATAATGGTTTCTGTGGCATATATGGACCCGGGAAACTACTCCACAGCAGTATCGTCGGGGGCAATGTATGAGTATAAGCTTCTATTTGTCATTTTCATGTCCAATTTATTTGCTGTGGTATTGCAGTGCTTATGTATAAAACTAGGGACAGTCACGGGTCTTGACTTAGCTGAGTTTTGTCGTCTTCATTTATCCAGCAGTGTCAATATATCACTTTACGTATGTGCCGAGTTAGCCATTATTTTCACCGACTTGGCGGAAGTTGTGGGAACAGCTATTTCCCTTGAGATTATATTTGGTATTCCTTTAACTTATGGTGTATTAGTTACTATACTTGACGTTTTAGTGGTTCTTATCGCATACCATAAAGATGGAACCATGCGACAGACAAGACTATTTGAGTTTTTGGTATCATTATTAGTGTTCGCGACTTGTATCTGCTTTATATTAGAGCTTTTCAAGTGTCAATTCGAGAGTGGATCTTTGAGAAAAATAGTCGACGGTTTCTTACCTATAAACAAACAAATTTTTAAAGAAAAGAATGCATTATTTTTGAGTTGTGGAATTGTTGGTAGTACTGTGATGCCCCATTCTCTCTACTTGGGCTCAGCCTTGGTTCAATCAAGATTGAAAGAATATGATGTGACGAATGGATATTTATCTCAGAGTAATACTATTGAAAGTGAGGACGAACAAGAGCAGACTGCTAATAGGAGCAAGATTCGCAGACTTACAGACAATCGAAAGCTCAAAAAGAAATACAAGCCATCGTATGAAGCTATAAAATACTGTTTGTCCTACTCTTATACTGAATTAGTCCTTTCACTTTTTCTTATCGCAGTTTTTGTAAATGCAGCAATTTTGATTGTTTCTGGAACAACTTTATTTCATAAACCCGACGCTGAGGATGCTGATTTATTGTCAATTTATGAAATGTTATCATATTATATTTCACCTGCCGCTGGTATGATATTTGCTTTGTCTATGTTGTTTTCAGGGCAGTCCGCCGGTATCGTTTGCACAATGGCTGGTCAAATTGTGAGCGAAGGGTTTATAAATTGGAGCTTTGAACCTTGGGTCAGAAGATTAATTACTAGAATCGTTGCGATAATCCCAGTACTTGTTGTTATAAGTATATTGGGCCGTGAGGGTATTTCAAAGATTATAAACTCTTCACAGGTAGCATTGAGTTTGATATTACCGGTTGTAAGTGCACCTTTAATATGGTTTACTTGCAAGAAAGAGTATATGACGGTAGATAACAGTCGTCTTAACGTAGATGAAAACTCTGCATTGCTTAATGATAGCTCTGACGATAGAACTTCTAGAATTTCTTTTGAAAATGGGAGCTTCTTAACGATCGCCGGAACTTTAACGTGGCTCATTATTACAGCGTTAAACATATACCTAATTATTGCCTTTGCTAAAGGAGAGGATATATAAATTATGAAGGGCCGCTAATAGATATAGATTTAACTAGACAAATTTAATATTTTACAACTGTCTATTCTTTTTTTTGTATGGACCTCTGATACTAGGCAATCTCGCTGATTTCGTTCCAGAGGCGTTCTTTGACGGGGGAAGGCCCGGTAAAGAACCTTTATAATCGACGGTGAGAATTGGTAGCCTTCTATTAAATTTGATGTCCATTCTCCCAGGTGAGCTCCCCAATTCAACAGCATATGACGTCAACTTCACAACTCTTTTGTATAATTTTATCTCAAGACTACTGGCAGAGAGCAAATTCTGAGGATTACTCCTCAAATATCTCTCTTGGCGTAATTTATTCAATCTTATTAGGTCCATAGAAATCGCCTTTTGAAGAGCGCGGGGTGACTTGAACCATTCTTTCTTCTCTTTCCTTATGGAGTTGAAGATTTCGACATCTTCGGGATCCCAATTCACTAAGCTCTGAACGTTAATATCTCTCTTAGTTTCCAATTTATTGGCTTCTTTTGCAGTAACCGTCAACTCAGTCTTTACAGGTGGGCTAAATAAGGAGCCAAGATCTTCGTCAGAATTACTCAGATTAGAAGGCTCTTCCGGCTTAGGGGATTCTTTCTTTAACCTGGAAATTTTGTTTGAGTCATTTATCGATTGCATTTGTTTGTATCCAAGATGATTAAGCCAAACATTACTTTTGGACTCTTCTGTCACTATAGAACGTTTCAGATCCACTGTTGGAGCAAATGATTTGAAACTGTCAAATGGTCTCGATATTAATCGTAAATCAGAATCATTTTGATCCTTTAATAAACTTGAGGCAAGTGGTGGTTTAAATATCTTGCTATTGTACTGCAACCACGTCGGAACATAAATTGTATACCAGTTTGGATGAAAATAATCTTTTAAAATTTGAGTTGGTTGAGCTGTAGGGGCCGGAATTTTTGATATTGAAGGTGACAATGATTCTAAGGAAGCACCATTAACAGTCCCGTTTCTAGGAAGAGAAATTACTTTTGACAACTGAAATGGTTCAGGAATAATAGTTTCACGATTATCAAGTTGAGACCTTCCTACTAAAGAAGAAAAAAGTGGCTGTGAAGTTTGCTGGGATGGAAGAGCCTGGTTTTGGTAAAGATGAGGATAACTTTGAGCATATGAGTTCATTTCCTCCCCTTCAGATATAAAAGTGACCACCTCTCCATTGCTAGCAGTATAGCTGTAAGAAATTTTATTGAAGTCGTCCATTAACTGAGTCTCTAGCTCGGTAGGAGACACCTTCAGCGTATAAAATAATTTCGTACCCAACTTGTTTGCCTCCCTTAATAAGAACTCTGTTGTTAATTTAAAGAAGCGGTCAATATCATTATACTTATCCGATCCAATTTTATGCTGCTTAATTTCCGATGCACATATGATTTTAACATCGTGGTATAAATGATACAACAGTTGATACCCCTTATTGGTATACTTTGTTATTATATCTGTCTTCTCAAATTTCGGATGCTGCTCGATGTATTCATAATATGATGTGATGATATGATTAGGGTCTTTTTCATATAACTTTTTAGGAAGCAAAGGCCTATGTAGTATGTTTACATTCTTGTCAAGTTCACTGTAGACTACGAATATATCGTCAATAGTAGATTTTAAAATGTCTAAGCAGTTAGTATATGAACATCATAATCAAAAAAAGCTCTTCCTTGTTACGTACCCTTTTTATCGGAGGTCATTATTCAAGAAAATTTTCGTTATCAGTAACTAGCTGGAGCTTGAGAACGATAGATATGTTGAATTGAAAACTGCGTCGAAGTTCACGAAAAGATTGATCCACGCACGACTATATATCTTGACTTTGATAAGGAGAACGTAGTGGCTCTCTGTTATGTCTTATATCTTAAGCACTGTTAAACAAGTACAATTTGATATGCTTATTTAGATTGAAAAAGGAATTTCTTTTTCAAATACTACTAAATTCTGTTTACTATAAATTATAAATATTTCTAATTATGCGCTAAGAGAGTAACAGTACCCTCTCGTCAATAATGACCTCATCATCATCCTTCAAAAGTAATCCTGCTCTAATCAATATGTCATCCCAGTTTGTTCTCAAAATGATTATAGATTCAGATAAGCCGATTAAGATCATACCACTTCCTATTCCAATCCACAATCCATATAGCTTCAACTCAGTATACTTGGATAAAAAGAGCGCTAAGGGCATTGCAAAGGCATAGTAAGCAAGAAAATTAATTATTCCACCTATTTTCTGAGACCCTTGAGCTCTTAATATCCCACTTGCAACAGATGCTATACCATCAAATATTTGAATAACAGCAACTAATGGATTAAACAAGTCTACTATCAAGCTCTTAACGTCTTCATCTTGGGTGAAAAGTGATGCAATTTGATCTTTGAAAGTGAAAAGAATGATACAGTTCAAGATAGATACAAATATCGAAGCTATCATTCCTGAGTGAGTAGCGATTTCAGCAGAGACTAAGTTTTGGGCACCGATAAAATTGGCAATTCTAGTGGAAGAAGCAATGCTCAAGGCGAATGGAACCATATAAGTAAAAGAAGCGATACTAGATACTGCACTCTGTGCAGCCAACTCAATAGTTCCAAAATAGGACGCCATCAAAGTCATAATTTCGTATGCTAAATACTCGGATTCAAGCATCACAATGCCAGGTATGGCTAAATGAAGCAAGCCTCCCCATTGACTGAATAGTTCACGGAAAGACTCTACTCCAAACCAGCATTTGCGTCCGTCAACCCAAACCACGTACAACACTAATAATATACTCATGAGCCAAAAGTTAATTACTGTAGCGATAGGAGCACCAATGTAACCTAGACCATAGCTCTTATTCCAAACAAGTAGCCAGGATAAAAAAATATTAATTGGTGCACTGAGGGCGAGTACCCCAGTACCCGCTTCAAAAATCCCTTGGGCTTGCAAAAATCTTTTGGCATTCTCAAAGAAAATATAGGCGGGTGCGCCTATAATGAGAATTCTTAAGAAAAGCGCAGTCAAATCTAAAACTTCGGCATCGCTTATGATGAACTTCAAGAATAACGGAGAATACCACCAAAGAAACCCACAAGGTATAAATCCAATCCATGAAATCAAGATGCACCTCTGAACAAGCTTGCTGACAAGTTCATAGTTTCCAGCACCGTATGCCTGAGGACATAAAGTGTCCAAAGCTGTAGCAGTCCCTTCGAAGATTGCAAAAGTTATTGTAGAGGACATGGAACCCAATGAAACCGCAGCCAACTCGCTCTTACCCAAATGCCCTACAACCATTAAGCAAACCATTGAAAATAGATGCTCTAGTAAAAAAGTAATTATCAATGGTAAGGAATATCGAGACAACTTTCTAAGCTCAAAAGCAGTCGAGGTCTTCATGTTCTCAAAATCTTCGGATTCAGACGACGAAAAGCTACGAGCAGAAATCAAAGAAGATTCATGATCATAGAGATGCTCATTATTGGGGCTGCCATCTGAATCTTCTGATTCCTGGCCCGTTTTTCTTCTTTGGTGCTCTTCTATGAGCCAGTTGTTGAATGATTCCTGAGTATCATTTGTATGAGCAGAATTTAGAGTGGAAGGTAGCGATCGCGAGGTGCTAACACTAGCTGAGTCACTTTCTTCATTCTCTATTGCAGAACCCCTTTCAATTAGGGAAAGGAATGACCTCTGGTCTTCACCTTGACCGTATAGAAACAAAGGATAACGAGTAGAAGGTGGAATAAAGAATCTTCTCCTTCGACCAGCAGGCAATCCAGCTGCACTATGTGGATTCGCTAACCTATTAATAGTTTGGAAAAGTACCATTCTTGTTGATGACCGTTAGTCAAACTAAACTACTTGAGCTTTTGACAATAATATTCTCTTTTTGAAAAGCTTATCTTGATAACACAAAAGTAATAATTCTACAACATATTCGAGATAACTATATGTATAGTACATCAGATAAAAGATATACAGAAGTGAGGATTGTTAGTAGAAATGCGTACCCATAAATTTAAAATAGCATCCAAACAGCACCTCCTAGTATAATTGCTAATACAATAGCTGTTAAGGCACCAGCTCCCGCTTTATCCTTTCCGGAAATTTTCAATTCATTTTTATTGGTTTGGTCATCTGTATCCGTTCCAGCATTCACGTTACTCTTAGAGGAGCCACCCGTATGAGCCGTATAAGGTGGGTGCGCATCTTTATTCAATAATGCCATAAGTACTTCAAGAACATTCATCTGAGTTCCTAAACCATACTTTCCATCGTAACCACCTGACCAATTTTGTCCGCATGTAACCCCATCTTCTCCTCCATCACAGGTTCCCGCAGCAGCTTGAGCGCTTGTTTCAAGTAAGGGCCTTATTGTGTCATATGAATCCGAAGCCAATACCGATGTAAGTCCAATGCATCGAGAAAATAATGAACGGAAAGACATTTGGTCATTGTTGCATTTGTTCAGCCCAGACGTTGAAAGACAAGATGATTCAGTCATTATATTGTCTCTGAAAAAGTAGCTACTTGCTTCAAGTATTTGAAGCGTTCTTTCGAGCCACTTTTCTTCACTTGTGTAATTGTACATATAGGCAGCACCTGCCATGAATATACCGTACGTGTACGACCATTTGGTTTTGGTGACGTCAGAGCAGTTATTCGAGATTGTTGCACCATCATAGACATAAAGATCATCTCCATCATGTCCCAAGAAACCTACGTCCTCCATCCAATCCCAAACCTTTTCTGCCGTTTCTGCATAAGTTTCATTACCCAAGTATCTAGCAAGTCTGGCTGCAATGTGAAACAAGCATCCATTAGCAATTGCATTTTTGTAATCATAACCCGAGTTCCAAGTGAAAATCTGCCATCTCAAACCACCACCGCAATGTTCTGAATCCCATCTTGAATTCATTGTGTTATAAATGGCTTGTGTTAATTCTAACCAACTGTGGTCTCCCACGTCAGTAAAATTCCTTTCTACTGCCTGCATTGTTGTCATACCCCATACACCTTGATCATCATTTCCTTCGGTCATAGACTGATTTGAAGGTACATAATTGAAATCCTCACCTGCCTGATGGATCATTCCGTCCGATATCCATTTTTTTAAAGTTGAGTTATCTTTATCACAAAGAATGTAATAATCAAGCAAACCACCAAATGCTTCACCGGCATTCCACCAATAATTCGGGGCTGAAAACATTCCAACTGTACCTCCCTTTTTAAAGCCTTCATAATAGTTCCACTCTCCGTCTGCTACGATTTTGGCAGCAGCACAAATAGATTCATCATCATCAACATCAACACTTAAAGAGAACACCACATTCACTAAGCAAAGAAGCTTTATGAGTGAATTTACGATTCCCATACACAGCAATCCTTTCATCTTTTCAAATTCGGATAGATGATGTATATCAAAACCAGATTGGGACTAGTTCAAAAAGACTATTAAAACTTTAATCCCCCGTAAAAACTTGCTTATTTATTCTTTCACGAAAGAATTGAAGCTACTTGAAAATACTGAACAACACTTGAATAGCAGTCTTATTGGCAGTATACTAACTTCGGTACGATTTTAGCTCCAAGTTATTCATGCCTAGAAACAAAGCCTCGTTCAAAATGTTAATTAGCATATATGCAGGCCGATTCTAATTGAATCATCACGCAGATATATTTAGACTTCTGGCTCTATTTGGTGTTCAAAAATGGGACGCGGTAAAAAAAAGAAGCTTGGCTAGTAACCTGCTTTATTATAAAGTTCAGATATAATTTATATGAGGCTATATATCATTGTAGTTTCCTGGCTTAGAGGGCTGACTTGGATCGAAATCAAACATGGTAAGTAGCTGGAAAAGATCTACAGCAACGGCCCTGTTGTTGGATAAAAGCACCAAGTCATCCAATTGAATATCCTTAGTGGAATTTTGAGACATATGCCCAGAATAGTTATGGTTTTGGCCTGCTTTTTGGGAGTTCGGTGACAAGAGTGCACTTTCCCTTTCTCTATCTAAATAAACACCATTCCATCCCGCTTTGATTGCACCAAGAAAGTCTTTTGAATAGCTATCTCCGATATGCCAGCATTTTTCTAGGAGATCTGGCTTCAGACTAACATTCCTTATAGAACCACTGAGGGCGCAATGGTCAATGACAGTATCGAAAAACGTTTTGTCAGGTTTCGACACACCAAGTTCGTAAGATAAGTAGATGTCATCCGGCAGAAAAAACTCTGAAAGTCCTAAACTCTTAACAACCTTTCTCATTCTAAGGTCCGAATTACTAGAAATGATGAGCTTGATTCCATTTCGTGTTAATTCTGTCAACACTGGAATCACATCATCGTACAAGGCATATGCATCACCCTCAGCAAAATGATCAAGGACTCTTTGACAAAAGTCAGCCGACTTCTTATCTTTCAGATAATGTGGTATCTCAAATAATTTCACAATCACTTCCAGCCACCATTCGTCACAGCTGTTGATGTTCTCATCATATTTTCCATAGTTAGGGTACCTATTTTGCAATTCATTAAAAACCGTTGGAAAATCTTGTTCGATTGAGTCTAGCGATTTGCTTATTCCAAACTCTTGAGAGGCAATCTCATGGTACAGGTGAGCAACAGACCTCTTGGGTGAATAAAGTGTTCCGAAAACATCAAACGAGAGAATTTCGGGTTTCTCGAACTTACTGTGCGTATCTCTAATCTTTTTCGTTGTTGACAAATTGAGTGGGTCAGAGAGGAGAGGGAGGGCCCTAGTATTTAAACTTCTCAAAAAAGGGTCTCTCAATTTGAGAATAGATCTATACAGCCTCATCCGTATTTATGTTTTAAGTTGTATTCTCATCAAAAATTCATTTATCTTCATATCTAAAGAATGCGGATTATCGTGGCAATGAAGGACTGCATCAGAATGTATTTTTCAGAGCATTTACATATATAAATAGATTATTCAGATATTTATCATCCTAATAAAACTTCCCAGCCCCACTCTCTCATCACAGTACTCCAATGAAGCTTAGAGTTTATACTTCCATAAATGTCATCGTTGGGATCTAAATTATCGCTATTTATCACTGCCATCAAGCCACTAATCTGGCTGCAAATATTTTTTAGTTTAGGGTCTCCTTTAGTTAGCTTTCCATCACGGCGTTCGCTACGTTCATGTCTTCTTCCATGCTCATCTCTACGCTTCCATACTTCTTTAACGACTTCTAGTGCCCTATCAACGTTCCCAATCCATAATCTTTCTGATAAGACCTTCCACCTAGACTCGCACCATTCACGTTCTTCGCCAGCGTCGGCTTCGCAGGAGCTCACTAACAAGGGAAAAATATGAATCACATACAAGTGTGATGATGTTGGTATAGAGGCCAATAGAATGAAGATTTTTTCAGCTAACTCGTGTGAGGAAAGTGAAGGTATCTCTGGAACTGCCTGATGCAAAAATAACAATGTAGCATATCTATAAGCTTCTGCCGTAGCAATACAGGAAGAAATGTCCCACGTAGAATTGTTATCTTCATTAAGCCCATTGCCTAGCATCGATGAGGTGATTGTGGGTTTCCAATCCATTAGCTGCTGCTTTAAATTTGAGGCTGCTGTAATTGTGGGCAAAGAATTTCTTGAGAAGAATTGCTTCTCTTTTTTTTCAAACTCAACTTTCCTTGCCTTTCGTATCTTTGAGATCAAACTAGCAGCTGCTCCTATTATCAGGAATAGTGATTGCCCACAGCCTAGTAAAGGATCAATATAATCAGCGTTATGAGTAAATGTTTCAAAGTCCTGAAAAAAATTGAATTTATTTCCGCCTATGCTCAGCTCAGTTGTTAAAGAGCTTGTGCTCGGAGACCTTTCACCTTTATACTCCTTAGAATCACCACCAAATTTTGTTTGAAGCATCTTCTTTTCATCTTGGGTCTGTCCGATCCTTGTTATTGTTGCCACTAAATCAATCCCCTTGTCATCTTGATTTGAATCTGTTGTCATTTGAGCCAAAACTTCAAAATAAATCCAAATGTTAAACAAAAACTGCAAGCTTTCAGGGATTGCAAGACAGTTCTCGGGTTTTCCTGCATCACTCGATTTGAAAGCTTCTCCAGATTTTTCATCATTATCACAACTAATAATACGGTTGTCTTCTATTACACGCTCCCATTCATGATCCAGAACAAGTACGAGGCTCTTTTGTAATTCTTTCAGCTTTCTTTGTACTAATTCACCGTACTCTGGGGTCCCAGGTGACTTGTTGATTTCCTTAGTTTTCTCAACGAGCTCTTGCTGGTTCTTTCTCAAGATGGTTAGAACCTTTTGAATCATACTTTTTGCACCCTTCAAATGCGCTATTCCGCTCGATGTATGCGTATCCCATGATTCACTTACAGCAAGATTCAAACATGTTGTTAATGCTATATCAGCTGGTAAATCCTGTGATTCATCAGAATCCTTCCTCGCCTTCGATAAATTAGTTGCCAACTCTAATATACATTTTTTCATATACACATATCCTCTGTTTCGTAGGCTTTGACTTATCAGTTTACTTTGACTGTTTCCAGCTAAGTGAAACAACGTCATGGAAGCTAAAGAATTGAAAAGACAAGGATAATTTGTTGCTATTGGGATAATCATTCTTCTCCAGGGATTCTCATTGGGTCCATTCTTGATTGACATAATTGCACATGTATGTCTTGAATATAAGTACAAGATCTGCTCCTGTTCTGAGGTCCTCATTAAAGACTTATTGCCATGCAAATATGGAGAGGGGGAAATAGAATCTAATCCTGAAGCTGGAGACTGTGAATCATTCAAAAAGGTAAGCCTTCCATTTGGAAATTCATCTTCCGTATGAGTGTGATGCGAATCACCTACTGATGCAGTTGCCGTCGCAGTTAAAAGAGTTCCATTTTGTTGAAGGTCCGCATCTGAAAGGTTTAATGGACTCAAGGGAAAGTCAAAATTCATTTTCATTTCAGGCCCCAAATTGTTCTTTGGATCCTCATTGGTGAATGCAAAATTAATTATAGCAGACAATGATGGGGTCAAGTTTAGATCTTGAACAAATTCATTTGAAATTTTTGTAAGTGCACCTGGTGAGTTAGATATTTCTGTATCCTTAGGTGAGCTATTCAAGTAATTCGACACAGTCGCGTCTTTAATGGGTAAATAATCCGACATAGGAGAAAAAGACATCGGTGGAGGGGGCACCTCATCCTTTGAGAACAGATGTTGCTCACTCGAAGGTCGGCCCTTTATAACGTCGACAGCTGCCTCTGCCAACGAATCTAATGCATTATTTTTTCGAATCTCATTCCGAAGATCAAAACGTGAGGGTGACCCAGTACTAAACGTGCGATGCAAGGGAGAGCGGTGACTTCCATAGTCTCCCCCCTCCGTGAAGCTAATACTGCGTTTTGATTTGGAATGCTTTTGTCCAGGTTTTTGCTCTAAAATGTCATTCCTATGTCTATACTTTGATTCTTCTGATTTATAACTGTTGGGGTTCATGCCTTTAGCTATCAAGTCATTTTGAAACTTGATTTCATTAATAGTCTTTCCTGTAACGGATAAAGATGCTAATTCCAGCTGCTTTTTGAATATTTCGTCTTGCAGACGCCTTTTATGATCGCCATCATTCGTAAAGCTGTCGTTCGATAACAGCCTCTTCTTATGCATAGACTTGTCACTTAGTTTAGGCAGTTCAGAGCCTGATATATCGGTACCATTATTGAAAGACCTCCATTTGAAGTTCGTAGCGTACCCACCACAGATTAAATTCTTCTTCTGACAGTTATGACACTCGGGCTTTGTTTCATCGCACTTTAATCTTTTCTTTTTGCAAGTCAAGCACCCATTTCTTGACTTTGTATTTTTAGGTTTCCTATTTTCCAGGCTTAAACCTTTTTCAACGGTTTTTGGAACCATAGAGGTTATTAGTCCATTTGTTATAAAATACTCGCTAAAGCGTTAAAGATTCCGGATCATCAGTTATTAAGTTCAAAAGTTTCCCCTTTACAAGATAAGATAAGAACCGCCGTTTTGTGCTATTGCGCGCATCATTACCCAAATAGGAGTAGAAGCCCGTCAACGCACGGAAGCTGGTAGCCATCGAAGAGAGATTGCTAGCAGTGAGCGATTATCGAATAAGAGAACTTATATATCTACATTATTATAAGATTTGGATGAATAATAACTTTAATGCATTCTATAAGGATTTCACAAGTGTCGAAAATTCGTGATATCTGTTCTGAGATGAATCGAACTGATGAGTTCGATATTCGTGAAGAACGTCGGAACTTGTGTATGACCTTCAAGATGAGAACAAAAAGCTTCAATCCACGAACAGAAAGCAACTTACCCCTAATTTAAATTTATAATTTCCTCTGTGGATGCGATTATCTTTGCTAGAAGCTTCAATGTTGTCTTGATATGACTCTGACTCAGTAAGGTATCTCACCCAAGAAAAGCAGGTATACTGCATTTGCTCATCGTTGACGCTTAAGTACGTTATTTTAAGGCCAGAATATGAAAGCATGGGTACAGAGAAGCAAATGTTGATTTCATTGACTGAGGTCCGTAGTATCAGGGCTTCTCTAAGCCTCAACGCCAGCGAAGATGACGCCCCATTAACATTGTAATACCTATCAAGCTGTTCAGTAGTATCATCTGAGGCTGTTCCTTTCTGTTCATACATTGCTTTATTATAGATATAACTTTCGATTGCTGACAAGTTGAGATTCTCGGTGTCGGCTAGATGCAACTCAGCCATCATTTTTATGGATTTTCGCCCATGAACTTTCTCTAAACTCCATATCAATTCAGAGGTATCAATTTTATAGCTTACGTCTCCTAGTTCAGACTTATATTTCAATACTTCGTAGTTTCCAGATTCTGTTTCAATATTGAACAATGTTGGGTTTAATGGCATACTTATGACTAATTTCGAACATTCTAACCTTTTTTTAAAGTTAGTATTTAATATGCACAAAATTTGTAATTTCTTCGACTTTTTGAAGATTCTATATTGCGGTTTGACCATGAATAGTGGCGGAAGTTTCTTCCTTTTTTTTTGTTCGACGTTGTAAGACATCAAGACAAATTCATCATCAGGAGGAATAAAGCTGATAATATTGTTCTTGTATATCTTACCAAGTTCTATGCATTGATGAAATTTCATATTCTCTAATGGAATATTCTTGGAGGTATTTTTATTACTTCTTTGATGCTCTTCAGCCGTGTTTGGCCCCTCATAAGTACTGTCAGATTTGACTTCCGGATCAATAACATGTCTATCTCTGTTCTTTGGATTAATTTGACTTGTAGTATCAGTACCGACTATTTTATTGTCACCCTCATCATATGCCATGTCACCTTCATCTTCCTCTTCATCTACTTCAGGTAAGATCTTGTTTTCACTAAAATCGAGCTCGTCTAGCGTATCGCTTTTAATACCAGAAATATTCATTTCATTGAAACCGATCTTGCAGATTGGCATTCCTGAAAGAAAACACTTAACGACACACTTTCCAGTAATATAATTTCTTCTGATTATATTTTCTTCTAGATCGTAGTAGAATTCGCATTCTTCCACCATATCCATATAGATTTCGTTCTTAGAGTAAAAAATACCTTTTGGACGCCAATTTATCGAATGGGAGAAAGTCCTGAGTACAGCACTGTTTACATGAGTTTGATTCTGAGAAACAGCAATCGATGTGACTGCTCGGTTCTTTGTTGATTTCACTTTGCTTTTTTTCTTTTGAATATCAACAAAAGACGAGTTTTCATGTTCTCCTTTCTCAGAGCCTTCACTCTCAGAATCTTCGGAGTCGTACTTGTTATTTTTAAGGGCCATTCGTGGTTTTGCAGATCCTATTTTGATAAATTCTTTTAGTATATTAAAATCAGTCAGCTGTATCATTCCAAAATCCATACACTCATCTAAAAGTTCAAATACTAGATTGAAGTTGTCCATTATAGTATCTTTATTAAGCTTTGAAACGGACGTGTCTGGCTCCTTGCTTGTATTGCATAGATACTTGGTAACTACTTCATAAAAGTTTCGAAGAAACACTACTTGCAGCATTGCATTAAAGTTCTTTGTGCTGACAGTTAAAAGGAATAGATCGTTTTCTACTTTGATATACACATAGCTGATATTCCGAATCAATATGAATGGAGTTCTATCTTGCGCATTTTGCCTTTTATACGCTTCATCAAAGTCTTGAATAACAGTTTTGTGGTCTATCTTACTATTTCGATAGCTTCGGAAAACAAGTACCTGGCTCTGCAGAAATTCAACCTCAATCTCTGGCCAGTGAAGGATATACAAGGCTGATGCCATCGTTACCTTGAAGAACCTTGCATATCTAATGGTTCATTCTCGCTTTTTGTCAAAATGTTACTTAGACATAAATCATATAACACGACATAATAATGAAAGCGACATCGTTGGGTACTACTCAAACAGCGACATAGAGGAATTCAAGCAAACCTCACTATGTTCAGCAGACCCAAGAATGAAAGGTAATGCAAAGCAAGTATCTAAGTTAACGGAAGCCGCTTTGCGAGAAAACTTAGCTAAACTTAATTCTTTCTCCGAAAAGCGGCGCTGGGTCGTCGAATCAACACCCTTAGAGAATGGTAAAGTAAAGACTTTTTTGAGAGCTGATTATAAGTTCAAAACATTTGCAAGGACATGGACCTTCCTAAATCTTGTAGCACAGAAAGCAGATGAAATGAAGCATCATCCGACGATCATGACGACATATAATAAGGTTAGGTTGGAACTTACTACACATGATTCAGGCAATGAAGTCACTCTCAAGGATTTAAAGCTAGCCAACGAGATAGTTACTGAATTTAACAAACCTTCTGACTCTGCCAAAAGAGCCACAAAAGGGATTACGACAGAAGATCTCAAGAAGATTCTATCACTTTCCCAAGCCAGGCACTTAGTGGATCAATTAGTCTCGGCTAGTAGAGTCGATAATCAGCAATTGAGCCATAATACAAACTCTACTACTGAACCAAATTCTAATTCCAATTCGAATCACAATTTCAACAATTAGATGACCAAACATATACTTATTACTGTCTTAATTTGAATACAGTATTATGAAACTTACCTCTCGATAAATGAGACTGCGTCAATGCAGTACTTCAACATATCAAATAATCAATTATTATAGAATTTTATATGTTTCAGCAGAAACTAAAAATGGTGTATATAAATATCAGGAACCTTCTTTCATACTATGTGAAAGCTCTGTAATTGATAAAGTAACTTTAACAAAGACTCTTTGGAAATGAAATTTTATTACGTAGGTTTTTTCTTTTGGGTGCAAGTAGCATTTGCACTTTTAAGGATTGAGAACCATCTAGTGAAAAAGGCACCTAATGCCTTAATGAATATGTACGATTCTCTCAAGAATGAAGTCTATGTTGTCTCAACAATAAATGATGTTAATCCTTCTAACTTGGAAAAGTATGGTGTTATAAAAGTTTTGGATTCGAAATCTGTCATTGTTTCACGATCACTTACAGAAAGTGCCTTGTCTAACAACTACAAACCCGAGAGGCAGCAATCAACAGGTTCAGATAATACAGAATACTATGAGGTCGATTTTTCTAATACAACTTTCGTCAAAGAAAAGAATACTTGGACTGCATTAACCTCATGTCGTCGTAATGAGGCTTCGACTGTTGCAACCTATGGGCAAGGATGGTCTGTGAGTCCTAGTATTAGCGTGAGTAGTTCTGTACAATTTGCACAAATGTTTGGAATTCAACCCCTGCTTGGTTTTGCTTTGAGCTTTGGACCCTCTTTGAGTGGGTCCTTATCGTGTGACGTAAATGGTGGAGAGACTTTACAATTTCAAATCTTGCCGGCGTCAATGCTCATCTCAAATGTCAGAGAAAGAAGGATAACAATTGAAAAAGGATCTTTCTTTAAGAGCTTCAGTAAGACGCTTACTTTCAGTGATTGGAAAGATCAAGAACCCTACAGTATGGTTGAAAAAAATAATGTTCAAACCGCTTGTGTTACAAATCCTCTATATTTAAAGTGCTATTAAATGATATAAAATGCAGTTATTACTTCGTTGACCAACTATGTGGCTCTTGACTATACCTTGTTGCAACACAGAAAGCATCCAGAACTTCGACTGCCTCGTATGTACCTTCTAAACTAGCAGTTATAGTATATTTATATTCCCAGATTCCTTCTATCGTTTTTGTCTCGACTGTATAATCGTCCTTTCTACCGCTTTTACTATTCTTAGGTTTGGATCTCAGTTCAGACGTTCTGGTATAAGTAAGTCTAAAGGGTGGCGTACCTGAAAAGGAAAAGTGAATCTCCGTTTGATCGCCTTGATGAAGATCGCGAGAAATTATATCCCCTTCATTTAATTCGACTGAAGGAAGATCGTAAATGTGTAATTTGAGATCTTCGAATGCGGTACTTGCTCTTGAAACATTAACCAAACAATTGCTATCTGAGGAGTCCAGAACACCAACAATGGAAAGTTCTCCTGGTTTTGATGCTAACCTCTGAAACCTGTGCTCCAGCCGCGCCTTTTGGACTTTACCTTCAAACTCATAATATATCGTGAAGGGGGATATCCCTGTCACATTGTAAGAAATATGATCTCCAACACAATAGTGAGATTTTGGGTATGACTTGACTATATTTGGTACTTTTGTAATTGACACCAATGCAGTGTTTTTAAGAGCGATATCATTATTCTGACAGCCGTTAGAATCACGAATTTGGGTCATGGTTAATTTATAATCACCAGGTTTCATACCTCTTATGAAATTGGAAAGCTCGAGTGCAGGCTCTTGAATATCATGAACATTGAAGTGATTGATTAAAGCACCATTAGTATTACTTAAAGAAACATTTAAAGCGAAGGGGTATTCTCCTTTAAAGTTTACTGGAATTTTCATGTCAGTATCCAAATTAGCTTCGCAAATATGAAGTCGTTTGGGATCATCAAAGCTAGAGCTTGGGGTGGGATTCACATCATATCTAATCGTGGGTAGACTTATATCCGGAACATTTTGCGTCTTCTCTTTTGTGTATAACTTATCATAAACCCCCATAAAACGATGCTCATACGAACCACTCTGGCTGGTTTGAAGGTTGATAGAAATGTTTTCGTCGTGGGACGTCATACTGCGAGATTCTTTTCTACCGTTGGGAAATCTAATTTCGTAGTCAACTATAAATGGTTTTACTCCTGTGAGACGAAGGTCGAGTTTATTAACACAGTTTTGGCATCTTGGCTCAAGATGTAAAAACTTTTCCTCAAAGTGCTGTTTCAAAGTATCTTTCGTTATAACTGTCATGTTTGGCTTTGGGTAGTACGAAATCGCGACAGTATCTAAAGTTCCTATTCTGCCATTACAACCATCATTTGTGAAAGAAAGTAATTTGTAAACGCCTGCTTCCCGAACTTGAAGGAATTCTAAATTTTGACTCGTTCGTTCACTAGCTTTGGAATTTAAATCCTCAAAACTGTAAATAAGGTGATTTCTTGCATTATTGCTCGAAGAAGATTCTAATTGTAAAGGTATAGTCAAAGACTCTCCGCGTATCAATTTAAGCTCTTTGGAGGATGATGCAAAATTTAACTGAGGAACATCGTTTCTAACTTTCACAATGACTGACTCGTCGCTGTCATAAGCTACATTACACGACAAGCCATCCTTGAGGTTTAACAACTTTATTTCATAGTCACCGCCTTTAACTAGCGCAGGCGTAGAAATCATGTAGGTAGACGAGTTGGTGGAAACTTGTCGTTTCTTCATAATATTTTGTCCAGTTTTAAGATTCTGAATAATGATCTCGAAATGGAATGGAAAATTTCCAGAAAGAGACAACGGTATTTCAACAGAATCACCTAAACAAGCTTTTTCGATTCTGCGCGATCGAGAGTGATCGCGGAAAGATGCCGAAGATCTTTGATTGAAATGGGTCAGATATGTGTACAATGTCTTATTCAATGGGATCATCTTCTTTTTGTAGTTGGAATCCTTTATTCCGTCAAATACAACGATATAATTTCCTTCTCCTGGTGGGGAATATTTGAATTCGAAATCTTTGCTGAAAGACTTAAGCACTCTGTTGGTGAGTCCTTTTTCATTATGCACAGGCTTTAGTATGCCATTTGATTGATTTTGATATACGTGGTATTGTATTTCGAAAGGCGCCTTTCCTTGAACGGTAAATTGGAAATCATACCCAGTCATACCAAGACATTTGTCAATCAGCGGCTTCGCATGGATATTAAGATCAGGTAGCAATGCATTTCTGATCAGAACCCTCTCTGACAGAGTTTTACATGCACAGAACTTGTTTTGTGATGCTAAGATATAGTATTCACCCGGTTTTTCAACTTCAAGACCACTTCTTAACTCATTTATATCCTTAAAAGTTTTTGTAAAGTTAAACGATAAGAGATCACTCTTTGAATTTATATAAGAAAAATCAACTATCAAAGGGAAGTCATCCTGTGAAATTGATTCATCAATACTAACCGAAAGTAACTTGGATCCATTAATGAGCAAAAGATTATCAGGCTTGGGGTCTTCTAACAGAATCTTTGGCGACGGCTTGAGGTCAACCCAATACCAGACATCCTTATCCCGCGATGAAGGATTATACCTTTTTGAATTGCCAAAATAATCAGTTACTTCATTCAATTGAAATTCCAATTTTGTCGCTCTCGTTTTCGAAAACGTCTCCAAGAATTTAGATGAGGCTTCTGTTATTATATCACGAATAGATGTTGAGTAGTTGAGCCGATTCAAATCCTTGAAAGCAATGTTTGTCTCGTCAATTGTATAATTGAGTGTATTTATTCTTTCTCCATTAAGCACCATGTCCAATTTTACAGAAATCGGTTGAACTCCTCGAATTATAACTTGAGGGGCATTAAAGTTTTTATCTTGATCATTTAAACACTTATAATTAGCGCTTGGATTAAAGTTGGCTGCATATTCAAAATTGGCAGAAGGACAATAAGTCCATGTAAATTCTGATTTGTATGATCTGATATTGGCTCCATTTGTGTCCTTAACATTTGCTATTCTATAACTTCCAGGTTCACTGATTGGAACTTCGATGTAAAATATACGGTCTTCAGATACAAAATCAGGATACTTCTTCAAATGAGAATGGTCCTCTTTTAGTAGTTTACTTAGTCCCCTGTGTGAATAAGATATATATGAGCTCTCATTATTAGGCTTAATATGTTCAATTTTTAAGGAACCAAGCTCAGTAGTAGTATTAAACTGAATTGGCATCTTCAAGAAGTTACCGTCATGAGTATCTATGCAAAGTTTATCAAAATGAAATGGGTTGAATTTAACAGAAGAGTCAGGCAAATAATGAATTGTATACCTACCCTTGAAATGTGAGTTCATATCAACAAAATTACTAGGACTAACTGAATCTCCACCAATTGTAAGTTCTTTCCTGTTAACAAAAAATTTTAAAAGCGGCAAAATCAGACTCGATGAAGCGGATATAATGGTGTTTGATATATCACTGACTAGTAATATCGTCGTTGCATTCAAAAATAGGGTCAAAATAAGAGTCTTGAATGGTGAGAATGTAATATACTCGATATTTAAAATTGGTAACAACCATAAAAACAATCCATCTAGTACAGCATATTTTAAAACAAACATGAAATTACCTGTAGAAGTTCCTAATGCACCATTCTCAGAATAATATAGCTTCAAGAATAGACTGTCTCTAATCTTAAAGCTTTGAAGCAATATAAAGAGTGTAACTAATAAGATTCGCTGTGTAGCTTGATCCATCAAAGCTGACGGAATTAAAGGTTCATTTTCATCTTCGACTTGTCTATCCTTATTTCGCCTTCTTGTATTATTGCGGCTCAGATTGGAGACATGATTCATCTTCTTGTGCCCTAACACAGAGGCAATCTGCTAATGAAGAGTAGCGAAATTTTCAGTAACTCGAATCAAAACAAAGACAAGACTCGTACGACATTGCGAAGGAATCGCGACATTATTAGATGCGTGACATTTATATACATTTTTAAACTAGCTACCTAAATCAGCTACTTATTACCCATGCACCATTCTTCTTCACTTGCACAACCTTTATTACTGGAAGATCCCATCCAACCTTCCCAGTTCCCAAAATTTCTCCTAATCTGGGAATAACGTAGCATTCTCTTTTACTTGACGTAAGATTCTTTGGAGCGTATGGGTGGCCGAGAGGTTTCGAATAAGAAATCAAACTAGAACCTTTCGCGATATTAGCGATCTGTGTGTTTGACAAGTCAACCAATGGTTTCATTAAGAGTCTAGATTTTCCATCTGCCCGTTTACTTTGCCTTAAGTTTAAAGAAGAAAAGACCAAATAAGATGGAGGCAAGTCACCTGAGCTCACAATAATCGAATTTGGGTGGATATAAACGTAAGGGTCAAATTCCTCATCAGTTTCTCTATTATTGAATAATGTAACATATGGTATATTTATAATTCCCATTTTCGTCTGAAGCTTGACATCTGAAGAGGCAATATCTCCCCTCAAAGCTATTTGGTCAATATAACCTGATGCTATCATTTGCTTTATGGCCGTCACTTGTTTTTTCGTAGGCACATTTAATTTTTCACTAAAGTTCACTGCCGCAATGGACTCACGGGACATGATTGAATTGACGATCTGCTTAACATGCTTTCTAAGCTTAACAATCTCTTCCATTATTTTCATCCGTAGAAAATTGTTTCTCATAAAGTCATTCCTTTTCTGATTAGGTACATGATCAAATGCACATACGGCAGAAAGAAGCCTTAGTGCATCACTATTCTTATCGAGACGAGAGAACGCCGCTTTTGATTTAAAGTAATTGACCCTAAGTTTACGTCTCAGCTCCTCATCTTGTTGCGATAGCTCTTCTTCTCCGGTGCCATCAACCTCCTGCTCTAAGGACTTGGTCTGTTCAATTCCAAGTTCATGCTCGTAAATAAAAGGATCGCCAATTGACAATGCTGAAACTATGGCAATAATATAAGGTAAGCACCCATGTTGGTTTCCAATAATTAAAATTTTTGCAAAACGGGGACTCAATGGAAATAACACCATAGTTTTTCCCAATTGTGTTATTCTCTTGTCGATGTTATTTAAAGCTCCAAGGAAACATAAAATTTCTTCTGCTCGTTTAAGAGCTTTTCTATCTGGGGGAGTAGGAAATGGAAAATTAATTATTTGATCTATACCGATGCCTTTCATTGTCAAAACAATACTTTCAAATGGCATCCTCAAAATTTCAGGCTTGCTGAATTGAGGGAAAAAATTTTCATATACAGCGGAGGAAAACAATCTATAGCAGTGTCCTGGGCCGGTTCTTCCTGCTCTTCCTGCTCTCTGGTCGGCAGAAGCCTTAGAAATCCAGTCAATTTCAAAAGATTGCACTCCTGTTTCATCATTAAACTTACGCTCCTTTGAACGGCCACAATCGATAACGTATCTAATACCTGGAATGGTCAAAGAAGTTTCGGCAACATTTGTTGCCACAATACAGAGCCTGCTTCCTTTTGGAGGCTTTTGGAAGACTTTCATTTGTTCTTTGGTGGGCAAAAGAGAGAATAAGGGTAGGACATACAATGGATCAGAATCTGTTTGGTCTGGTTCTAAGCCCTCATCAAATCCTTCCTCCTCCAGCAGGTCGTCGTTTTCATCCAGTTCAAAACTATGATAGTTTTCCTTCTCATTTACTAAGTCGACGCTAAAATCGATTTCTTCAGCTTCCAAATCTATATTTTTAGAGGAAGCGGTTAAAATTTCAGGATCCGCTGACAATGTATCTGCCTTCTTCAGTTTACGAGAAAAAGGAAATCGCTTTCTCAAGTCCTTTACAACCGAAAGGATTTCGCTCTGTCCTGTGAGAAATATCAATATACCACCAGGGGGTAACTTACTGTGGATTTTGCATGCCTTTCTCACAGCTTCATCGATGTAATTAAATTCTGTCTTTCTATTGAAATGGATGCTGACAGGAAATTGTCTTGCTTCTATGTTTATAACGGGAGGTGGAACTTTGAATAAAAGTTTATTCTCAGAAAAATCTGAGACTCTAAGGGTAGCAGACATGATTATAAGCTTCAACGGTTTGTATTTTGAAGGTTCTTTCTCGTGATATTTCCTCCTGAGCTTTATAATCCTACTAAGCATACCAATTAAAATGTCAGTATTTATGTTTCTCTCGTGAGCTTCATCAATGATAATGGCGGAGTATTTATTAAGACAAAAGTCCTCCATCATTTCTCTTAATAGTATACCATCAGTCATAAACTTGAGCCTAGTTCCATTCTCTTGACCCTCATTTTTAACTGTGCTATCAAACCTTATTTGATATCCAACTTTTCCACCTTCAGAACCTAACTCCTTTCCCACTCTTTCGGCCATCGAGACAGCTGCGACTCTTCTAGGCTGAGTGATTCCAATCATTCCAGGATGCTGGTCATTTTTGAGATTTCCAAATCCTGCTTCATATAAAAATTGAGGAACCTGAGTAGTTTTCCCCGATCCAGTTTCACCACAAATGATGATACAATCGTTATGATAAATGGCTTCCATTATTCTATGTTCCTCGGCATATGCTGGAAGATTCATTCTCAGTTCTTCAATTTCTGAGGGCCTAACCACATTGACGAAGAAAGCCTTTCGCTCCAAGTTATCTATTAAGGGTATGAAGTCATCATCTGATGAGTTTACAAAATCTTCTTCATGAATTGTAGGTTTTGAATATTGCTTTTTTAATTCATCCAGTAAATCTGGTAGAGTAGCAATTGTCTCACGGCCCTCTAGTGTACGTACTTGTGAAGCTGCCCAATTTTTGAAAGATTCGGCGTTTTCTGAATGCTTTGGTTTATCTTTTAAAAGTCTAGGACTTTCATCCGAAATATCGTCGCTCAGTGATAAGGAATCATCTGTTTCTTCTTCTTCTTCTTCTTCTTCTTTTTCCTCTTCTTTTTCCTCTTCTTCTTCCTCTTCTTCTTCCTCTTCTTCTTCCTCTTCTTCTTCCTCTTCTTCTTCCTCTTCTTCTTCCTCTTCTTCTTCCTCTTCTTCTTCCTGCTCTTTTTCTTCACTAACACTATCATCATTGATTTTGCTTGGACTTGATGCAAACTTATTATGAGAATTACTTAAAATTTCGGAATTGTTATTTTCGTATGCATCAGCCAATTCCTCTTCCAATACACTATCATTTCCTGAAAGGAAGTCTTCGTCGTCTTCCTCCGCCATATTCTTCTTTGTTTCTTGCTCTATACGTTTCCTCCAACTGTACTTCTTTTTGGGACTCGACTTTAATGTCTTTTTCAAATTCGCAAACAGAAATCCAACCCCAGAACCACCAAATTTAGCTGGACGGTTATCAATAAAAGTAGATCCTTGATCGTGGGTATCCTCTTCCATATCTACAAGAATGTTCGTTTCCTCAGCTCCATATTGATTATTTTTTAATGTCGGAGATACGCTCTTTGATATTTCAGTTTCTTGGGGCCATTCCTTAAGTTCACGTTGTTCGTACAATACATCTCTGGTATCACTATTTCCTCTTCCTTGCTTTTCAAGATTCAAAGCCTCTATGAATTCCTCTTTCTTCGTTTTCTTTCCTTTGCCTAATTCCTTCACTGAGGCAAGCATACTTGTATCAACCATTGTTGTAGCTAATTTGTCTAACAAGGCTTTCTTCTCTTCTCTTTTTATCTGATGCTCTATGTATTTATCCAATCTCTTTTTCTTATTCTTATCAATCTTAGCTTGTTTCTCATTCGTTGAATAGACTGAATCGTGAATTTTTCTCTTCCTTTCCTCTCTTTCTTCTTGACTTAACGGCTGAAGTATAGTAGCATTAGGATCCGCATGATGGTCTTTCTCCTGTTTCGCATCCGGTTCCTCGTCACTTTCTTCTAGATGTCTCGTAAATTGCCGATTTCTGATCTTCTTAAGCTCTGCCTGCTTGGCAAGCATCCCAGAACGACCTTTTTCATTGAACCTTTTTCTATATTTACCCATGAGAACAAAAAAAAATTTATTTCAAAATACGTTACTCTCTATGCTCATCTCATCTTACCTATTTCTCATTTTTTTGTTAGTTAGATACTAAATGAAATTTGACATCACGTGATTGGTTTCTAGATATTATCTGAGTCTCTTGAACTTTCCCTCATGACAAGTAATGGTTCAATTGACTGTTGTCTAAATTAATACATCTGTTTCTCAGATCCAAGATGAGTTCAGACCTATTGAAATCAAGTAAGTCATATTCGACTCTTCTATATAAACAGGAAATATATGACTAACCTAACAAGTAATTCATTGTACTTTGACAGTTAATTCAACGACCTTATATACATATGAAAACTACCAATTAGTTCATTCTATCAACAATTTAAATTGCTTAGAGATAATTTCACAAGAGCTTGGGATAATAAATGCATCAAAAACTCTAGTCGGGTCAATTCCAATAATAACCAACTCTTCGGTTACAAACACACGTTTGGCGCTCTATTTCATGAAAAAAGTAGTAGCAAATAGTGACGGAAGTAACGATTTGATTACTGTAATAGTAATCACGCATAAGAATATGAACAAAATAGTAATTTTGTCTGTTATGAAAAAGATTATTGATCGATACGTAGAGTTTAGAATCAAGGTGCAAGAGTCATCTACAGATCAAAATGGTAAGATTAAATTAGGTGAATTTAAGCTCAAGATGAATCAAATCATTAAGCATGAAGAAGCGAATCAGGATTTAAAACAGCATTCAACTAATTATGGTTCAATAAACCCAGGGAGCCAAATTGACGGCAGTGATCAATATGACGCGGATCCTACTCATCTTTTATTGGCAAATGAAGAAGTCGATGAAGTAAGACAAATAATGACTGACAACATAAATAATTTGATGGCAAGAGGTGATAAGATCAACCTTTTGGTTGACCAAACTGATAGGTTGGCGAGTTCGGCGCTGATGTTCCAGAAAAAGGCGCAATTAATTAGGCGTAAAATGTGGATCAATAAAACCAAATTTATCATCCTACTAACAATCCTCTTCCTATTCCTTCTTTATTTTTTTATTGGATTGGAATGTGGGCTTCCTACTTATAGAAAATGCATTCGACATTGAAAAAAGGTCGACTTATTCAAAAAATATACACTAGTTAATCGCTATCTTCCTCATTATCTTCTTCATCTTGCGATATTATACTAACATCAACAAGATGATCATCTTCGAGCTCTTCTAGAGTTTTTTCTTCCTTTTGTAGCGCGGCAATTGGATTTTCAACCACCTTCTCTACATCTTCCTCCTCCTCCACAATAACGTCATCGGTAGCATCATCGTCTTCCTCTTTATTCTCGACCTCTTCTTCCTCGTCCACTTCCACTTCCTCGTCCTCTTCATCTTGATTCGCAGCAGTCTCGATCCCTTTTGTGATAGGATTTTCATTATTGTCTTTTAACCTTTTTGCTACCTTATCTCGGCTCTCTTCTGCTTGGGACTCACCTTCAATCACAGCCTTCTGAGGCCTTTCTTTTCTCCTAGTAGATAGGCTCCCCTCGTAGATTTCTAACTTGTGCTTTACCTCTGGTATGAACCCAGTGAAATCTGAGGTTTCAAGGGCATTTATAATATCCAGAGCGTTCACTGTTTTTCTTGAATTGTTTTTGGAAACTTGCCTTGCATTAAAGAGCATATTGGATACAAAAACCGTTGCTGATCGCTGCAATGCTAATATCGAATCTTTGGCCATAATCATATTTGTATCATTACCATCTTTGTCAGCATTCAAAATATTCTTAGCCAATTTTTGAACCGTAGCTTTTGGAAACAATAAATCATCGATTGATATTGAGTCATCATTTTTAGCATGAGGATAGTTCCCCTCTGCATTCTTTCTCCAGCCCTTTGGAGGCATTTTTACGTTTATATATGACAAAATTTGTATGAATCCTGACGTATTGATATCTACGGCTGGTAACGCGTTTTATCGATTTGAAAAATTATATGCTGGAGAAATTCACTAAATTGAACCTAGAAATTTCAATGGCTTCTAAACGACGAAGTGGCATTTGACTTCTCAGTGGTATGTCAAATAATACACTATCTGATGGTGTATTGCATAATGTTAAGTCAGATAGCTTCTACGGAGTGTTGAAGACACGGAATATCAAGAGAGTGCAGTTGGGAGACTACGAGTTTGACACTTGGTACGGAAACGCAGCCTACTTCATGCCTCTGAATCACACCATGCTAGGGTTTGAGTATCGAAACTTACTATTGAAAAAGAATGAACTGTCTATTAAAGGGTTAAGCAAGTCATCAGGCTTAGAAGTAGCTGCCGAAGGATTCTGGATTGACACCTTATATGTATGTGAATATTGCCTCAAGTATAGCTCTGAGTCTTCTTCGATGGAAAAACACAGAGTCGTATGTCAGATGAAATCCCCGAATCCGCAAATTGGCAAGCTTCTCTATAGAGACGAAATTTCACCTTACTTAATTAGGAAAATAAGAGGTTTTGAAGGTAGGCGGTTTTGTCAGAACCTATCACTCTTCAGTAAATTGTTCTTGGATGACAAGTCTGTGTACTATGACGTTGACTATTTTGACTTTTATGTGATCTACGGAAAGGAAGAACTTCGTGGCAGCAAGGAATCCAATAATGACTATTTCAAACCTATGGGTTTTTTTTCAAAAGAGGTCCTTTCTTGGGACGTAGACAATAACTTGGCTTGCATTTGCGTGTTCCCACCTTACCAAAGAAGACATTTAGGCTCTTTACTAATAGAGTTCTCTTATGTGCTCGCTCAAGAAGTATCTAGACAAGCAAGAAGCGGTCCAGAGCTTCCTTTATCGCCGTACGGCAAGGTTACATACTTGAAGTTTTGGTCAAAAAAGCTTGCCTATGTAATAGCATCCAATTATGGAAAAGGAGATTCGTTTACCCTTGATAATTTGGCAGATGAAACAGGATTTAGGAAAGAAGATCTCTTAATGACACTAGAATACATGAAGTTATTGAAAAGAGATTCTGTAACGGGGGACGTGTTACTTCTTTTAGGAAATTTAGAACAATGGTGTAAGCAAAATGGGGTAGATTCGAACCAGGATAAAGGTATGCTTAATCCCAAGTACCTAGTTCTTTGAAAAAAAATTTTATCTACTAATGTACTATATAAGTTTGTAATTTTATTAAAACCTTTCGTCTCGATTTTGCAATGATTAGCGGCCAATTTTAATTTTTGAGATTGCCATATCTGTGCCTTCGAATTTAGCTTAAGCAATGACCAACTTGGGACATGGTCAAGAAAAGGAGATATTTCGATACCGAGACATCTGATCCGATCCATGGTCCTAATAGTGTAATAAAAAGCGAATCTGCACCTGGTTTAGGGCCGATAGCGAATGACAAAGAAGAGACTCATGAAGAGCAGATAATTGATGACGTTGAAATTATAGAGGCTGAAGATTTTTCGAAATCGAGTGCAAACAACACGTTCAAATCATTTGAAGATCAACTCAAATCTGTGCTTGGGCACTTAGATTCTCTGATCGTTGAATCTTTATATAAAAGATACTTTAAGCAGCCGAATAATCTTACGTTGGCCATCAACGATTATTTGTCACATACTTACGAGGATAAAGCTTTGAATGATAGTAACGACAAGCAACGTCGTCCAGAAGTTACTCAAATAGAAGTCGTCGATGACAATCTGATTTCAAGTAGTCGTAAATGGCATAAATACATTGGATCATTAAACGTTCAGGCCTGGGCAACAAGGCCAACTATGAAACCTCTTCAATATACGGAGAAGCTTGAGCTTAAGAAACTAGTAACAAAGAGTTCAAAAAATAATGGGCTAGTGACTGTGAGAGTATTTACAGTCCCAAAATCAGATAAGGAATACTCACGAGAAATTGGTAGAATATCGGAGGATATCACTCGTATAATAGCGCCTTTGCTTGACTTGGATATCGCAGAATTTGATACCACTGTTATGTTGAGTACGAGTAAAAGATTATCTATTGGTGATTCATTCTATGTTCAGATCGATTGTTTTCTAAAAAGTAATGCATTTGAGGATATCTCTAATATCCCAGATAATGACCACAATTCACCTGTGAAAAAGAAGAAAAAAATATTCGACGGAAGTGCCACAATAGAAAACGAAAAAGAGTCAATTTTAAGGCATAGGCAATTTGCAGTATCACATTTATTTGAATGCCTTGGAATATCACCCTGCAAACATGAAGAAAGTCCTGGAGATGGGTCATCAGTTCAATTGATAAACGACGACTTTAAGAGTGAAGGAGTAGCAAATAGTGCTGAAGACATTAATCTTGATCATTTGAAAGAAATCTATCAAAACAACAATCCTATTCATTTTCTTGAAAACTTGCCGGACACCACCACACCTCCAAAAAAAAACTTTAACCTTGACTTACGTAAATATCAAAGGATCGGTTTAGGGTGGATGTTGGTTCGGGAAAGTGAGATAGAAATGTTGGAGCAATTATCTAAAACTGATGATGGGGCTACCTTGTCTTCTCAGTCCAAAAGTAATATTATTATGAAACGTGATAGTCATCTAAATCCCTTATGGAAAAAGTATGCTTGGCCCAATGATCGGTCCATTGAAGCAAATAAGTCTTCAGAAGAAGTTCTCTGCTCGACTTCTTTTTTTTATGCTAACATGTACAGCGGAGAAATGTCTATTGATAAACCAGTGATTAAAGTCACGGTAAAGGGTGGAATATTAGCAGATGAAATGGGTCTAGGAAAGACGATATCCGCTTTATCGTTGATAAATTCTGTTCCTTATGACTCTGTAGATTCAGATTCGATCGAAAAAAATTATGCTTACAGATCCACCTTAGTTGTTTCACCCATGTCTTTGCTTTCGCAATGGAAAAGTGAATTTGAAAGATCAAACAATAATCCCAATCATAGATGTCTAATTTATTATGGAGGAAATACAGAATCTGATTTACGGGCTCTCTTATCGAGAAATAATAAAAATGTGCCTGTTGTAGTAATAACGACATATGGCACAATAGCAAGTGAGTACTTTAAACGATCTAAGAAGGGTTTTCCTTTGGGACTATTTTCTCTTAAGTTTTTCAGAATTATAATTGATGAGGGCCATATCATAAGAAATAGAAATACAAAAATTGCAAAAGCAGTGTTTGAATTATCTCTGTCAAGGAGGTGGGTGCTAACTGGAACACCTATAATTAATAGATTGGATGACTTATATTCCTTGGTAAGATTTTTAAACTTAGAACCATGGTCAAATATATCTTATTGGCGAACTTTTGTTAGTCTGCCTTTTGAGCTGAACGAAATGCTGCAAACATTCGAAGTCATCAAGCATATTTTAGATCCCATTTTTTTGAGAAGGACGAAAGACATGAAGCTGAAAGATGGAAAGCCTCTCATTGAACTACCGTCGAAGGATGTCATAATAAAGCACATAAAGTTTAATAAGTATGAAGAAGCGGTATATAATTGGTTTAAGAATAGAGCATCGAACTCTTTCAAAGAAGGAATGAAAAGTGGTCTGTTATTGAAGCGGTATTCTCAGATATTGACACATATTTTGCGATTAAGACAAATATGTTGCCATACTGACTTAGTGGGGACCTTAAATGATATTGAAGAGGAGGTCGATAACAGTGAAGATGGATTGAGCGAAAGTCAGCAAATGAAGGCTCAGTTAAAAGGCGAATTCAAGAGTGATGTTGAATCTGAAGACGAAGTCCAAAAGGCTATGAATTATATTTACCAAAATTTCAAATTAGTGAATTCAGAATGTTCTATTTGTACTGAATCACCCATTCAAATTCAGGAATTGTCTATAACGCCTTGCTGTCATTGCTTTTGTCTAGATTGTATTCTAGAGCATATAGACTTCCAGGTTTCGTCTAACCAAACTCCATTATGTCCTAACTGTCGGGAGCCGATATTTAAATCAAAACTCTTTAAAGTGAGAATATTGAATCAAGATAAAGTTACAGTTTTCAAGGCTGATAGCAATATCGAACTAGATTTCCAGCTTTATCTTTATGATCAAACTAAAATATCCTCCAAAATTCAGGCTTTGATAAACTTTATCAGGCAGGAAAATAGAATAGGGGAACAGCTTATAGTGTTCTCACAATTCTCGTCATTCTTGGATATTCTTGAAACAGAAATTGAGTCTCATCTTGGCTCAAAAGTTGTCATATATAAATTTGATGGAAGATTATCATTGAAGGAACGACAGCGCATCTTAGACAAATTCAGTGACCGTTCGGTGAATTCCGACAAGATTACTATTTTGTTATTATCATTAAAAGCTGGTGGTGTGGGTCTCAACTTAACCTCATGTTCTACCGCGGTCTTGATGGACCCGTGGTGGCTGCCAAATGTGGAAGAACAAGCAATTGACCGTATTCACCGCATAGGGCAAGACAAGAATGTAACAGTAGTGCGCTTTATTGTGGAAAACAGTATAGAATCAAAAATGCTTAAAATACAAGAGCGCAAAAAACAGCTCGGTGAAGTGGTCATAGTAGAAGAGGACGAGCGCCGAAAGCGGAGAATTGAAGAGATTAAATTATTGTTTGATGAGTAATTCAATCCTCACGCATATATATTCCTAATGTATTCATCTTTTATTATTTTAGCAATATTTTTATTCTTGGGTTCTGGCTTTCTGAGCGCAAATAGTGATGCGGCATAATAAGCGATGAGGTCTTGCAGAGACCTCAACTGCTCTATTTGTTAATGAAAGTTGCGCTTTGAAATATATTTTTTTTTCTGTTGCGCACCAATTTGTATATTTATCTAATGCTCGCAATTTGTAATAGATTGAGTACCTAATTATGAGGTTTTAATGGTCGCAAATGGATATTTTGAACATACTAAGAGTGGATCCTAAGGATAGGGTACATTTGCGGGTCAGAGATCTCACAGTAGGTGTAAGGTCAAAACGTAAAAATGACATTGAGTCTGACCGCGGTTCAAGAAACATATTAGATAACATCTCATTTGAACTAGGAAGTGGTGAGCTTTTAGCTGTGATGGGAGGATCGGGCACTGGGAAGACAAGCTTGCTCAATGTTTTATCCCAAAGACTTAATTTGCATAATAAAAAGTTAGAATTTAAAGGATCCGTGGAATACCTTCAAGACGGTGGCCCCAAAAAGATCAGATACGGGTATTTGATGCAACGAGATGTTTTTCTACCTGGATTAACTCTTTATGAAACACTCAAATATCAGGCCGATTTAAGATTGCCACCCTCAGCTACCTCAAATGAGAAAATAGAATTGATCAAGTCATTAATGTCCATTTTAGAACTCAACCATCTATCTGATGAGGTCATATGCTCCTTCGGGACACAGGAAACGCATTTTTCAGGAGGCGAACGAAGAAGAGTATCGCTTGCAATTCAACTCTTGTCCAATTCATCAATTCTCTTCCTCGATGAACCTACGACTGGATTAGATACCTCAAGCTCGTTGAAATTAATGCAAATGCTAAAGAAATTGGCATCTCCTGAGATAGGAATCACAGTGATATTATCCATATATCAACCAAGAAGGGAAATCACTTACTTGTTCGACAAAATTTGTTTATTAACAAGCGGTGGAAGAATTGTTTACTACGGTACTTTCGTGGATTCCCCGTCGTATTTTGCTAGCCTAGATTTTGCGAGAGACCAAATAAAAAGAGCAAAGAATGCTTTTGATTCCATATTAGGCTTATCAGCTAAGGATTCTACATCAAAGCTACGAGAAGAGAAGACGGCTGAAAGAATTGAAAAGCTTGTAGCGCATTGGCGTTCTTACTCTAACTCGATCCCTATTATATTGAGTGAGAAGGAAATGCAGAAAAATTTTGAGGAGAATGTGAGACAATTTTCCAAGAGTAGTGATGAGAAAATTTCATTCTTTAGAGAAGTATTCGTCCTAACAAAAAGAGTCCATCTTCTTACTTTAAGAGATAAGAGCTCTTTGCTTGCATTAAATGGATTAGCATTGTTCTTTGGAATTGTTTCAGGATGGCTCTTCTTCAAACCCGGACTGGATTTGGCTGGTATCAGAGCAACTACTTCTTGCCTCTATGTCGTTCTTGAGGTTATAGGGTTTTGTCCGATGTACATAGAAATAGAGCGTCTCTGGTCTGTTGATGGAGTTTGTTTCTTGCGAGAATATCAAGAAAATTGCGTTAGCATTCCAGGGTTTGTTCTTTCGAGAAAGCTCGGTAAGTTTTTCTTGGAAGAAGTTCCTATTTCAATCATTTATTCTGTCATTACGTACTTCATGTTCGGATTGAGAATTGAAGGAAGTGGAAGCTATTTTCTAATCTATTGGGCTGTAACTCTTCTAGTTACTGTTAATGGTATTTCAGCAGGTCTTTTGCTTTTTGCAGTAGCTCCAGACTTCGCTGTGTCATCCTTATTAACAAACGTGTTTTACCAATTGCAAAATAGTGCATGCGGTTTTTTTGTTAACGCAGGTACCATTCCAGTCTACGTCAGATGGACTAAATATATAGCGTACTTCTGGTATGCATTTGGCGCATTATGTGCTAATCAATACACTGACTGGATTGGAAGTTGTCCCTATGAATCTGGTAGTGATAGTTGTGTTCAGTATACAGGGAACTATCAACTAGATATACTCAGTTTTCCTAAAAATTGGATACAAGAGCCTATAGGAATATTGGTAGCTTGGTACTTCGGTTTCAATATTTTGTCTGCTTTTACTTTAACTTTCAAGAATCTTGAATCATCTGTCGCTCAAACCAAGCAAAACAAAATAGGTGACGAAGAAGAAGAAGATGATGAAGAAGAAGAAGACGAAGAAGATACTCAGGACGACGGAAGCTCTATGAAGGATATTGAAAAAGAAAGCCAAGAAATCAGAAGACAATCGTCGCTTGAGAAAGTTTTTAAATCTGGTACTAATTCTGATATCACTTATCTTCAAACAACTACTTATACAGATGTCAATTACAATGACAACCTGTTGAACGATGCTGCCCGAGTAGATTCTGATACTACCTGTAATGATCTTGATATTAGTGTTAAAGATATTAACCTAAGCGTGGTTCCTCCGAGGTTTACTTTGAGAAGAAATGGAGAATTTGAAAAGAAGCTTTTGCTGGATGTTTCATCGGTGTTCAAATCAAGAACTGTCAATGCTATCATGGGTCCTTCGGGAAGTGGGAAGACTACGTTTCTTAATTTTCTCGCTAATAGGCTAGCATTTAAATATAAATCGACTGGGGCTATTTATCTTAATGGCTCCCATCAAATTTTGAATTCTCAATTAGCAAAATTATCTGCTTATGTTACTCAGCATGATAATGCATTAATGCCTAGGCTAACTGTGAGGGAAACGTTATACTTCCAAGCAAGACTAAGGCTCCCACTTGAAGACCACAACAAGATTCCGCTTATTGTGAACACAATGTTACGAAAGACTGAGCTTGTAGATTGTGCCGATACCTTGGTCGGGTCTGAGTACATAAAAGGTATCTCAAATGGAAATAGAAGGAGACTATCTATTGGTATTCAGCTTTTGTCAAAACCACGCATTTTATTTCTTGACGAGCCAACGTCAGGCTTAGACACGAGGTCTGCAGGGGCATTATTGACGCTTTTAAACAATTTGAGTAAAGAAGGAAGAACAATTATCCTCACAATACATCAACCTAGCGAGGCCATATTCAGTCAGTTTGGTATGCTATTACTTTTTGCTAAAGGTGGGCGTGTCATGTATAGTGGTGTTGCATCTTATCTAAGGGATTATTTTAACTCTATTGGGTTAGATGTTCCAGAGGATAAGAATATTGCAGACTATGCTCTTGACTTAATGTCTCCTGGAATCAATGATGATGATGATATGGTGGCCAAGAGAGTTGAAAGTATTGTTTCGTCTTGGAGTGTTAGATCTCCAACTATAGAATTTCATGATTCTAAAGATGCGATCGATCTCGGGGCCCTTGAAAAAAAAAGCCTCCCTTCTTCCTATACCTTGACTGCAATCGTGAAAAGGCAGTTTGTCAATTCTGTGAGAACCAAAGATGCTCTTATTTCAAGGGCTGGTCAGACTATCTTCCAGGCGGTCGTAATTGCTTTGTATTTTGCACCATTGAGGAATTCAAATGATGGTGTCAACAACAGATTAGGTTTGATTCAAGAAGTTATGAATTTGTATTATGTTGGACTAGTCAACAATATTTCATTATATCCTATTGAAAGAAATTTGTTTTATCAGGAGTATGAAGACGGTCTTTACGGTGTTCTTGAATTTAGTGCATCATATTTACTACTCGAGTTACCGACTGAAATAATTCCAAGTTTAATATTTGCGGTATTCATAGTGTTTGCTTGCGGTCTTCCACGGAATGCAAGTATGTATTTCAGTATGTTTCTCTCGGGACTAGCATTAATAAATTGTGGTGAATCTTTAGGTATTGTTGTCAACAGTGTTTTCAGTCACTTGGGAATAGCCTTGAACGTATTGTCATCTTTGGTAATTGTCGCTATTTTTATGGGAGGAACAATGTCAATCAATATGCCCTCATTTTTCTACGGAATTAATTACATTAATCCCGCCAAATATGCCGTCGGGATATGCTCTAGGTTAGGATTTAAGAATCAGGATTTTGACTGCGGTTCAGTCGAATGTACTCTTGATACAGGCAAGAAGGTTTTAGAATACTATAATCTTAATATTGACTTAAGATCATATTTTGGTGGTCTAATTGCATGCTTAATTGCTTACAGAGCAGTGGCGATATTAACTTTGTACATAAGAGTACGGTATTATAATTAGTCTATAAGTCTTAAAATGTATTTTAGATTCAACATAAATTTCATTATAGAAAGATATTTAATTACAGATATTTAATTATAGATATTTAATTACAGAAAGAAGCTTATTTCGATTCTCTTCTGGACCGGACAGCGTTCGCCAATGTGTCCAAGACCTCCGCAGTATCCTCCCATGATATACAAGCATCTGTGATGGAGCAACCATATATCAAGGCATCTTTACCTCCCTTCTCTGGTGGAGGAACATCTTGTCTTCCTTCAACAATATTAGATTCAATCATCAAACCACAAATTGCAGTTTCGCCATTAGCTACCTGTCTCGCTACCTCAGCAGCAACCTTTGGTTGGTTTCTATGATTCTTGCTAGAATTTCCGTGCGAACAGTCGACCATTATTCTTGCATCTGGCTTTTCATCCGACATAATCTTGCTTTTGATTAACAGTTCTTTTGCTTCTTTAACGGATTTCTCATCGTAGTTTGTACCTGATTTTCCTCCTCTCAAGATTACAAAGCAGTCTTTGTTTCCTTCAGTCCCAACGATTGCAACAATACCAGGTTTGGTAACAGATAAAAAGTGATGAGGGTGAGAAGCTGCTCTCATAGCATCTACTGCAACTCCTAAAGTTCCATCGGTACCATTCTTGAATCCTACCGGAAAAGATAATCCAGAAGCCAACTCCCTATGCAACTGGGATTCTGTTGTTCTTGCACCAATCGCCCCAACAGAGAATAAATCTGACAAAAATTGAGGAGAAATTGTGTCAAGCATTTCTCCAGCTATTGGCAACTTCTCAGTCAAATCAGTAAACAATTTTCTAGCAATTCTCAACCCTTTATTAATGTGAAATGAACCATCGATATCCGGGTCATTGATTAAGCCTTTCCATCCAACTGTCGTCCTCGGCTTTTCAAGATATGCTCTCATAACAATATGGAGTTCACCCTTATGTTTATCCGAAGCCTTCTTCAACCTCTCAGCGTAGTCTAATGCCGCAGCAGGATCATGAATAGAGCAAGGTCCAACAACTATCACCAACCTATCATCTTTTCCATTCAATATGTCACAGGTTTGGTCTCTTCCTTCCAAAATTGTTTTCTGAGACACTTCAGATAATTTATATTCGTGCTGTAATAAGTCTGGTGCCACAAGAGGATCATATCCACGAACTTTCATGTGTTAGTATCGGTCATCGCAGAAATTTGCACGTTGTTGTACTTACTTCTCCAGTCCTCCAAGCGCAGCCTATCCCCAATATGCTCGTTTGTAATAAACATTTTAAAGCGTTATGTTCAACTATCAGATTAGTCTGCCTTTCTTATTGAAACAAATAGATATGAATTCAACGTAAATTGCTTGCAAGACTCAATCGAGTAATTTTTTTTTTTCAGTTATATAGAAAAAAAAAAAAAAAGTTAGTCATAGAGCTGCAAATAGGCGAGACACCATTAATAATACGAATCGTTTAAATTTTATAAGCATTATAATCATTGTAAAACTACAAGAAGCACCTAGAAGCTCCAGGAAATACTAAACTGTACTTTTATGCATTTAAAAAATTATGAAGCCGGCTATTATTCCTTTTGTTCGAATATATAGATATATGCATTGTTTCTTATGTCTTCCAAGTTTGATTCGTCGCATAAAACTACTTTTTCATCATTGAACAAAACCCAACTTGTTTTGTTCTTAGCATCTTCTCTAATGAACAGGACGTAGTGACCTGTATGTGGGGAAGATCCCTTGTGACAAATTACAGCCTTAATGGCATACTTCGAATTCTGCTGTGGCGATTGTAGAAGGGCCTTTACTAACTGCTCCTTTTCGGATCGAAGGTCAACCCTGGAAATGGTTTCGGGTATGACACCATCGTCATCTGGATTTTCGAAGAGCCACTCCACGGCAGCATTAGGATCATTAAACAAGGTAAGTGCCTTCTTGGCCAAAAGTTCAGAAAATCCCATACTCGTTAGGTTTGCAATCGGATCATCAGTCGGCTTATTAGAGGAGTCAGCAGAAGCATTTACAGCATCTTCATCTATATCATCCAAGTGGGCTAAAATCCAATTCATTGCGTCCTCGGCGTTTCCGTTTCCCGTATTTTTTAAACCTGCTATACATTTTTCCTCTGGAAATCCCATGCTCAAGAGCATTGTGAAAGACTCCTCGTTTGGAGTAAAGTCGTCCCGATTATCATCTCTATTCTCTGAAACTTTGATTTCGTCATCCTTTATCTTTGGTGCAGCAAAATTTCGTAAGTCAAGCTCATAAGGAATATCGATAGGCACGTCTACCTTTGTAGGAACCCAGTTCTCCAACTTGATTCTATTTATGTTGACTATCAAATACTTGGGATATGTACTGAATCCCGTGGACCTTACAGCAGTGGTCGATTTGGCATTACAATGGTCGCATTTGTAACCTTCTATCGTCTCAGGGCCACAATAGCTTTCAAAGGAGGTCTTCAAGTTCGTCTGTTCATAAATCTTTCTTCCCGTTTCTTCGTCTACTGCTATTACTTTTTCTTCAATGGGAAGTGATAAATTATCAATAAGCTCATCTTTAAGTTTTGCTGCTGAACACGACGAGCAAACAACTTTGTTTCCAAATAAGAAGTTAAAATCTTTATCAAGGGAAATACCGAGTTCGTTATCGACTTTATCTAAAAAGTATAACAAGAATTCATACGCATCTTGCTGTCTCAGAGTTTTAAATTCAGGATGATTTTCGCCAATTAATGTCTTGAATGTAGACGGTTTCAAACCGATTTGATACCCATCGTCATCTGAGGATGCTGGGAAAGAGTATCTTCCGCTTAAAAGGCCGTCAAATATCTTGATTAATTGAGATCTCAAGTCCTTGGTAGGATCAACATCATGGGAGAATTTCTCATTCTGGAAGTACGCCTTGTAGTTGTCAAGGCTAAATAACGCCTGAAGCACGGAATTGATGTAACATGAGTTGCCTAAGTTTTGGAAGCCAGTTAACCCTGGTCCAAATATTGGTTCGAGCTTCTCACCATTCTGCCCGTCCAACTTGAAATCCCAGCTCAAATTTTGGTCTAAATTTAGTTCTACCAAACTTTTCTCTGTCTTCTTAGCTTTTTGCAAATCGATTCCGAACGAAGATAACTTGTTTACAACGTCGAAAACTTTTATTTCATCATTACATTTATAACAATATGCATCATAGCTGTCCTCGTCGACGGCGCTTAACGATCCAAGTTTAATTGCGATTGAATGTCCTGACAATTCATAATGCTTTAATGCGTGTGAGTTTCCTTTCAAAGATGAGCCAAATTGTTCTCTACCGCACCCTATAGCCCCACAATGTAAGCAAATCCATAAATTCTCCTTCAATTCGCACATCAGACATTTGCTTAAATCAAGCGACTCATTAGGAACTTGTTCAAATTCAACTGAATGTTCGCATGGAAGTACCTCTTGTTCCCAAGCTTTGATCTCATCCTGCCTTCCAGCCGAATTGGCTGATAAAATATCTGAAACTAAATTGTGAAACTCGGGAGATAGCTGCTCAAGTATATAAGACTTCTGATGACGAATATCATATACCAGATAGCTTAAGTCATATGTTTCTTCTTCCGTTAAATCTCTAACTTGAATTTTAGCTATTTTTTGTTTCCGTTCACCTTTCTCATCAACGTATTGATTACGTTCGTAGTCAGGTCTCAACACTTTTATTATGTTCAAAAAAATCCAATGCCCGCATGTCTCATAATGCTCCTTTGTATGATTAAGTGCCCCTCTTGAAAAAGATTGATAACACTTTAGACAAATATCTAATCCCGAAGGGTTATTATCTGCTGTATCAAAACAATAGATGCAATCATCTTTTTGAATTCTTGTATTCGGCTCAATTTTCGAGGGAATTTCTAGCGGAATCTCCAATATTCTAACTGTTTCTGACATTACTTTCTACGTTTGATTATGAAGCATTTACTTGTTTGCCATCACGAGATTTGATTTTAATACTCGATTTTTATATTTTTTCCGCAAAGTTGCAAATGACAAGTTTTTGTGCCGGATATCACAAGCAATAAATAAGACACATATCAATTAAATAGCGATCATATTACACCAAATTAATCAGCTTTATATGGTAAGATAAATGTTTTTTCATACAAAGAAGAAGGATTCTGTTGATATTAAGGGCCTCAGAACTTGCGTCTATTACTCCAATTGGTCTGTCTATGAAAGAAAGCATTTTGCAATTGATGTCCCAGCTGACTTAATTACGAATCTATTTTACGCCTTTTTAGCTATAAATCAGGATACTGGTGCTTTAAAACTTAGCGACGAATGGTGTGATGCTCAATTGCCTTTGAAATCTCCTAGAAATTCAGATAAGAAAATAACTGGTAGTCTCAAACAAATATTTGAGTTAAAACAGTTAAATAGGCATATGAAAGTATCCGCATCTATAGGTGGTTGGGGTTCTGCAGAAGCTTTTAAAAACGTTACGACGAGCTCACATAAAAGACTGAAGTTTATTCAGAGTCTGATCTGGCATCTCAAGGAATACGGTTTTGATGGTCTAGATATAGATTGGGAATACCCAAACAACTCTCAGGAGAATGAGCTATTGGTCAAGCTTCTTCACGAATTGAGATCTGAAATGGATAAGATATCTACTGACCTCTTACTCACCATTGCTTCTCCTGCTGGAAAGGAACAGCTTAACATTTTGGACTTAAAAGAGTTGGATAGGTATTTATCATTCTGGAATGTGATGTGTTACGATTTTAATGGAGAATCTTGGTCAGATAAGACCGCTTATCATTCAAATTTATTTGGATTTAATGGAGACAACAATCTTAATTGCTCTGACACTATAAACCACTATATCAAAAAAGGTATTAAACCTGAGAAATTAATATTGGGAATGCCTTTATATGGACGAGTCTTTCATGGAGTGAACGCTCCAAGAATTGGACAAAGCTTTAATGTAAATTCACATCCGAAAAACAGAATTAAAGGAGATACAATTGATTACAAGTTAATACCTCCTAAAGGTTTTCGAGAGTCCTTTGATAGTCATAAAGTTAGCGCTTTCTGCTACGATGACTCGACGAAACAATTTATTTGTTACGACAATGAGAAGTCCGCCAGAATCAAGGCCCAATTTGTAATTCTGAAGGACTTAGGAGGCGGAATGTGGTGGGATTCTTGTGGAGATTCGAAAGAGTTATCTAAATCATTGATAAATCTGTTCGTTTATCAGATTGGCGGTCTTGACGTCTTGGACAAAACAAATAACCATTTAAATCTTTATAAGGGCAGTACCTTTTTAAAAGATTACTTCCATGACAAGAGCCTATTGCAGGATTAGGAGAAAGAAAAATACAAACACAGCTACCCGTGTTTAATAATATTTTATATTCGATTATTTTTTAAATACTGATTTGTACGTAAGAAGTGCATTTCAAATAACTTCACATTTCATGATCATAAGATAGAGTCCATTCTTGCAAATACATTGAATACGGCCGCGATCAACTCCAACTGTAATTCGTTGGCACCACTGCTTTCGATTTCTTTATTGATCTCTTCGCTAAGATTTGCCCCTAAACCTAAAGAACTTTGGTGAGACAAGTTAAAGGGGTATTCGCTAAAAATATTGAGTAACTCGTCGGCTCTTGCTAATGCCTGATCTCTTTTATCATAATTTAGTGACATTAAGACATTTTCTAAAACGTTTGCTGCATATGAGCCACATACAAGAGCAATGGTTCGAAGATACTTGAACGATGTGTTAGCCGGAAACTGTTCATTGGATAAAGACTCCAAGTTGACAGTTCTTTGTGTCAAGACATTTAAAATCCTATGCTTAATATATTCTTTTGACATCTTATCGGCGACAGGATGTGTAGCCATATCAAACAAAAAAAAGTTCTTTCTCTCAGTTCTCAAGATCCCTTTGTCAACTAATCCCTTGGCTAACCTCTCCCTTACTTGCTTCAATTGATAGCTTATTTTCATTAAATTCCAAGTCTCTCCACTCAACAAATCTATCCAGTTTGTAACAGATAAACGCGACTCGTCGTTCTTCATAATTTTCAAAGCTTCATCTAACAAAACCTCGCCCGTAGGCTCCGTGTTAATGACCTCAACTAATCTATCACTCAATTCAAAGTAACGTCTAGCCGGATCGTTGACAAGACTAATTTTATTTCGAAAAGCAAGCTCCAACAATATACATCCACGCAAAGCGTACGAAATGTTGTCATTCCAGAAAGACAAGTATCCCTCCTTATCTTTCAACCCTATTAATAAAACTTCTTCCATTAAAGTTAATAATGGTAAGTTCAAAGCCTCCCTATCCTGAATATCTCTAGAATCATATCCAATCTTGTGGTCGGCACTATCACTTTTGGAAAACTCGTCTCCATCAAACGAGTTGGAGGATCTTGACTTTGTACCCGAGGAATTGACATTCTTATTTCCTCCACGGCGCCTTTGTAATCCTGAAGATGACATAATAAACACGATCTATCCCTCCACTTCTTCTTATAAATCTATCTTGTAACTGAGAGTATTTTTTTTTTCGACCTCCAGTGTCCCTAAAATTTAGTTGAGAATGAGGATTTTGTATCCCAACTTACAGAAATAATTCGCAGAAAAATAGATATCAGTACTAATATTGCTAACAACCTATAACACTAATCAAAAAGAAAGTCTCATTGCGTTCGGTTCCCCTTAGAGGATTTATTGGGAAACTATCGGCCTTTGTACTATAGACATCCTTCGCTGGTTGTATTTAGCAACAGCCCGCTTTGCAATCTATAAAAGACTTATCAGCAGATAAGATTCTACTTCCGACGCGGTGATTTAAAGACTTTGTGGTCTTTATTGGGCCTCTGGGTACTCTAGTATCATAAGCTTTGCCCTTGTTATCGTTGGTGTCTGATTGATTTATAGAATACACTGGAATGAGTGACCCCACATGTAATGAAAGTAGGCTATTACAACATCTGAATAACAGTGAAGAGAACGTCCAAGCTGGTCAAGATGAAGACGATTTCACATCATTTCCTACGTTGCCTGACCCTGAACAGGATCACTCGAAGACATTAACAAATATTTTTTCGAAAACATTAAGAAAGGTAACCAATAATGCAAGCACTTTTGTCCATAACTATTCTTCACCTCAGTCTAATAACATAAGTTCCAACAGCCAAAGTAGCAGTCCCATAAAGCCGCCGACATTGACGACGATGGCCGTTGTGGATCCTACGCTGGACTCTGACAGAGCCGTATCGTCTGTGTGCTATGAGCCATCGGTTAATGAAGTTCTTCATAATAATGTCACTGAAAGCACACCTCCTCCAAACACAGGATATTCAAAAGTGGATAAAGGACTCATTGCTAACGATGATCAAAATGAGCTGGCAGCTCCAGAAGTTGCTGCTTTGCAGAGCGTCTCTATGCCGCTGACTTCAGTTGAACAAGCGGTAGTTCATTCGACACCCGACTTCAAGAGCTTGAGATTGCCCAAACTGCTGGGCTCTAAGCTACAGCCGCCTTTGTTGAATACAAGTGCGACGAACTCCGTCATCAATGTCAATGCTGTAGCAAGCACTGATTGGGAAGCTTCGTCGATAGAGCATCAATTTTCAAAGCTACATGCTCCTCTTACGGACTCGAGCACTAACACTAAAGAAAAGCATGAGACGATTCTGAGTGAGCTATCAAAAATATTCAATAATTTACCTAATGATATTGAACTCTCGGAAGATTCTGCTTCAGACACGGATACAATTAATGTGAGCACCATTTCTTCACCTAAAACGTCTTCTCATATGTTGAACAGTGACATCTATAACGATGGTTTTGAAGTCCCTTCTCCAGTAAAAGCAGAAGGGCCACGCAAAAATGATGTTAAAGGAGGATATCCTTCGTCTTTATCGACATTTCACGCAATCAATAAAGGAAATCATAGTTTGAGAAAGAAGCAATCTTCAAATTTATCATCTATTTTCCTTGATAATGCAAAGCATATCATAAACCATAACATAACTGGTCCTGTGGTGTCTTCAGCCTCTTCAATCGTTCCTAGTAAGAGACTGAAAAAGAAAAAGAAAGCGAAGAAGCCAAAAAGGTCCTCTGAAAATCCTTTAAAAAATGGTGGAATACCAAGAAAATATTGGATGAATGATTCTTTTGTTTCAGATTGTCTAAATTGTTTTAAACCATTCACAGCTTTCAGAAGAAAACACCACTGCCGATTCTGTGGCCAGATTTTTTGCTCAGATTGCACATTGTTTATTTCCTACAAACAGCATAAGGAAGAACGGAAAGGCTATAACAAAAATAAGAAAAAAACCTACAATGATAAATTGAGAGTATGTCGTCCTTGTTACAGTGACGTTATAGTCTATTTAAGTGATGACTCGTCTAGCACTTCTTCAAGTGACTCAGATACTGAAAGCAGCGAGACAAACAAGACTCAAAACGATGACAGTTTCAACTCTTCAAACCAACTTTCGAGAATAAATTCGAGATCTAACAATTCGAGAAGAGCCAGCTTTATTAGCAACTCAAATGTGTTCTCTAGTAGAAACATACTTGAAGATGACACGGTTAACTCTTTTGATCGCTCACCTTCTTATCACATATATCCTCGAAGTAGCTCGTCGCCTCTGAGTGATTTGAATACTTCGAAGCAGTCTTTGTCAAAATTTTCTAATGCAGAAAATGCAAGGACAAATTCTAAGCATGCGCCCCAAATGGCGATTCCAACTACTAGGACTGGAGAAGCAGTTGAAATTCCACTATCTAAGTATGCACTGCCAGGTGCTTATCATACCTCTAATATTAATTCATCAGTCACTCCTTCTCTGGTGGGTGAGGTTGGTCATCAGTGGTTTAAAAATTATTCTCATTTGAGGGTTGGAAATCAACCTGATCTGCAGAAAACTGGTAGTTTTGATCAAGTTTATAACAACATTTTGAGTAAAAAGATAGGGAAATATAGGATCCTGTCAAACACTGATAAAAATCTAAAGAAAGAGAGATCCAAGCGGGGGGATTTCTTTACTACCGTTAATGCTAAGCAAGATGAATATGACATAAATGGTGATGATGCAGAGAGTGAAAATGAAGACGAGCAAGTAATGTCTCTCTATACTTCTTTAAACCACTTGGGCTATGATAATCATAGACCTACCTCTGCATTATCCCCAAGTGCAGCAGTATCGAATAGTTCAATGGTAGTCCCAACTTTGGGTGACTTTCCTACGATCATGGCTAATGAAAGACTACTCCCTAGATCTTTGAGCTCTTCAATGAATACACCACCTACTCACTCAAAATTTTTTCACAATAATAGTCCAAAAAATGCAATTATAGATAACGATGATAGCAAACAGGTCATGAAACCTTCAAATGTCACATTTTTAGAAGAATTGCCCAATTCTGATCGCTTAAGGTCTCAGGAAAGAGCGCATGCGTCTCTTCTAAGAATGAAATCTAGAAGGAAAAGTAAATCTACCAGGAACATTCTGATCTTGACCCAGAATAATAATAGACTTCCTAGCTTTGAAAGCAGTAACCTCCACAACTTTCCTCTGTCCGTGTCAACCCCAACATCGCCAACGCCAAACCAAGCGTTACAGAGTAGCCAAACATACTTTAATGGGTCGCCGAGCCTGCATTCTAAAAGCCTGAACATAAAAGACACATCAACTGGCAATTTGGAGCCCGAAGCTAACAAAAGGCAAGACTCAGTGGTAGAGAGTATATACGAGCACTCTTCGCGTCCTTCCTTCAATTTAACTTTGGAAGAACTACGTCCTGGTGATATGGCTCTGGCCGTCGCTCTGAAAGATGAAAGAAAATTAGCATATGATGATAATGAAAATTCTGAGCTCAATCTTATTTATAAAGATTATTTGGATTCAATTCTAATGCAATGCTTGGTTGATTGTGATGTCAAAGGAAGCCAGGAACGATGGGTAGCCGTATTAGAGAAAGTACTATCAAATGTGAGTCTTGTGAAAGTGACTGATACGCTTGATATTAAACAATATATAAAAATCAAAAAGATTTTAGGTGGGACAATTGAAGATACTGGTATTATAGATGGCTTGTTTATGACTAAAAATATTGATTCAAAGAGCATGGCATCATCTATTGATAATCCTAAAATTGCTTTATTAATGTTTCCAATAGAATATTTGAAGCAAAAAGAGCTGTTTATAAGCTTGAGGATTATTCATGCTCAGCAATCTGTTTATATCTCGAATTTGGTTTCGCGTTTAATTTCTTTGAAACCTGATATTATAGTTGTCGGAGACTCTGTTTGTGGCCTAGCAGAACAGCTATTAGAAGACGCAAATATCACAGTTATATCTAACGTAAAACCTCAGGTAATTGAAAGGATTTCAAGATATACAAAGGCAGACATCTTCCAGTCTATTAATGATTTGTTTTTCAAAAAAGGTTCGTTAGGGTCATGCAAAAATTTTGAAATAAGGAAGTACTGTTTTCATAATTATGTTAAATCATTTGCCTTCTTTACCGGAGTGGAGATCGAAGCAGGTTTTACTATCTCACTAAGAGGAGGAGATGAAGATCTTCTTAACAATATAAAATATGCTGTAGAAACTTTGATTGTGGGTTGGCTCAATTCAAAATTTGAGCAGAGTTTTTTTAAAAATCTGTGCTTGAGCTTTTCGATTAGCAATCGGGCTTTTGAAGGATTCAAAATGAAAGAAAGGGTAGATAGAATAAGTTGCGAAACGCAGGGAGATGTTTCGCTTGATAAAGCGGAGGTTGTGCAATATATTGATTTATTTTGTGAAAGAAAAATTAGTTTATCTCCTGCAGTGAGGTTCCCTATTCCATCTACGTTATCTAAGGTAATTGATTCGTATGAGAAGTATACTGGCTTTAAAAAAACTGATGTTGAAATTCAAGCTGCCAGTGATAACAGTGAGGTGAAGGAAACATGGATAACCCTTTTGAAAATTGATTTAAAGTTTGAGCTTCTTCCTGATGGGAAATCTGATCTCCTAAATATTGTGAAATTTGTGAGTGCTTCTCAGCTGAGGTTGCTACTCAATGAATACCTCTTAAAAGCCAGAGCATGGTCGAACTGTATGAAACTTTCGACTTACCAGCTTTATCCTGTTTTTCACAAGAGCATCCATCTATTATATTCGATGGTTTCTATTAAGTTTGCGACACCATGTTTAGGTCCTAGTACAATTGCTATCGATTACTATTCTGACAATGATAAATGCCTAGGTATCTTCTTAGATCAAAGTTTCCAAGATTCAACCAATACTTGTGACGAGTGCGGTGATCTACTTTTAAATCACTATAAGAGTTATGCCCATGGCAACGGCAAATTAGATTTTATACTTGAAAAGTATGATAACGTTATACACCATTACGAAGGAAAGAACAGACGAGTTATGTGGAGTTATTGCAGAGAGTGCAACCAATCAACTCCTATCGTTCCAATGAATGATGATACTTATTATTTATCCGTTGGTAAATTTTTTGAATTAGCTTTCTGGGGAAGCAACGTGGCTGTTACAGAAAAGGTTTGTGAACACGATTATTTCAAGTCTTATATCAAGTGTTTTGGTTACATGAATCTTGTAATAAGAGTCGAATTTTCCGAGATAGATAGCTACGAGGTGGTTGTTCCAAAGAAACAAATTCAGTTCATGCCAGAGATTGATATAAAGCTTAAAGTGGAAAGCTGGGCCCAAATCAAGAAGAAAAGTGAGAATTTTTTCCAAAGTATTTATAAAAGATTAAATCGTGTGAAAGTTGATACATATGAAAAAGCTGAGGATGGTCTTCATAAAATAGAAGAACTCAAACAAAAAGCTGCGGAGCAGGCAAAGTCAATAGAATCTAAAACATTGGATTTATATTATTCGACTTCTCCAACAGATCGTATCAGCTTGAATTCCATATTAAGAGACTTACAAAAGCTAGGTGTGGAGTGGGACAATGAATTTAATGAATTTGAAGAGCTGTTTTTGCCAAGCGAAAACGAAATCACCAAAATTACTCAATTTCATCTTAAAAATTTTTTAATGGATAGGTATAATAATGATGGACTGAAAGAAGGTGATTTTGATAGTGGATCTAAATCTGTAGAGAGATCCATATCTGAACAAAAAAAAGTAAGCGAAGAAAAGGGTGAACAACCAGATGAAGGCGCTAAAACATTACCGAATTCTGAAAATAAAAATTCTGAAAAGGATACTGAATTTTCTAGCCCAATCAATAAAGAAAAGTCAAATGAAATTGGAAAGATGATTCCATCTTCCCTATATCAAAAGTCAAATCTTCTTGATAGGATCAATAAAATGGAACAACTTTTGCTGCAGGAGCAATCAGGAAGCTCGAAAGAAGACTTGAAGAAAAATGCAAAGCCGAAAAAGCAGGTAGCACGCAAAGGCTCTGAGGCTTCTTTGAATCAATCTAATAAGGTAACGCAATTGGCTAACTTCTTCAATCAAATGAATTTTGACCAAATATCTATGGAGTTCAAAAAGCAAAGAGAAAAGGAATTGCAAAAAAAATTACATAAATTCAAAGCCCTTCCAATTCTGGAATCTAAGCCAATTGTGGAAATCTACAATAAAATTGAAGATGTAGTGGATGTAAATGATGAGGAAAAAAATACTAAGAAATTGTTGGAAACAAAAGTACCAAGTCTGGACCATTTCGGGAATCCAGGTGATTCCAGAGATCGAATCCCGACCCCTAAAACTGTTAAGGATAGTGAAAGAATGGGAGAGACATCCAGAGATAAAAGCTTTGATAGAAGCGATGAAAAGGGTCCCGATTTGACAAGAGAATCTAAGGACAAAAACCTCGAAATCCCCCAGCCTGAAAGACAATCTCTCTTGAAATCATTGACAAACTTCTGGGCAGATAGGTCTGCTACATTGTGGGATCCATTAGATTATCCCCTTGATTCTTCGGAGCATACGTTCGCAGATTCTGATGTTATTGTTCGAGAAGATGAGCCGACTTCGTTGGTTGCATTATGTTTATCATCGAATGATTATAAGCAAAAGATAAAGAAAATGGAGGAGGACGGTTCCGTGGAAGACGAAAAATTTGAAGTAAACGACTCCAACAACACCAAAATTAAACAATTCATCAAAATAGAGAAGAAATTTAAAAAGAATTCAAATAAGAAAGGTTTGAACGACATGGAAAAAGTTATGATCAAAAATAAATCCAATCATTTAAAATATCAATTCGTTGATGGGAATATGCAACTTTCATGTAAAATCTTTTATTCCGAACATTTTGAAGCATTCAGAACTTCGTGTGGTAACAACGAGAGTTTCATACAAAGTTTATCAAGATGTATTAAGTGGAATTCAAGCGGAGGTAAGAGTGGTTCTAACTTTTTGAAGACTCTAGACAATCGATATATAGTCAAGGAATTGTCGAAGTCGGAGCTTGAATCTTTTGTTTCAATTGCGCCGTTTTACTTTAAGTATATTTCACAGTCGATGTTCAACACCCTCACCACTGCAATTGCTAAAATATTTGGGTTCTACCAGGTCGAAATTAAAAATTCGGTCAATGGAAAAACATTCAAGATGGATTTCTTGATCATGGAGAATCTCTTTTACGGCCACAATACCACTAGAATCTTTGATCTCAAGGGTTCTATGCGGAATCGTCACGTTAAACAAACAGGTAAGGAGAATGAGGTTCTTCTAGATGAAAATATGATTGAATACATATATGAGTCGCCTGTCTTCGTACAGGAGCACCTGAAAAGACTTCTACGAGGGTCACTCTTTAACGACACCAGTTTCTTATCTGCCATGGAGGTCATGGACTATTCCTTAGTAATTGGAATCGATGACTCTTCCAAAAAGCTCTACATAGGAATCATAGACTGGTTGAGAACTTTCACATGGGATAAGAAAGTGGAAAACTGGGTCAAAGGAAACAACTTGATAGGGAGAAAGGGCAAGGATCCTACTATTGTTACTCCAAAGCAGTACAGAATCAGATTCAGAGAAGCAATGGAGAGGTATATTTTAGAAGTGCCTGATATCTGGTATGAAGGGAAGTGATTTTGAATGACTCTCTGCTACTCATATTGACTGTGTCAAACCTATAACAGCCGCAACCTTGCACGGAGCTCTATGCGCATAACATTCCTGCAATGTGTGCACTACCAAAAATAGACTTTGTATATATGCTAATAATAATTGCAGAACATATTGGATACGCACTGCCTCGCTCAAAGCTCCCACGCGATTTTAACTAATACTTGAGTATAAGTGTGCGATTCAAATGAGGCATGGCTGTCTGCGGCTTTCTTCCTTAATCTCTATTGGTCTGTAATTATCCTTCGCCTGTATATAGCCGTGTCCGTTTTTTTGATTTTCAACGCCTCTCGTCTGTGTCTTCACAGCCGTATAGGTAGCGCGTGTGTTCGTGCAGTCGCTCACCCCCTATTCAAATTTGCAGTATACAATTGAAAAGAACGAATCGCAATTTCACGAAGACAGCATTATAGACTATTAGACAGAAGGGACTTTTAGATTGACAAAATCAATCAACTGTAACTAGGAAATTTCAATACTCCTTCATTCGCTTTTTTATTTGGCATCTTCGTGTTTGCCGCCGCGTCTGAATTATATTTTGTCAGTATCTGGCAAAAAGACAAGAAATCATGGCGTTCCAACTAAGTTTTAATTCCTTGTCATTCATTTTGATCTTGGTGTCATTCGTATTTCTCTTATTGGCTACCATATCATCACCAGTGGTGGATGTTTTTAAACTAGGAAGTACGGATCAATACAACTATGGTGTTTTTGGATATTGCAAGGTTAGCTCAAGCAGTTGCCCTAGTGCTACGTATCCATATTCAGTTTCAGGTGTTGATAGCACAAAGGATTGGCTCTTTAGTTCGTCTGTGAGGGACAAATTAGCCAAAGTGTTTATTATATGTCCCATAGCTCTTGGTTTCAACTTCCTTACTTTGGCTTTGATATTTATATCCCACTTTGTGGATAGCTTCTTGGTGATTGTTGCTATCGTTTTAAATTTCATAAGTTTTCTTGCAACAGCGGTAGTTACCGTCATCATTATCTTGGTATTCCACCCACATGTGGCATGGACGGGGTGGATTTTGGTCGGTGCAGCAGCAGCAAATTTGTTTTCTATGATGTTCTTATTCTTCACTTTGAGAATTGCAAGTAGAGGAAGTGACAATGAATCCGTAGTCAGCACAACAGATGACCTAACTGAGTTTGATGATAAGTTTAAAAATATACAAGTGAATACTTTTCAAGCACCTAACAAGTTTGGAAGTGGTTTTGATAATGCAAGTTCTATCAGCAAAGATTACGAGTTTAAGGTCAAGCCATCCAATGATCAAGTGACTAAGATAGCAAGCAATTCGTCCTTGTACAATTCAAATCCGCAACTTATGAAAGATCTCACAATTAATGATAGACCTATGAATTCTTCTTATGCTAAGGGCTCTGAAAGTTCCTCTTCATATTATGAAGACGCGAATGTTAATCTTAAAAACGGTCCTAGTACACCAGTTGCGACAAGACAACAAATGGCACCAAGATTTGTGCCCAATATGGTAGCTCCAACTTCAAATGAAGGACTTCTGGCCCCAAAGAACTCGAGCTTACCTTATCCACGTAACGATCCAGCTGGGGTGCAGCCCTATCACGGAACAAGCATGAGCGTGTTTGAACACCATCCTGAAGTGGAGGGTCATAAGCCGTTTACTGAAATGGATGATGACGAATCTCACGTTAACAACCAACCAGTTGAGCTTGATTCTGATGCAGATTCTGATTTCACGAGTGTTTCCCAAAGAGCACCAAATCCAAGTTACAATCCTCCACCGCAACAGTTTTACGGTGCACAAGTACCTGAAAACCCTTATACGTATAGACCTGGTGGTATCCCACAGCAATTTCAAGGACGGCCCCAGTTTGTTCCAAATGGTCAACAGGCACCACCTCCGCAGTTTTATCAAAACTCACCACAATATGCTCCACAGGCCATACCTCAGCAACCATCTTACTATCCCGCTCCCCAGCGGAGACAGCCGACAGTCTCTGATAATGTTTTGTCTAATAACCCTGATTTTGCTTTAGGAGGTCCTGGTGGCATGAGGCGAAATAAAGGGTTTATCCCTCCTAGTAAGAGGGCATATGGAAACTCACCCTCATTAAATCAAAAGAGCAAAGCTAGCGGTCCATATGGCTTCACAAATTGAGTTTTTTTGAGAATACTATTGACTTTGATAAGCTAATTCATGTATTATTATTCATAGGCTATTTATATTATCTTTTTTCAGTTCTTCTTCCTTGAAAGATTAAATAAGTCTTATGTTCTTGGTTTTATATATACTGACTATTCTAATAGATGTAGAAGCTAGCTTAAAGTGTTCTGTTCGTTATCATTCGGTTTATTGATCTCTGGTCGGGGACTCGTAGCTGGTTTTGTTACTACCTTGGTAGATCCGTGTGGTTTTACAAGAACCAAAATAAACAAAGCAAAAGTTACTAATATTAAAAGGAAAATAATCTTGCACTTTGTTGTTCTCTTTTGATAGGACTTGGCTTTTATGAGCTCTTTATCAGACGATTTGAGATCTTGTACGGTATTTTGGAGGTTATAATCAATTCGGTCAAGCAAGCTACCTTGATCAATTACTAAAGTTTCCATTTCTTTGAATATGGTAGATATTTCCAAAATCCCCATTGCTATATTTGATATCTCTTTTTCCCTTGCCTGCAAGTACAGTGAATCCATTCTGGAATGTTGCTGTTGCTGTTGCAATGTTTGTTTTGAATATTCATCTATCTTCCTTGAGTCTTCTTCCATCAATAAATTCTGATCTTCACTGGATTGCAATAGACCGCTTGACTCATCTTCATCGTCTTTTAAGAACTTTATATAGTTATTTTGAAGATTTCGAAAGACTAATGAATCTTGTTGTAATTTCGTTGCGTAGCTTCTCTTGTAATTATTCAAAATTTCTAAATCACTCGCCTTATAGTTTAAATTCAATTTCTCGTGATTATCATGAAGATACTGGAACTTCTTGATCAAGACATAGCATTTCTCAAAGTTTTTTAATACTTGATAATTCAAATTCTCGATCTTTGTTTCAAGCGATTCCTTCTCGCTCTTGGTTACAATAATCAATTTTTTATACGTTGAATTCAATTCATCAATCTGCTGCCTAATCCTTGTTTGGATGTCATCTAATTCCTTTGAAATTTCAAATATTGAAGGGATGATCTGTTTCATTTCAATAGAGTTATTATTGTCACGATAATTAGTTCGCCTTGATTCAATCAAACCCTCTTCCTCATCGAGTAAAGAATCAAATCTGTTCTCATTTTTTATGGTCAGATTCCGTGGGATCGTTCGACGAAAAGATATGAATAATTTTGTTCTGTCTCTGAACATTCGTCTATAAAGTCAATATGTGATATTAATTAGTATCGATATAGACTCGATTATTAGTTAGACTCATTATATTATATCCTGTATATAAATGTGCTACCATAATAGTAGTATATTTCATGAAAATGCTATATATGCTGGTATTTTCCTTTCTGTAAGGCTTTTGAAAAGTTGATACTTGTTACTATCTGATCGTCAGGCAGATTTACAGTTCTTAATTTGATTCAATAGTTTTGCTGTGAATGAAGGTTTGGAGTTTAATTGCTTTGAATTAAGGTTAAAATTAGACGTCATCTGTACTGTAGGTTGTCTTTGACTATACTTTTCTTGAATTCCTTGAAACATATGCCAGAGCTTTTTTTTTGTTGTCATAAACTCATCTTTATCTCTTGCTTTTGGAGGTGGGGTGATATTACTAGGTGCATTTAGCTCTATCTGATACAATTCATCGAAGAAATCTTCATAAGTCTCCGTGCATTCCCAACAAATAAACTCATGATACAGATGAGTACGATGTAAGTGATTTTTTTTACTAAAATCCCCAAATTTTAGGGTGTTTTCTTTGTCGGATTCACAAGCGTAGATTATTGAACTAATTTCATATAGTGGCTTTTCACATAGATCACAATGCTTAAGGTCACTTGCTCCCGGAATTTCGCCAAATATTTGTTCTAAGTTCTCTGATCGGGATTCAATTGTCATATGCTTCATGATGGTTTCATTAGAAATAGATCGATTCCTCTTTTTTTCATTAATCCTGTCGTTAAAGATGCCAGCTCCTATCTTCAGGTCTGCAGTAACAATTTCGTCTGTTTTTGAGCCTTCTAAAAGAGGTTTTAAATCATTCTCAACGTTCCAAAGCTTCTCCTTAAATTTAGCTAACGATTCCTTTCGCTTAAGCGTGTTGTTTTCTAGGACACTCTCAACTCGTTCGTCAACATAATCTTCAATCAACACAATTGGATCTTGAGTGTCCCCTTCTTCATATTGGCTGTCACCTTCCTCATATTGTTGTGTATCATCTAAGTTGCTACTCTCCACTTCTGAAATCTCATTTCTTAAAGAGCTTGTGTTTGGCGTTGATGCATTGCTCATCGAAGTCCTAGTAGGTGAAGAAGACCTCGATTTAGGTTTCAGAGGTGGGGGTAGTGGTAGCGAAGTCAATGTTGTATCATCAATCAAATCTAGCATTGAAGGTCTATGGAGTAACGAACGTGGACAGGACTCCGTTTTGAGTCCAATTTCTTTAACGGTACATATGCTGTCCGAGAGAGTGGCCCTCTTGCAGTGTCTCTGAGTGATTACATCCGTCCCGATAGAGGTGCTAACTGTTGCTAAGCTGGGCCTTCTTGATAAGTCCACAGGAGACATTCTTCTCTTTTGCTCGAAGTATCTTTGAATTGCTGTACCAATTATATCAAGCTAGGCTGGCAAAGCGCTTGAGAAAAATTGTAAGAAACTTTCCTCTCAGCGTGAATTCTTCAAAGTGCAAACTAAATGAACAAGTGGTGACGTTTTGGGTATAGTTAGTGAATTCTGTCAAGTATGTCGGCGTTGTGCTCATACTAGCCGTCGTCTACGTCTTTCCTTTTATTCATTAAAGTGTAGAAACAATTGTTCCCAATCGGGAATATCAATAAATAAACCCGGAAGTCCTTTTCGGGTTTCTTTCGAATTTCTAATTTTGAAGCGAATGTGGAAAAAATCTACTGTTTACGATAACTAAAGTTGCAAAATTCTTTATGACTATTAAATTTTTTATTAAATATTCGCTACTCTTGATTGTAAAAGTTGTTCATGTGGCATGTCACCATCCTCAGTTTTGTTGACCCAATCGATTATGTCCGTGAATATTCTTCGAGATATCTTTTGGTCCATTTCTAGCTCTTGTTCTCTCATCATTAAACATAACTCTTCACAAGCTTCAATGAGAATAGATATGCCTCTATACTCTTGACGTCTCTTGAATTGAATAAGAGGTGCAAAGTTTGTAATTTTGTTGACATATCGTATCTCAAGGACAGAAAGATTAACTAGTAAATTGTTCTGAAGGATGGAAGGTATGGATTGGTTTGTGAGTTGAGAACAATTGTTAAGTGATAGCCGTTGTAATGTTGCATTACAATTTATTGCAAGGTTCCAAATGACTCTATCAGATACATGGCAACCTGCTAAACCCACCGTCTCTAAATTCTTATTATTGCTGGTAATCATCATTAGACTATTGTCGGTGACTAAATGACCCCTGCTTTTTCTTCCAAAATTTATGTATTTGAGTTTGTTACAATTCTTTGCAATGTGGTATATACCAGCATCAGTGATGAGATCACAAGCTCTTATATCGAGAACTTCAAGGTTAGGACAATTTTTACTAATTAATATCAAATGCAGATCATCAAATGTCTTGGATCCAGTAATAATGATTTTCTTAATTTTTGATCCATTGATGAAAAATTCAGGAGTAGGAAACAATTTTGGACACATATAAATTTCTATCCATTCCAATCTTGAAAAATCAATTTTATGTTTAATCATATCAATTGACTTTTGCTTCATCTGAAATAGTTTATGCAACAAGAACACTTTTGGTTGAATCTTTACCTTGAAGTCTGAGTTTATGAATTTACAGAACTTTGCTTGGTCGCTAAAAAATAATTTCTCATTCAAAAATTCTGAAGCAATTTCATTGAACAATCTATTAACTTGTAGGCAGTTGAAAAGGGGACCACCACCAGTAATTTTTGGTTCCTCATAGGAAGAAGTAGATGCATCGAGGTAGTAGCTTTCCGCCAAATCTCTATCACCATGTATCAACATTGAGTGTCTCAAGCTTAATGGTCTCCTTCTGACGGGCGAACTTTCTTGTGGAATAAATGTATTCTGCTTATCAACTGACTGAATAATTTTATGAACCAACTCTGGAATTTCAAAAATTGAAGTTTTTTTATTGTCTAAGAATGACATAGAATTAAAATCCTGGAAATGCACATTACTTTTGGTTTTCGAATTAAGGGAATCGCTTTGGATAGTATTTGGTGTTGATGGAGTATCATGCGTATCGAATTCTGAATCAGAACTATCAGATGATAACGATGAAAGTGATGCATCTGTATCATCTTGTGATGTCAGATAGCTTGGACTGCTTGGAACAAGTGAATTTGTTTTATAAGACCTGCGTCTAAAAAAATGCTTAATAGATGGTGTAATGAGAACGTTGTTTCTTCTATGAGAGCAAGCATTTGACCTCGACTTTTTGGAAGTCCTCTTGTAATCTGATAGGTAATTCAACTCATAGATCTGATTGTTGTAGTCTTCAGTAAATTGTAAAGGTTTGGTACTGTTTGCAGAGACAGGACTAGAATCCATATTTATCAATTAATTATAGTAGAAGAGGTATTCTTACCATGCAAGATGAAACGTAATATATCAGACTGTAATTTCCAAAGAATTGAAAATGATAATGATTGACTAAGGTGAGTTGATATGATTAACGTTTCATTTATAACTCATAAATAATGCAGAACTTAGGTGGCGAGTTGTGCCAAACTATTCAACCGTGCGGTTTTCTTCCAGACTGGGTTACCTTATTAAAGTTTCCACTTACCTCTGGTGGATATTGTCCATATATATACATATCACTATCAATAAAAAGATCCCCATAACTTGAGATTTGACTGCCAGCCATATGTACCTTACCGACCACTTTTCATCGTTTACATCCCTTATAACGCTATTAAGGGAAAATTTCGATACTAGATTCGTGTTCGCAGTCCCTTTCAAGTCCTAATTTGTCAATCCCAACCTACCTTTGGAGCTGGCATACTTTGAGATGGCTGGCTGAACTCTCAAAGTATTTACCACAAATTGTAGTCACGTGAAAATTCATGTTGCAACTTTGCACATCCATACTGGCTAATCCCCAAAAGGATAACACTAGAAGCACACTAGCAATAGCCGACGAAAGGGCTTGCGAATTCCAACACTTAATACTCAGGTACCGCTCGTGTAAATACAGGGGTAAGTAGTTACGTGTTATGTGGGAATTTCTCACTTATTTTGCAAGAATTACAGAAGAAAGAGTAAGTCTCACCAGCTTAACTTCAAATATTTTAGACTCAATTCGTTTTAAAGTTACGAAATGTGTACATTAGCTTGCAAAACAACCTTCACTAGTAATAAGTTCAGTAAAAATTTTCAATGACTACGACTACCGAAATGCAATCCAGTTTCAAAGGTATCATTAGAAACATTCGTGTCCCTTTATCATTTTTCTCTATTGGAGAGAAAAGGCAGAATAGAGGGCGCACTTGTAAGTCCGTTATGATAGCCTTTAATAAAATGACGCAAAAAACGAAGCGTATCTAGAACTTTAATTACTCTGCTTAAAATTTTTCAAGCATAAATTAGACTCTATTATTACAATGTAGCAATCCTCAAGCACATGTTTCTTCAGATCCTAAAAGATATTTTAATGTTAAGAGGATTATTAAGACTTTGCAACTAACTTGTAGAGATCTGGCTCTCTTTTTAAAAGCGAATGGTTTTTCCGTAAAAAGAAACTCTGAGATTTTCCGGCTAGAAGCGCACGTGATACAAACTTTAAGAAAAAGCCACTCATCAAGACTTCACCCTGATAAGCTGATCCTAACAAAAAGCAATATTTTATATTTCGAGAGGTTTGTTTGTTATGAGAGCTTGAGCTGAACACTGAGTAAAATTACAAACTGATAGAAATGCCCAAGAAATCGTCACACCAGTCACATCAGTCCAAGCTGGCATCATTATTTGATGTCCGACTAACTAACCTCGATCATGACGTGTTGGTTTTGAAAGGTAATGAAACGGAAGCCTCATCAGCGTTGTTGACAGGAAACATAGTCTTATCTTTAAAGGAATCTATAAGCGTAAAGAAGATTTCATTACGCTTGTATGGTACATTGAGGATGTCTTGGACTGAACAAATGGGATCGACCAGAGGGTCCGCACCACGGACTTTTAAGTTCGAGAGACAAATTTTTGAGCATTTGTGGGATAGCAATGATTTGACACACCATATTCATGCCTACCGTACGAATGAAAGCTCGTCAGGAAATGCGCTGCCTGTTGGTACATTGAGCAAAACTCATTCAACAGCGTCATTAAAGAGCCTTGGCCATGCATCAAGATCCTTGTCCTCCACTAGTCTTACAGGTAAAGCGTCATCAGCACGATCATCTTCAACTAATTTGGCTGCCTTAAGCTCTCTTAAGGGTGATCAGGTTTTGACACCTGGAAATTATGAGATTCCGTTCAATGCGATTCTTCCAGGAAATATGCCAGAATCCGTAGATGGACTACCTGGCGGTGCAGTAATTTACAAGATGGAGGCAACTATAGATAGAGGAAAGTTTCATAATAACATGGTAACAAAAAGACACTTAAGAATAGTTCGTACATTAGGCTCAGATGCTGTCGAATTGTCGGAAACAGTAGCCGTTGATAACACATGGCCCAAAAAAGTCGAATACTCTATAAATGTTCCATCGAAGGCTATAGCGATAGGATCCGGTACGCCAATCAGTTTCATGTTGGTGCCATTGATGAAAGGTTTGAAATTGGGTGAGATAAAGCTTCAATTAGTAGAGTTTTTTTCTTTTGCTGGAAATTACCCGGGAACTCACAATGATTTACGTACCGTCGTCGAAAAGAAAATCAAGCGTCCAGATGAGAATGATGAAAGATTTCAGATGGACAGGTGGGAAATAGATGCTTTCTTGAAGGTTCCTGCAACTTTATCTAAGTGCACGCAAGACTGCGAGGTACCAAACCACTTAAAAGTTAGACATAAAATTAAAGTAGTTATTGGTTTGGTAAACCCTGATGGACATGTATCCGAATTAAGAGCTTCGTTGCCTGTTCAATTGTTTATTTCGCCGTTTGTCAGAATTATTGCTAAGCAGGAAAGCTCTACATCGCTTGACAAAGATGCGAAAGATGTAAATGAGAGAGAAGAGGTATTATTTGCCAATGATACAAGCGAGGGCCAAACTCCTAATGTGCCAAATACTGACTCCTATACATCATTGACAGGAATAGTGGCACCTCCGGTCTACGAAAGACATATTTTCGATAGACTTTGGAATGACGTCTCACCTGCAGAGTCACCTATAGGATCAGGGTCTTCTACGCCAAGACATTATGGAAATGATGTTCAAGATCAAATGTCACTCTCGCCACTAGATAGCATGCAACTAGTTGAAAACCTTAGACAGTTATGCGTTCAACGAGGAGAGCATGGAGAACAATCAGGAAACATGACTCCAACAATGACACCATCTTCAGTTGGGTCAAGGGGGAGACCAACTTTCAATATTGATGGAGACACACATAACGAAAGTGATTACTTTAGTCGTCCTGCAGCTTCAAGTCGTCCACTCTCTCCAAGTGTTGCATCGCCCCCAGTACACATGTCGCGCGTCAACTCAAGCAGCAGCTTGTTTGATCCAACCAGCTTATCAAGGGTCCCATCTTATAGCCAAGCGATTTCAAGTGCACCACTGGAGGAATCTCTTGCTCCGGTGTATGAACCTCCTCGTCCTGGCTCAAAAATAAACTTGAATGAAGTTAATAAAAGGTTCGAAGAACTGTCTCTGAATGATGCATCTGATTCTCCCCAAACTGAAGGAAAGCTATCGAAGGGCCATAGTTCAGCTAATTTGGCGAATTTGTCTAGAAATACATCCTCTCTTTCGCCTACTCCTCCACGAAGCGAATCGAACGTGAATTTGACACCGTTACCCCCTAGTATGACCAGAGGGTCGTCCAAATGGAGCATACCTTCCGTTGGCAGTAATTCATCGCGCGGCCACGAAAGCACACATGATTTGTTGGATGGCAAGGCTCAAGGTGACTTTGATCATTCGACACTGAGCAATTCTCCAGCTCTAGGGACTAGCCCAGGAATGAGCAAGTCTCCGGAGCCCCATCCTCATGCTTTTTTTAAAAGAATAAATTCTAGTTCTAGTGTTACAAAGCCCTCAAGCAGTGCATCAAACAGAAGTGCTGCTATAAATGCTCCTCTCAGGTCGTCTTCAAGTTTGAGCTTGCATAATTTACAATTCTTGAATAAGAAAAAGGATAAAAAATAAAATATTGAGCGACTGTCTCGTAAATAGTGCATCTGTTTATTAGCTGCCTGGTCTTTAATATAAGACAAGTCGTGCTACATAGCTTCTATAAACATTCTCAATAGATCATACGTAATAAGAAACTGGATACTCATCCATCTTGAAATTATACTATTGCATTCTTGTGCCTTCCACAATATAAGTTCGCTTTGAGTATCGATATTTTTGTGTAAGGGCAATAATTACCAAATAGGGATACTTTGTAAACATTATATAGACTATTTTTGAAGATAATAATCTCTTATACAAATATCATCGTGAAAAGATATCTGAGGGTTGAATAGAAACAAAACACTACTCCTCAGTTGGAACAGACTTCGATAATACAGTTATAGCTTTAAAGTGAAAAAGGGTCCGAAATCAATCTTCGCTATTGACCCACTATCGCATCAACAAAAATCAAGATTTGCGTTTACGGACAGGGCATAGCTACAAGAAAGTAAGGAGGATTATGGAAGAAGTCCTAATACTAGATCAAGCAGACAATTATGAATCAATAGATGGAAACTCTGAATTGGAGGATTCTTTCAATCCTAATGATATTCTTGCTACAGACGAATACAGGATAGACTTGAATGACTTGATAGACAACAATGTACTAGAGAGTCAGAGAGATGAGTTAGACAACGAAAAGCATACATTAGGTTCAATACCAGATATTCTGAGCCAAAAAGACATTATTATACCGATTAGTCCTATCAAGAAGCAAGGCCAATCATCATTTGCAAATGTTCAATCTCAAAGCGACACTAATGGAATTAATTTTATACGATCAAATTCACCTAAAACATGTCTCAGGCCAAACTTAATGAACACAAATATAGTTGCTAATGAACTTTTTCAAGTTACAAGTACACTCAGGGGAGTATCCCGTCCTCATTTTGATATATCGAATTTTGATGATCCTATGAATGAAGATTTCTTTGATTCTAAAGGGCTTAACAATGACAAACTAAACAAATTGGTTGATGAATTAGGCTTAAAATACAGTAGGGACTTTGAGTTTGAACTAGATGATCAATTACGGACAAGGTTCTTCAAAGGAAGATTCAATAAAGAGGTTCTAAATTCAAATTCCAAAGACGAATTGGATAGACAATTGAGTAATTATCTAAATCAAAATATATCAAGAAGGCAGCAGTCCCAGAATAAGGAGAACTTGGCACCTTCACCAGACCCATTGAAATCTATCAAGAGCAGGGATAATAATTCAATCAAAAAATCTAATAAGATGTTTTTCAAAACACCTCGAAGAAACACTAACTTGACCTCTGGCACTAGACCCCTCTCAAACCTAACAAATCTTGAGCAAAAAAAGGATTGGCAATCTGAATCTGCCGAAAGTGCTAAGTCTCCTAGACGAATATGTTCTCCTAGGCATCGTGCTGCTCCTGTACCCACAAAACCTTCCATTAGGTATGGGGATGCTCGATCAACTATATTTCTTGTAGACTCACTGACTGGTCATATCAATGATGCCACAAGGTTTGGAACAGAACTAAATGCATCAAACTGTGAGGGGTTTCCATTACCAGAAGACGCTAATGAAGTGGTTCAAATTCCCACTAACGATGATTCGAAGTCCAAGAAGCAAAAAATGGCAATCATAAAGGCAATAAGAAATAAACACTTCCGAAAGACAACAGAAAACAGCAATAATACAGAAAGACGTTCAGGGTTTTACTCGAGAGGCGAATTCCAGAAATACAGGGACTCTTTGAAAAAAGAAAAAGAAGAAAAACATGATCTTCTCGGCGTGGAGGTTGTCAACCAAACATTAATACCTCTTTCTAACACAAAGAAAAGCACGGATGATTTGTATGACGACGACTTAACAAGTGAAAAGAATAGAAAAAAGGAGTCCCGAAAGGTAAGATGGGCAAATGATTTAATTTGGTAAATCTATGTCTTCAACCTCTCGCTACTCCATTCTTGATAATAATGTATTATTAACACCACCTGCTAAATAATAATTTTTACTATATTGATTGGGATTTTATAAGTTTAATAGTTAATAGAATTTAAACACGAAATTTTCACAGCTTTTCATTATTACTTTCCCGATTAACTCATCTTTATACGACTGCATATTCACCAAAATTTCGCGTCCATATGGGCAATTTTTTTGTTGACACTTCATCAGAAGTAGCACTTAATATTCACCAAATACTACAATATTATAAAGAGATTGTTTCTGAAAATGTCTACGTTCTTTGATGAAATGAAAAAGTCCTTCGTGGACGTTTCTGTTACCGATGATAAGATTGATACGGCCGGATTTTTGGAAGCTTCAGAATCATTAGTTAAGCTATTTGATTTATTGGGCTCATCAGCCTTCGCTGTTGTACAAAAAGACATGACAGGCAATATCAAAAAAGTGCGTACTAAGTTGTTATCAGATCCAAGTGGAGCAGGCACTCTACAGGATTTAATTTTGTCGGAGGCAGGAACCAAGACTAAAACTGCCACACAGGGTCTTCTTTGGCTCTCTCGAGGATTGGAATTCACAGCAAAGGCTATGAGAGAAACAATCGACCAACCCACAAGTGAGTTGACAAAGACATTCACTGACGCTTACACTAAAACTTTGGCCCAATACCATGGTGTTTTGGTTAAGCCAGTGTTTAAATTGGCTATGAAAGCTTGTCCTTATAGAAAGGACTTTTTTGAAAAATTGGGTAACGACCAAGAGAAAGTCAATGCTCAGTTGCTGGAATGGGTCGAAGCTTTAGAGAAGATTGTTAAGATCATCATTGACTTTTTTGCTTCAGGTAATTATGGCAAAGGTTTATAAACATAATTAATTTAAATAAAAACACTCAAATGGACAAAGACTATTACTTTTATATTGTAGTAACAACATATAGAGATTAGCAAGCTTTTGTAAAATGCTTTTTACCTCAAGGGGCGGTCTAACTTTTCTTATGTATTTTCTTTTCTGTAAGACTTTCGAGTCGGACGAGGCTTAAGTGACGAAAAACTAAATAAGAATTTACAAATAATTCCATAGAAGCTTATTTAAGTATCTTAGCTATGTATTGATCATGACTGCCTATCGATGGCTTTTCAGACGCCTTAATACACGAAAATCGCTACTTTTATTGATTATATTAGTAGCGCTTGTTTGTTTTCAACAGTATCATCAATATAACTTAATAGAATCCGAAAATATCGATCGTGTGACACCCCTTCCTCCTCTTGATTCAAATGACGAGCCAAATCTAGAGAAAACGGCGGAAAATACAGCTCAGATTAATCATAAGCAGCTAGAGAAAGAACGCATTTCCCCAATAAAGGATGTTAATGTCGTTTTCAATGATCTACGCAGATTTAACCAGGAAGTGAGTTTTGAATATATGGAGGAGGGTAAACAATATCCAATTAAATTTAATGACAAGGATGTGGGAAAAGTTTTGACGGTCCAGTCTTTCAACGAAGAGACCGAACCACAGCCTGGTTATGAAAAGGAGAATGCTACTTTTTTTTCTTTAGTAAGAAACGAAGACTTGCGAGGGATTTTAAAGTCAATACAATCTGTGGAGTATAGATTTAACTCAAAGTATCACTATGATTGGGTTTTCGCAAATGACAAGCCTTTTCATCCCGGCTTCAAAGAAATAGTTAGTAATATCGTCAGTGGTAATGCTTTCTTTGAGGAGATTCCGGTTGAGTATTGGTCTTACCCTGATTGGATAGACATGGAAGCTGCTAATAAAACTAGAAGGATAATGAAAAGCAAGCAAATAAAATATGGTGATTCTGAATCCTATAGACATATGTGCCGCTTCAATTCTGGGTTCTTTTTTCATCTACCTCGAATGAAAAATTACAAATACTATTGGAGGGTTGAACCGGATATAGAATATCGCTGTGACATATTTTATCAGGATATATTTAAGCATATGAGGAAGAATGGCAAAAAATACGCCTTCACATTAGCGCCTCTTGAGTTGCATACCACAGTAGAAAAGTTATGGGATACGGTTAACAATTTTTTTAAATTGGAACCGAAGCTTGTGAGCGAGGATAATAACGTAGCCTTTTTGACAGAAGATGATGGGAAAACTTTTAATATGTGTCACTTTTGGTCTAATTTCGAAGTTGGCGATATGGATTTCTTTCGGCTGGAATCTTATACGAAGTTTTTTAATTATCTAGACCAAGAGGGTGGCTTTTACTATTCGAGATGGGGCGATGCGCCAATACATTCGATGGCCGTTTCTTTTATGTTGAAAAGCAGTGAGCTTTATTTTCTTCAAAATTCAGGCTACTTTCACAATCCAAATGGAGATTGTCCGTGGGATCCGTCTATTAGAAAACAAAGGAGATGTATTTGCCTGACCAAGAACGAAGCAACTTGGGCAAGAAATTCATGTATACCGAAGTGGTTTGAAATACATGGCTTGGAAAAGCCCGAGTTTGCACCTCATTTCGAGTTTGTCAATCAGCATAAACCGAAGGAGGAAACAGAAGAAACCAATAATGATGAAAATGAAGACGAATGAGATTCTATTACACAATTACATACACATCAAAATTTAAATAACTTAAATAAATCCATTGTAAGCTTTACCGAATTCGAAGAAGCAACTAGGCATCTTCCTTTCCTATTCTTTGCGCCTCTTGCATTAGCTCATAAAGTTGTCCTATTTGGTCTGGTGACATCTTGTCGAGCTCTTGTTGCTTCAACTTACCATTCATCCAGCTGCCTCCGTCGATATTTCTCAAGTAATCTTGCCATTGAGCTAAAAACCCGACTATATGTAAAGGATTATCGGCACTCTTATGAGCCTTAAACTCTGCCTTAACATATTGATCACCTAGTGATCTTAATGGAGCCGGCAACTTATGAATATGAGCTCTTAAAATAGCTCTATAAAGTTGAAGGGGTGGAAGTAGGGCTTCAGTATTCCTTTCCGGTCTGCGGGGTCTAACAAGTCGTATTAAAGAAGGTTTCATGGCTGCTTAATGATATCGTGAGCCGATAGAGCTTTCAAATTAATAAAAGGCAATATAGAAACCTCGAAGTCACGTGATTTATATTTCTTCAATTAAAATCTCTTCCAAGATATGATCGATTGTAGGAGATAAAACTAGTTATTATTATAAAAACAAAATTCCCTTAATACTCGTCCTTTATGCTACTGCTTCTATTACAATATAGATAACAGCATTTCAACATCAGGTCAGTCTTCTACTTTGCAATAAAGAAATGAATTGGTAATTGAGATATGGCCAGTTCTTAAATTCAAGATACCCTATTATAGAGTTTAAAATCTGAGAATAAAACCAATTGGAATAATATCTAGTATATTTCTGAATAAAGGTTCCCTATTATCTCATTCGATACCACCAATGGCTCCTACTCAAACCCAAATGGCGAGCCATCGTGTAGACTCCACCAAAGGATCGTATATACCTAGAAGAGGAGTACAAGTGTGCCTCAACTAGATATACCTTTCTGAAAAGTATAATGTTTTGTTGTACGAAAACGGTTAGTTCTTTAATTCCAATTGCATCCTAAACAGTCTGGAGTGGAAAATTCATCTCCCTCAGAGGAAAGAGTTAAGGAACATCATTACCTAATTAGGAAATTTTTTTTTGGGGCACATATATTCCAAGAATACCTTGAAATGGATTTAGTTGAATAAACATTAACTGATTAGGTTAATTCATTACTTGAAACCAGATGATTTAAAAGTATCAGTATCTGCCGTGGACTTCTTGGAGAAAAAAAATGAAAGTGTAAGACCTTAAACTATATATCATCACTAAGGAACCTACAAATACTTGGTCAATTTGTGCATTGCGACAGTGAAAACACGAAGAAGGTCGATATGAGGTTCACAACAAACATAGCTATAGCTGCAATTTCTGGGTCATTGGCCACCGCTATACTGTCTGATGTTGCTGGTGACTCCATTGTCTCAACAACAACTGCAGACTCCTTCTTAGATGAATTATTGGGAGGTGACGATTCAGCTTCATCCACAGCTTTGAGCAATAATGAAAAAGCCTCAACAACGAAGACAAGTACTAAATCAACAGGCACTTCTGGTTCATTTCTTGATGACTTACTTGGGGACAGCGGGGCCTCATCTACAAAGACTAGCACTAGTACTAAATCAACAGGCACTTCTGAGTCATTTCTTGACGAATTGTTAGGAGGAAGTAGCAACAATAAAACCACAACAACTACTTCAGCTTCTTCTGACTCCACTTCGACCGATAGCTTTTTTGATGATCTTATCGGCGATCTTTTTGGAAAGAAAAATAACTCATCAGCTACGACGACAAAATCAACCTCAGAATCTACATCCACTGGTAGCTTCCTAGACGATTTATTGGATGAGTTTGATGATCTTTTTGGTTCTTCCAACTCCTCAAGCTCTTCCGGAAGTGGCTCTTCAAGTGGTGACAGCCTTTTGGATGACCTAGCTGACTTTGCAAGTGGGATCTTTGACAAGTTATTGGACACAAACGGAACATCGTCATCATCGTCATCATCATCCGGCGGAAGCCTTTTGAGTAGCCTTTTCCATGCAGTTGGCAGCGCAATAGATGATTTATTCGATTCTGATGGATCATCATCATCTTCTTCATCATCATCTAGCGGAGGCAGTATCTTGGCTAGTCTTCTCAAATGGGGTGAAAAGGAACTCGAGAGCCTTTTAAGCTCCCTTGGTGATGGTTCTGGAATTCTCAGCAGCTTGTGGAATGCTTTTAAGGGCTTACTTGAGTCATTCCTTGGCGATACTTCATCATCTTCCGGTGGTTCTGGCAGCTTAAAAAGTTTCTTAGCAGGAATATTTGATGGTATTCTTGACGCATTATTCGGAGGCTCTTCTAAAAGTTCTGGTTCCTCTTCAGGATCTTCAAGTACAAGTACAAGCTTGTTCGGATCATCTGGATCATCGGGATCATCTGGCAAAAATTGTTGCTGCCCGTCTGGTACAAAAGCCTCAAAACTTAGAAGAAGAGCGCTTAGAAAACAAGTAAAAGCAAACGTGAGAGACTCTTTGAAAAAAAGAGCTGGCAGCTTCTCACCAGAACTGTACATTAACTTCATCGAAAGTATTTAAGTCAACCAAATGTCTTAAAAAAGATCGATCTTCTCTGGATACCTTTATAGTTACTAATATAATTTAAGTTAGATCATGACTCTACATCAATAGTAATTTTAAAAAGAGATTTCGATAAACTTAATTATTTCATCAAATTGAACGAGTTAAACCAAGTAAGCCTGTAACTAATTATTTGGATACGATAGATTCTGGATCCAATTATCTACTGTGAAATGGTGCCCTGTAGTCTAACATTTCACACGTAATGTTCACTTTTCACTTTCGTATATTTTTGTTCCCTTCTAAGAATAAGATTCAACATACGAAAAAAGCTAAATAGTTTATTTTGTAAGTCGAATGTTACACTCTTTTCCCTTTCAGCACATCAATGTGTGTTGCCTTTGGCTTCATCTTGGGCAATTTGGAGATTACTGCGAAAAACCAGACTCGATATGAAGAATCATGAAATTTCCTAAATAGGAAAATTGAGGAACACTTTAAGTTTAATTTCCTACTTTAGTAAAGTCAGCAGCCATATACATCAGAAAGAAGTTTTTAAATTACCCTAAACTGAACGCTTTACTAAAAGGTAAAATTAACAAATGCATTGGCACATTAACTAAACTAGTTCTGAATTTAAACTTCGTCTTAAATAATTACCATTTAGGGTATACATATTTCCCCATACCAATTTGAACAGAGTCCAATATGTTTTATATATGTTGAAGAAAAGCCCAGTAACGGCTGTGGTCAATTCTTCTTGCGTGTTAGTTTCATTCCCGACGACTGATGAAAATTTGAGTTACGGAGACACTGCAATATAAGAGTCAAAGATGAAGATAACATCCGTGCTCAGTACCGCAGTATTGGTTTCGGCCGTGTTGGCGAAGTCCAACATTGAACGCACTGAGACAGCTCCAAAAATACAAGAGAAAAGATCGTTTCTAGATTCCCTTTTGGGGACAAGTTCATCATCGAGTAGTGACAATCTGAGTGATAATAGCGACAATTCGGATGATTCTGCCTCAGCTGATACATCAAGTTCTAGCTCAAGCCTGATACAGAGTTCTAACTCTACATCGAGCAGTTCCACAACATTCTCCTCATCAGAGACTGGTAGCTCAATAATTGGAGCGACAACTGGTTCAACTAAAGAAGTCAATTTATTTGATCAGCAAGCAACTTCTTCGGATTCGACATCCAGCGAGGAATCAGACTCCTCCTCAAGTGTCAAGACATCTACTCAAAGCACGAAAGCACATAATTTGTTTGGATTTGCTGAAACGACGTCAGAACTGGAATCCAGTTCTAACATTGCAAGTTCAACTGTGAGTTCTTCATCGAAGAAGGCGAATTTATTTGGTTTTGAAGACTCTACGTCTGATTTAAATTCCAGTACTGCTGATGGCATTTCATCTTCAACACTGGATATTGTTTCTGAGGAAACTTCATCTAGTTACAGCGATTATTCATCGTCACAACTGTCATCTTCCATTTCAACTAAAAAAGTAAAGGGTCTTTTCGCTTTCTTGGAGGGCACCTCTAGTTCATCTGACCCAGGACCTTCCGACTCAAGTTTTTCGGCTTCCTATGCTAGTTCACTGAGCCAAAATACAGCATCTAGCGTCTCTGAATCTGAAGATCCTTTTGAAAATTTCTTCGGTAGTGAAACAAGCTCATACTCCTCGTTAATTACGGAAGCTCCTTCTAGCACAATAAGCTCCGAGTTTGGATTTGAAACAAGTTACCAATCTAGCGATTCTGGAGACCTGAGATCCACGACAAAAAAGAATGGATTTTTTGCTTTGTTTGCTAAAGAAACTTCCTCAGAAGATACAGATATACCATCATATACAGAAAGCGATTCTGATATCAACGCTTTTGATGATACACTTACCGCTATTCCCACAGACTCAGATTCATCCGTACCTACTTCGAGTGGAGAAGATGACGATGATTGTGACGAAACCGACACTGATGTGCCGACTGCTGCTGACTCCGTTTCGATACCAGACGTCACTGGCTTGGATACTATAACTGATGTTTCATCTTATCCGACAGCAACCGATGACGATGATGACTGTGATGAAACAGGCACTGAGGACCCAACCGGTATTGAAACAGAGTCAATACCAGAAGTAACTGGCACAGATGGTATAACTGATGTTCCATCATCCTATCCAACATCATCTGATGACGATGATGATTGTGAAACTGAAACTGAAGAGCCAACGGACACTAGTACGGCAATCACATCAGGTGCCACAGGCTCGGGTGGTATAACCAACGTACCAAGCTCTTCTCCAACAACATCTGACGATGAAGATGACTGCGAAACTGATTCAGAAAATACAACAACTACTGGCACATCTGTTACAACCAATACAGGAGGTGGAGGCGCTATTACCACCACTAAATCCACTACAACTTCCACGTCCGAAGATGACGATGATGATGAAAGTTGTGAAGAGACGGATACTGGCGTAATCAATACTGCTACAGTTACTAATTATTCAACAACAAAAGCCACAATCACAGGAGGTTCAAGTAACACCAAGAGCCCAGGTTCTGGCACTGGTTCTTCTGGATCATCTTCAAATGACTCAGATGACGATGACGATGATGATGATGATTGTACAGAAAGCGAGGGTAGCACAAGCAGTCTGAATGGATCTGGATCTGGATCTTCAGGATCTTCTGAAAGTGGCTCTTCAGGGTCTGGTTCTTCAGGGTCTGGTTCTTCAGGGTCTGGTTCTTCGGGTTCAGGGTCTTCAGGTTCAGGGTCTTCAGGATCTACCTCAGTTGATTGTAATGATGATGACGATGATGAAGATGAAAGTGGATCTTCTTCAAGCGCCTCTGGATCCTCCTCTGGATCCTCGACGGGTTCATCTGGTTCTTCTTCAGGTTCTGAAGAGTGTGATGCTAGCTGTGAATGTGAGGAAGAAGATGATTCCGATGACGATTGTGACTCAGATGATGAAGATGATGAAGATTGTGATGCTACTTGTGCTTGTACTGAGGAATCCAGTACAACACTGACAGTCATAGCTGTCTCCAAAACCACGTCAGCGACAGCTACAACGAACACATATGTTACAATTGCAGGTGATAATAAGATGAATGGAATCGCATCATCGAGCTCTAGTAGCTCTTCAACTCCTGAAGTCGAAACATCTGAAAATGCTGCAAGTAGATCATATGTCTTTAGTAGCTTGCCACTTATTCTCACTATTGTTGCTATCGCCATAATATAGTGATCAAGCGATGTTCGGATTGTGAATTGCTAAACTAACGCAGTAGTTAAAACAACTACCATAGCATAGTTGCCGGGCAGCTATTAATCACCTAACGGTAAAAGAAAATCTAACATAATACCAATATTTATAACCAGAAAAATAATTGGATATGATTAGTCTCAAGCTGGTCTAAAGTACTCTTATATCTGCTTCGTATTAATTTAGAATCCGTTTTTAGTTACAAATAATATTAAAATATACTATAAATTTATTGGATTAATTACGTGCTCATCATCATGAATTCTATCATTAAACTTAAATAGGTGGTAAACTATTTCTACAAACTGGACACTGAAGCTTATACTTCATCCAATCTTGCAAACATTCCTCATGAAATATGTGTCGACAAGGCGTGATCATATAAGTCTTCTTGGTGATTTTCTTTTTAGAATCGTCATCTGTGACAACTGGAAGATTAATCTCGTTCATACATATGGCACAATCAACTTTGCAATCAACAACTTTCGACAGTTCCTGATCTGTTCTTATATTAGATAATATGTCAGAAGCGAATCCGTTTTCCAAATCGTGGACGCTGAGGACAGGTTGATAGTCGTATGCATCAGGCAACCATTTTTCATTAACCCAAAAGCGAGGACCCAAAATAGATTGTAAGAAAAGCAAGAAAATCTGTACCAGCAACCAGGAAAAGAGTACTAATGGTAGGAAATGGTCCTTGTGATGTCTTAATGGATTATCCAGAAAGATACTCAAGTAGAAGACTGGAATAAATCTCAAGACACTTGTACCCACTATGAACTCCCAAGAAAGAGAACGCCTTCTGTTCTTCAAAGTATTTCTCAAAAATTGGGGAATCCAGTAAGTATTCGTTATAATCAAGCCAACGTACTCGAAAATTCTCCTATATTTGACCCTCCAAGTTAATGAGTTAAATATTATGAAGGTAGCAATTACAGTAAGGGGAAATCCACTAGCAAATATGCTATTAGAAAACCTAGTCTCATCATTCCCAGTAAATGGTTGCTGAGGTGTTTCTGTCTGAGCGGCAGCTGGAGATTCTGTATCAGATGCCAGACTAGAACCACCTCTCAAGATTTCCCACCAAGTAGTATCTCTTTCATTGGCCTGGCTTGTTAGCACGCTTATCATGAATCTGACCTCAAATATCCCACACATTATAAATGCTATCACTCCAATGCAAGTTAGTAAGAGATACAAGTCTCCAAATATTGTCGACATCAATAAGAAGAATAATACGATTAATGAATCCTGAAATCCAATGAAGAACAAGGTTTTGCTTGAAATTGCAGATAACTGCCCTGGTGTTCTTGTTTTCTTAATTTGTCTGAGAAATAATATTAATTGTAAACAAACAAGCATCAATAAGCCCGACAAAGCACCTTTCAATTTCTTATTGAGAACTTCTACTTTTAATCCTTCTAATTTAGATTCAGCTTTCGTTGTCAAGATTAACCCACAATCAGGCGAATACAAAACATAATCTTTTATCTCTAAATTCGGCAAATGCTTTGGTATCGGCCGTCCACACGGATGCATAAGCTCATCGTCAATTTCTATCAACGTTTCTTTGTTAAAATCTGTTTTTTCAAATTGGAAAAACGACAAGAACTCGCATTGCTCACTCCTTGAAAGATATGAATTCATGCTGTCAATTGTTATGTCCTGACCTATATTGTGAGATTCTAGTTGCTGCCCTATTAATATTTTGGATATATTGAAGTTCTCTTCATTGAAACCTAAGTGTGGAAGGCCATAATCACCTAGAAATTTAGCAGAATTTGTCGTGGCAACAATTGCACCAATCTTTTGAAAGTATATCCCAATTGAATCTATTTCAGTATCTTCAATTTCATCGTAATCATGAATATTTATATCAAGAGATACTAGAATTGCATCATCTATCTTTAAATTCTTGTAGTCCTTCAAGTCACGGTACTTTGACAGCTTATAGTTATAATCTGAACCCTTGATTTTCAATGATATTTTACCCTCTTTATTAGTAATATTACCAACCTTTGGAGCATCAGTAACCTCCTTCTGCTCGGTCGTTTTGCCATCCAACTTATATCCTTCCTCAGGATCATCATATCGCTCCTTGTTATATTGGTTGTAGTAGTCACTCAAATACGTTGGGAGCTTTAGCTCGTACTCTTTCAACGGTTCTTTTAATTCCCATTTAGCAAACTCTCCATAAGCTCTCCCCGAAATATTCAATAGGTATGCCTTGTCATCATCTGAGTCTACTTTATCTGTTCCCCAAAACAGCTTGATCCTGTCACTAACGACATTTGGAAGAATCGAAAATTCCTGGTCCTCCTTCCAGGGATGCTTCGGATTATACTTATGAATCGGCCAATCCTTTACCTTCTTGTTCTTTACATTATCGTTATACGATAGCTCGAACCCTGTTATATTACCATACCCTGTACTATACGCGGATTTTTTAAGCTCTCCTGTTGATCTTTTAAGCTCCTTCTGAAATTGAGTAAGTGTTTCCTTATCCTTTTCCGAGTGGGGCTGGTCATTCCCACTCGGTAAAGAGAGGAACAAGAACATAATGATCAAGAACAATAACGTTCGCCGATCCATCTTACCTATTCTATTCTTCCTTAACAGTGGCAATAATAGTCACAGAATGTTTTGAAGACAGTGCGAAAGATGATTTTAGATAGATGATTAACTGATCATATACACTCATATATACTCGCATATAAATATGGAAAATTGGTCTGGGCAGAATAGAAAAGTGAACAAATCAAATGCAATTAAATCTAAATATATTTCATATATAATTAAACAAGAAGACTATCAAGAAATAGATGATTAGACGAGAACCTCTTGAAGACTATGTTTACGTAGAAATCCGCTCTCAAAAGCAAGTAATGATTGATTTAATAAAAACTTTTACACTTCTATCGACGAAAATGTGAATGGTTCGTAGGCATATCCTTCACCTTCAAAGAATTTGGACATAGCTTCAACCCAATGTAATCTTAGAGAATGCAACATGGCAGAAGTACCTTCCATTAAAACTAAGATACAGACGGTTAAAATGAACCAAAGCCCAAATAGAAGCACGGTCATAACGACTCCGGCAGTTCCCAGAGAATAGAATGCATTTTGGATGGTCATAGACCATAAAACCGACGATAATTGAGCATGTGCCAACGATAAAGCCCACAACCTCAAGTATGACGCAGTATGACTAACACAATTAAGGCAAAACTCAATGGTGTGAATAACCTGATGAATAACGATGTCTCCAAAATTGAACTCCTCATGATCACCGTGAGAAGCTGAATTATGATTGAGCGGTTCGATGTCATTTGGGAACCTGAAGTCATCGTTCAATAGATCCACTTCATCCTGAGGATCATGATTTAAATCATTCTCTAACTCAATTGCTTCTTCTTCTTCATGAAGTTGAATATTGTGATTAATTTGCGAATGTAAATCGCTGTAGCCCAATTCAAGAGCTTTGTTATTTTGCTTCTTTAGAGTCATCGGTTTGTACAATAATAACCATGGCACACAGATCGCAGCAATCAAGACTAGGATTATTTGAACAAACTTCTGACCGGCGTAAAGAGGTTCCTCAATTTTCCCTGGAGCTAGGAACATGTTGATCAACATATTAAGTAAGCCAGGTGGTTGACGGTCAGTACCCAACCAGTCAACCGACCATTTATAAATAATAGTAAGGCATAAATATCCAAAAATACTTTGCATAAATAAAAATCCAGGTATAAAATTCCCAATAATATCAACCTTTGATTTGAAATATCTATAATTGACTAAGCTGAAGAATAGCGAATAATTCATATGAGCAAATCCCATTAAGATGGATAATTTCATCTTATATGAGTTCGTAAATAACAAATTATTTTCCGCCCCATGCCACGCCCAATCTAAACCAAATAGATAAGTACGGCCAGGTATTTTTTTGGCTGTTATTGATCCTCCAGTAACAGGGTCATAATTTTTTGGGAAATCCCACTCCCATCCAGACTTGAATATAGTCATTGATTTAGAAAAAATATCGTTGTACATGAATCCGGTGTACATAGAAAAAATCCCCATTAACAATAGAATATATCTTCCGTTGAATGCCATTTCAAAGATTTCATCTTTGTTTCTTTGAGCTCCAAAACTAATTTCGTTTTTGATCAAGTACAAACTAATCAACAAAACGATAAAACCATGACCTAAATCCCCAAACATAACAGCAAACATAAAAGGGAAAGTCACCACGGTAGCTAAGCCAGGATTTACTTCCTGGTAAGTCGCAATACCATATGCATCGATGATCAGCTGAAATGCAGAGGTAAACTTATTGACCTTATGATAAGTAGGAGGAGTACGATTTGTTGAAAGTTCATTCATAACTGCAATTAAAGCGTCATAGCTACCATCTTCTGCGTCGCTTTCGCCATCCTCGATTGTGAAAGGAGATGAAATATGGTTAGTGGGAGGGGGAGATGCATTAGATCCCGGTGTAGATTGTTCATCTGCAGACAATATAACCGATTCTTGAGAATCAGACGTATGAGGTAAAGACGGACGAGTCTTTTCTTTGATTAAGTTTTTGAGTGTACGGCGAATTAAACTGAATTGATTTTTGGGTATCCAACCCTCTCCCACTAGGCATCTTCTGGTACTGTCCTCATCAAATTTATTCAATGTTTCATAAATTGCACCTTCTCTCTGAATGATGTAACAAAAATTAGAAAATGATTCCCGGAATAAAAGCAATTCGGCAATTAAGTGATCTTTCGTGCTCGATACGACACTTTCTAAATCGCTTATTTTTAGATTTAATTCCCCAAGAACTTCCAGCCTAGCTTCAGAGCCACCTTCTACGTTATCAAATATGATTCCATCTAGTGAATGAATAATTTTTCTAACTCTCATCTTCAAGACATCACCATGTATGTATATAATAAAAATACTCTTACCACTTAGCGTCGTGTATTCAGTCTCTGTAAGAAGAGATTTTTCAGGCTCAATAGCGATATCATGAAAGAATAAATTTCCTCGCAACGTTCTCCATAATATATTTCTTAACAATGGTATTTTTTCTCGTGAAATCGTTCCAGAAATCGAATCAAATCCTGCGTCTCCAAGATTCACCGACTCACTTCCAAGTTCCAAACTATGATTTCTTCGATTGAGTAAGGCAACGTCGTCTCTATCTTCGTCAAGTGTACTAAAAGTTGAATCGTCGTAACCCAAAAGGCTAGATTTGTGAAAATCATTGAGCGCAGTAATAACAAATCTATTTTCAATTAGCTTAATCTTTTGGAGTTCTAAACCGTTGAAGGAATTATCTAAGTGCTCAATTCTTTCGTGTATTGCAGTAATTTTAGACTTTATATTGTCCATTTCAGATGACGAAGGAAGCGGAGCCACATCTGCCAGCAAATTCAAATACACATCGTCGGACATCGAACCATATTTTATCATCACACTAGTCAAATATTTCAACTTTGACTCCACTGTATCATTATTTCTTAATTCCTTTACAAATGTCCTTTGAAAAGGCGTGAGCTTGGAGTTTAGATCACGAAAATGTACATTGCCCAACTTTCCCAAAGCAAAAACAACATCTCTAGCCAATTCAATTGTAACGTAGAATTGCACCAAGGTCATTGTCTCCGATCTGAAGATCGCCTCTGTATTAGGCTCGGATCCTTGTCCAAGTAATCGTAGGTCAAACATACGTCAGATTCAATCTCTATTTGATATTTTTATTGAGAAAGATCACCTTGAAAAGAACTCGAATAAACTTCAGCTTATCCGATGCAATATATTTCTGACTAATGTTCTTGAGTTTGATTCCTACTCAATTTTTACGTCAACACGGACTCAAGTGAATAAGTTGCCAGATCCCGTTTACTCTGATCAGATTTATGTTATGCAGGTTACAGGTTACACATTTATTTTACAGATTACAATGCTCGAGTATAACGGCAAGAGATAGGAAGTTCAAATTGATCTATCAATAGGTAATCAACCCATTTATCGAATCCACAACATATGTATAAATATTTGAACAGCCGTTGAGTAATTCTGGAATCCTTTAGAACCAATTGTAGGGTGTTATACGAAAATAAAATGACAAGAAGCTCTGTTCTAAGTTGGATTATTCCTGTTACGACATGGATCGTAGTTATCATGGTCAGTGCATTTGCAGGAAAGGCAAATGCAAAGTTAAGTGCACAATACGATCAAGCAATGAGTCTCTTGAATGGTGACCTTATTAATGCTCTGGTAGCTGAGCCTATGTTCGACGGTACGAATATTGATGATAATTTGTATATTCCTCAATATAGCGACACACTCCAAGACTACGTGTCCCCAGCACATTCTGCTAAGATAAAGAATGAATTAGTACGACAAAATGGGATATCCTTACTAGAACAAGCGGCCGCGTATAATGATATACGCGCAGCACTTGTGTTGGCTGATATCTATATGTTTGGTAATTTTTCAGTGCCGACGAACTATACGAAAGCTGTCGAGTATTATCATCGAGTAGTTGAAATTGAAGGGAATGGTCATGCTTATTTCATGCTTGGAATTGCTTATTCAACTGGTTTATTTGGTGAAGTGGAAGAGGATCAAGCTAGGGCGAATGTATATTACCAATTTGCAATGGAGAATGGCAGTATTAATGCGATAATTGCTCTAGCTTTTAGAAACCTCAAAGGTATTGGAACAGTCATGAATAAAGACCTTGCGCTATTCTACTATTCCAGAGTGGCTCAGTTAGGAATGGAGTTCATCGAGAGTGAAAGAGAAGGAGATAGAGAGGATGACACTTTACTGTATAATATAAGATTAGTTGATTTTAATGGAGGGATTTATGGAAATAAAATAAGTGAAAGCTCAAGCTCAATATTTTCAAGTACAAAAAGCTATCGGTCGTCCAGGTCTACCTTTAATGAGTTTGTAATAGACGCTGAAGATCATGAATATGTTGACTATTATTATAAAGCATTAGAATATTATGATGGCGACTACTTTGTACCTAAAAATAGGACTAAAGCATTTGAAATTGTAAGCGAGTGCGTTGACTTAGGTCAGGTCATGTATGGCTCAAGAGAATTTAGAGGGGTCAATGATCTCGATCGAGTCTTTTTGAGTCGATGTCAAGCATTATTGGGGCATATGTATTTAAAGGGTTTCGGGACAGAAAAAAATTATAAATTAGCACACTACTGGCTTCAAATATCTAGCAAGGTAGGTAACCTATCTGAGGCATTTAATGACCTTGGTTTGATGTATCAGTACAACCTTTTACCTGAACTTGGTGCTGATACGAACACATCTATAAGTTATTATAAGAAAGCTATTAATATTTTCGAATATTGCCACGAAGCAAGATTAAACCTTGCCAAGCTTTTGTTGCAAGAGAACTCAAACGACATTCTTTCGAGTCCATTTAAAAAAGAGATATTTCAGAATATCGAAGAGGCGGTCTATAGTGGAAGTACTGAGGCTCTCTTTCTTTACGGGGAATTTTTACAAATGGGGCTATCATCTCTCTCAGCTACTAAGAAAACTACATCAGCTGTAGTGTATTACAAGATATTTGTAGAAAGGTTGGAGAAATATTACTTTCCTCAGTTAAGATATGCATTTGAGGAGCTCAGATATGGGAATTTCAAAAATTCTTTACTCGGTTATCTGATCGCTGCTGAACAGGGCCTTGAAAATGCTCAAGTTTCGGCATCCTATTTACTTTACCAACTTCAGCCACTTTATCTGAGGAAAAATCGTAAATCTTTTACCAATTCCAGAGTGCGTTCAGCAATAAGATATCTAGAGCAAGCATCATCTCAAAACAACATTGATTCCACGATCTTATTAGGTGATATCTATCTTAATGGAATTGAAGAGGCGGAAATCGCAGTCGACTATAGCAATGCATTTGCTTATTATAATAAAGCTGCCCAATATCATTCGTCTCATGCCTGCTACAATTTGGCATATATGTATGAGTGTGGACTAGTCCCCCTCAATAATTCATTGGACTATTTCATGGCTAAAAGATATTATGATAAAAGCCTTCAGTATAGGGAGGAACATGAGTATCAAACTAAGTCTGTTCTCAATAAAGTGGCAATCCATTGGGCCCTATTACGCTTAAGACTTAAATACTTGTTCTTCAAGAATAAGTTTAAAAATCAATCAATATATGATGGAGCAACAGGTTGGTTGAATACCATGAAAAAAATTGGAGACGATGAAAAAATACAAGATCAGACAGCGAATTCAAAAAACAATAGAGCTAACTCTAGAGCATCATCACACCATGAGGGAAATTCCTATTTAGTCGAAGAGGAGTATGACATTGGAGATTACCTTGTGATATTTCTTACTTTATTGTTCTTCATAATCTTCTTTGTTCAAAATTTTTTGAGACAAGTAAGACGAATGAGAAACAACCAACGAGGCGATGGACAAGATCAACAGGAGGGCCAGCCAGAAAATGGATGGAACAGAGGTCAATTTAATTTCAGAGGCGGCAATGTAGAGTTCCATTTTTTTGCAATCTAGTATCTGGTTGTAAATAAAATAGATTGTATATAATGCGAATATATTAATGCTATAAAACTGACGTCTAATTTTTGATATCGTTTATGATGTCTCTTATTATTGGATGCTCTTTAATTAGTTTGGAGTTCACAATTTGACTGCCATTGATTTTGACACTATTTCGTTTGGTACTATTCTGAGAGCTAAATGTTGAGGAAGGAAAGTCGTAAAATTGAGACGCATTGAATGGTAAATCATAGACCCATCCTTTCTCACTCAAGACCTCCACAAAGGATCGGGTGGATTCGGCACTTGATAAAGTAGATTTCGATCCTAAGATGATGAGTTTTGACTTTGATCTTGTAATTGCCACATTTACCCTTCGCCATTCCTTAATAAGGTCACCTATTTGACCTTCTGCATTTGAACGAACAAGAGATATTACTATGCATTCCTTATCCCTTCCTTGAAATTGATCTGCTGTCAAAATTTCTATATCTTGAGTTGCATTTAATGCCCTTCGTAATAACTTCAATTGAGACCTGTATAAAGACATGACACCGATATCATTCTGCTTTACTCCACAGCATATCAACCCTTCTACGATCTGTTTCGTAAGCTCGACCTCGACCATATTTTCGATCTTTTCACCAACTTTCCTTTCATTTCCTGGTACTTGATCATGATTTAGGAAGAGAACTTTGTTCTCCATTTTGAGAATCCATTGCATCCAATGATTTTTCATATTTATCTCACCAACGCTGTATTTCTTAATACATTCAGGGTGAGGAATATATAGACACTTGTTGGACACTTCTTCAGAACCACACTTCAAGCGTCCATTATATATGAGGACATTGGATAAGTGCATAATCTCTTTACACATACGATACTGATATGTTAACTCAACCACACTTTGTGGGTGATTTTCTGCTAAAATTTTGAAAAGAGATTGTGAGAGCCCTGTTTTGACTGCTTGACTATGATGTTGAACTAATGGAGGTAGTTGAAAATGATCTCCAACTAAAACGAATTTGTCACAAAATCTTAGGGGTCCAAGATTTACAGGCATGGAGACTTGCGATGCTTCGTCGATTATGCAGAAATCAAATTTTTGGCGCAAATTAAAAGTTATGTCATTGATACCAAGACACGTTGATGCGACAACAGGTGGCTCAACATACGTCTTCATTAAATCATTATAGTTTTCAACCTTTTTACTTGCATCAAAGTTCGGTAAAAATCTTCTCAAGTCCTTGTGTACCTTTGAAGGAGAGCCGATCCTTAATATATCTATTCCATAATCTTTAACCTTGAGAAGAATATTGTCAACGGCAGAATGTGTATATGAAGCCAAGAATACTGTCTTCCCGTTTTGAACTATGAGCCTTATTAGTTCTGCTATAACGGATGTCTTTCCAGTACCAGGCATTCCGAGGATTAGGGAGTAATCTTCCGTGCGCAATACTTTTTCAAACGCTTGAAGCTGATCTGAGTTGAAGTGGCCAGCAACAGTATATTTCATTGGGCTCTTCGAGAACTTCGGTGCCTTCAAATCAACAACTGCTTCTCGTCTACGATGATCTCCGTTTGGCAAAAATAGATTCAAGAGGTTGAATCTGGCAAGGCTGAGCCCATGAAACATGTCATCTTTGTCAACTCTGAAAGTCTTCTTAGGGCCACCTACAAATTGAGATTTGTGCAAGACTCCTTGAAATGACTGATTGTTGAGCATGTTGAAGTCTTTAAGCTTCATATCCGAGCTGATTATTCTCCTGTTGGTGGAAATTTTTAAGATTGATGGCGATATAGTAACGACAAAACCTTGAGCAATAGCAAAATGACCGCTTTCATCGCTAACAATCACCTTATCGCTTTTAGACAACTGAGAATCTTGCAAGTTAGATAGAGGAGTCAGCTTTTCGAACGTATAAATAAACTCTTCTTGCGAATCACTTAAATCGTCGGATTCTTTGAGTACTAAATCACCAATTGCTTTTCCGTTATCACTTTCCCTTTCTATGGCAGAAAACTTCCAAAGGTCGCGTTTTAGTTTCATCATAATACTTTCTTCTTTCGTTATTAAGTCATCCCAGTGGTTGTAAAAATTCTTATAGTGTGCTTTTTCGTTCAAATGTGCATTGATGCTTTCGAAGACGTCTTCTTTAATTCCGCAGTCTTTCGAGCAACCATCCTCGATTAAATTATTAATGACCATACAGGGTTCTTGAATTTCACATCGATCGCATTGTGACTGTTTGATGAGCGGTGGTAATTCTCGAGTGTTTTCCTTTAGGTATTTAGTAATTCTATTTCGAAGGTTAACCAATGATCTTAAATCTGCTGGACTAATGTCATATTGTTTAGTAATCCTTTCTTTAGTATAAACTAAAAGAAAAGAGTTTACATCCATATCGTATCTATCTTTAAAAAGAAGGGAATACAAAGACGACTGTGCCTGATGGCTTATATGCTCTTTCCCAGTCTTTATTTCCATCGGTAATAAAAATTTTCCACGAGAGTTTTCTGATGCAATTTTTGCCTCAAGTGTAACATCTACCATTCCCTTTATTCCAAACATGGGTGACCAGATATTCTCTTCTACATCAAGAGCTTCTGTAGCAGAAAACAAAATATTCTTCTTATAATGGTTCGTTGGAATTGAGACATTTGAAGATAAAGGCTTTTTATAATATGTATCAAACCAGGTTTTCAAGTATGGAAGTTGTTTTTCAATTTCACATTGAACCGTTTCGATTCCTTGATTTAAACTTAAAATCTCAATAAGATGCTGTTCGATTTCGACTTTTAAAATTTTTTTCATGAACTCAAGACACCAGTTTTCAGAAATAAAACATGATTGGAATATGCTATGTATTATAACTCCAACTAATAAAGGGAGCGAAGACGCGGAAGGAAAACTGAATCTGTTCAATAAGACAGTCTTCCTCGGACAACCAAGCTGCTGCGAGACAGTAGTTGCTGACACTAAGATGTCTGGATTCCATATCAATAAGTTTTTAGTGTCATCAACAAGTCTCTCATTTGAAGAATCAGTGATAATAAGATGAATTATATCACCAATATTAAAATCAAGTTCTGAATACTCTCCCCTTACAATTAATTTGCTATCTGCTTTAGTTGAATTAACAACACTTAACAACAATTGTTCTCTTTTTCTTCCCTTCACATTGTACGAAGAACTCTTTATATCAATTATTTCATACCTCCTTAATTCACGTCTCAGAAAAGAAATTTTTGATTCACTTCTATAGTCACTAACATGCCTGGAAGTTTTGTTGTTTTGCAATGCAAGCGGTCCAGTCTTTTCTGAGTCAAGTGTAGTTCTTGCCTTAACTTCAAGGAAATCGAGATCGTCATCGGAAAAAGGATCATCCGCATCAATGCTTTCATGACCTAAAACATTTAAAGCATTCTCTTTTGCTTCTGAATTTCTTTTCCCATCTTCTTGGTTAATTACAATGTTTTCTGAGACGGCACGAGGCTCATCTTGCATATTTAACACTTGTAAAATTTGATCGTCGTCGTCGGAAAATGGATCTTCGGATGAAGAGTCCCCAGCTACACAACTTTCTCCAAAGTTTGTCGTTTCCTCTCCCTTTGGTTGTGATGAGTCACTGAACTCATCGCTGAAGTCTATTTGCTGAATATCGATTTGATTCGCATCCTTAGTAGTATTCGGTTTCAAATCAGATTGCTTATGGTCAGAATAAGATAATGATGCATGAACAGATCCAGACATATCAAACTTATCTATCCAGTTATTTAATGTTCCTGCAAGTGTACCATCTAGAAGTTTTTTGGGCCCACCCTCTTCATTTCTCAAATTTTTCTCACTTGAGAAGCGTTTACATCCGCTGGACATTGCTCTGACTAAAGACGGTGATTGGGGCTCAGTTGTGGTTAGATTTCTTTTCTTATGGATGCTCTCAGCAGAAGATATATCTGAGCGAGCTCGAATTATTCTGGGTGTTTGAGACATGATATTTTGAAAATCAGACCCATATTTAGTTAAAACTGAGTTTGCCTGCTCGTTGAGGACAGTGATTCCACTTGAATCCTTGTTCGATTGATTATGTACTTCTCTCAACGGTGAAGATGGCAAAACTTTTCTTACCATAAGTTTCTTAGGGCTGGCTCTCCATTTCACCCCTTCAAAGCTGTCATCTGAGCTCTGCAATTCCTGCAACATTCTGTCATAACTTTCATCGGGATTATAAGAAACGTTCTTTGTTTCAGTCTCCTTCACCTGCTCCTTTTTTTCAGAACTAATACGGTGAGGATTCTCCATTAACGTATCAATCGGATTGAAAAAATATTTCGTCTTCTTGGAAACCACTTCTACTTTTCTATCGTTCTTTGGTCTATCTAATGGTAGTGGATTGTTCTCCTTGCCTGTACTTTCATGTCTTATTCTAGGTTTTTTATTACAAACGGGAGAGGATACGGATCTTTCGATCTGCCTCTTATCCATTTCAACACTTCGTTGGCAATCCTTGGTGTTACCCCTACTAATGGCATGTTTAAATAGCATGAAGTTATGTTAGTAGACACGCGTAGGTTAAACATAGTTTTGTGTCACCTACGTCATGTGATATATCACCTGATCACGAGGTTTGTGTCGCAGATGATTATAGTAACAGAAAATTTTTAAACCTCATCGGATGAAATTTTTCATACAATTATCTGAATATTCAAACAAACTTTGGACATCTTGACGATAGAGCTCATTATTTGATTTCTTTTATATAATAACTCGGCGTTCTTTTCTATTAAGATTGTGATCTATATCTCCAAGTAGAATTGGCGGAAGACATAATTGTTGAAGCAAAAAAGAAAAAAGATGGCGTACGTTTTAACGGAAACAGCAGCAGGCTACGCCTTGTTGAAGGCGGCTGATAAAAAGATATACAAGTCCAAAACATTAATTGAAGATTTAAATTCTGCTGAAAAGGTAGCAGAGCAATTCAAAATCCATCGTTTTGAGAAATTTCAATCTGCAGTGAATGCTTTAGAGGAAGCTAATGCCATCATTGAAGGACGTGTATCTGAAAACTTGAAGAAATTATTGGAGGATGCTAAGGCAGATAAGAAGGCAACATTAATAGTCTCTGAGACAAAGTTAGGAAATTCTATTAATAAGTTAGGTTTGAATTTTTCAGTCGTTTCAGATGCAGCTTCGTTGGATTTATATAGAGCTATCAAAGAGTTTTTACCTGATTTACTTCCAGGGATGGATGAGCCAGCTTTGAACCAAATGACCTTGGGTTTAGCACATTCCATTGGTCGCCACAAATTGAAATTTTCAGCAGATAAGGTGGATACTATGATAGTACAGGCAATTGCATTATTAGACGATTTAGATAAAGAATTGAATACTTATGCGATGCGTTGTAAAGAATGGTACGGTTGGCACTTCCCTGAATTGGCTAAGATTGTCACTGATTCCGTTGCATATGCTAGAATCATTTTAACCATGGGAATTAGGTCAAACGCTGCGGATACAGATCTTTCTGAAATATTACCTGAAGAAATTGAAGAGCAAGTCAAGTCCGCTGCTGAGATTTCTATGGGTACGGAAATTACTGACGTTGACTTATTGAATATAAAGGCATTAGCAGAGCAAATTGTTGATTTCGCAGCTTATAGGGAACAATTATCTAGTTATTTGTCTTCTAGAATGAAGGCCGTAGCACCAAACTTAACAGCTCTTGTTGGAGAATTAGTAGGTGCAAGATTAATTGCCCATGCAGGTTCCTTGACATCATTAGCAAAAGCTCCTGCCTCAACTATTCAAATCTTGGGTGCAGAGAAGGCGTTATTCAGAGCCTTAAAAACTAAACATGATACTCCAAAATATGGATTATTATATCATGCGTCTTTAGTTGGACAAGCTTCAGGAAAAAATAAAGGTAAAATTGCCAGAGTTTTAGCGGCTAAGGCTGCGGTCTCCTTAAGATATGATTCTTTATCAGAAGATCGTGACGATTCTGGTGACTTTGGATTAGAAGTCAGGGCCAAGGTTGAGTCGAGATTGAGTGCGTTGGAGGGTCGTGATTTGAGAACCACCTCAAAAATTGTAAGAGAACAGCAGAAAATTCAAATTACAGAAGCTCCTACTTACAATGCAGATGCTGACGCTCAAGTAGCTGAAGTTGATTCAGATGATGAATCTGATACTGAAATGATTGACAGTAAGAGTGAAAACAAGGCGAAGAAAGAAAAGAAGAGTAAGAAAGAGAAAAAGGAAAAGAAAGAAAAGAAAAGAAAGAGAGAGAGCGATGATTCAGTGGATTCCCCGTCTAAAAAATCGAAGAAAGATAAGAAGGAAAAGAAGGAAAAGAAAGAAAAGAAGGAGAAAAAGGAGAAGAAAAGCAAAGATAAGAACTAGATGCATTAGATCACAACTTCAAAGAGAAATTGCATTTTTTTGTCTTCTTATGTCTACATTATTTTATATCTATAGTCGGGATGTATCATGTTTAGTGAACTCTTGTTTTAAACCTGTATGGGATCATAATAAAGTTATCGAAAATATATTTTGTACTTACTTTGATTGTTCTTTACTATCGAATGACAATTACAATAAAATTTAATCGAGATCTGGCACTTCTGGCATATCAATGTCATCGTCAGGACGAGCAGCAGTAGAATTTGTAGTTCTATGAGAAGTACGCTCATGAGATCGTTCCCGAGAAGTATTAGCCTCAGATTGTTGGTTCGTTTCATTCAAGTTTGAGTCTTGGTTGTGATTGATATTACTTGAGTGTCCAGATCCACCCATTGCTTGAGAAAATATGTTTCCAACACTCGGAAGAATACCGCGAAGGACATCTCTCACTGGATTTTCATTGCTCCTAGCATTGGACTGATTGTTTGTATCATTTTCGGTAGAACCATGACCTGATATGGTGTTCGGTTGCGCATTAGCCGGAAATATAGGCTCGCCTTGAATTTCTATTCTGCCTTCAAATAAATCACCAAAGTCATTGAATAAACCTCGAACACCATCTGACGCACCCGCTTCTGTCGGTAATTGTTGATCTCGCGTATTGGGTCTATCGGTCCTTGCATTGGGATTCCCCAAATCAGTTTCAATTCTTTCAAGTGGGTTTCTAGCAGCCGTAGCGACTGTCACCGTTTCCATGCCGTTGTTTGCCAACATGTTCTGAGCGACATCCTGGCTGAGTATGTTTGGACGTGCTCTATTAGTCCGACTAGCGACAGATCTAAAAGAGCTAGTACCCTCATTTTGAGAATAAGTAAAATACTGGCGTATATCCTCTGAAGCTCTAGATCTCAACGAAGCTAGTATTCTACGAACTTCGTTAATCACCTTCAGAATCTCGCTTGACGATTCTCGTTGTTGATTGGCTCTCCTTTCAGTCAATTGAATCGCCTGAGTCAATTTCTGAACAAACTGAGGAAGAATGCATTTGTTTTTCATATCTCTGTAACCTTGGATTGCAGCATCATCGTTAGAAAGCATATGAGGTAAAATTTGTCCCGTGGCTGTCTTTAACGCAATTAGATAACACTTGAGAGCCACAAGACTGGTACCCATATAAAGATGACAATAGCCCAATTGAGTCCAAGCCGCAGTGAAGGTTCTATCGAAGTAAATAGCCTGATTCAAGTCTGATATTGCTTCAGGAAAGCAATTCAAACTGATGAAAGCAACAGCTCTATTGGTTAAAAGTTGAAGAATATGGTCTAAAGCAACATAAGAAGCAATGTCTAAGGCATTTGTGTATACCTTAATTGCTTGCGCAAACGCCAGATTAGACATTAAATTGTTACCTTCTTCTCGAAGCTTACGAACGAGAGTAGCACTATTCTCTGATCTTGGACCAGAATTCAAAAGCTCCATATGTAATAATAAATTCTCTTTAAAGTATTCATACGACTGTTCGATAGAAATACTCTGCTCGGTCAGCAGTCCAAATATCTCTTTATTAATGGACTCCATTCTCTTAGTTAAATCATCACTTAAGTCAAAAAAGCTTGCAAATTTGGAAAATATCCCTGTGACGTACTGTCCAGAACAAGGCGACAAGATTTCTGAACTCCTTTCGATCGAGCTGCTTGTTTGTAATCGGTATTTGACGTTTAAAGTATTACTCAAAATAAGATAAAATTTAATGCCTAAATCTTCTTCCTCTTTAGTTCTGATGGTCGAGTACCAGCTTCTAGTATTTCCGTCTTCCTCTGACTCTATCTGTTTGATCATGTCATTTGTGCTTGGTGTGTTTGAGCCGCTGAATGTAGTCAAAGACGGTTCCAAAAAACAGCTCTTAAAATTGAACAATAAAGAATCTGCATCAGACGTCTTTACCTTTGAGTGTTCTTCCCTATAATATTGCAAGATTTTGGGAAATAATACGGTGACTAGCAGCCTAATATTAGAAATCAAATCATGATATTGCATTTTCTTAGTAACGTCCGCTTCGGCGTCGTTCTTTAGCTTATTGTCAAGCTTTCTTTCACATTCTATGAAGTCCTGTCTTACCGCCAAAGCAAAAGCATAATTTACAGCCAGATCTATTGTGCCCAGTTCCAGAGATAGCATCTTGGTTAATAATATAGCATTAATTATAAAATCTCAATGTAAGTTTCTTTGCCGTCAAAATTTTAAGTTCGACCGTTAAGTTGAATGCTACACACCATTTACAGAGTAGCAATCCTTACTTCAGATACATTCAGTGGCCTTCGATGAACGCAGTTGGTACCACAGAAGCCTCCCAGCTACAAAGGCCAGAGAACTGTCATTCGTCTAGCCGTATTAGGGCATTTCTTAGGCTCTCAAGAGTTGCAACAGATGACACTATTAGACAACACTTGAATGAAGTCAAATCAACAAAAGATTGTGACTCCTATTTCCAAAATACGATCATACCCCAGTGGGAAGCCAGATCTTCGCTAATAGGGTTTTGTTCGGATTATGTGGACCATTTGAGAGCAGAAAGTTCACATGGAAATACGATTTTGCCAGATCTGATCAATCCAGATGACTATGATCTAAGGTTGGATCCGTACGCTATTAAGAACAAAGAAGATCAAATTGGAGCACAATTTGCCCAATCTAATGCCATTGCAAATTGGGTCCAAAATGAGAGAGAAGTGGAATCTATCGTGAGAGAACAAACAGCAGAAATCCTCAATGAGAAATGTTACTATAAAGACTGGTTAAAAGCATTCAAAGACAATTATATAAATTACACTTCATAAGATCGCACTTTCGTCTGCATTGATCGTTGTATATAGAATTAAGGCTCACTATGCCAAATATGAAGAATAAAAATAATTGATACTGATTATATGATAATATGCTTCATCGAAGATGCGAACTTGAGTTATCTAACTTGAATTATCTCTTTCACTTATGTGCAGCTGCCGCAGCAGCGTAAGCAAAATCACTTGCCTTATTATTAGCTGATGAGGAATCACTTATTGACTCGGTAGTCAGACGTCTCACCTTTTTTGTAGAAACTTTTCCCTTAGGTTGTTTCACTTTTGACTTAGATTTGGATTCTTTATTTTCTTTGGCAACCATCTGCTTTGCCATTAATAAGCAATCAATCCAGCCATAACTGTCTCCTAATGTTACTTTTTCTTTTTTGTTGTTTATAACTCTAATTGGATCTGTAAGGGTCAACTTATCCATCTCACTAACCCTCTTCAAAAAAATTAAATCCCCACCCTCCTTCACCAACTCTAGAACTAGATATCCATAGATGTCTTCTCCATCTGTAATAGAAGCATTGTCATCTACTGCTATGCTCTCAAATTCATAGTCATACATCAGATAGTCATTGCCTTGGTTTGCTTTCAAATCAATAAGCATGACATTCAAATCACTACTAATAAAAAATACCCTAGCTTTATTCGTTACAACTGTAATGACGAGCTCTGATTTTTTTTGCAAAGTATGGCTATACTTTGATATCAAAGTATTTATAGACTCCTCGTCGAGATGAGACCCAGGTCTTCTGTGAGCTTCGTCCTTTCCCAAGTACAGTTTTAGAAGCATATCCATTTTTAAAATCTTTTCATTTGAAGAAAGAAGAGTAGATATCTCACTGAATTTAATATCGTTAGCGACCTTGCGTTTATTATAGGATTTGATAGATGAGGACTTTGTCTTGTTCCCTTGTGATGCATTGGTCACTTCCGATCGACGAGCCGATTTAGATGACAGTTCGGTATGTTTTCGTTGCATCTTAGTCGAAGCTGCGCTGGCTGCTGCATTTGCTGCTTGTATTTCAGTAGCACTAGCACTAGGCCCTCTACTACTGTGGAAAATCGAATGCTGTGACTCACTACTAGTTGGTGGAGTATTAACCTGTGCTGATGACGATTGTTTCATAAAGTTCGTGGAAGACTTGTTCAGACCCCTTTCACTTCTGAAGGGGAGATCTGGGTTTCCAGACTTTTTCTCTAAATTTGGGCTCTTTTTTGGGACAATCTTAATGCTGTGATCAGAACTCTGCATCTGAGGCTTCTGCAATGGAGGCTTCTGCAATGGCGGCTTCTGCAATTGAGGCTGCTGTACTTGAGGCTGCTGTACTTGAGGCTGCGGTACTTGAGGCTGCTGTACTTGAGGCTGCTGTACTTGAGGTTGTTGTACTTGAGGTTGTTGCATGGTAAAGTGAGGATTAAATATGGTCCCAGTTTGGGACACAGTTGGTACTGGTGAGAAGTTATTTTGGTAACTTTGATGGGGAGAATGAGTTGCAGATATTGGGGGTTGAGGAGGAGCAAAACCTTTTTTTATCTTAGTTGCTGGCTGATAGGCCTTTTTAGCCAACGAGGGTACCAAATTAAACTCTGAGCTTTGGATCTGTGAGTGAAGCTGCTGATACGAATTAGATTTGTTCATGTTACGATTACTACCATTTTTGAAAGCAAGAGCATATGGCGTGCCCATCGAAATTGATGAATTTGAGGAAGACTGTGGTTCAAGTTTGGGTACTCTTCTGTTCCATATGTAGTTCCTATCATTCCATGGCACACCGTGAAACCATTTACTTGACATTATTTCTGGAATTGTCAACCTATTAGAAGGCTCAGCAACTAGTACACTATCAATTATAGTTTTGGCTTCAGGGGGGACTGGATGGGAAGGCTTGTAGGAGTAATCAACGTTGATAATTTTTTCAAATGTCAAATACTCTGTAGAGCCTTTAAAGGGAGGCGTGCCATTAAAAAATTGATACAAAATGCAGCCTAATGCCCAAACATCCGATTCAAATCCGCAAATGTTATTCTTCAAAAGCTCTGGCGGTACGTATTCCGCTGTTCCAACAAAGGAACCTCTGCGATGTACAGGACTCTTCCCACTAGCGATAGGCTGCTCTACATTTTCGTAATCAATGCCTTCTTCAACATCATTATTATCATCACCTAACAATTTCGCAGCGCCAAAATCAGTTATCTTCAAATTTAAATCATAACCGACCAAGATATTTTCTGGCTTCAAATCTCTGTGTATAACACCCTTCAGGTGAATGAATTTGATAGCATCAATTATCTGACACATGTAGAACTTTGCTACCTGGTCAGACAAGGAACCAAACTTCCTTATAATGGACAATAGTTCTCCGTATTCCGCAAAATCCAAAACGAAAAATAGACTAGCTTCATCCTGAAAAGTATAGTATAGTTGGACAATTCCAGGATGCTGTTGTCCCAACCGATGTAAAGTAGTCTTCTCGATATTTACATATTTGATTTTATCTTCCTTGACAATGTGTCTTTTCGATAACACTTTTATGGCATAGGTCTGATTCGAATGTAAATCAACCGCAGCAAACACAGTCGAGTATGATCCCTCTCCAATCCTGGTGCCGAACAGATAGTCCTTGGCTGATCTCTTACTCAGAGGTTTACCGTTGTTAGCGTGCCCTGGTAGAGGCTGCTTGGCTACAGACATTCAATAAAGAAAGTCAAGAGCCAAAACGATAGAGGTAATCCTATATCTACCCTCTTGCCTATAGTTGATATCTTGATTCAATTCTAGTGCTTCTTCTTGAGTCGATTTCTTCACCGACAATGCTTGGTCTGTGAAATATATGTTTCAAATTTGTCTTCTTGATTCCAAATTCAAACTAGTAGGCTGTTCTGCATTCCTGGACGTGCTCGATCGGATTTTGTGTCACATCGGTTGACAGGTTCTGGCAGCTATAATACTAATGGAATATTATGGGGGCTCAGGCCACTAAACATTGAGCATTGAGAATACAAGGCTTACGGCTACACTTAATTTGGTATTTCTGGTCACGATGATTTCATCTAGTTTCCTTCAGGGAAACGAATCGTAGTAACGTCGAGATGATCTGTGTTGTCCCCGGCAAATAAGGAGATACATCATTTACACATAAAAACTTCACGTTTACCAACAGCTCGTTTGAAGGATATTAATAAAAGCTTATAAAGACTATGCTGAAATGCTGATTTTTGCATCCCCTGCCCTTCCACGCTTTGCAGCCTGGTCTTCTTGTAAGGCATTTTGCAATCTTAGGATTACTACTTATGTGCAGTCACGCATCTATACATTTCTAATAGAAGTTCTGTGGGATAAAGAGAATATGATTTGAAGTCTTATAAACAATGATCCTTCTGAGATGCCTGCTTTTACCTAGACGTGTGGGGGAATTTATTCCTCGAACTTCATTTCGATCATACTTGAGGGCTCTCTCTACTTCTGTAGAGAGACCGCAAGATTCCAACGCTACATTGAGAAGAATTTTCGATGATCATAAATACTTCAAAGACTTTAATAAGAAGAACAATAACGGCAATAAGGACTCATATGCATTTTCCTCAATATTTTCAACCAACTCGACAGGGTTATTTAGAAATGAGATGCTCTCTAGCCCCGATAGTCTCGTGGACTTCTCCAAGAAATCGCTAGCAGATGCTAAGAACCTTGTCAATGGGATGCTCAATGATGTTTCTGAAAGCGAACATGGAAAGGTAAGCTATATAAGAAAGTTGGATCAGTTGAGTGATATCCTCTGTCGAGTCATAGATGTTGCTGAGTTTATCAGGGTGGTGCATCCTAGCCAAAGCTGGATTGACGCAGCGCAGAGGACCCATGAGTTAATGTTCGAGTATATGAATGAATTGAATACAAATGTTGAGCTATATGACATCTTATATGACATATTGCTGGACAAGAATATCGTTCAGAAATTGACTGCAGAAGAAGTCCTGGTCGGAGAATATTTAAAGCAAGATTTCGAAAGATCAGGTATTCATATGGCTCCTGAAATCAGACAAAATTTTGTTGCATTAACCCAAAGCATATCATTATTGGGCTCTGACTTCAATAATGGAGTTAACCTGTTGGGAGATATGTGGTGCAAATTGACCAAACAAGAATTTAAGTCGATTCCAAGTAATAGATTAAAAAAGGAAATTCTTTCATTCCAATCAAAGTCTCCTGAGAAGCACGATGGATATATTAGCGTTCCGTTAACTGGTCATATACCATATGCAATATTGACCACGTCTCCTTCAGAAGAAGCACGAAGGAAAATTTGGACCGCAATACATAACTCCTCTCCGGACCAGATTCAAACCTTAAACAGTATTATTCAGTATCGTGCGATCTTAGCAAAGATGCTTGGTTACAAGTCCTTTTCTCATTATCAACTAGAACATAAGATGGCGAAGAGCCCCGAAAATGTGATGACATTTTTAAAGAATCTTCAGCAAACCTTACGGAAAGGAAGTGTTTTAAGCGAGCTCAAGAATTTGTATAAATTGAAGGAAGGTTATAATCCTAATTTATCTGACGAAGAAATCATTAGTGAAGTGAAGCCTTGGGATAGAGATTATTTATCAGAAAAGTTACAGTCATTGAAATGTACGGAACCTATTGAGGACATTTCACCATATTTGTCTGTGGGTACGATAATGGCAGGTTTGGCTCGCTTGTTCGAGAACTTGTACAACATTACATTCATTCCGGAGCCCACAGTTAAAGGTGAAACCTGGGATGAAAATCAGGTTCGCAAGTTGAATGTGTTTGACTTGAACATGAATAAGACGTTGGGCTACATATATTTAGACTTCTGGTCTCCAAAGGTCTTACCCTCACATTTCACTATTGTGTGTCTGAGAAAATTGAATACTGATCTTGGGTATGAAGCTGTAGATGAAATGAGAACCTTGGTACAACTAAACGAGGAAGAGGACCATCAACTACCTGTTATTTCCATAATTTGCAATTTTTCAAAGCATAACGACTCATCTTTTGCGAGACTTCCTGGAAGTCAAGGTGAGCCTACATTACTCTCATTAGATCAAGTAGACACTATCTTTCATGAAATGGGACATGCAATGCACTCAATGATAGGGAAAACTGATTTGCATAATCTTTCAGGTACGAGGTGCCTGACTGACTTTGTTGAACTACCATCTGTCTTAATGGAATATTTCAGCAAAGATCCGCGTGTTTTATGCGAAATTGGAAGACATTATTCAACCAATGAGCCTTTATCAGAACTGTTGCTCGACTTATGTCAACAAAAGAGAGCGAGGTTGGATCATTGTGAGACCTTCATGCAATCAAAAATGGCCATGCTAGACCAAGCATTAAATGGTGAAGAAATTATAGATATAATTGCAAGAAACCCTAAAACTTTTGATTCCACCCCTGTTTACCATAGCTTGGAATCTAAATTAAAAGTTTTTTGCGACAATTCCTCGACTTGGCATGGAAAGTTTCCTCATTTGTTTTCTTATGGGGCAGTTTACTATTCTTATTTGTTAGACAGAGCTATTGCGTCAATTGTATGGAAACGTCTCTTTGAAAAAGATCCCTGGCGCAGAGATGCTGGTGAAAAATACAAAAATGGCTTATTAAAGTGGGGCGGTACTAGAGATCCTTGGACCTGCTTATCTGATACCTTAGATGATAAAGAACTAAGAGGTGACGCCACTAGAGCTATGGAGGTTATAGGACAGAGAAGCAGTGTATAAGGATCCTTATTCTTTTTTGTAAATAGTTTTGTAGATCAATTCTTTTGTCGTAAGACATGTATATATTATATTTGATAAATTTTGCAGATTTCCTCAAAAAACCATATATAATTAAAATAGACAATTTCAGACCATCTTTTTTCTTTGTTCGTTGATTAGACATCACAGTAGTACCATGACAAAGCGGAAGCGTTTTGTGAAGTAGAAAGTCTCTCTAATTCGCTCAAATATAATTATATAGTCCAAACTAATTAAATTGGACCGTTATTTCTGATTACACTGAGTATCGAAAAATAAAAAATTCAAGATATCAAGAAAGTTTGAACCTTTTGGCACAAGATGGTCCTGGTAGTAGTTCAGCGATCGCTAAGTTCTATCAAGAATACAAGCACCCTAAGGAAACCAGTATTTGATTTGAAAGGAATAATAGCTTTACAAGAACAATACAGAGAGTCAATTGTGAGAAGATTGGAACAAAAGAAGCTAGATTCGCTTGAATATATAATAAAAAATCGTCCAGCAGAATTAGAGCTAGCAAATAAAATAAATGGCCTAAGATATGAGAGGACAAAGCTAGGAGAGGTAATTAGGAAGGAAAAAACAATCGCTATTCAAAATAAGCTTAAAGAGATAAAAGAAGAACTTAAATCCTTAGAAAAAAAACATACAGCTTTGTCTGATAAGATCCATGAAGAAGCCGAAGTGCTCCCTAATTTACTAGATCCTACTGTTCCATCAGATCCGCATAATCAAGAAGTGATTTCATTTATCAATTGTTCATCCGAAGACGAAGCAACAAACAGGTATCCAGTCAACAAATTTGATAATAAAGACATTGCTGAGAAACTTAAAATCGTAGACTTCGATGTTGCTGCTAGGATTTCAGGCTCCTCGTGGTATTATTTGATTGGCGATGGCGCTCTTCTTGAACAAGCCTTAATTCAATATGGATTGTCAAGAGCCAGAAAGAGAGGCTATACGCTAATCAGCCCCCCTTCAATCGTGAAAAGTGAAATAGTGAATGCATGTGGCTTTAAACCAAGAGATCAAAATAACGAACAGCAAGTATACGACATTTCGAACTCTGATTTGTCTTTGACAGGTACAGCTGAGATCCCTTTGGGAGCTTTTCTTTCTTCTTCTACTCTTCCTGCGTCTCAACAATTCCCAATAAAGTATGTTGGGATTTCTAGATCTTATAGGGCCGAGGCCGGAGCTAGAGGAAGGGATACAAAGGGCCTCTATAGAGTTCATGAATTCACTAAAATTGAATTATTTCACTTTACAACACGAGACAGGTCAAGCGAAGAATTAGAGGAACTCCGCAGATTTCAAGAAGACATAATAAGAGATTTGGGGCTCTGTGCAAAAATGAGCAACATGCCAACATCTGATCTAGGTGCTCCGGCTTTGAAAAAATATGACTGCGAGGCCTGGATGCCTGGAAGAGGGTCGTGGGGTGAATTGACGAGTTGTTCCAATTGTGGAGAATATCAATCACGAAGACTTAGTATTCGTGTTGAAGGTAACGACAGAAAGCTAAATTACGCTCATACTTTGAACGGTACTTGTTTAGCAATCCCAAGGGTCATAGCTGCAATACTCGAACAATTTTATGATCCAGAATCCAACTCTGTTATGATACCAGAACCATTACGGCCCTACATGGATGGGAAAGTCAGTATTTCTGTAAACTAAATTCTGTATATATATAAAATCATGATTCATCGAGATCTGAATTGTTAGATGCAATAGTATCATCAACAATATCTATCAGTGATTGATATAGAGGATGATTCGGTTTCATTGGAGTGCTCAAGACTCTTTTGTAGCCAAAGTTGAACTCTTTAGTCCTGAAATTTTGAATTTCATTCATCTTAGATGCATGCAATTTGTGCACCTTATTTAATCGATGAAGCCTCATCTCAGGGCTAGATGAAGTAGTCTCTCTCACATTAGCGGCAAGTTCTTGAAAATCAAATTGCAAAAGCTGAAGAATGTTGAACTTTTGTTCATAAGTTTTGCAGAGCGCATCATAATTAGCCTTTAGTTTTTCTATCTTCGATTCAAGCTCCTTCTTATCATCAACCAAGTTGCGCATTTCTACGAAGTTCTGTATTGCCTTCGATTGTGATTCAATTTTATTTGTAAGTTCTCTGATAGTTTCATCTCTGAGTTGAACAGTACTTTCAAGATCTCCCTGGTTCACAGAATCACGATTGTTACCTTTTTGGTCTTCACTTTTCACATCATCCGAATATACTTGACCGTTAATCTTCCTTAAAGCTTGCTCAATTGCTTCGGCAGAGTTAGTTTGGTTCACTTGTTCAATATTTCGTTTAATAGCAGCCAATTCCGCTAAGACTTTCTCATGTTCTTTTGCTTCAAGGAGTTCAAGTAATTTAGCAAAAACTTCTTTGCTCCCTAAATTCGTTTCATTAATTTTCGCCAACTCTTCTATTACCAGTTCTTTCGAGTTATTTTCCAGTACTATTTTCCTTATTTCTGATAGTGCTTCCTTTGAAATAGTAGATGGAGAATTAACATCTTTTAGGAGATTTTTTACTCCTTCACTCTCATGCTGTACCTGTTGCGATAATTCGGAGATATCTTGAGATACACCGTTTAAATTAATTTCATTTTTAAGCCTAGATATTATGGTACCTTCAAGACGTTCTAATTCCGGAATATTGAGTCTCCGAAACTCTGATTGAATTATACGTTGTACCTCTGATTGAATGCTAGACTCTTTTGTCGACAATGTGAGCGAAACCTTTTCAACTGATTCCATCACTTGTGTTAGTTTTGAGTTGATCAGTTCTTTAAAATCAGCTTCTATGACACGTTTCAAACCCAGTATTTCATTCTGAACGAAAGAATACTTTTGCTCACCAAAAAAATCAGAATCTTTACTCATTTTGTCTATCTTTTCAAGAATTGCAATAAATTCCTTCTTATCTTCTCCTGTTTCGTATGTTTCACCTGAATTTTCTGCAATCTTTTGAAGCAATTTGTTCAAATATTGGTTGTTGTTCTTCAGCCTATCACACAATTGGGACAAATCGAGAGCTACCTGTCTTGTATCTGACTCTAAACCACCTAGCAGCTGCTGCATGACTTGCTGAGTCTTGTGTATCTGGGCAAAATGTTCATCAATGTTGTCATTTTGTAAAAAATTCAACTTTCCAACCAAAGTTTGAGACCTGTTTGGTGATATTGACTTAAGAGCATTATTCCGTTCACTAGGTGATCTTTCTTCATTATTGTTAGCCACGGCTGCCAGCTCATTTTCTTTATTGTTTTCTTTCATCCTTAGCAATTTTTTGCTTTATCTTATACGTTCTTGTAGCTTAACACTTTGTTTACAATTAATTATAGCACGCGCTGATATCAAAACAATTGCAAAATTCCGAATGTTCTCACTATAAGCTACAAAAAGACGAAATATTTCATCCATACAAGCTAGAAAGATATATATGGCTATAAACCAAATTTACTCTTAAGAGCTTCGTTATAGAATTGTTTTTTGTGAGATTCCATCGTATTACTCACACTTTCACTAACATTTCCAGCGTAGCCATTGAAGGACTCCTCTACGGAATCTATACCGTCTTGTAATCCTTTCATAAACCCAGAAGAGCCAAACACTCTACCACCCTTGCCTGCTTTCCTCACGGGTGGCTTATAACCACGATCATTTTCCTCTGAAGCTGGCGCATAGCCTCCATATCCCAGAGAGGGGTTAGCTTCAGGGCTAATGTTGTGAGCCAATTGGCTCTCAACATTCTTTGAGGTTCTTCTATTCGGACCAGCTATTAATTGCGCTAAATCCTGAGAGCTGATGTATTTAGTTTGTCCTTTTGCCCACAGTAATGCACTCGCAGCTGGTCTCGCAGGAATAATTGCATTTTCATTAAATAGTAAATCCGTAGGTAGATCATCGTTAATCTTTCCAGATTTTACACATACACTTATGTTTATTAATTCAGTCTCACTGGTTGCAATGAAAGCGTCACCCGTTGATTGTACACTGGAACTGAACGCGGACTCAGCGTCTAATCGATTCTTGCATTTATCATAAACGCTCAGAGGCATTTTTACATCAGCAACATCATGCAATCCAGGGATGCTGGAAAGTTTCACGAATCCGGATTTCACTAATGTGGCAAGAACGATTCCTTTACCATGTAGCCTGAAAATACCACAACTCAAGCACGTATCTTCAATCACCTTGTGGGATAGCTTCATTTTAGGTATTTTTATGATACGAACATCTTTATCAGAAGCAACTACTACGAAACCTGGAATTAAGACCCCTTGACTTAGCTTGTGGAACATATCTAGTGATGCAACGGCAGATTCACCATTCTTTGAATTTATTGGAACGAGTTGGCGTATTTCTGATTCATCATCTTGACCTGATACTCTAGACTTATAATTTAAGCCAAGTGTCTTATCAGCAAATACGACTTCGAATGCCCCGTTTCCTTTAGGAACAATTCTAAATATGAGAAGATTGCCTCCACAATTCGTGCCAACTAGTAATAAAATTGATGAGAAACCATCTTGTCCGTACTCCATTATTGCGAATTCCATGGAGGTTACATAACAATTGGCATCTACTGAAGGAGCAAATTCTCTCAAAGATGCATTCATTATTATAGCAGGGCCCCTAGAGACATCACATACTATTATTCTTCCACTTGAGTATCCAACTGCCGCAAATCCGACGTTACTCATTTTAAGACATGAAATTGATTCAAATGCTGAAGGGTTCAATATCGAAACTGGGACAAAGCTGGAGGCAGATGTAAGGGACCCTTTAACACGGCCCTTTAGACTGAGGATCGAGAAATCGCCGTTTTTATGTTCAACGAGACAAGATCGGTAGTCAATGTCCTTAAAAGAACCTTGTTTCGAAGAAGTTGGACTTCTTCCATATTTACAGATTGCTACCGAACCATTGGCCAATCCAACGATTAATTCCGCTGATTCCAATGAACAGGAAACATCTACCACTGATATAGACTGAGGGCTTTCTTCATATAAACAATCTTTTAGTGAAATCTGCACCGTATTGCAAGGATCCTGGTGATCACTTCTTGATACGTCAACTAATCTTACTACTCCATCATTGTGACCAGATACTAAAATATTACGGAATCCTTCATCATATCCCATAGCCTTGGGCAAATGCGACGAAGAAACTGGGGCACCACCTTTCAACAAAACTTTTGTAGCTCCGGCGTTCGTGGAGACTCGATTAGATAAAACTCCGAACCACTGAATTCTAGGGACCGTCACAACATACATTTTTGTGACAGGCGGTAGAATCATTGCAACAGAAGGAGGCAAAACTAAATCTTCAAGATCAGATGAGAAGCCATCTTCGGCATACATATTAAATTTTTTCATATAAAGAGACCCCAAGTTCGATAGAAACATCAAGTATTGAGGGTTATGATTTCCGTTGAAGTAGGGTAAACAATTGGTGGTCAAAGGGAGTATATGGGTTATATATTCACTCTCTGAGGAATCACTTTTAAGGTTGAACGCTATCTCTATTTTTCTTTGACCCATTTGGGGCCTGGCATAAAAATCACTTTGTTTCTCATAGGAAGCTAAACTGTACTTCAAGGTGATCCCAAAATCTATTATTGTTATAACGTTTTGGTCGGAATTACCCCCACTAACAGCCAACTGTGTTAACTCAGGATCTTCACCACAAATCCACCGAACATTCAGAATAGGAGAAAATGAATTAGGTGGTGCAATAGGCTCACCTTCCTTTTGCATATTTATATAATCCAAAGTTCTCGCTTCAAGTAGGGTTCCTGACTGAGCATCCCAAAACGCTAAAGTATTGTCTCCATGTACTGTCACAACATGCAAGCCATTCGGATGGAAATGTGACTCAATTACAGACGGAACAGTTTCCTTTGCCGAACCAAAAATTTTCTTCTTACCATTATTCGTGATCGAATATGAATAGTCAAATCCTCTTGCACCTCTGCAGATTTTGTAAACAAACGAATTCACAATATCACCATCAGCTATAGAATAAAGAATAGCTGAATGACTGTAGGTCACAAGAATTGTTCCAATATCCCTCGGATGCCACTCAATTGATAAAACTGCGGACAATTTTTGCTTAGGCATTATCTTTTTCTGTAAATTATCGATCCTTAATGGTGTAGTTGACAATCTATCGACGTCATAGAAAATGATAGACCCATTACTTAAACCTAACATGAGCCAATCCAAAGATGGATCAGATTCCATGGTAGAGATACTACCAGAGGGCAGGTATGTTCCAAGGATTTTTTTAGAATGTAATGATAACACAGTAAGTCCTGATGATGGTGATGCAGCAACTAAGTAAACACCTTTCACAAACTTAAGCAAAGTCATTGGATTTGTAGAACGAAATTCAAAAACTACTTCAACCCTATCCTGACCATAAACTCTTACATCGTTCAGCAGTGTAGATACCGCGAGAAGCGATTGAACAGGGTCATAAGCTATTGCAACTATAGAATTATTTGGCAACCCAAGTTGTGCAGTCATCACAATTCCCAAATGTTTTGGGCTTATGTCATCTGGAGTTAGACCCTGTATGCCCGAAGTCTTGAAGGCATTCGAAACAGAGCTCAAGGAAAGAGGAGCCTTTCTCAGTTTAAATTTGTTGAACATACTTACTGATCATCTAGCCGTTAAGGTGTACTCAGTACTGATTAGTGACAGCATAATCTTTTAAAAATAGAGCGCACGTGATCCAACTTAGTAGATTTTAGACTTCAATTTTAATCATAAACAGAATCGCCGTGATGCTGTAAACATTCGTAAAATACTATGGTAAGTTTAAATAAATAGCGAGATTTGAAACAATGGAGCTTTACTAATCAGATATTTTTAGGTTTTTGATCAATTAGTTGGCATGGCCATGCTCGCAGTTGCTACCGCAGTATTCATTTATTACACCGTGTGGGTTTTTGTATTACCATTCGTTGATGAAAGCAATATCCTTAATTCTTTGTTTTTGCCAAGAGACTATGCAATAAAACTTCCTTTTTTTCTCTTGCTTATTGCGGGTTTGGGAGTTGGATCTTTTATTGGAAGCGTCTTAATCAAAAGTTCTCAGAAAGAAAAGGCAAAAAAGAAGAAGTCCAATTAGAGGTCAATGGTAAATCCTTTATTTCAAGCATTATTTTGGCAATACATGATAACGTTAACCAATTCAGAGGGGCAAGTTTTACAGATGATTTTACTATAGAGCTTATTGATAATGTGGTCATTTCAAATACTTCTATATTAGTCCTAAATGAATATGAATTTCGTCAAGAACGAATAATGTAGTTTCCAGTTTTAGTTATATATTTGACACCCTTATAAGGCTTCACAGTGTCACCTAAACCTTTTGCACTCACAATCTTCAAACTATCAACTTTCCAGCCGCTGGGAACGCTACCTTTATGTGAATAAGATAGTCTCAAAAAAGAGGGCTTCAAAGATATAGGAGCTCTCGTTGATTTTTTTTCACTGACATTGTCTTCTATGGAAATCAAATCGGCAGAAGTGTGGGGTTGATTATCAAATGAAACTGTATTTTCAGCTTGACCCACACTTATGGAACCATCGAAGACTGCCTGAATCCCAGTGGAAACTGTTCGCAAGTTCCACTCCACTTTCCCCTTATCCTTAGGCATTGCATCCCCATGAGTTACTCGATTTGTCTTTATGTTTATATCTCTCATGTCGATTTTCAGTTCATCTTCATTGTCTGCCCGGGATCCAACATGTATTTCAATCATCAAATTGTCTATTTTGGTTATATTCATATCGCTTTTAATGAATAGCTTGATCTGAAACTCATTTTGGTTTACACCTACTCCAGATTGGTAATCAATATCTATTAAATCCAACACTTCTTGTTGATATGACTTATTCATTGTGTCCAAATCAAGTTTATAGTTCATTAGTGTACTTCGTCCATCGGGGGGAATGAATGACATGTGGCCAGGATTATCAATCCAGTTCTTAACCTTAATACAACGATGAAAACTCGGGGTTATCTTATCTAAGTCTCTACCCAGAAGCACCATTTGCAACATTGGTACACCACTTAAATGAGAGACAAAATTGACCTTTCCATCGATAAATCCAGATATTGGTATAAGTCTTGTAGCAGGTTTCCAATTGGAAGATGAATAAAATGCTGAATCAAATGCTTTAACAGATGATAGAGTTCCGGACGCGATTCTGGATATAGGCTTCAATATTACGCTCAAGTTTTCTATAACATCAACATACATCTCATTATTGGTATATTTCACATTAGACCTCCTCCATGGGATCAGCAGTATTTCTTTGCTAGTTTCAGATGTTTGACTCAAAGGATTGGGAGAAGATGCCTTTGCAATTCGATTCGGTGTGCTCAAAATTCTGGAAAGCAAACTTTTGAACGGCACAATATCCCTTAAAGCATTACAATCCGTAATATTTGGTATTCCATCGTCTACCATTTCGCTTAATAGAAGCATTAAAGTGTCACTGTTCGCATCGATTTTTGTTGAAGTTAATGGAGCTCCAAAATATTCTTCCATGATATCAACTAATTGACTCATGAAAATGTATGGTACCATGGGATTGAATGCATGTTCATTCGAGCAGAGAACATATAACCGCAAGCCTTTAATATCTGAAAATGTTACATAATAGTTCTTATTAATCTCGATCAATGACAGAGCGCTTTCAGTGCCTGGTCGAGACTTTTGACTTAATATGCTAGAAAGCGACTTGAAGCTAGGTGATGAAAGATTAATCAAGTACTCAAAGACCAAATTGCTGCCAGCATCCGTGATGTAGATAGCTCCAAGCATGGAATATTGATGTAATCGGGTTGCCTTCTTTGTTTTCTGTGTTTTACAATTAAAATAAAAGTGTTTCTCATTCTCAATTCGTGCAACTACAACAAAATACCTTTTACTACTCAGCAAAAATAGTACACAACATACTTACGATGAAGTAAACAAATTCAAAAAGGGCGGGGGGCGTTTATTATTAACAAATTAAAAAAAAGGGGAGAGTCGAGCCATTCATTAACAAAAAAAATTTGGAGTATAAGGATACGTATAGGGTATACGTACAGTGATTTGGGGGATAATCAAGAATAATGAAAAATCTTTCTTATTTCATAGCGACTAGTTGACTCGATGCATAGCAGTGGTTAGTTCACACACACACATTTTCTTCATGACCAAAGCTAAAGCATCATCCATCTAGTGAAGATTTTACATATCCAATTCCTGATAAATTCATACGGTAATTTATTGTTTACCGCTGGAACTTGGAAGGATTTCCGATTCTTCGTGAATATCTTCGTTGGTGTCATCTTCGTTATTGATTACATCTTCAACGTCCAAGTCTCTAGCAACTCTTGCCTCAACATCTTTAATATCGGCCAAACCATATATAGCAATAGCCACTAAACCTAAGACGGCAGCAATACACGAGAAAACCAACGCAACAATACCTCTAGCTGTGAATCCAGCAGGTAATGCCTTTACTTGAACATTTTGGCCAGTCAAATCTAAGTAGTCCTTAGAATTTCCTGCTGCGTTACCTTCAATACTAATTCCATTTTTCTTACAGGCGTTCTTAGAACTCTCAGTGAGCTGTTGCTCAGAATTTTCTTGGATTGCAATAGGATCTTCAACCAAAACCAATGCAAGACCTTGCTCCAAATGCCACTCAATGTGACAATGGAAAAACCAAACACCAGGGTTATCTGCTTTAAACCTAAGGACCATATAAGACTGAGGCTGGACATAAACAGTATCTCTACGTACTGGATATTCAGGCCATTCTGCATGATCTGACTTGTTGAAGCCAACAGGTGATTCAGTATCTGGGACTTCTTCATGTCTCTCGATGACTTGGAAAACGTGTCCATGCAAATGGAAAGGATGCTTACCAGTATCTTGATTGTTAACAACTATGTCAATGGTCTCATCGCCTTGTAACACAAATGAGTGGGTATTTGTTCCATAAACCAACGAATTCGTTGCTTCCTTTCCAGCACTTAATGCAGTAAGCAATACTGGTACTTTAGGCGCGGTATACGTAATGTTATTAAAGAAGGCATAGTTAATACCATTGTCCAAGTTATCCATAATAACATCCACAGTTATTGTTTGATCAGCATCGTCGTACAATTCAACTTTTTCAACAGGTTCCAAGAAAAAGTCGTCCAAGTAATCTAACGCATCAACCGTGTACTCATCTGGCTTATCATTAGATTCATCATAAACAATATAGTTCGTTGAATTCAAAATCAAGTCATCAGGAATAACATCCAACATAGTGTCGTCAATCTTATTCATGAAAGCATAGTTTTTACTTGTGTCACTCTTGGTTTTGATTAAAACACCATATCTTTGAGCTACTGTGATATAAATCATACTTGTCTTGTTCGGCTTCACGTAGATACCATCAACTTCAACAACTTCGAATTCATGATCCTCCATATACAAATATTGAGAAACAAAACCACCAACATTAACTATTCTAACAAAGTACGTCTTATCGGGCTCGACATACATACTGTTGTTTCTAGTATCGTTGAATAAAGTATTTTGAGGAATTGGTTCTGCACCTGTAGGATTGTAAAGACTCAAGAAAGTTGGGAATAACTTATCGGAATGGTCATGGTACCACTCACCAATAGGCAAAACTAATTCTTCGTCAAAATCAAAGGGGTAATCAGATTTCTTTTTCTCTTCAATGATAAAGGGAGCCCTCATACCGTCTTGGTATTGTCCTTTTGTATGAGAGTGGTACCAGTAAGTACCAACTTGATCTCCAACTGTGAAATTATACAAGAATGTCTCTCCAGGAGGAATTGGACACTGAGTTATCATCTCAGGACCATCCATCTGACCTGTACCATTTTGGAAGAGACCATGGAAATGCAACGTAGTATTACGGTCTTCGAAGCCATTTATCAAATATAAGTTTACGCGGTCACCAGCTTGCACTCTCAATGTCGGCAATGGCCATGAGTTATTGAAACCAATAACTTTCCTTTCGAGAGTTCCATCAGGATTAGCATCTACCCACGTTGTCTTAAAGTACCAAGTGTGTGTCTTAGCATTCACCTGGGCACCAAAGACAATTGCCATGAAATAGACTGCCAAAAATCTTATCAACATCATCTTTATTCAGTCTCAAACCAGCTTCTATTTTTGTTTAACCCTATACTCCAAACAGAATCTGAATAACGAAACTAGCTAAAGATCAAAAGAGGGTAAAAAACTTCTCAAGTGCCAGAGTTTGCATTTATATATCGCATTCCTGCGATCTGCCTATATTTTGGGTTTCAAGGAGCAGAAATTCGATCTACCTACATTCAGGCGACAAAATTTTTTTTTCTATATTGCTAATTTGATGGAAACGGGCAGCCTTATTGATAACTTGCGTTAACTATGCTCATTAATTCAAACCTTTGCATACCGGTGGTAAGGATATCGACCAATATACAATACACGCATAGAGATTGATCAGATAAAGCTACTTTGTTTACGTAATCCTGACCGACTCGCAAATTGTCTTTTTAGATTGAGCCAATAAGCCGGAAAGTAAGATTAGCACTGGGGCGGGAAACCGGATTTCTGACGAACATTTGACTTTTGTTTTGGGGATGCGCTGACGATGTGAAGAGTAATACTCTTATTTTTTCCAGGACTAAAAGCACTTTTGAAACATTAGTCTAAGACTTGGCCGTTTCCCTGAGGCTTATAATCATGGCACTTATATACGAGTGCTTGGCACAGATGCTAATTTTATGTATAGAGGATGTAAAATTATTCGGTGGAACCCTGTGAATATTTGAGCCTCTCCAAAATGCTTCTTGGCTCGACCTGCATACGTGTTCACCGAAAAGCATCACTTGATAGCGTAACACTGCACCGAACTGCAACATGCGGTCGAAGAACATAAGCCGGCCAACCAGCGTCCGATATTTTACGTGCTGGCGAATTGGGGGGTGAAACAGAGGACATAATAGCTGTAGAAGGGCGCTTCCAGTAATTGGTAAATTACAAACCTATGACGAAAAATGTTCTAGAGTTATGTATAGTATACGATGAGCATTGTGTAGGCAATAGAAGCATCTGATAGATATTAGGCGAAATCGCAAAGAGATTCAGAAGCGAAGCTGGGGTTGTGAATGGAAGTCTACGTTAGATACTAAAATGACACAAATATGAGGAAATGCGCATGACTATTTGCACGTGCACTGGACATGGAAACATTTGTTGAAACGGTGTGTATATAATCTAGAGCGGCAATGCGCAAGTGTCATTTTGTCTCACTTCCCCAACAGCTTCGCGCAACGGTTACTTTGCTGAAGTTTTACATATTTTTCTTTCTTACGTGTACTGAAAACATGTGTAGGGAAGCCATCACAGGCAGTCCACTTGACTTGCAATTTGTATATTAGAAAGCTTGAACTGAAAGCATAGTATTTGTGGTTAGAGGTGGTTAAGTTTAATCTTCGTTCAAAATTTTCATTAACGAGAAAATGTTAAATACTGCAAAGCGATACAAATATTCCTTACATTTTCCAAATTTTGCTACCGTGCGTTCAGACGGTACCTTAGGAGGACGTGTTCATAAGGAGATAAGGCTACCGTCGAAGCAGGCTACATCAGCCTATCGTCGTCTGACGCATCCAACATCATTACCCATAAGGAAACTTTTTTCAAACACTTTTCCTTTGTCAGTAAAGGAATCTTTGCATGACTTTGCATGCAGACACAATGTTTTTAAGTTTCAGAGTGATCTACTATCAGTCCTCCCTTTTTACCCAGAACAGGATGATCTCGGCAGAATATCTCGTGTTGTTCGCACTATGTTGGACTGTGGAAACTATATTAACGAGTTTGTGATTTATCCAAAAGGTGCAAGTGAAAATTCGAAGGACTTGAACCACTTGATTATGGTCCATGGATATGGGAGTGGATTGGGGTTGTATATTAAAAACTTCGAACAAATTTCGAGGTCCAAGAATTGGTGTATACATGCTATCGATTTGCTAGGTTACGGCTGCTCATCGAGACCACCATTTAGACCAGAAACACGTGACCTAAATGGAGTTGAGAAATGGTTCCATGATTCTTTCGAAGAGTGGTTAGTGAAAAGGAATTTGGGCTCCGTATCAAGGGAGAAGATCTTGGTAGTGGCGCACTCAATGGGAGCATATTTGATGGCTTCTTATATTATGAAGAAAAAAAATTTCTGTAAAAAATTGATTATGGCATCACCAGGTGCCATTATCAAGCATAGGAGGCAAATATTCGTCCCAGGCTACTTTGCAAAATTGTGGGAACAGAACATTTCACCCTTTTCCTTGATAAGAAATGCTGGTCCTTTAGGGTCAAAGCTAGTGAGTGGTTGGACCTCCCGCAGGTTTGCAAAATTGCATCCCAGTGAGAGAAAGTTAATGCATAAGTATATATATGGTATTTTTCAGAGTCCTGGTTCTGGCGAATACATGTTAAACTACTTACTTGCTCCCGGAGCAGATGCGAGGTCTCCTCTAATAGAGCGGGGTGTTCATAAAATCAATTGCGAGCTATTATGGTGTTATGGAAAGGAAGATTGGATGGACAAAAAAGGTGGCGAGCTATGCTCCAATATTATAAATAATTATCATAGGGACCCAAAAAGGAGTACAGTTGTCGAAATTCCAGACAGTGGTCATCACCTTTATCTTGATAACTATAAAAGATTTAATGATTTATTAATTCATGAAATGCAAAAGTACAAGTAATTAGTTTTAAATTCTCTTTAAATACATTTGTATAGATAATGCTATGACAAAAGAGAATTAATGTCATTCGGAATTGAATCTGATCCCAGAAACTTGACGATCAATTTGAGTGAAATTGGTAAATTAGGATCAGTTACTATTATCTCTTCTCCATCTTCAATCATAGTATTGACTTTCTTCGATAAATTGATTCTTGTCTTTTCTTCTAGACTCTCGGGCATCCTGAGATACAAATACTTTCGAGCCGTGGTAAGTGATGGCAGCTTCATTTGCACTTCTTGTCTCGCGCTAATTTCATCAATCATCTTTTCTAAAGTCCACCAGTTCTTTACTTCAACTTTCTTGGACAAGCTTCCACAAACTGGACAACTTGGTTTCTTAGCATGAGAGTATGTGTATGTGAATACCGAATCATCTCCCGAATACATCATGTAGTTGTTTAAAATGGGATTTATGCTGGTTATAAATTTAAATGTTTCATTACAGCAAGATGCGGCAATTATTGCATTAGTAGATGCGATTGCAGGTATTATGTTCTTGACCACACCTAAGGTTAATTGTCTCGTCACGCCTTCGATTTTGAATTCCTCTGCTCTAATTTTCGATGTTTTATACATCCAATCAACATCATTTGGATCATCCGCGTCAAATGCTTTACCTGAAAAGACTCTTGGCCATTCTAATACACTTGCCCATTCAATGCAATGTTCTGGTAACCTTGGAGTATTGGTAATCGTACAGACAGGAAATGTGGTTTTGGGCGATATTAAATCCAACGTACATTCGTAGCAAGAAGTCAAGGTTGGTAAGATAACCCTAGACTGGCCCCTAAGCCCTTCCGTACCCCCATCGATCAAAGGAATTAAGTTATTCAATTCGTCGTCGACAAGTGAGACCAAAGTGGCATTGATCCAACGTCTTGCCTCAACATTATCCAAGCCACAGACAATGGCGCTGAATTGTTTATAGTAATCTGTGGATTTATCTTGAATCTTTCCAAAATAAGGTTTGATCTTGATGTCTTTCACTCTTTGTTCTATTGCTCTTGCAGCTACTTCGGCTTTCGACTTCCCTATGTCAGCGGGTCTAAACAAAAACTGACGATTCAAGTTTGAAACATCTATAGTATCCATATCAATTACATATATGTCCTTAAAGCCTGTTAATGCTAAATTTTTTAGTATCTCGCATCCCAATCCACCCGCTCCGATTACCAATATTTTGGAGCTTTCTAAGGCAGCGATAGCATGATCTACGTTGTATTCTTCTGGGACATCATTATAGGGGCCTATGTGTCTCAAGAGAGTATCCACAGACAGCAAACCCTTCGATGATAAAGCCATTTATGCGTCACTCGAGTCCTCAGATACTTTAAATATAATTTTCTCGCACTTTATCTATTCTATTAGTAAATATTTGCAATCGAAACTAGCTACACGACTATAATGCAATAAATTATAAAACCTTCGTAAGAGGGTATTTTAATTTTCTTTATCAACTAACAGCTCACTATTATCACTGTTTAGATTTCTTCGTAGTCTCTTCTGTGGTTGGCTTTGCGACGGAGGCAAGCCAACCATTCGTTTTCCCAAATTAGAATTATTTACCAGCTTTAAAGATGATGACAGGTTGAGACGATTACTTTGCCTGAGGACTGATGGTGCATCAGGTTTATTAGTGGATTTGTTAAGTGCTGAAACCTCTGACCTTTTTACTGGGACTGATTTTGTTGGATCAATTGTCCTTCTTATATTTGGTGATACAAACTTCGGATCAAATTCTGGAATTTTGCTTCCCTGAACGTCGGTTCCTTTTTGAATAAGATCTGCTTTTTTGGCACTCACAAAAAGAGGAGCTTCTGAGGCGATTTTTTGTTGATGAGGAGTGGCTAAATTATCAGTCAACAAATTTGAAACTATATTTGAAGTTGCATCACTAGAGGAGTACACATCAGTATCCAAAGCGCTTCTCCGAATCCCAGGGCTATCATCCATATTCAGTTGTTCTTGACTAAATTCTCTGTCTTCGTGAAAGATCATTTCTAATTCGTCGTCATCTATTTCATTTTTTCTAGCAACTTTGCGGCCATGATCGATATCTACCGGTTGATCATCACTGAATACAAACGAGTCATCAAAATCGCTTACTATTTCTGCATTTTTCTTTAAGTGACTCCCACGATCCTCCTTCTTATATCTCATATTTTCTTGATCCCTTGCTTCACTACGCCCATTTATCTCATGCTGACCACGGTTTTTATTGACCACATTTGATGGAGTAGACTCCGGTACATTAACACGTTGTACTTGTCGTTTTCTTTCTTCTCTTTTGACTAACATAGGATCTCTATGAAAGTTATCGTCTTCTAGTTGAACAGGGGGAAGTTTCACCTTTTGCATCTTAGAAATTATCGTTTTATCATATAAACAGTTCCCAAGAACATTTCCAAAACATCGTAAACATCTCTTTAAACCATCAGTGAATGCTTCCTTTTTACATTTTTCGAAAGCCATAGCTTTACTTTTGGCATTATCAATATACCCATACCCAAAATCTTCATGATAGGTGCCATCTCTTATAGTAATTCTTACGACAACAGAAAGGCCCATAGAAAATCTACCAGAGTTTCCATGCGTGTCAAAATAATCTACTTGAGAGCTTATAAGCTCCGAGCTCCACCCGTTGAACCCAAATATTTCATTAGCTAGATTTAACGCCTTCCATCCTTCAATATATGATACACTTTGTCCTCCGCCGCCGGGACGAAAACTAACGTATTCTGGTCCCAAAACTTTGTCAAGCAATTGCTGAATTCGTTCTTGCTGTTCATATGTATAGGGGATCGCTTTAAATGGCCTCGTTGATCCCGATGTCTGCTGGGTCAGGTCCCTATGGTTTAGATTACGATATCCGCCATTCGAATTCGTTTGATTTTCATCATTGCTTATGTTGTTGATGGATTGTTGGGGGTCACCTCTTGCAGTTTGACGAGTCGTATGAGAAGCACCGGGATGATTGAAAGGCTGCTGATTATTGGAAGTTGTAGAGCCACTCATGATCAACACAAGGCTATCTTAATTAATCAAAATTAGAGAACAGAATCAGTAGTTTGTTGTAAGTATCTAGTTTGTTTGTCTATGCGCGCGACGTAATCATTTTTTTTTAACGTGTTGCACACTTACATTTGAGGAAAGTTTCAGAAGAAGGCGAGTAGAGGTCAAATATAACTATAATCTTAAGCGTTACCAGAGTTATATCTAGTCATATGTGGCGATCCCACGTCCTGAACCAGTAATTAGTTTGTTTGAGGTATTGAATCTATTTATAGTTATCACAAAAATTAGCTCTGGCATGAATGAACTCTAAGGACGTTACTCTGGAAGATGATGACGCTAAAAAGAAACAAGAAGAAGAAAAAGAAGAAGAAGAAAAGGACACGTTTTCTGAGGTAGAAGTGCAGCCATTAAAGAACAATCCACATACCAATAAGAACAATGATTCGAAACTTCTATGCTCTCAACAATTCAATTCAGAGTTTGATATGGAATATCCAAAAAGGAAGTCGAGTTCCCAGAAGGAAGATAATTCCAATCATAGATTACAACAGATCTCGAATTACAAAATCATAATTGCAAAGGAAGAAAGAAGGAAACGTTATAATTTACGTTACAATCGACAGGCTGCCAATAGTCCGGAAAGAGATGTAGAAAGTCCAAGAAAGAAAAAAAGAGTCACTTTTGAGCATTCGAAATCAAGATAGTCGAAATGTTTGCCTAGTCCAACTGGATTATCAACCTATGAAGATTATGATGCATTTATTTTACAATGTCATGGATATTTAAGAATATGTAGAAATATAAAGTAGAATGTCTTTATTAAATATCTGGACATGAAATTAAAGTAATATTATCACCTTTCAACAATATTCGTCCTAAGTGCTCAGTTTCACCATCGGACGTAGAAATCTCATCTGCATCATCGACAACGATATTCATGAATTCATCAAATCCTCTAATTTTACCTTGTATTCTCATATGAGTTTGTTCATATAACCAGATATTAACGATTGATTGCTGTTGTAAGCATTTAAAAATAAGATTAATGGGAGGAAGCATCGAGGCTTTTCCAGACCCTGAAGACGACATAATGGTTCAGATGTTCGTCTACGAAAGTACGAAGATTTTTGTAGCGTATTTTTGTTTTTCATGAAAGCATCTCAAGTTTGTGTAAGAAATCAAACGAGTCTTAAAACTTTGTTTACATCATCAAAATCTACAAGAGGTGCAATTGAAACTACAGTTCTAGACTTGGGGGTCTAATGTCGAAAGAAGTTAATGACTTGAAACTGTTATTTATAGGTTGGCTCGAAGAAGCAGCGATAGAAGCAACAAAAAAAGGAACTAAAGCGGCCTTACTTTATAATAAGGCTTTAGATAGAGTGCGACACCATGAAGGGCCCATTAATGATCCCAAAACTTTGAAACTGATACAATATGTTGGGGAAAAGACGGTTTTATCTTTAACAAACCGTCTTCGAAAGTATTGTCTTGAAAATGGAGTGAGATATCCTGAAGCATTTGACCCAGCTACCTTGTCTGTCAAAGATAAAAGAACAGCGCAGATAACGAAAGGGAATGATAATAAGCGACCACGAAAACAGAAGCCTTACGTTCCTAGGCAACGTTCTGGAGGATATGCTATTTTGATTGCTTTATACTTGAGAGATAAAGGGCTTCGTGGATTGAGCAAGGATGAAATAATCAAAGTTGCAACACCATATTGTGATAGGTCATTTAAGTCGAACCCTTCTAATAGCGATTTCTACTCAGCATGGGATTCCATAAAAATTCTTATAAAGCATGATCTAGTCGGATGCATGGGGAGGTCCCCTAAATTATACGTCATGACTGAAGAGGGCTTAGAGCTCGCATCTAAACTCAAGGAAGCGGAGGGGATCAATTCATCTCCACCTAGAAGCAGTGCCACAGATATCTCTTTTGATAACGAGATAAGAGTTAGTCCATTTATTCCCACGAGAACGGTTTTGTCAGACTTCTCAAAATTAGGGTCTGAAAGTAAAGAACAGGTTCCTATCTTTGAGGATTATAACCCTAGTGCTACATTTCTATTTGACAGCAACTTTGCTTCTTCACCTCTAAAAAATCGTTCAAGTATGTCAAATGATAATATTCAACGGCAGGAGTCGAAAACTATTCAGGCTTTGAATGATTCGAAGCACCATGATATTGCTAATAAACTGTTTCAAGGCATACAATATGACATATGGTTGGAATCAGAGTTCGAAATTATCTTATTGATAGATAACAGAGAAATTAGAAGCCAACAGGAGCGTGACTTCTTTAGACAAAGGTTAGAGAGCTTGGGTATTCAATGCGAAGTTAGATCTTTATCCGTAGGAGATTCCTTGTGGATAGCAAGACGTAAAAAAACAAAACGAGAGGTGGTATTGAACTATATTTGTGAACGGAAAAAATTAGATGATTTGGCATTCTCGATCAAAGATGGCCGTTTTCAAGAGCAAAAAAATAGATTAAAAAAGACAGGTATGAAGTACTTCTATTACATCATTGAAGAAGTTGGCATAGAAAAAGTCGCTCATATGAAAGATGCAATCAGAACATCAATGTCTATGACAATGACAACGTCTAATTTTAACTTGAAACGGTCCAAGTCGATTGAAGAAACTGTTAGCTTACTTGCTACCTTAACTAACGTGATCAAACTAGCTTTTAAGAGACGTAACACTAATTTAATTGTTCTAAGACCGCGGATTATGAATACTCAAGCAGAATACGCTCTGCTTCTTTTAAAATTTAGAGAAGAATTTGAGAGCAGATCCACGCCATATGAATGTGTTCACTTATATTCCACTTTTCAAGATTCTTTGGCCAAAAATGGTATGATGACGGTAAGAGAGATGTTTGTTTCTATGCTTATGGCCATAAAAGGCGTCTCTTTGGAAAGAGCAGTAACAGTTCAGTCTTATTTTAAAACTCCTAAAGGATTATTAGATTTTTATCATACTGAACATCGTTGTACAAGTGACAAGGAGAAAAGGGAACTTCTACTGGAGCTCTTCAAAAATCAGGTTGGTAACAAGAAAATAGGCAAAGTGGTTCTGGAGAGAATCTTTGAAACTTGGGGTACTCCTTCAAGTTAACCAAAATCAGCATATTGCTTCTGATTTCCATTAGCATCATCGATCAACATTTCGCTATCTTTAGAGTGCAATCGTGCAAGAACCGTTAGTTTGAAAATTTCACGGTCGGTACTTTCTCAAAATTTTCTATATTTCTACGCTATATAATATATAATAGAAAAAACAGGGTAATAATAATCTTTGGAATGAGTAAGCGGGCTCTTAAATACGGCGGGAAATCAGGTATCTTACCCAGGGTTCGCCCAGTATTTAAGCGAAATCCAATAAGACCTAAGACTAATGATGAGATTGCAGAAGAATCCAAGATAGAACAAGGATATGCCGAAGGCATTCCTTTGCCCAAAAAACGAGGATTTAAGTTCCAGAGGCAACCAGTACCTCATCCAGTTGTGACTGTTGAAGAGAGGATCAAGAGGAATATAGAAGACCGCTCTCCTGCTATAGTCAATGAGTCAGAATTGTCCCACGATGAATTATGGAAATTGAAAAGAGACGAAATCCGAAGAGTACATTTGAAAGATGCTTACATTACTGAAGCAAAAAGATTACAGAGGATCGAAGAATTGAAAGCCGAGAAAGAAGCAAAGGAGAAAGAGGCCAAGAAAGATATTTTTTCGCACGAGGAAACTGAAGCCACAAGATTGACTTTGCCTACTATAGACTCTTACTTAAGCGGACCCATAATGAGACAGAGAACTGAAGAGGAAAAAGAGATCCTCGAAGAGAAAAGAATCTTGAATAGAGAAGTAAAAAGATTGGAAGTAAAAGAGAAAAAAGCTAACGAGATATTAGAATTGTATCATGCAGCTTCCAAATTCATAACAACTGAGGAAGAACTCGATCATGCCATTAAAGAAGCATTTGAAGTAAATGTTTCTAAATTTGAACGTAACCAGTTGAACATTGAAAATAAATTACAGGGTTATTCTTATGCTTTTGCAAATGCCAACGTCAACGAGGGCTTGGTTCTTGACGAGGTTTTAGGTGAGATCAATGGTGAACCAGGATTGGAGACTGTGAAGCATACTTTGGACGGTGAAATCGAAAGGTTAAGACGTGAGGCTCAATTAGCCATTAACCAAAAAATGAATTGATTTGCTATTGGCAATAAGTTTCGAACAATGATTGTATGGTCATAAATTCTTTTTTTAACTCTTTGTCCACTGACATGTAAATAGAAATACACATCCTTGTAAACGATAGATTTTTCAAAGGTGTATTTGGTCGTGTGCCTCGCAAATAGGTAGTATCGCAATATTATCTTTTTAGGGTCCACATAGAACAGTCAGAAAGAACTTATTATTGTTACAAGGATGTCAGACCAGACTAGTGGTAAGAGGAACATCTCTTATGATTACTACTATTCTAAGGTAGTGATCAAACGAATGGGGTACTTCAAAAATGTGGTCGGTCTTTTGGCAGTGATTTTGTCAATTAGTTTAAGAGTCCTATTTGGACATTTTTGGTGGAATCTATTACTTACTATATTAATAAGGGGCCCCTTACTATTTCTTGGGTTCATGACCCTTAAAATATCTAGAGACAAGTACACTACAGTTGAATTCACACCATTCAAGACCTTGGGTTCTCAAATTTACTACTCATTATTATCGAAGAAATTCTTCATAATCGTACTATGTTACTCGGTGTCTTCATTAGTACTGTACCTGGTGTTCATATCGCAGCTAAGCTTTAAGTATGATTATGCTGTGTTATCAAAAGAATATGGACGCAAACCGATTGTCAATGACGAATGGGTCCATTACTGGTTTCATGCTGTGTACATAGCATTCATTTATTCAGCACAGCACTTGACTTTCCAACGCAATAGGCTTAATTTTAGATATGGTATATCTAAGGTAAGACCAGATGACTCTTTGATGAAAAAACTTCCAAATCTATTAGGCAATGCAATATTCTTGAATTTAATTGTCGGGCTCTCTAGCCCAATTGTGTATTGCATAACAAGGCCAATCATTTATAAATTTAATTGGCCAGCATTGATTGCATGTGGATTGGATACTTCAATTCCAAAGTTTTATTTGTCCTTTAGAGTGTTGTTTCAAATTTCATTCGTGTCTTTCCATGTTCTTCTATCGTGGGAAATACTTAACCATGTATACAACGTGTATTCTACTATTGGCTGCTTAGATGGTAAGAAACCGATTTCAACATACAGCTCAGACCCTATAAATACATTGCTATCGGGATTGAGAAGTACTGAACCGCAATATCAGATAAGTCGCTTAGCTGCATTTCAAGAATTGGCTTATATTGCCTCCACAAATGACCCAGAAGGGGTAAAGTTGCGGGTAGCCATATATAGCGCTCATTCTAAGTTCGGATTCATCTGGCCTGCAATACTTGATGAATGTTCTTTAGTAATTAAAGGTACTACCGCAAGAATCAACTATAGATCCCCATCTGACTTGAAGTACTTGCAACTGGATACTGTGAGGTTAGATGATGGGTTAATCAGTCCATTACCAAAGGACAGTAGTACAGGTAGGGATATTTTCGGTAATTCTAATCTTAATAATGCCCATAAGGAAGATAAAAAAAAATCGTCAAAATATGATATGAAAAAATATCCAGAGGCATCGAATGAAACTTCAAGTGAAGCACCCTTTAGACAGCTATTCAAATTTCTCGAGAATAATATCTTAAAGTATCTACCAAACAGCGTCTTTTCATGGGTCTCGTCTATTTTGAAAACTCCGAAAGGGTTTATTTTAGAGCTTCATCATCTTGTTGAAAGATTAGAAAAAGATGGCAATCAGTATTACAAAAAATTTCTAGATAGCAAATTTGGAATCTTTTTTAGAAGGACTTTAAAGAGGGACACTGAATCAAGAGTTTTGAATCCAGTCAACTTTGGTAATGCGGTATTTGCGATTTCAGATTTGATTATTCATTCGATAGAAGAGGACAAAAATTCATGTGTGACAACTTTGCATGTAAGCGAGGTCTTCAACTTATTAGAAAAACCGATTAGGGCTACAAAGAATTACTCTGATTATCTTCCGAGCTCTGTTTATTTGACACAATCTCAAAGAACATACAAACAACTAAAATTGAATCATTTGGTGGTTCTTTTGCATGACTTGGCAATGAATAAGTTTTTTCAAATGTGTATTGAATTCAACTTCAAGTTGAATGATCTTTTACTAAATGCAAGGACGTTCAAGCTAGCGAAATGGGTTATTGATGTTGCAATTGCACACCAACAACAACAAGGAAAAATGGAATAGCCTAGATACATAAAGACTAAGACTAAGAATATATATTATGTATTTATACTTGACGTGATGTAGGATAATAATTTTACTACATTGACATGACTCTATGAATCTTCATGTGGGCTTTCATTTTTGTAATTTTTCTTACTCAGGTTTGGTAATGTGTCAAGCAAGACAGGCTTGAGCACTTGTTCATCAAATTTCGTAAACCATTTGGCATGATCTTCAGCGCCTAAAAATCCACCAAAAATTCCACTTGGATTATCAATAGGGAGTCCATTTGATGTTGCAGGTCCACTAGAAGACGCATTCGGGATTAAGTCATCCAAGTCACTTGATATCAAATCGTCATCATCAGGCTTCACTAGTTCTGTAGAATTGGCCGTTGGCATTACTTGAATACCCGTGTTTTTTTGAAAAGATGTTAAGCTAGCATTTGATACAGCACCAGATTTCACTGTATCATGAGGATAAACCTGTGTACCAAAATTTGAAGAAGAGTTTGCAAACCTTCTGTTTCCCAAAATGAAGTTTGGAGTGGTAGGGCTAGCATAAGGTAATCTAGGTGCCTCAATATCAAAATCATCATCCGAATCTATACTCTCATCTACACAGCCGACTTTGATACCCAAGATCTCAAGCATAGAGGCCGTAGTTCCTCCGAAAAGAATCACAGTCAATACAACAGCAACAAGTACAGTAGCCAATAATGTCCATTTAGCTTCTCCTTGTATCCCCATCGCTAATGCAACACCAACTGCTCCCCTTAAGCCTGCCCAAAATATCATCATCTGATACGAATGACTGATTTCATCCGGTACTTGCTGATACGCGAGATCAGACATTGTTGTAGGCCTGTTGACTAGCCTCTCAAATTTTGCTCTATATAAGAAGTTCAACAATCGTGAAAGAGGAAAAACAGACAGCCATCTAGCCACACAAATCAGAATAAAAGTGATGATTATTAACAAAGGTTTAAAAACTAATTCCACCTCTGTAAATAAAGACAATCCAAGATAAATGAAAATGAAATTCTCGGATAATTGTGCCAATAATTGAAAAACATATTTGGTTGCAATTTGAGTCCTTCTCGACATGTTGAAATAGGCATAATGCTTCAAAGTGATGCCACAAAATAATAAGGAAACTATGCCTGACATATGTGCTCCGTTCGAAAAAAAATATGACTGGTATGCAAATAATAGCACCAAACAAGTCTCAATCTGGGGATATCGTCTAATATGACTGTGCTTCAAGATCAATGCAACTAGAATACCAATCAGAATACCAATAATTGTAGAAATTGTAAACGTCATTAAAAATAAACCAATTCCTTCAAATAAACTCGAGAAATGAACAGCGTGGCCATGGAACTTTTGACATGTTTCAAACATGACAATAGAAATGGCATCATTTAATAAAGATTCGCCAAAAATGATTGTATATAACTTCGGATCAACCTTATAGGCATTGAAAATTGACAAGATCGTGACTGGATCAGTCGCTGACAAAGTGGCTCCGACAGCTAAAGCATCAACAAATTCCAACTTTATGCCATCTACTCCTAAAGCAGTCCATATATATACGATTACTCCAATCACAAGGGCCGAAATGAAGGTTCCAGGAATCGCAAATGTTAAGATTGATGCAATATTTCTGAAGAAGTTAGCTTGATGTAGCTCGTAGCCAGAATTCAATATAATTGGCGGTAATAAAATATTGAAGAAATAGCCCGAGTTAAATTTGACTGCATCTTGAATGTAATGCCCTGGAGAAACCCTGATAATTAATCCAACAACCATCCCGTAGAAAATAGATAGTACTGTCTCATGAATAGCTTTAATTCGACGTTGCTGAAGAAAATAGGATGACCATAGTGCTGAGCACAACAAGAATATTACAATGAATAGGGCCCAAGAGGAAAATATCTCATCCTTCACAGGATTAGAATCATCTAATTGGTCATCATCAGGCGTTGAGACGTCAGGTATTTCATCATCTGGATCATTTTCGCTTCCTGTTACCCTCTTTATTAGAATTTTAGCAGCGAATAAAGCTATGTTACTCATTTTATACGTATATAGCTCGTATTACCAATTGATTCGGTACTTCTTTATTTCAGTAATTGTTTAAAATAATTCAGGCACTAAAAGGTTGTAAGGTATTTCAAAAACGTTAATCAACAACTATGTGGAAATACAAGAGACTTAGGTCGATCAAATAGACTTTGAAGTACTAGTTTTCCGATGTAAGAAATGTAATCTGTAACTGAATCTTACTTATTTGGTGAGATTGTTTAATGTAACGTAAGTCTCTAATTGAATATAATTCCGGCACATAATTGTTGTTTATTTATGACGCTCAGCGCTCTTAGCGAAAGAGATCAATCCTATCTCTGGCCAGAAGAGATATTCTTAACAGAGTGTCAAGACACTACAGTCCTAGTAACCTTTCACTTATCATTCGCTTAAAATTTGAAACGGGCTAGTGCATGTCAAATATCCATATTTTTTACTGAGGCTGCTATTTTTAGTCAAGTTTATTTTTATTCATACCAGCAAATTTGACAGAAACTATAAACAAAATGGACAAGGACCCTAGGAGAGGAAGTGAATACGGCAGATATGACTATGCAAATGAAAGAAGAACTTCACAAGTAAATGCTAACTTTTCCATGTCTGACTTGCATCGTGTGAACATGCCCGATCATATTTCAAACTTCAAATCAGTGGTTTCTGCTGATAAAACATGCGCTGCCTTTCAATTAGCTACACCGCCTATATCTAATGTGTCCACGCCAGTGAAAGAAGACTCTTCTATGAACTTCGGCCATGAAATCAATTACTATGGACTGTGGTTACAAAGTGCTAATGTCAAGGTTACGACTTTGTGCATTAGCTGGTACATGTTTTCAATAATATCAAGTAACTCTAGCAAGATCATATTATCCGATTTCAAGCATCCCGTTACCCTTACACAAGCTCAGTTTATATTAAATTTCGTCTTCTGTGTCGCGTTTTATTTATTAATTTCATTCAAACGAAACCTTGCCCAACATCTTCCTGTTGGTATGACACCTAACATGCAAGAAGTCAAGTCTGTTGTGGCATTCCTATCACCGAAACCTAGTTTCATCTTGAGCATAATTCCAATGGGATTGTTTCAGTTTTCAGGCCATATATTATCCCATACAGCGTTTTCCTTGGTGCCAGTTTCGACGGTCCACACAGTGAAGGCACTTTCCCCCATAATAACTGTTTTGATATACAGATTGTTTTTTAAAGTGCATTACAAGAGGTCAACATATATTTCTCTAATTCCTTTAAGTTTGGGGATTATGTTGACATGTTATAAACCTCATCAGGGAGCACTTTATTCTAATGGCCTACTTCTAGCATTTCTTTCGATGTTGATCTTCGTTACCCAAAATATATACGCCAAAAGAAAAGTAACACAAGAAGTACCTGGCTTTTTGCCTACCTCTAATAAAAGGCATAACAACAATCCGGACAAGTTAACGATCCTATTATTTTGTTCAATAGTTGGATTTGTTAGTACCTTACCATTCTACATCGTTCTAGAATTTCGAAATGATACGTTATCTTTGAAGAGCATTACTCCGAAACTATTTGCATTGATAATCCTCAACGGATTTTCCCATTTTTCACAATCACTACTTGCATTCCATATTTTAGGACTCGTTGATCCTGTGAGCTACTCAATTGCTAATTTAATGAAAAGAATTTCGGTCATTTTCATTGCCTTCCTTTGGGAGAGTAATCATTTCTCTGTCCATCAGTCTTGTGGTCTCATGGTTACATTCTGTGGGCTTTATTGTTATCATAAATGGGGATCAAAGCATCAATGAGATAAGCGCTAATTCAACGATTTTTACTCAAATATAGATATCTATTAATGTCAGAATTAAAATGTAGATATATATTAATATAAAATTAAATGCTTTAATGGCCAGCACCATCTGCATTAAGCATCTTCTTAAATATATCCCCAAAGGCAACCATGAAGACAGTTTGCCAGACTCCTAAACCAATTCTTGGGGTGACGCCTCTGTACAAACCTTTAACACCGTTATTCTTGTATATATACTTGAAGGCACTCACAACTCCTAGCTTTTTTGGCCTATTGGGGTCGTTGGTTTTTGATTGCATTTCAACCCTAATGACTTCAATGGGTTGATTCCAAGCCGACAAACCTCCACCAATAACAGAGGAAGCGATCTTCTCTACTGCATTCAATTTTTCGTCCTTCCCTTTGTTAGTCAAGTTTTTAATGGCTTCTTCCGCCAACCTTGAAAAACCGAACCTAGATCCCCAATTGGTCATTTGTCTAATGGCGACAGCATTGACTCCTTTATTGATACCACGTATACCTTCCTTCTTGTAGATCTCCTTGAAGACTTGGAATGTTGTTTGTTGTGGTACTCCACTTTGCGCCTGCTTAGATCTGGTAATCTCAACGGTTTTCATACAAGTGCAGAATCCCATTGTCATATATGCTTGAGCAAGGCCACCGGAAACACCACCTCCCATACCGGCGACAAAACTGCTAGTGCCCAATCTTCTGAACTGATACTCAGCTTCTGCAGAAACAAACAAAAGAACGGCTCCTTTAGTCGAAGCTTCTATCCAAGCCCAAGGAATCAAACCCTGGTAGAATCCAAGGACACCACCTCTAGACCAAACAACTTTAATTGCTTGGAGCATTGAAATAGATCTGTTAGCTGCCATTGTGGTTTTAGTGACTTCAAGTGGCTGACCGAGGGTGGTGACCTCTGCCATGTTCAAACCAGCCCCTAACAAAATGTTAGAGAAGTTAATGGGCTTCTTTTCTATCTCAATTGGGGACGCTTTAGTGGCCATCTTCAATCTTGTAGTGATAACTAGCTTGTTTAACTATTGTCATTCCCCATGATATGTAAATTTTTCATAGTCGGCCGATATAGGATCATATTCATCACATGATGACGAGGCTAGTCCTATGGAGAACCAAACGCGTCGAAATTCTCTGTCGGTCGCAGAGGCGACATTCTTACCAAATCCGACTTTTGTCCGCCAGCCCGACATCAGCATCCCGGCGACCTTGTGATTTTGCCCAACATAGTTATCAAAACCCACCCTCACCCCCGGTGCCGACTCTTACAACAAGGAATAGGTTTGAATTCCGAACTTGTACCTGTCGCATGTTGGCTAATTGTTCGTATTATAGGGTTATTATGGACTCTGTATGGACCGAATAGATTTGAAAATACTGCAGAGTCACATGGATTGTGCGAGATTTTATGGTTACACATAAATATAATCGTTCCCTGATCAAGGTGAGCCCAACGCTCTTCAAAGTAGATCCAACCCAATCATTTCCTGTATGTCTTCCATGTTATCTACTGGGATTTCTTTTCAGATTTTTTTTTTTCTTGTGATCTGCAAAAGGAATTTTTTTTCTCTTTGTCACATTCTTCCACTTGTAGACAGAGTTCAAATCATATATAACAGTAATTGACGCCAGTTAAATTACACGTTTTTATTGATATTACTATTGGATCTTTCACATAACATACACGCCGTATAAATATCAGTGAGATTAAATCAGCAATAGCAGACTTGTGATATTACACTATGAGTAAAATAGTTTCTAGTGCCAACACAACTTCCCCTGGTGTGGAAGTCAAGCAGAGAGGCAACGTTGCGAGCTTATACGACACCACCAGCAAGAATCTCACGGCTATTGACACGTATGGAAATGAATTCAAAGTACCAGACTACTCCATCAAGGATATATTAAGCGCAATTCCGACACACTGCTACGAAAGAAGAGCAGCTGAATCTTTATATTACGTTTTCAGGGATCTTTTCTGGATAGTATCTTTCGGATATCTTGCTAATAATTACATCCAATTCATACCTTCGCAAGTCGGTAGGTTTTTGGCATGGTCTGCTTATGTCTATGTTCAAGGTCTTCTTGGTACCGGTTTGTGGGTTTTGGCCCATGAGTGTGGTCATCAAGCATTTAGTGATTACGGCTGGCTCAATGACTCTGTTGGTTGGGTTTTACATAGTGCTCTTATGGTGCCTTACTTCTCTTGGAAGTTTTCTCATGGTAAGCACCATAAGGCAACGGGTCATTTAACAAGAGATATGGTGTTCGTTCCAAAGACAAAAGAACAATTTATGGGTGCCAGAGGTATTCAAGATCTTGACGACTTGGTAGGCGATTCACCAATATACACATTACTTCAATTAATTTTCCAACAGCTGCTTGGATGGATTTCCTACTTACTCACCAACGTCAGTGGTCAGAAATTTCCAGGCAAGTCTTCTTGGAGCATAAATCATTTCAATCCCTCGTCTTTGATTTTTGAGAAGAAAGATTATTGGTATATTATCTTGTCTGACATCGGTATTTTGACCCAGTTCTGTGTGTTATATACCTGTTACCAACTGTTTGGTGGGTTCAATGTTTTAGTTAACTGGTTTTTACCTTACCTTCTCGTCAATCACTGGCTCGTTTTCATAACATACTTGCAGCACTCTGATCCTCAGATGGCTCATTATGAAGCAAGTCAATGGAACTTTGTAAGGGGTGCAGCTGCTACCATTGATAGAGAATTTGGCTTTGTTGGAAAATACATTTTCCATGACATTATTGAGACACATGTTTTGCATCACTATTGCTCCAGAATTCCTTTCTATAACTCAAGAGAGGCAAGTGAAGCAATCAAGAAGGTAATGGGAGAACACTATCGTCACTCTGACGAAAATATGTGGGTTGCTTTGTGGAAATCAGGCAGGTCATGTCAATATGTAGATGGCGACAATGGAGTTATGATGTACAGAAATATCAATGGCTATGGAGTTGGAAAGAATTAGATTATTTTGCCATTATTTATTTTAGACGCGATAGACTTTTCGAAGCTTCTTCTTCTCCAAGTTTAGTAGATATTATAAATGAATCTATTTTCATGTAATGAAGGGTATTCCTGTTCCAGTCTGTGATTTATAAGATAAGTAGTCCTTTCCAAAGAAAGTCGTTAGATAATTTTCCTCAAATTCTATTCTCTTGTTAAAGAAGTTCCACAACTTGAAGGTTCCTAGTGTTAGAGTTATGATATTTCCAAAATAAAGTTGTAGGCCTATGAACCACCAGAAGAACCCAAAGTAACTGGGATGTCTCATAATGCTATATATACCATTTGTCACTAACTTGTGATCATTATGACGTTCTTTTTGAATATAATGGTTGAAAGATTCCCCAGCAGTACACATAGCTAAAGTTCTAATAATTTGAGATAATAATATCAATACTAAACCCATCTTAGTGAATGAAAACGATGTGAACCAAGACTTCATAAGGAATTCCAAAATGGAGATTACATTGATAGCATGTAAATCCCAGTCATTTAGTATAAACGAATCATCGTCAACGTTCGAATTATTAAATACTGCAGTTGTTATAAACTCGAGGAAGTGAAAAATGCAAACAAAAGAGACATATCCGTTAATCTTGATAATTGTCGACGGAACATAAATCACATTCAAGAATGCTAGTATTATCACAGTGCAATTAACTGCTAAAAGAAAACCAAGTACAGTAGATTTTATAGCCACAACAGACAAGTTTACTTTCTTTGAATCATATAATGAAAATCTAGTCCCCTCGGCTGACATTGGTAGGAAGAATTGAAAAGTTACAATTAGTCGAATAAGGTACGAAATCAGATTTTCTTGCACTGAAAATTTAAACAAGTGTATGGCGCATACTGAGAAATGTATCAGTATTATGATAAGAAGAAAAATCCTTTACACGAGATAGCACTAGTGTCCTTCACTCTCGGAGCTGTAATAGGCTGTTGTATAATATTAGTTGTATCAGAAACTTGTACCGAACATTCTCAACTATTGATATACTGCACCATAATTTGTATCTATTACTTAAATGAATTCCTAACCACATCCCTCTTTCAGCCTTCGAGGACTAGCTCAAAACTGTTTTTAATTTATGGAAACAAAGGTAACAAAGAGTTCTTTATGGTTCAGCTAATCACAGTATGGGAGTTCTTACTTAAAAGAAGTATCTTTTTCTCCGGATTCATAACTTACTCAAGAAGCTGGTATTTGATATGCTCTGGCTTCCTTCTTATCGTCATTGGTTTCTTTATGAGGACACTAGCAATGGCGACTTGTGGGGAATCTTTTTCTCATATAATTATAACTGAAAAAGAGAATAGAACAAAATTAATTACAACAGGAATTTATGGCTGGTTCAGACACCCGAGCTATCTTGGATTTTGGCTTTTCAGCATTGGGTGCCAACTCTTCTTAGAGAATTCCTTGAGTCTAGTTGTTACTATTATTAGCCTTGGCTACTTTTTCAAAGTCAGAATTGAATTTGAAGAATGGTTTCTAATTAATAGAATGTTCGGAGATGAATATTTAGAATATAAACTGAGAGTTGGAGTATGGATTCCATTTGTGGTACTTAAAGAAAGGTAATAACATATCTATAAACTTCTGTTCATAAATCTTCTTCTTGTGAAAGCTAACCAAAATTTGCTAGGAGTTGTTTCATCATCTTTATATATTCTCTTTAATAATCTATCAGCCAATTCTTGTCTAAACTGCTGTAAATAGGACCTCAATAAATCAGCTTCATTTTTGTTCGCAGGTGGCTGATACATAGAATTCAATGGGAATCCAATCTCTCCAGGCAATGCAAAACTATCTAAAGACAAATTATTCAAAATCCTTACTGCTTCTCTGTAACTCACCGATTTGTTTAGTTTTGATAAACAATCACTCACAAACAAAATCCCGTAAATTAACAATCTATCTGCTGGTCCCTTTATTTCGAAGTTTTTGAAAAATGAATTGGCTCTAAATAAATCAAGAACTTCTTCGACAATGTCATAATCTTGATCAGGGGGGAAAGCAGGGCCCCTGAACTTCGAATGAATTGGTAAAAGAGCCAAATTCCCAATTTTTCTGCTATCTGCCCCTTCCTCACCTAGAAATGTAGAGTGATATGCCGGCATGATAATCTAGAAATACTATCCTTAGTAAACGTAACTGATTTTAACTGCTCGTTATGGGGCCTCAATAAATGTCACCGTTTCAGCAAAGCTGTAGTTAATGTCGCATTATGTCGCACAATGACAATGATAGTTAAGCAGCATGAATATTAATAAACCAATCGAAACTTGTTTCTGTATCACCATTTCTCCTTGTAAAGTCACATTGAAATGTATTGATACACATCTCATTGCCTTCCCCAAGATAAACTCTTCTTTGTAACAAGGCTCATCCTTGTAAGAAAGAGAATCATTATGATGTCGTTTTCTCTCATGACAGCGACATTATCGCGGCACAAGAATCCATAATGGAAGTATCATCCACTTTCATAGAAATCTGACAAAATTACGATTCGACACTAAGCCAATAACTTTAAAAAAAGTTAATTAAAATTCATTCTTACTGATACCGCTCTTATCAACAAGGAAACAACATAGTCGATATTCTGCTCAAAGACTTAGGTTCTTGACTGATAGAAATAGAAACGAGAAGTTCGAAAACGTTCGAAATTATTGTTGCTCGACAGTCTATTGCTTGTAAACTATTTCCAGAAAGGTACAGAATAATTTAGTCAAAATTGAAGACAAGCGGTACTATATAAGGTACAATTTTCCAAGACGGGGACACGAAAAGAAACAAGCGAGATTGGATCGGTTGCCTTCTTTCGCTTAACTGGAAGGAAAGCTAGTCGTTACCGACAATTGAGTTCATACAGATTTGCGGATTGGAAGTTTGAAGGATAAAAGAAAGGCTCAAAGGAAGTATTCGAAAGAATATTGATTAACCTTTAAGATTTTTTTCCTTTCCTTTTGTTTGTTTATATCTTAACCCTGTTGTTTGGCATAATTGTGGACTCCATTAATAGAAATCAATCTTGTTAAATTTTGCTGATATAAAATTTGCCCGAATCACAGGTGATGTCATCAAATTATTCTCACCCTGCTCCGTTCAATGGTATGGCGGAGTCAGACCTGCCTCAGTCACCACAAACAATTAATATTCCTACGCATTTGTTACCTCAAGCCATGCTCGATCATAATAATCGATATCATCAACCGCCCTCGAATGTGACCAATGGTGAAAAGTTTTATGACTCCCATAGTCTGCCTCATAAAGATCAATTCCACCAAGACAGTCATCATAATGACAGAACGCATCCGAGTTGGAACCAAGCTTCTTATAGTTCAGGGATTTTAGATCCAGGCTCTCCAAGAGTTAGACAGAGATCGCAAGAGAGCTTCGTACAAGGAACTAATCGAGATAATAAGATGGATGTAACTATGAATGGCCCAACACAGGATGGCGGTGGTGGAAACTTTGCTGATTTTCATAGGAAAACATCGCAACAAGAAGAGTATCCAGTTGGTGACCAGAGGACTCCTTACAATAATCAGCAGAGCTATAAAGCGGAACGACCGTTTGAGCAACTGCAATATCAAAACTCTTTGTACTCTAGGCAGGCCCCTCAACAAGGTTCCTATCCTCAACAACGATTTCAACAACCACCGTCACAGCAAAAAGTCCCACCATCATACCAACAGCAAAGTTTTCAGCATCAAGATTCATCTCCGCTGACTTTTCAAACTGTTCAACATAATCCTTCGGTTCCTCAGGTACCTCAGTCACGTCGTGCTGCCCGTAGACCACCACCAACGAACCTTCCACCGATTCAGACTAATCGGATACTAAGTGAAGGAAGGAGGATTGTCTCTTCACCTACTGTTTCTCACTCACCGACGGCTTACGTAAATAATTCGCCAATTTCTGGGCCTAGCGTTAATCTGATGAAACCAACTGACAATAGGACGCAATCATTGACTAATAATACGAAGTATCAGTACAATCAGGTAAATAAGATTATTCTGGAGCAACAACCACAGCAACAAGACACACAGCCTAACCACAGGCCTCGTTCTAGCGGGAACGGGTCAAGTTCTTCCATTCATCACACCTTCTCTCTTTCTTCGAGGTCGAGATCGTTTACTTCATTAGGCAAACTATCGTCTCTTTCAACTAAAAAGTTTAATTCATCAGCGTCGTTACAGAGCAGCAAGTTAGACAGAAATCCATCTAGCGCAACTCTAAACTCACTGAAGACAGCCGTCGCTCAGCTACCTAAAAAGCCAGTTGTTTATCCGGCATTGTTGTCAAGAGTCGCTAGAGTGTTTAAAGAATCAATTATTTTGACTATAAATACAAAGGATGGTTTAGAGTACCACGATACCTTCACAGGAAAGATGGCTGTGGATGTCATCTGTAAGATAATAAGGACAAGTGACCGTAACTTAGCTTTGCTTTTGGGTCGTTCGCTAGATGCTCAAAAATTCTTTCGCGATGTAACTTACAATCATAGATTGAGAGATTCTGTTCATGAAGTTTACGCTTTTAATCACATTTACAGTGATGTCGAATTTTACAACGATGATAGTGGTAACAATAGTGCAAATAATTCTAGGCATGGTTCTTATAATGATAATAGCCAGTTTCAGCAGATGTTGCAGCAAAACATATTGTCACAACAGTTATTACAACAACAACTACCTGCTCATTCTAGTAGTGGTCTACCAGTTACTACTGCTGATCCAAGTGATGCTATAAACAGTCCTTCGTCACTAAATCTTCAAGGAAAATCGTCAAATACTCCAAGTTCTACTGGTGTTAATGGAGTTTTCACTATCTTAACGGATTGTTACTCTCCTACTTGTACTCGTAACAGGTTATGCTATAGTATTGCTTGCCCGAGGAGGTTGGAACAGCAAGCTCGTCTTAACTTAAAGCCACAAGGAGGATTAAAGAGAGCTGTTTCTAGATTGTCTTTGCAGGACAAGGAGGAGAATAAAACTTTGTGGCATGAGACGGTACCTCAGTCAGTCTTAGAAAAATTGGATAAGCATGAGAAAATGAGACAAGAACTAATCTATGAACTCATTTACACGGAAAGAGACTATGTAAAAGATTTAGAATTCATGACAGACTTTTACATTATGCCATTACGAAATCCAGCTAATAACATTATTCCAGAACGTGAGAGGGAAGCATTTATAAGAACTGTTTTTGGCGGAGTTAATGATCTCCTTAGGTTAGCGAAGAACTTGAGTGATTCCTTGACGAGAAGACAACAACAGCAAAAACCAGTGATCTCAGCCATTGCAGACATTTTTTTAGAAAATGTTGGTAAGTTTGAGCCCTTTATTAAATATTCTGGAAATAAAGTGTTTGCTAGTTTTGAACATGAACGTCAGCAACAGGTTAATATGAAATATGCAAGGTTTTTAGATGCTATAGAGAAGAAACCTGAATCAAGAAAGCAGGACTTATCTTCATTTTTAATCAAAGGTATCCAAAGACCTGCTCGATATCAGTTATTATTAGGAGGTATAATTAAAAATTCAAAACCAGAATCACCTGACTATGATGATTTAATTAAAGCCAAGGAAGAAATTGAAAAAGTTTTAAACAAGATCAATATTCAAACAGGTGAGAGTACTGATAGGCACAAGGTAATGGTATTGCATAGACTATTAGGTAAGCAAGTGCTAGAAGAGAAGTATAATTTTAAATTATCATACAGCAATAGAATTGTCTATCAGGTTACGTTGCACCGAAAGAGAGATAACGAAAAGATTGATTTGTATTTGTTTGAGCATGCTCTTTTGTTAGTGAAACACAAAATTCAGAATAAGAGGGAGCAATACAAAGTATTTGAACGTCCCATATACTTACCATTATTGTTTGTTAATAGTGGATTTGATATACCAACCGTAAGATCCTTGTTGCCCCATCGTTTGGATGGTCTGATAATATCAGATACAAGTTTGAGAAATAAAGTTGAATCATCTAATTATATGAATAATTCATCTACGAAGTTTCAAATGAATTTCTTAGGATTAGGACGTAATCAAGTCCATGCTAGCTTATTTGCAGATGACTTGACAAATCAGAGTCAAGTTTTACAGCAAATATCGACTCAACAAAAAAAATTAGTCGAAGAGGGTGATGTATTTTCTTCATCTAGATATGAAACGAGAAGATTTCATGGAAATAATAAGATAAATTGCGCAGTACCTTGCTATGGAGGTAAGAAGCATTTGTACGGAACTGATTTAGGTGTTTGGGTCTCAACAGTTCGTTCTGTTAGCGCAACTTCTAGCGAAAAGATCTGCTCAGATCCGACAATGGTCATTAGCAAGGTTTACGTCACGCAGATTGAAGTTTTGGTTGAATACTCTAAGCTATTAGTTTTGTCTGAAAAATCCTTATACGAGTTTGACTTGTCTTGTACTGACTCATTAGATCATGCCAAAAATACTCGATCTGGAAGGCTTGTATTATCTCACGTTGCATTCTTTAAGGTGGGTATTTGTGATGGAAGGTTATTGGTATGTGCCGCAAAGACGGGAAATACTCATTCAATTAATATATTCGAGCCTTCAAACCCATTTGACAAAATGAAAAATAAAAATAAAAGGTACGATATTAGAGAGATCTCTTTTAGCTCCGATCCAGTCTCTATTTCATTCATGAAACTGAAATTGTGTGTCGGATGTACAAAAGGATTTGAAATCTTGTCGTTAGAAGAGGGAAAGAAAGAGCCAATTTTGGATGAAGCCGATCCTTCACTTGATTTTGCTACTCAAAGAGAATTGGTTCATCCACTTTCAATACATCGCTTAGGGAAGAATTTCCTCTTAAGCTATTCGGAATTCTCTTTCTTAATAAAGGGCAATGGCTGGAGAACTCAACACGATTGGGGTATATACTGGCAAGGAAACCCACAAAATATTGCATTGTTTTATCCATATCTATTAGCGTTTGAGCCAGGATTTATCGAGATCAGAGATTTAGACTCAACTAAACTCTTAAGGGCGTTGATAGGAGAGAACATCAGATTTTTACATTCCAACGAACATGAAGCATTGTATGCATGTGAAGAAAATGGATACGACATTGTTGTATCGATCGATTTTTTAAATTTGAAACCAAAGCCACGAGCTACCTAAATAAGTTTTCGACTATTTCAGCTTTCGGTATATCTATGTATCTTAACAATAGTTTTCTATCTTCTTTTTTACTTATGGTATAATATAATTTGATCCTTTAATGTTCCAAATATCACCTGATATCAATCCGTGTCTTACTATTTTTTTTTCTTTTTTCTACCTTTTTTGTTCATCATGTACGACCTAAGCCGACGAAAATCAGAAGTATTTAAATCAACAAAGTGAGGCCGAAAGCAGCAGTGTCTTCAGAGTTGAGTGACCTTCATACTTCTTTTGCAGCCAATATAAGAAAAGGGAGCGTATATACAAATGCTGTCAATTATTGACTTGAGTATACCGTCATTTGATAGACCTTTTGGTTTATACTTATGGCCAATATTTAGTTATGTATTCGAGCAATTTATTGGCTATCCAGCGGAAGATTTTAAATTTATTTATCACAAAACATTTTTGGCTAATGGTTACCATGCTATTGGTATAATAATTGGGTACTACATCGTCATCTTTGGTGGCAGATGGTTATTGGCAAAGTTGAGGGCCCCAGCTTTCAAATTGAATTTCCTTTTTCAAGTGCATAATCTTGTCCTCACGGTTATTTCGTTGGTTCTTTTCTTATTGGTTGTGGAACAGATTGTTCCCATTCTCTATCACCATGGGTTATTCTATGCTATCTGTAACGAGAATTCTTTTGCTCCAAAACTAGTAACCTTATACTATTTAAATTATTTAACGAAGTACTTGGAGCTTATTGATACTGTGTTCTTGGTTTTGAAAAAGAAAAAGTTAATGTTCTTACATACGTATCATCATGGTGCTACAGCCTTACTTTGTTATACACAATTGACAGGTTCCACTTCAGTTGAATGGGTACCTATATCTTTAAATTTGGCGGTTCACGTTGTCATGTACTGGTACTACTTCTTAAGTGCAAGAGGTATTAGAGTCTGGTGGAAGGAATGGGTTACCAGGTTCCAAATCATACAATTTCTCATAGATTTGGTCTTTGTCTACTTTGCTACTTATACGCATTATGCTTTTGCCTACTTCCCATCGTTGCCGCGCGTGGGAGACTGTTATGGATCCGAATTGGCTGCTGCATATGGATACTTGATCTTGACAAGTTACTTGGTGTTATTCATTTCGTTTTATATCAAGGTATATAAAAAGGGTGGTAAGAAACCAACTAAGGATGGTGTGAAGGATAATGCAACGACTGCAACCGCCAAGTCCTCTGCTGTCCCTTCAAAGGCGAAGGCCAGATCCAGAAAAGCATAATTATAGTAATTCACCCTAATACTATCTCTGTATACAGAAAGAAGTTTGGTTTGTAAAAGAGTTCCCTCCTAATACAATAAACGGAGGCACGGATAATCTTTGTGAGTAAAAAATTGTAGGCTTAATATAAAATGAAATCAGATTCAAACACTTTCCAACTATATATGTGTACCATTTGTGGTATGATGTTTTACCACTGAACTATAGCACAAATTACTCTTGCTTGACATCATCTTTTGGCTTTACGACACTATGCAAATACCCCACTACTCAGATCTTGGATTGGCTGCAATCCCCGGCACATAAGCGAGCATTAAAAATATATTTTATATACATACTGGAAGATGTTGTGTCCCCAAGATGGACCACCCCACTGAACTTTGTTACGTGACTAGAACAAGAATTTGGCTTCGGGCGGTCACCATTGGATGCATCCGACCGGGGTATAAATTTCTATCGGTTATAGCACCAGCCGCTTGATCCGGCAATATTTCGCTCAACCATATATCCTACTGAAAGAGGTTCAGTGGCGACCCCTATTCTGGATATTACAGCCTTTGAGATATAATATGCAGTATACGACTTCTATAACCGGATACTGTTGAACTTTGATAGCTGTTATCCGAAATAAGCGATCTGTCAGCGGATTGTCGCGAACCGCTAGACCCGAGCTCCAAGTTCAAGTAATTAATTACCATGTTGCAAGATGACTTAATTTCAGGTCAACAGCTATCTAGTATAGACTCCAAGAGACTTTGCTACCTCTTCGTAGTCATACATCAATGAAGGTGAGCATGGAGCTGATTTCTTTTTGGAAATCTCAAAACCCCCCTCTTACTAAATTCTCTTGGCCACCACTGAATAATGTCGCATATCGGCTATCTAGCACGGCTGATGAGACATGGGGCTGCGCAAAGAAAGTTAGCACTGTGCCGTAGCCTCCCGAAACATGCGGCGTCTACCTCTTGAAACTGCCATGCTAAATTTTGATACCAACTCCACTGTCGTTGCTTAGCAAGTTTAATGCCGTGCTGGTACAAGAATAATAGTAATCTAAGAAGGAATCTGAGTGACTTATGCTACTCTAGAGTCGAATTTAGAACTTTTAATGTGCTCATCGCCCGTCTCCAAGGTTTGTTGATCTGATTCTGTTTCTCGCTTGGATCAGGTGAAGCTTGAAGCCGGGAGTATCAAATACCGTGTTGCAGCCGTCCTGGATGTGTCTATTTTTTCGAGGAATGCGCGTAGCCTTCTACTTTGCCACTCTACGTGTGTTCAAGACCGTCATTCCCCCTCCTCCCAGACCACTGTCCTAGTAAATGCCATTACACATCCTCCTTCTGGTGGCTCCGCTCCTTGCTTGGCGTCTCCGAAGTTTGCTCCCGTTATGCGATGGTTTGCAGTCTACAATTAGTCCAGATAAGAGGGTCCCCCTATATGGCTGTACTTGCTGTGGGACGGAATCCTGGACACAGATAGGGGAGCGGGTCTCAGCAAGAATCTGTCAGCCGTATTATTTGCGTTTGTCTCGTTGGACATTTTGTAATTTGAGCTCTTTACATCCATCGAAGCCGACCCAGTTCCAAGACGGGTAGATTTATTTAAATACTTACTTATGTCCACCTAAACTTAGTTTCAGGGAAAAAGTGTCAATTTACTTTAAGTAATACTATCAAGTCTAGTTGAGTTTGCTAAGTACTTGTTTATTTAATAGATACCCGTTATAGAGATTTTAGGACTGGAGCGGCAAAAACAAAAACCATGGGATCTTCATATATGTTGCCATATTCCAGTACTCCTGGTGAAGGGGCACATTGCAAACTTCCATCAATTCATTCACTTCCATTGGATATACCTGGCTACAACAGGGTGTTACCACCATTGTACCCAAGTACTCTTCCACCTCCTCAATCATATCTGCCAATGTCTAATGTGGGCAGTGGTGCCTACTTGGCTCCGTCACCATTGGGGAGCATGCAGCAGCCTACGAGAGGACTTAATATGGTGCCAGTCAAGGGTTCTTACACATCCGACACATCTAAAATGGTAGCCAATCATTTAATTAGCCCAGTATCATCTCCAGAGGCTAGAAATGAATCCGTAGCTACACTTAGTTCTCTGAACACTGAACAGAATCCAAATGGCAGCAGATCAAGGTCGTCGTCTGATCCCTTACGGGTGAATATAGTTTCTGATGAAATTCAACCTGCAAGAGATGATTCTAAGCTGCCAAGTGATGACGAATCAAAGTCAAATAGCACCAACATTAACGGTGATAATGAGGTTAAGAAGTCCAGTTGGAAGCCTCGCAAAAAGAAGCAATGTCCAGAATGCAAGCAGTATTTTTCAAATTTGGCCACTCACAAATCTACTCACTTGAAGCCCACTTCAAGGCCACACATTTGCAGATATTGCAATAGAGGGTTTGCTAGGCCGAATGACCTCTTGAGGCACATAAAGTGTCACTGGAAAGAAATAGGTTCTGACAAGGGACAGTTCAAATGCCCTTTCAAAAATCATTCTACAGGTGATCACTGTTGTCACAATTCTGGGATCTTCAGCAGATGTGATACTTTTAAAAATCATTTAAGAGCCATCCATTTTCAATACCCGAATGGTACGAAGAAAGATCAAAGAAACAAGGTTAGTGGAAACTGTAGAATGTGTCACCAACACTTCCAGAACGTTGACGAATGGCTCAATGAGCATATAGAAAAGAACAAATGTCCTTATGGAAACGATATTAAAAAAGAATAGGAGAACAAAGGCATGGCTATATTGCCTGGGCTGTTTGTGCTCGCTAATGACCGCTTATGTCTGTTAAGGGGGGGTTTTAGAGTTGTATATTAGGTATATAAAATTTCGAGTAAATCCATTAAGATTTAAAGATATCATTATCATTCGCTTAATTGTAGAAATCTGAGATTTGTGTGGAAGGATGTTCCTGAAGAATTTGTTCCAAATTCGGGTTTATTTCCGTCGGCATTAAATTTTATATATATTTTCGACTCGTGCTTCCTAAATATTAGCTCCAAAACAGTGCAAGGAAGGCTATTGATATAATGAATCCTATACTAAAGTATGCTCTAATAGCTTTCTTACTATCGACGATCAAGACGATCCCTTTGGCATACTGTTGTCGCTTTTATTATAGGGTTCTATTGAATCTAGTCGTACCTATGTCAACTTATCGTAAGAACGGAAAGAAGAATACCTTCGGAATTGATGGTCAGAATAAGTTGCGTTTGTTCGAGCATACTCTGATGAAGACTTATGTATCACCGATGGAAATCGATCCTTATTTTCACAAATCAAACTCAACTTATTTTATAGATTTGGACATTGCAAGAACCGATACAGTTACTAAAATCTTTCAAAAAGCCTTTTTTGATGCCTATTCCAATGACTCGGGTGAATTCAAGTCTAAAAGCTTAGCAAATTTTCCTTACGTCCCAATTGCAACTATTCAGTGCGTCTTCAAGGCAGAATTAACTCTCTTTCAAAGATATGAGATCAAGAGCAGAGTAATGGCTTGGGATAATAAGTGGTTGTTTGTTCTCTCTAAATTTGTTGTTCCAAAAGGAAATTCCGAAAAGTTATGTGCAATAGCAGTGACTAAATATGTATTCAAGAAGAAGGGCAGAATCACCATTAGACCCATTGAAATGATTAAAGAATGTGGCCTCTACAGCGAAGAAGTGGAAAATATTAACAAGAAAAATTATGAATTAGTTAAGTACATGAGCTCTTCAGAGGACTTAGAGAAGCTCTGTGAAGAGTTTTAAGATAATTTTTAGAAGCTTCTTATTTTATTACCACCCATTCTCATAAATTTAGAGATATTATTTATATAAACTTTATTTATTCAATACAAACACAAATCCGAAGTATATCATCGAAATGGTTCATGTTATTTAAGCCAATCCAAAACCTTCGTGACCCTCAGTTATAGCTAGTAATAAAGATCCTCTCAATGTCTCATACGACACGTAGCTTGGAAGGTCAATCTGATTGAAGCAGGTATGTGACGATGGAAGTCTTTCTGTTGAGCCATAATCTCTATGTATGCTGAATTTACAAGTTCCATCTGCACCACTCAACTCCTTAAATCCGTTTAATGGAACCTTAGAAGTCCCTGTGGCAAACTGAAGTAGTTTTGCTCTTTCCTCATTATCAAAAGACTTAACAGCTCTCCAGAACCACTGAATTTGTAACGAAGACGGGGAGTAGTTATTGTAAACTGTATTATTTTGCCAATCAGTGACATCAATATCAGGTAATCCAGATATTAAAAGTTCTAATTCCTGTTCATCAAAAATGCCAACCAATTGTTTGGGAATGATTTCATGGAATCCAATAAGAAAGTTGTCCATCTGCTCTGCAACTGATGTTTGGAGTCTATATTCAACAACTTTCCTGACATAATCATGTTTGTTCTGTTCAGTAACAGGAATGTTTCTACCATTTTCTACCAAATCAATGATTTTATGTTCGCCATAATCATCAGTTTCTACTGAAAAATCTTCAGTAATAACATCAGTAATGTCATTCTCTAGCATCCACATCAAAGACTTGAAGTATTCAAGATCGAGCGTTTCCATATCCTTCAATGATACAGGAATACCAAGTATTCTCTTATAAACTGCTCTACTGAAATGACAGTCGAGGTAGCTTCCATCATAAATTGCCTTACCAATAATTCTTCCTATGAATTTAAAGAATGATAAATGTTCAGGATTGATGTAGGAAGTTCTATTAGGATGAAAGGTTGTTTCATCAGAAGCAACTGGAGTGAATAATGCATAATCAGGATTAAACATTTGTCTAGATAATACCTGAAACCACTCTCTAGTAACACCACCGGCATCTACACCAGCCTCTCCTTTAAAGCCAATTTCTAGCTTCGCCTTTTTGAACTCGTCTTTTGGTTTGAAAAATAACGCTCTGTAGGAGTCCAAGAATACCTGATCACGGCGAATGCTGACCAGCATTTTTGAATTCTCGTTCTTATCCAGATGCAACTTTCTATCGAAATAATTCTTCTTGTTATCAAACTCCAATACTTTAGGATTACTTACTAACATCCCGAATGGCCCACTCATTAAATTGGGATTTGTTCTAACCATCTGATTCAAGATCTTTTTGTGTTCGTCAGTGAAAGAGAAGAACAAGCTTTCTATGGGTTCTTTAGTAAAATCAATCTTTTTAGCCTCAAACTTTAAAACATCTTTAATTTGAAGGTCTTTTACTTTACTATGTTTACAGACTACCATTAGAGCCTCAATCAATGGTAATAGAACGGTAGCAACATTTGTCAAATTTTGCCTTTCTTCAATAACCCTCAAACAATCACTTAATGCATCCCAAAGAGACCCTAGAGCTAATTTCTTATATAGCTCTGTGAGCTCTTCCACTTCTTCTGTCAAAGTATACAGATCGGCATTTGCAAGATTCTGTTTTTCCTTTGAATCATACATGTAATCCAAAGCAGTCAAAATTCTCAATAATTTGGCCTGGTCGGAAGATGCTGCACTGAATTGAGCGATAGATTTACTCTCAGAATTATAGTTCTGCGACTGTTTGATTTCCGTTGTCAAGTCATTGAGATCTTTAATATTTAATTGACCAAGCTTAGTCGCTTGTTCCGAGAGTTCTTTTGAAAAGACTTTCTGAGCATTGGGAAGTACTGACAAGTTTTCCATTGCACTAATAGTTCTCCTAAATGTCGTATTAGAGCACTCCTTGGAAGTTAATATTTTGATGACTAAAGCAAAATTTCTGTCAGGAATAAAGGGAGGTGAGAATGGTGTATTCTTGTCATCATTCTTACTAACTTTATTCAAAACATGTAATGGTCTAGTTGAAATTTGTAGTACCCTTGCTAAAACATCCAATAATACCTGCTCCTCTTTCACCAAGCCATTGTTTAATAAGTGAAGCAAAAAATTAATCGGATATTTTCTTTCCTTCATTTTGGTTTCGTTAGCTTTGGTTTTCTGGTTTACTTTTTTGAAGAAAAATAAATTATCATGCTCTGTTAAAAGATAATATCTCAAATGAACATTATGCTCTAATAAGTATAAAATTGATTCCATCATTTGAATTCCCACAACAATTGGACTTGCTCGGACTGGAAACAGTGACTGTTTTTGCTTTTTGCTCCCTAGCGCTCTGAATGAGATTTGAGAATAGCACCTTTCAAGAGCTTTTTGATCCAGAAGACCATCGTGCAAAACCCCTAATATCAAACTCATCACTTCTATCCTACTTTGCTTATTGTGGCAGACAAATTGTAAACTCTGATGAATACTTTCTCTGCGAGTCACAGCTTGTGGAATAAATAGCAAACGGATTATAGAGGAGATTCCAGATCGATCAACTAAAGGTGTGAAAAATCCCACCTTTGACTTCTTGGCTCCGGTTGAGCTGCTTCTATTTTCATTTGACAGGCGAATTCTCAGGTCAACATCTCCAGAACTTGGCAATCTTATAAAATCGAGATCTCTTCCTTCGTCTTCAAAATCTTCGTCATCGTCTTCATCATCAAATCTCAACTCATGGCTAGAATACCTACGGGCCATCGATTCTTGCTGAAGAATTTCTTCTCTTATTTGATCGGGTAAAGCATCCAAAAAATCAGGATCGATCTCACGAGCGTCTGTTCCCGTGCTGGTTGCATTTGCTCTCCTTTCACGAACATGCTGTGTAAATACTTCTTCTCTCATATCGTCAGGTAATGCTTCAAAAAATTCGGGATCAATATCCGTACCACTAATATCTATTTCACGTTCTCCGATACGCACCATTATAGGTTCTCTATTAGACGAATGATTAATTGCAGCATTCATTTCTCTTTGTTTCGCTTCCTCTTCTCTTTTCTTTCTCTTTTCCTCTTCTTTTTTCTTCAATTTCTCCTCTCTCTCTTTTCTTAGTTTTTGGGCCTCTTCTTTCTTCTCTTTAAATAGCTCTATGCTGTCTTCGCTGATTCTATTGATAATAGCTGGTATAACCTTGAAGACACATTCTTCACGGTTCTTATCGTAAAACATCTTCATACTATCAATCCAGCGCTCACCTGTTGATTTTACATACATATTGCTGAGCGGGTCTTCTTTAGATTTGCTGCCGGATCCCAACTGTAACATGCTTTCGAAAGCACGTTCAAAACTTGGCAGAACATAATGGTTGTGATTATAATGAAATGAGTGATTATCACCATCGATATGAACTGACCCCCTAAATCTGGTTGAGTCTCCACCACCCAAAAATCCACTTAAAAGGGCGGAGAAACTTCCACCTCCTCTCTCCGGTCTGAAAATATCCAAGATTGACGTGAGGCCACTTTGATTCCTTCTTCCGTCATCGCTTGTAATGTGAAGTGTATCCAAATCATTATCAGATAATGACTCATTTCCGCTCACATCCTCAGCAGAATCATCAGAGGAGAATTCAAAGTCCACATTAATAGGGTTATCTCTTCTAGACCGTTGTGTGCTCTCCACCTCTTCATCTCCAAGATCAACTTCTGGTTCATTTAAAGACTGCTCACCATCTTCAAATTCTTCAATCCATCCATCTAGTTCCTCGTCGTCATATTCACTTGCATCCTCCTCATCAAAGTCATAGAGCTCTGGATCTTCCATCATGTCGTTTGTATCATCATCAGACGTAGACCCCTGAGAGTCGTCATTAGAATCCACACCTAATTCGTCGATAATTTCAATATCGTCATGACTCTGGGATTCCTCGTCATCAGATAAAGCATCATCTGAGTTTGAATATCTTTCATCGACAGAAATCTCATCGTTGTCGTCTTCAGAATCGAGCTCCGATATCGCTGATTCATCACTTTCGGATATCTCATCACCTGAAACAAGGACTTCCAACGGGCCACCTTCCTCATAATAGTCCATCTCTTCGTCATCACTATCATACTCTATATCATACATCCCTAAAGTGGAATTACGGAACAAGTCTGGTGCCTCTTCTTTGTCGTCGACTTCCTCAGGAACAATGTCGTCATCCTCTTTATCTCCTTGATGTTCACCTTCAAATAACTCCTGAAACTCTGTTTTCGCCTTACCGAGTAATGTTAAAGGTTTGAGTCCGAGTCTGATGACCTTATTGACGCTTGGAAAGTTTAGATCAATCTCTGAGAGAATACTTGTGATCTGATTAGGAATCTGTTTATCGATAAGAGCTCTGGCTATGAAGAACTGGTCATATTTCGTAAGTTCCTTATTCAATAGAGGATCAGTCATATCTCGAAACTTAGGGGAAAGTACTGATCCACATAAGTCAAAAAGATCCATTAACTTTTCATAGCGTGCGTTCGCGATCATTGGAGTAACTAGAGTGCCTGCAAGCACCTTCAGCAATATATCTGTGAAGAATTTTCTAATGAATATCATGTCAATGGGCTCTTTTTTTAGGTTTGCTTCGTTATCAACGTAGCCAACAGGAGTTGAAATAAGCGCTAATAGAGCAAGCTTTGCTAAAGAAGAAATAGCACAATGGCGATCATATTCAATGCCGCTACCAAGGGTCATCAGAAAAGTAGGAATCAATTGATGCATAAAGAAATTTAATGCTGTCGATCTAGGCTTCAACACATCATTGGAGTTTTGCTTCTTAGAATATGTTAAAAACTCTAATTTAGCTTGCTTATATGATCCCAAAAGTTCAGTTAATGCTTGTAACAAAAAGCAGGCATAAGAAAAGTTCAGATTCTTGAACATTTCCTTTTTCTTAGATTGATCGGTGTTAGATGACTTTTCTGTTTCGTCCTTTTCTTCGCGTAACCACCCTTCTCTCGTCACTTCCATCAACTCGGTTATAATAATATGAACTATCCCACTGCTATCAAACTTATTGTCCACATTTTGATTCCCGGAGATTTGCAGCGAATCTGTATTTGCATCTGCATCTTTCATTTCCACGTCTTCTGTTTTGTCATTTTCTTTCTTAACTTTCGTTACTATAATCTTACCTTGATAAAAGTCATTAGTACCATCATATCCCTCTAATCTAACATTTTTTGAGATCACGTCAACAAATACTTCCGGATTTCGCAAAACTAAGGCAGAATTTTCTCGTAAACAAGAATGCAAATCTCTTTTTGAGCGAATTATGCCATTGAACAATCCACCAACATCGATTTCCATATTAGCTTTCAATACCTCGATAGTTTCAAAGCATCTTCTTAGCAAAACCATCATCGCAGTTTGATATAAATCAAAGCCATCACAATTTTCTTCCGTGAACTCTTTAGATAAAAGTACAAGATCATTGAGCAACCTTGAATTAGAAATTTTATATAAAAGTGACTCATCCTTAGCATAGAGAACTAAAACTCTTGCAAGCGCAATGGCTGATTTAGTAGAAGTGACACCTTCTAGCGTCATTAACCCTTCAAAAATTAATGCTCTTGACCCTTCATCAATCATGTAGGGAGCAGGAGGTCCAGCGAAATTTATACTTTGATGCGGGCTTGTTTCTGCATGAGGATGATCACGATAAACTAAAATCTGTTCCAATATACCAATCGAATAAGCGAAATGTTCAGAATTTACTAACAGTGGCTCATTTTTAAGCTCGGAGATGACAGAATCCTTGAATTTTTCGAATATGCTAGAGCAAGAACGAGCCACTTTATCGTTTTTTAGCATCAAGCCAAGAAGATGAATCGCAACTGCCAAAGGTTCTTCGTTGTTGCATACGCCGTCTAATAAGTGCGTAACATGATCAAATAATCTCATGACAGCTTCAGAGAGATTCAAGTTTATGGAAAGAAGCAAGTCCGCTATCGATTCAACTGCTTTAGGATAAAGCTCTGCAATACGCAACCATTGCTGCGAGAAGTAAGATATTTCGACATCTCGAATGGTCTTCAAGTCTTTTTCAGTTCTAAAGTTAGGAAACTTAATTCTAAGATCAATATTATCTCTTCTGGATGCTTCAGCACATTCTTTCCATTCTTCCGAAGATATTGAAAATTGTGGACAATCTGGCTTCTCGTTGTACTTTAAATCAGTGACACTGTGAAGATGCTTGAAATAATGTTCAGCATCAGATTCTGACATCCCCAATGATATTAAATAGGCGACTTGCTCGGATGGTGGAGAAACATTCTTAGAGTCAAGTGGAATGAATGCCACATCATGTTCTTTCTTAGCAAGGCATGTTTGCTTTGCGACAAAGACCAACTGCTCTACTATTGGAGTAGGAACATTTGAAGGAAAAACATCACTATTCAGCGAAATTGCGGATTCTATGCCAACAGCAGTTTGCATGAACTCTAAGGCAATAATCCTTGTTTGAATTAATATTGCAGATGGCAAGCTCCCTTCCGGATCTCTATCAAAACCATCATGGAAGAAGAGTTTCGTAGATGGCAACGTAGGTAAAGTCTCCAGATTAACTGACTTTGCAAATACTACTAAAATTTGACTCAAAGCATTTTTGACAATGCTGCTTTCTAATGTAGAGATATACTTCAAATCTTTGCTCTTTTGTACCTCGCAAGGTGGCATTGTAATCAACTTATTCCACATGTAAGAAGCTATATTCTTAAGCAGATCATAAAAACCTCCTTGGATTAGGCTGACAATCAATGGTGTTTGAATTATATCTCTATTTCTTTCCCTTTGCGATAAGATGTATAATGAAATATTCATCATAATTAAGATGTAATTACAATGATAGTATTCACTAGAAAATTTAACATTGACAAGAGATGTAATAACTTCACCAAGTTTAATAGTGATCTCAATAGCATCTCTTCTCCAATTGGCTTCCGCATACTCTTGTCTCTTATGCATACATACCCTTCCAATTGAGCTAAAAACAGTAGAAACGTAGTTCTGGAATCGATGACAAAAAAACCTTATCTGTAGTGAATTTTTGAATTTAGCGCTTGTTCTGTCCTGCTTCTCTCTTTTGCTAGAAGGTTCACTCGGAAAGATCTGTAAAGGTGGGAACTCATTGTTTCCATCAGTCACAGGCAGCGTCTCCATAGCAACGTCTGCTGGCAAAGAAGAACGTATTAAGATTTCCTCAATTATGCTTCTTTGTAAAAGTAATCCAAGATCAGATATAAATTTCAAGCCATAACCTCCAAATAGATCTGTAATCTGGTGATACCTTTCATGGAACATAAGTGTGGGGTTTATATATATTTCAACAAGTGTGTAAAGCAATGAATTTAAAGAATTTAACTTCTTCATAAATATCGTTCCTTCAGTCGAGTCGTTTTCGAATCTTGTAAAGAATGACGTAGTCGTAGACTCATATCTTATAAATTCTTGGAGCCTAGTATCTTCAACTTGTCTTTTTAAGATTGAAATTAAGATCGGCAAACCATAATCTCTTTTTTCGTCGTCAAAATATTTTAAAATACCCATTAATGTAGATACACCATTAGAATTTGTAAAATCAAATGGAGCATTTTCGATTGTTAATAAGGAAGACCACAGTTCATAGTTAATTTCTCTCATTGCATCAGCACCCCATTGACCGCTATCCTGAAGCAAGCCACCAAGGAAGAATAGCGCGTTATCGAGAATATATGATGATTCTGCATGTTCCCAGCTCTCTATTTCACCACAATTCTCTTCATATTGAAGTACAGTCTCATTAGAAGAGTGATAAAGACAACCTTTTTCTGAAGAATAAAACCTTATTCCATTCATGCGTTCATTAATAACAGGATTTAATTTTTCAACTAATTTTTTAGTCTCATTTAATATGACCGGTTTTAAAGGTGGGTAGTGTCTACCAAGCTCATCGAATGAACATCCAAGGTTGGTTGCCATATCTGATCTCACCAATTCTTTGGCATATTCAGCATTAAAAAAAGATTTGAAAAATATTGAAATTGATTTTTTTTCATTGACTTTCTTCAAGCCTTCGTTGTTTAAACATATAGCTCCCAAAACCTCTGGAAGAGACATCAATAGATCACTTGAGGGAAGAAATAAGTTCTCGTAGTTGTCTAATATAGTATCAATAACTTTTGCTTCATTTAAGATAGAGAATGCAGTTGGCTCATTGTGTATAATATAAAAGACCGAATCAATTGTTGATGACAATATTAAGGGTCCAAACACAGAAGGATGCATTAGAATTTGATTGAAACTTATTAGAAGAGGAGAATCAAATAAATTTCGTAATCTATCTCCCGAATCAGATTGAATCAAGTGAGAAACTAATTTCATCAAATTCCGAATACAGTTTGCTTGTCTGAAAGTGATCGTGTAATATACAACCGACTCTTTAGGAGGACCCCCAAATTCTGGATGTTCCAACGCAAAGCTGACTTCATATTGAATGGTTTCTATAAGTAGGTTGAATCCATCTTTGTTGACAAAGTCATCAAAAGATTCTGGTGATGCACTTAAAAAGACTGTAGTTAAATGGATTGCAGCAGAGCAAGTCCATCTATACTTCGTCCTCACGTTAAAGAACATCAACAAATCGGATAAGATACCTCCAGCAGCTAATCTAGGGGTGAGGCTCTTAGAATCTATCAAATTGCCCAACATGTTAAAAAAATGGATATATCCTTTTTCGAAACAGTCGTCATCCTCGGCCCTAATCTTCTTGTTAATGTATCTGATAATTTGAAATAAAATGCCATGACTCACATTTCCACTTAAGCAACGAAGTAATTCACTTCCCCACAGACGCTTGAGCGAAATGCATTCAAGTGCTCGAATTGCACAGAAATATACTTCTTTAGATATGTGATCGTTTTCTGGTTGGATCAAATCAACTAAGAAGTTGAATATATAAGGTTCGGATTCAAATAATCTAGAGGAAGTAAACTCGCTCGGACACATACAACAAACAAAGGCAATAGCCAAGCACTTTACTCGTAGAAGCTTTTCACGCAAAATAATTGCTTCATCCAGATTGGAGTTGAAGGACTTGGCGACCAGGGCAGAGAGACTGAAATTGAACCAGAAATCTTTAGGTATAACCAATGATGCCTTATCATACACATGCTGTAACGACAGTTTTTGAAGGGACTCTTCTGATAGCTTAAATGAAGACAATCCTTCATGAGAAACTAGATATTCGTTCTTTTTACTCTTTGGCTTCGTTGTCTTAGTCTCTTTTTTAATATTGTTACCGGGGACTTCATTCCTGATTTTTTTATTAGATGGACTCATAACTGATTTGTAATACAGAAAATTCAAGGTTTTCCATTTTGAAGGGTAAACTTTATACTTGTTAATGGAGTCAATGAGGCTATAGTGGTCACCTATAATGGCAGCACTGTTCTTTTTTTTACTGTGACGTTCGTGATCTTGAATAAAACTTGAGGGGATTGGGGGAGGAAAGGATTTAGCTATTTCAACAACTTTAAGTTTTGTTAATTTTGGAGCAGCATACTTACTGGAGTTTGTTTGAGAATACCTCTCTCCAAGTGACACGGCTACTTCTAATGCTTTTAATCTTATATCTACTGTACAAGTATTAATAAGTTGAAAAATTCGATGACTACTCGCGTAAATCGATCTGTTAGCACAATGTTCTAGTAAAGAATGAGTAAACTGCAAACAAGAGCTTAAAAGTTCTTGGTCTTGTTCTTCTATTATCTTCAATTCAGGAGATTCTTGATCAAGAGCATACTTTTTTATTTGTTCTTCGAATATCTTATCGAATCTATTCAATACCGAAACCCAATGTAAAAGGTCTCCTCTGGGTCTTTCCCACGTAAGGTTTTCGTTTAACAAGAGCGGAAGTTCTTCTTGACTGCAATTTGTAATTTGATTAATTAGCGACTTTAAAGTTTCTGTCATATCCACTTTCTCCAAATGGTTTTTCTTTGATATAATCATTTTTCTAGTTCATGTATAGGAAAATAATCTTGTTCGTCAATTGTGTTGCCGGCAAAGCTTCTCTTATTCGACACAATATTTTCGTCTCTTCTAAAATAAATAAAGAGATTTTGTTCAATTTTGGATTATCTGACCAACACTAGATCAAATGTGAGACTAATCATCTTTGCTCTCGAATGAGCTGGTTAAGTAATTATATACAGGCGATCCTTTTAAAATCTCAGCTGCGATGGGTTATTAGTAGATGGATATATGGAATCCAGTTGAAGACGTTGTGAATTCCTTTCAATGGTTGATCAAAGAAAGACCAGCACTCCTCTGTGGAACAGGGGGTTCCATAGGAATCAACCAGGTACAACATTTCGAAGAACAAGTAAACGAGACAAAACTTCCAATGCAGCTGAGCCAAACCTGAGGAAGCGAGGAAGCGATCAGCTTCAAGATAAGATTGAAGAAGCCAAGCGACGCCTTCTGGAAAGGAACGTAAATACGAAAACCCAAGATAAGTCCTCCAAAGCCACTGATGTGATACCCTCCGGAACAAAAGGTGGTCTAAACGTCGAGTTGCATCCCCTTTTGAGGAACATGGCCGTCACACCCACAATACCTAAAAACTACAATCCCCTAAAGCCCAAAATACGAGACTTATTTGATTCAAATGCCATGAACCCTTACTTAGATCAATCATCAATGGGTCCTAGCTCTCATCACAAGGGTGGAGCTCTTAAATTTAATCCACAGGGTAAATATATAGAAAAAGCTAATGAGCTTAGGCAAAAGCAAAGAGAAGAAGACACAAGGAACAGAAAGCTCGAGGAAATGAAATCCAAAGGCTTGACAGCAAATGAAGAGTTGGGAGAACATCTCTTTAAACCCGAATTTCCTCCTATCGTAGAATGGTGGGACAAACCATATTTGAAGGATGTGACGCATGGCTATACTCTTGAAGATTTTAATATTCAGTTAGATAGCGAAGTGGCACCTGTTTCCATTTACATTCAGCATCCTGTGTTGCTTGAACCCATCTGGGAAAAACATTTAGACACGCAAAAGTCAATGTACTTGACAAAAAAAGAGAGAAAGAGAATAAGAAAAAACGATAGACAGGAAAAACTTAAAGATCAACAAGATCGTATAAGGTTGGGTCTCGAACCACCGCCTCCTCCTAAAATTAAGTTATCAAATTTAATGAATGTTCTCACTAATGAGTCTATTAAGGACCCAACATCCGTTGAAATGAGAGTGCGAAAAGAAGTAGAAGAAAGATACCAGAAGCACATGAAGGAGAATGAAGACAGAAAATTATCTAAAGAACAGCGACATGAGAAGAATCATTTGAAACATGAGAAAGATTTGAAAACGGGTTATTTTACGTCAATTTATAAAATTCAAAGCTTATTGCATCCTCAGCATTTTTTTAAGGTCGACATAAATGCTAAACAATTAGAGCTTGTTGGTATTTGTCTTCTAAACCCCAGGTTCAATTTGATCATAGTTCAAGGAGGACAAAAAAGCATAAAATTCTATAAAAAATTATTAACTCGTAGAATTAATTGGCAGCAGCAAGACACAGATTCAAAAGCCAAGGCGGACGGCGAACATGAAGAAAATAAATGTACTATTATTTGGGAGGGACAAGTTAAGAACTTTAATTTCAAGAAGTGGTCGATTATCCGAACAAATAACGATGATGAAGTCTTTGATGTTTTAAACAAATTCGGAGTCGAAAATTACTGGCGTGAAGCTTTAGCACTTGAAAATGACTAAAATTTAATTTATAAATAGCATGTAAGACAAAAGAAGCGTAATCAACGTCATTTGGTAGCGCTCGAGCTTATCCGGTATTTGCAATCAATTCTTTGAGCAATTGTGATTATGTAATTTAGACATTTTGCCCAATATCAAGTTCGGGATTAAGAAATGTAAATCTTAAAACTACTATTGAGCTTATTCAACATTTTTGATTCATATTCTCCCAATACAGTTATACTATGGTTTCTACTTACACGATCCTTGGGAAACAAGTTCCTTCTCACGTCGTAAGTAATTTCAATGCTACAATGCTTTAATTGGATCCGGTTTGATTGGGTAAGATAAGTACTAACATATTGCTTATAGCTTGCAATCTTAACTTTAGGCTCTGTAGTTGGCATAGCTGCATGGCCAAGAGGCAAAAAAGAAGCTCCGAAAGCTCCCATTCAGGCCCCCGCAAGTAAAGAGGAAGATTTCGATTTGGAGAAGCTTTTAAAGTAAGTAGACAATAGAGACTGATAAGTATAAGTGACTACTAACATAAGCTTCAGCGATTTGACTAAAGAAGATAGCAAATAAGCAAGTATTGAATAACTCAGTGACTTGCTGCTTGCTGGTTCTCGACGAAAGAAATAAAAAAAGAAACTTAACAACGTAATCAATTAAAATGCTCTGATGTTGTCCAGAAAGGCTAAACAGTACATATCTTTAAAGTTCCAGTGAATACACATATGATTGCATTGTATGCTAGGTACTCTTAGTCACCATTTGTCGTAGATATAGTACACGTAGACTACCTCCATATGATTCTATATGCAGTATAGAAGAATATGATGGTGTCTTGGATTGTGTCGCTGACTGCAGCCAGACACATCTGAAGAGCTTTTCCGTTAACGGCGTAGGGACTCTTCTTCACTTCAGACATATAAATGGTCACGTATATTTGTGTATGCAGATTGAATAACATTATTCCACTTCTAAGGATCCGACTCTAAAGCTCGTAGAGCCATGATATCAACCTCTTATTGTCTTGATAACTTTTGTTTGTTTTGTATTTGCGAGTCCGAATCGCTCTTGATATCAGATAAGGTTGACTTTGACGACGCGAATTATGTCTTTGATCTTACACGTCTTCTTTTACGCGTCTATTTGCAATAACGTAAACAAGACATTAGTCATACAACACATTATAGGAAGTTACCTCTCTAATATGGATCATGAGGCTCCATTAACAGAACGCTTTTAGTGATTTGTGTGCATCAACTAAGGGCAAAGTTGCTGGACACCCCTACTATGACACGTTTGTTTGTTTTGAATATTGAGGTTTGGTTCGCGAAGAAAAAAATGAGGCGATTCACGCGTCAGTGGTATATATTGAGATGTATCTCCCAGAAACTAAATCTAGTTAAAAGAATACGACAATCTTCTGAAAGAACTACTGGAGCCAGAATTCAAAATTCTTCTTGACGATGTATGTTTATAAGAGAGATGGCCGTAAAGAGCCAGTTCGCTTCGATAAAATTACTGCTAGAGTGCAAAGACTTTGTTATGGGCTTGATACAGGGCATGTTGACGCTGTGGCGATTACTCAAAGGGTAATTTCAGGAGTCTATCAAGGTGTTAATACTATAGAGTTAGATAATTTGGCTGCTGAAACTGCCGCTTATATGACTACCATTCACCCAGACTATGCCAGCTTGGCTGCTAGGATAGCCATTTCGAACTTACATAAACAAACTACCAAGCAATTTTCTCAAGTTTGCAAAGAGCTATATGATTATGTCAATCCAAAAACTGGATTACACTCTCCTATGATCTCGAAGGAAACTTACGAGATAGTGCAAGCTAATGCTAATGAATTAAATTCTGCAATTGTTTTTGATCGTGACTTCAACTACAACTACTTTGGTTTCAAGACGTTAGAAAGATCATATTTATTGAGAATTGACGGAAAGGTCGCTGAAAGACCTCAACACTTGATTATGAGGGTCGCAGTTGGTATTCACGGGGATGATATTGAACGGGTTATTGAATCTTATAACTTGATGTCTCAAAGGCATTTTACCCACGGATCACCAACTTTATTTAACGCTGGTACCCCTAACCCTCAAATGTCTTCCTGTTTCTTAGTTGCTATGAAGGAAGATTCTATTGATGGTATATATGACACATTGAAGACATGTGCGTTGATATCTAAAAGTGCAGGTGGCATTGGTTTGCATATCCACAATATTCGTGCTACTGGAGCATACATTGCGGGCACAAATGGAACCTCCAATGGTATAATTCCTATGGTTCGTGTCTTCAATAATACTGCTCGTTATGTTGACCAAGGAGGTAATAAAAGACCAGGCGCTTTTGCCTTATATCTTGAGCCTTGGCATGCGGATATCTTTGAGTTTATTGATATTAGAAAAAATCATGGTAAGGAAGAAATAAGAGCTAGAGATTTATTTCCCGCATTATGGATTCCAGACTTATTCATGAAGAGAGTTGAGCAAAACGGTGAATGGACTTTATTCTCTCCTAATGAGGCGAAAGGCTTGGCAGATGTATATGGTGACGAGTTTGAGAGCTTGTACGAGAAGTACGAAAAAGAAAATCGTGGAAGACAGACCATTAAAGCTCAAAAGTTATGGTATGCTATATTAGAAGCTCAGACTGAAACTGGTACACCATTTATGCTTTACAAAGATGCTTGTAACAGAAAGACAAACCAAAAGAACTTAGGTATTATCAAATCTTCAAACTTATGCTGTGAAATTGTTGAGTACTCATCACCCGAAGAAGTGGCTGTTTGTAACTTAGCTTCAATTGCGTTACCATCATTTGTGGAAAAGGATGCAACTTCGACTTGGTATAATTTCGAAAAGCTTCACGAGGTTACAAAGGTTGTTACACGTAATTTGAACAGAATCATCGATCGTAACTATTATCCCGTTCCAGAAGCAAAAAGATCCAATATGAGAAACAGACCTATCGCTTTAGGTGTCCAAGGTTTAGCTGATGCTTTTATGGCTTTGAGATTACCATTTGATTCCCAAGAAGCTAGAGAACTAAACATTCAAATTTTTGAAACCATATACCACGGAGGTGTGGAAGCTTCTATTGAGTTAGCAGAAATTGAGGGCTCATATGAATCATATGAGGGTTCTCCAGCATCGCAGGGATTATTACAATTTGATTTGTGGGACAGAAAGCCAACCGAATTGTGGAATTGGGACACTTTGAAACAAAACTTGGCTAAACATGGCTTAAGAAACTCTTTATTGGTTGCTCCAATGCCTACAGCTTCAACTTCACAAATATTAGGAAACAATGAGTGCTTTGAGCCTTATACATCTAACATTTATTCGAGGAGAGTTTTGGCTGGTGAGTTCCAGATTGTGAACCCATACTTGTTGAGGGATTTAGTCGACTTAGGTTTATGGAATGATGCTATGAAGAATAACATTATTTCCAATAATGGCTCTATTCAATCTTTACCGAATATCCCAGATCAAATTAAAGCGTTGTATAAAACAGTCTGGGAAATTTCACAGAAGCACATTATTGATATGGCGGCAGACAGAGCAGCTTTTATTGACCAATCGCAATCTCTCAACATCCACATTAGAGCACCAACAATGGGCAAGTTAACTTCAATGCATTTCTATGGATGGAAGAAGGGTTTAAAGACAGGTATGTACTATTTGAGAACTCAAGGTGCAGCAGCTGCAATTCAATTTACTGTCGATAAAACCTCAGTTGGAGAGGCCGGGAAAACGGTAGCTATTTTAGAAAAATTGAACCAAAGAAAATATATTGCAAGGTCAAGCTCTCAAAGTGAGAACGATTCAGCTTCTACTAAATCCGCTTCGACGGAGCCCTCTTCCTTAGAGAATTCTGTGGCTGAGTTAAAGATAAGTGAACCAAAAGATGAAGAAAAAGAAGAGCCGTCAGAAAATACTGAGAGTGATATATACAGCTCAAAGGTAATTGCATGTGCAATCAACAATCCTGAAGCTTGTACTATGTGCTCTGGTTGAGAATAGTTATGTTAAAGTTGTATATTAAGTTCTTACAGGGGGTATTTTTCGTTTATCTTACATCATAATTTCTGTTGCAATTGCTATTTTTTAATAAACGACACTAATCAACAAGATCGTAGTTCAATTAATATCTGAAGTCCTCTTTGAATACAAGTCTCTTGAATAATTTTAGAATATTTCTAACTTGAAGTTCCCCAGGTCATAAAGCAAAAAAAAGAAAAAAAATTAAATCACACGTATTCTCATGTACAAATATAGAAATCAAGAGATAGTTTGAGATAAGATAATGGCGCTTCAAAATGAACCTGATTCACCTTCTCTAAATGAAGATATAGAACTACAGAATTTTGAGAATATAGAATCGAGGCCAGTTCCCAAGGATAACTTAATGAATGAAGACAATATGGCACATTCAGGTCCTAATCTTGACCTATCACCACAAGAAACACTGAATGAAGGGGTAGAGAGATCTAACTTATCACTTAGATGGAAAATTTTAGGGCTTATTTATTTCATTTGGGATGGTCCCTTGTATCCAGAGGACAACCCGCCAAAGCAGATTGAGCGTCTAACCAAAGTTGAAGATTTTCCTACAAAGTTAAGTTCAAGGATTCCTAAACCTCTAAGAACTGCATTCCTTGGTTTTTACTTTATCTTTTGGTTTGGATTATGGTATAGTGTCTTAGTTCCTTACTTAACTATCCCTCCTTATCTGATTGCAGATCGTGATGTTGAAGTGATCACTCTTTCATGCCAGAGAAACTCCGATTTCTGGAAGGGGAAGAATCAAGCGTGTGGGCTAGGGGGAGAGGCATGTCCCTCCTTGAAACATGAAGGTGATATCGTCTTTAGATGTCCTGCCCTTTGTGACAGAGGGAGCTGGACATATTCTTATATACCAGTTGGTGATCAAGATATAAAATATAGAGGCTTCTTCATCGGTGGGGGTGACGAAATCTCTCATAAACTACAAGATACACAGGTTTCAAATCCTTATCGATCTGATTCCTTCCCTTGTGGTGCTGCAGTTCATGCTGGTCAAGTATCTCCGTTTTTTGGAGGTTGCGCTAGAATATCATACGAAAGCGGTCCGCAACCTTCATTTCCATCCACGGAGGGCCATTATGGGGTGAGTGATTCTATACCGTTCCTATCTTTTTTCCAAAGTTCCTTCTTCTTCAAAAAATTGAATGCCAATTCAAATGATAGCTTTAACTATTGCCATGATCCGAGATTATTAATTTTAGTTCTTAACATCATTCTCGGAATACCTATTGTATATTTGGCGAGTGGTCTTGTCACATTTTGGTCCATAAGCATTGTGGGGTTTTGGACTATTTGCTTGGCTACAGACCCACCCAGGACGGTTGATCCCTTATACCACGAAGATTTTGCGGATTTAATCTCAGTTGGTCTAGAAAGATTCTTACCATCTTGTTGCGTCTTGTACGTTCTCTGGAAGTGTTCTTCAAAGACGACATTAAGTGACCCAAATCATGATAGTGATTTCAAACCATCTCCATTGCACAGACTATTTTTATGGTATCCATTGTTCTGGCTAGGTGTCTTAAACAATATAACCTTTGACAGGTTGCCTGTGGATAGACTTACATTACACGATTTAAGTACCCAACCTGGTTCTTTATTTGCAGTCGGATCAATAATATTGACAATTGTGATCTGCGCTTTCATACAAGCTTACAAGATTTGGCTCTCGGGTAGATTCAGGCAATACCTAATGATATACTTAATATTTGTCTTGAGCCTCATTCTCCTTGCAAGTTTACCAAACTTAACATTGAGAATTCACCACTATATTCTTGCAATGCTCTTGATACCTGGATGTGCTACCAGAGGAAGAACGGCCCTATTGTTCCAAGGTATTTTGTTAGGATTATTTTTGTCGGGAGCCGCAAGGTGGGGATTTGCTTCTATAGTGGAAACTGCTAATGCATTGAGGCGAGATGATCCAAGTGGAGTCATTCTCCCACCTTTAATTACCGGTTATAATTCCACGGGGTATTTAACTTGGTCCGTTCCTTCCTTTGCCACTGAGCTTCAGCAAAAGTTGAATGAAAAATACGACAGTGTTTCGATTTTGGTAAATGATGTGGAAAGATTCGTTGGGGATGACGTTGGTTCAGTTAGTTTGGAGCTGCTCATTGACAACTCTGATGATTTGCGAGATTATATGGACCTTGCTCTCAAACATGGCTCGACTGATGACGACGGAAACATTAGCATGTTCTTAAGAATTGGCCGCAAAATAGCGAATACTAACTATTACAGTGATTTCTCTAAAGCAGCAATACTAAAGTGGCCAAGTGGTGAGTTTGAGCTCCCACAATTAGGCATTACATAGAAGACATAGAAATTTACTTCTCTTATTTCGTCTGTAAAAATATTCTGCCTTCCTTTGTGTTAGCACTGGGACCTGCGCTTTCGTATTCAATATTTATTTTTGAATCGATAATCGAAAATAGACCACTTATCTGTCAGTTATCAAATAATCATGTCTTTGCCTCGATTGCTTCACTACCACCGGTTTAACGGAGCATTGGGGATAGCTAGGGTACTGCTGCATTCGACGAGATGTGGTTGGTATTCTTTGAGGTCCTTGAGGTTAATTTCGAGCGATAGCAAGGTTGCACCAGATATCAAAATAAAATGGTATTTTGCGACCGACGTACCGAAGTCTAAGCCAACTTGGTACAACTACTCAAAGGAAAAAGACCCACTGGAGTTTTTACCATTCTCTGAGTATGATTCCAACAGACTTGAAAAATGCTATAAAAAATTTCTTGATGGTCAAAAATCATCTCGTACAATCGACGTTAATGAAGACAAATTATTTGAGGTAGACTTCAAAACTTTTGAGTTGTCTCCAGTCTACTGGGAGGGTCCAGTTTATGAAGTTCGCCGTGGGGTATGGTTCAATTCCGATGGGATGCCTTTAGGGTTACAATTGTCCAAAGAAATTGAAGCAGGTTATCAATCCAATAAGTCATATCTTATGAAGAAACGACAGAAAATAAAGGAAAAAGAGGAAGCATGTGGAAATGACGAGGAAACACCAGAAAACTTCAATAGAGCAGCTTTAAAAGAAGAACTTATGGATTTAAATTCTGATATTGATATTGAGAAGGAGCAAGACATTCATGATCTTGGTGATGGAAAATTGGTATTGTATTGTAATGAGAAGGATGCGGTGATTTTTCCATCTTCTATGTCTAGTAATTTTCAAATCAATGTTCTCCGAAAGTTTGGATCAACACCAGTATCTTTACTTTCAGTAGAGAGAATCCAAAGAGGATATTCTGAAGGTTTCAAGGAAGCAATTTCAGAAAGCCTTGTGAAAAACCCAATACCTGGGATAGGAGAAACATTTAAGAATGAAATTATTAATTTAATTAATCCATCTGACGAGAAAAAGATAAGTCAAAGTAACGCAAAGATTACGGGAGATGATGAAAGTGAAGACCCTATGAGTCAAGGGAATAACGGGAAAATGCAAACCGTTTTGGAATCTGACTTCGACCTTGAGTTATCTCCAAGCAAGTCAAAAAGAGATATAGATCATCTTGTACTTTGTGTACACGGCATTGGCCAGATATTGGGTCCTAAATACGAATCCGTGAACTTCACGCATAGTGTAAACGTGTTGAGAAAGACCATGAAGGAAGTATTTCAAGAAGAGGAGCTGTATAGAAGATTGGCTTATCCAAAAGATGTTGATTCTGAGGAATCTAAGTATAACAATCGTATCCAAGTCTTGCCAATATCTTGGAGGCATAAAATAGACTTTCAGCCTCAAAATTATTTTAAGTCGTATGACAAAGATGGGCATCATAGACTACCAAAGCTATCGGAAATAAACGTTGATGGTGTAAAATCCTTGAGAAATATTTTAGGGGATGTCGTATTAGACGTGTTATTGTATTATGAACCGTTGTATATCAAGCAGATATTTAAAGTTGTCACCGATGAGCTCAATGAAGTATATCACAGATATATGGAAAGAAATCCCAACTTTAAAGGGAAAGTTCATATCATGGGACACTCCTTAGGGTCTGCTATAACTTTTGATATCTTATCTTCTCAAGCGACGAAGGATAAGTCGAGTGAAGATGAAGATAAAGCGCTCGATTTTGATGTTACAAATTTGTTCTGCGTTGGCTCTCCAATTGGCGTTTTTAAATTATTAGAGCAGAAGAACATAGTTCTGAGAGACGTTGTTCCAGAGGGAACTGATCCTACGGATAAAAGTAATAATTTTAATTCACCCAAATGTCAGAACTTGTATAATATCTTCCATCCTTGTGATCCAGTTAGCTATAGGATGGAGCCTTTAGTCCATCCACGCTTTTCAAAATTTAGACCTGAGCCAATCCCTTTTGCAGTGAAAGGAATAAACTCTCAATTTAATAATCTAGTGGATTTTGGAGATGCCATTTCGGAGAGAATTTCTAGGGCCTCAAGCTGGTTCAAGACTTCGGAAAAGCCAAGTCCTAAAGATAAAAGCACAGCTTCCAAGGCCCAAGATGAAGATGCTTTGGGTGATATAATGTCTTCTTTGGCGAAAGGAGATGTAGAAGAGCAGAAGGCAAAGAAGCTAAAAATGGCACCTTTACGTGACAATGACTTAAGGACTATGACATCTCTTAATAGAACAGGGCGAATTGACTATTCATTGCCTACCGGAATGTTTGATATATCTGTGGTGTCTGCCATTAGCGCTCATGTTTCATATTTTGAAGACAAGGATACTGCGGGTTTTATTATGAAGGAACTATTGAAATCAAATGACAATGCGGTGAAACAAAAGCTGGTGTCATTTTATGAATGAATAGAATACATATAATAATAAAAGCTAATCTCCAACAAATGACCTTGATTATAATCTATAAGAAACTATTATGAATAGTAATACATACGAACTTTTATGCCATTAACAAATCATCAATACTCTGCTCTGCATCGTGTTTGATTAATTCCAACATCCCCTCCGGGAGTATGGGAGTACCATCGTCTCGTAAGATATATCTGAAAGGCATTTCAGTTGCTTCGTGTTTGTTGTACCTTATCTCTGGATTGTCTATGAACTTGATGTCTTTGAAATCAATCTTGTTATCAATAATCCTTTGAGTAGTCCTCACAGCCGTATCTGTTGTCATTTGCAACTCACCTAATCTTCTACCTTCAAAACCAAATTTTTTTCTTAAGATGCCCGTTCTATCAATTCTCGGATGAGATCCCAATATACCTCCAAAGACAAAGTAGTCGAACTTGGAAGAATCACCAGGTGTTAAGTCAACATCTGCAGCTGGATCTAACAAACAAACTCTCGCTTTGTCGAGAATACCTTTGTCGATGTTAATGCACTCTTCTGTTGTCCAACACAATCCTGCTTTGAGTAATCGTTCAGGAATGTCTTTATCAGTTGTACCTTCTGGTAACGAAGTTAAAACCAAATTTTTATTCCCAACTTCTCTTATTATTTCCAAATATTCTAAAACTACCCATTCAGAGAATCCTTCTTCCATATGTTCAATTATATACTTCATTATTGTTGTAGCTTTCGAAGAGTTTCTTTGAAATTTTTTTTTTTTTTTTATTTTTTATTTTTTCATACTGAGGAATTTAGGTGCAGCATATTTTGCAGTATTAAGGTAGGCGATAAAGCAAGTAAATAGCTGAAAAAAGATACACAGCAGGTATCTTCAAGACCCAGCTTAGTGTAGTCATTGAGTAGATGGTCATTAGCTTGCTGCTAACGTATATTAAATAAGTTTGTCACAGAAAAAGGAAGAAAAAGGAAAGCAGAAGACTGATAATCTCTATTTTTTTCAAATTTTATACATTATTACATATATATGTACACAAAAGCTACTTAGAGGAACAGCACGAACCGTTAGAAGAAGTGTTACTAAAAGCCAATTTAGATGTCTTGTCTACCGACAAAGAACATGTATCGGTACCTGAAGCACCTGCTTTAACCTCAGATGTAGTCCTTGCGTAAGATGGTTTGATATCGAGACATGGGTTTTCAGTGAAAAAATGTCTAGGCCTCAATTGCAAGTCAAATACTTCTGTAGGCATAACAGGAAAGTCTTCAGGTGCTGGGAAGTGTGTGATTCCAAATGTGTGGAAAAACAAAATATCAGTATTTTCAATGTTTGCTGTGCCATCACCGATCCACTTCCTCATACCTCTCATACCATCTCCACTCCATTGGGCAACAAAGTCGCCAGATGGATAAAGCTTTCCATATCCACGGTCTTCATCAGCGTAGGGAATAACTTCAGTAGTGTAAGTACTCCAAGGAGCTCTTTTGCGAACAAGCGATCCCTCATGAGCCAATGCTTGGGCACAAAAGGTAGACACCAATTTGTAAGACGCGGGCTTTCCAGAATAAGGATTGATTGAGCTTGGGTTGAACATATCCCAAGTTCTGACCGCAGAAGGATGAGTGAGAGAATCTTTGACAGTCTTAAATGTTGTTCTTTCCGAATAGAATGCATTCCCGTACATGTTTTCCCCAGACCCTGTCAAATGAGGAGACAGTTTAGCATCACTCGTAGCTGCAGAGTTATTATCACCATCGATTCTGGGGTGAAGTCTTAAAGAAAACAAGTGCTGATGATTGTGTGCATTAACTTGTGGATAAACTTGAGTACCCCAAGGTCCAGTACTCTCGCCCTCAGCGCAAATATAGGTATTCAAAATTCCTGTTAATCTGATCTCCAACTTGATAGTTGCATCCTGTCTAAAAATCCAATACAAACAATACTCGTAATTTGCAGCAGTGAAAATTTGAGAGACGATCAATTTTTTACCTCTTGTGACAACAGTGGTTTGGAAATCATCTCTAAAGTCTGAATGTTTGAACAAAAGGCCATCGTCTTCTTCATGAATACAGACAGCATTCTTTATAGTGAGAGGCATACCTTCTTTGTCAGTGAAATTAGCATCCAAATAGTGGATTACACCCTTACAATCACAGCCCAAAGCTAATGGATTTGTGCAGTAGCCTGCACCATATTCACCAATATCCAAAGCATGCTTACGTTGATGAGGAAATTCTGGAGAACCGTATGGGACAATCATTTCTGATAAAGAAATACGATGGAACATTGGTCTAACCTTACCATGGTCATTATAAGTGACATCACTCAAAACAATTCCCTCTCTGTAATTGAAACCAATATGAAATTTGAAGTTGGACCACTCCATAACATTATTCTCCATCTGAAATGAGACGCCTTCAGGCTGGGTAATATTAATTGGTTTCGCATCATTTCTGAAGCCAGATGGATTTTCAGCCGTTCCAAATTTTTCCTTTATATGTTTTGGTTGGTAGCTGGAATGCTTATGTTTTGAGACCTTTCTTCTTCTATTTGGAATATCAATATAAATAACCTTACCAATATTCATATCAACAATGGGACAAAAATCCAAAGGATGAGAGTATTGGGAATCATCCTCATCCGATCTCCAGTACATAAGAGCTTGCTGCAAACGTCTAGACGCGCCCCATCTTTCATCATAGCCGATGGTCCATGCATCACAGTAAATGTTATTCATGTCACTCTCTGGAACTCCGCTTAAAACACACTGTCTAATCACCTCAGGATCTTTTCTAATAATCTCTTCTGTTCTTTGCAAATCTTGAGGTGTCAAGATGGGCTGAACACCTTCAACCAGACGTAACTCAATAATTGTCTGACTTGGAATGTCAATTACACCTTCTTGAAGAGCTGAAACAGCCTCTTCAACGATAACGAAATAAGCCATACGAGGAGGTAATGCACCATTTTTCTCCTTCCAGTCGTAATATGCCTTTTTAGGTGGCTCTCTTAAAGTAATGGTATTAAAAGTAAGCTTCTTACCACTGTGTTTAGCTTTCAAAAGCGATGACACCGCATAAATCTCTTGTGGAGAAAGAGGATCCAAAGGGTGAGCTGGAGGCAGCGGTGGTGAGCTAGCAGAAAGAGACTGCTTAGCGAGCTGTTGTAATCTTTCCATTCTTAATAATGATGTTTATGAACTGAAAATCTTTCGCTTAAGCAGTTTGGTTACCCTCTAGGCTATTTATAAAAGTGATGAGAGGATAGATATCGTTATCCAGAAACCTAATTGGGAAAATATATCCATGCTCATTGACCTTCCCTATGGGGCAGGTAATACCACTTGTACTATCTGCCAGAGCACAAACGGTATCACATCACGTGATTGCGTACCAATTTACTGTATTTGAACTTTACCTTCATTATGCGTACCAGTAGTATATTACGTTTATATTATTTACATATTAGATTAATATAATTAGTTCGCTCACTAACTCTTTGATCATTGATTTTTGTTGCGACTCTGCTTCAACTTGAATTCAATTGTAATCACCCATATCAATAATGGAAAAAGAACAAAGCTTGAAAAAATCAATACTAACCAGCAGTTCTGTAAGACGTTTTTTAGCCAAATGAAGTTAGTAGTGAGGGCATCAATTAATTGACGCTCGGTGCATTCATTATATGTGGAGTCATTACAGAATGGTATTTCAATAGAATGCGACAAGAAATTTATCACCGCCGATGTGAAAAACTGTATGGGACTATAAACAAAGTCATTGCTTTGTTTAGTTGCTCTGCAAGCAATCATTGATGTGAGGTTTATGAGCAAATCATTGGAAAACACCATAAAGGTTAATGCGAAAACTAGGATTATGCAACTGTAGCACCAAATGAACCTTGTGAGTATACTTGTCGTCCTAGGAAAATTGCAAACATTTGGGTGCTCGATAATTGATACGAACTTGTGCACAGCGTTTGCAAGGAAGACAGATAAAAAGGCAAAGTAAAGGTGATCGAATCGTACCACATACTTTGAACTTTCATCAATGTAGAGAATTGCTGTGGAATTCAACAAAAAATGCTTCGGAAACACAAGGACACCCAATAAAGTAACGAGAAGAAATGAGATGACAGTTGTAGTAATCCTTTTTATGCGGAATTTCTGAAAAAATGCGTTTGCATTATTAATAGTGGATGCCGACACAGCAAGTGACAGATCCAGGTAATTAAAAGTTGTCGTTTTCTCATTAAAGGATACCGCCTTTTTAACTTTCAGAACATCTGAGTACTTGTGCGATGTATGCTGGGACTCCTCGTCTTCATGGTAGCTTGCAATAAATGAAATGTACTCAATACATTTAACAATTCCATTTGAGAATATGTGGAACAATAGGGTCGAGATACCAATGACAGCAAATAGACGAAGATCCTTATTCATCAAAAGCTTATTAAGGGAACTATCTATGCGAGTGTTTACGAGAAAATTGTCAAGCTCCTGCTCAAGAGTCACGTCTTCTATCGTCAATATAGTCTTAAAGTTTCCCATGTTAAAGATTATTGAATCTACTCCAACAGCCAATATCAAATTCCAAGTATTGAGTATGATGATCGAAAATGTCAAACATTTTAGATCCTCAGACGAACCATGTGGAACAGCTTTGCTAATTGAAAGATAGCGGTATGTATACCATCCACTAAGTAATACACTGCAAATGATCAGAAAGGGCCTGTAATGAAGATCTCCGCGCGAGTTCCTTTTTAACGACTCCACGATATACTTGACGACGTTCGCCTTACTATCAAAGTCAGTCATAGTCATATCGCTCTTATCCCTCTATAATTAACCATCTACAATTCGCCCTACTGTTTTACTTATATATTTCCATTTGTCAGCCGCTTGTACCGAGTACTTTTTTTTCTCATTCACATTACTACTCCATTTGCGGATGGCGCGGTTACCGGTATTGCTATGTAAATTGCAGCCGTTGCGAAGTTCCGTTATTGGTCGTGACCGAATGATAATATACTATACAGTGTGATGGTACACTAATAGAGTAGCGAGTATACAATAGAAGTTCATCAGCTATGTACCCTATTTGGCTTATATTGATAAAATTCATATAGGAGGTAGCAGATGTCAATAATCTCTTACAAAATGCCGTAATCCAGTAATAAATAGGGGGTTTATGCTAGTGCTTATTACTGGTCAGCTGGGAATGATTTTAACGCAATTCGCATTAAAAAGGAGGTCCCTTTGCTCCTTTTTACCTTTTGCGACCGATCTAGCTAATTCTAACGCATCAACTCACCCAGATATCGGCAACACCGATTTTACCCGACATATAGAATCGTTTGTACATTAATTTTTTTAAAAAGCTTTAATTTTCATATATTTACCCGAAAGAGAACAAGATGAGAACTAAGTACTAACAAAAATTAGGGCTATAAACAGAATAGCTGATACTCAACTGTGATTAAAAAGCTTACAACTTATCATAGTATTCTTCGTAACCTGGAACTTCAGGCTTCAAACCTTTACGCTCTCTCTTTGCTCTGACAATAGCACCTGGCTTGGTGGTTGGATCGGTTGGGTCACCACTCATGGCGGACCAGTGATCGAACATCATTTGTGGGAATGCTTGACCTCCAGTAGCTTGTCTCAATTCACCAGTGAAACCGAATGATTCGTTGACAGGTAAGTAAGCTTTAACTGTGAACAATGGAGTTCCTGGTCTTTGCTCTTCAGAAACAACTTGACCTCTCTTCTTGTTCAAGACAGAGTAAATACCACCAATGGCATTCTCAGGACATTGAATCTCAACCAAGAAAACTGGTTCTTGTATAGCTGGTTCAGCCAACAACATGGCAGCGTAGGTAACTCTTCTCATAGTTGGGATGATTTGACCACCACCTCTGTGAATAGCATCAGCATGCAAGGTAACATCCAAGATGTTAACTCTGAGAGATCTGACATTCTCGTTGAAAATTGGACCTTCCTTGGTTGCCCATTGGAAAGCAGCAACAACGGAATCCTTGATTTCGTGTAAGTATTGAACAGCCTTAGTTTGGTCAACGACAACGTTAGGACCGTTACCGTCTGGACCGAAACACCAGATCTTTCTGGCATCAGTGACATCCCATCCGTGTTTGTCAGCCAAAATTCTAGCTCTGGCCTTGAAATCATCTCTTGGGTTGACAACACCTCTTTCGATATCTAAAGAAACTTCTTCATCAAGAGGCTGAGCTTTGACATAAATTCTGTTATGCTTGTTTGGAGACTTCGACAAAGCAACCATAGATGACTCAGCCTCAACGGTTTCTTTGTAAGAGACAACAGGATCAGATTTCTTCAATGGAATACCAGCGTGATCGTTTTCCAAATCTGATAAGCAAATTTCCAAATGTAATTCACCAGTACCTGCGACAATATGCTCACCAGAAGGTGACATGTAGGTCAACACACATGGATCAGATTTGGACAATCTCTTCAAACCTTCTACCAATTTTGGTAAATCATTGGCATTCTTAACTTCAACAGCGACTTGCACAACTGGAGAGACAGAGAACTTCATGACTTTCATATTATGAGCAGTCTCGGAAGTAGTGATGGTACCAGATTTCAACAAGAATTGATCAATACCAACTAAACCGACAATGTTACCGGCAGGACAGTCATCGATAGGCTCAACAAATCTACCCATCATCAAAACAGTTCTTTGAATAGCTTTAATGAATAAATCTTCTTTCTTACCTGGAACATAGTTTGGACCTTGGATTCTAACCTTAAGACCTGACTTAACAGTACCGGCGAAAACACGACCAAAAGCGTAGAATCTACCTTTATCGGATGTAGGAACCATCTTGGAAACATACAACATTAAGTCAGCCTTTGGATCACAGTTTCTGATAGCATTACAAGCTGCATCATCTGGTGGACCTTCATACAAGGTCTCAGCTCTGTAAGCTTGAGCAGTAATTGGAGATGGCAAGTGGATGACAATCATTTCCAATAAGGCATCAGCAGCTGGTAAGAACTTTCTCATAACAACTTTCAACAATGCCTTACCTTCCAATTCTTTTTCATCACCTTTCAAATTAATTTCCAATTTCTCCAATAAGGTTGGAATTTCATCTTTCTTGAAATTCATAATGGAAGCAAATAATCTGAAAATAGGATCTAAAACGAACATGTTGAAAGCTCTTTCCAATTGCTTTCCATCAGCATCCTTGTCCTTGTTAGTCCACTTTTTGGTCTTAGGATTAAAGTATGAGTCACCCCACAATCTTTCCATCATCTTAATCCTATCAACACCGAACTTTTTAGAGTATCTGCTAGCAAATTGTCTAACGGTGAAAGCCCAGCCGTGTAAACCAGAACCAAAAGCAACAGTACCTTTATCTGGGTATACTTGAGCATCACCTAAAACAGGCTCAACATAAGTTGAAATAATGACGTTAACAGATTCGACTGTTCTAGAGAAAGATTGGTATAAATCTTCCTTGGAGACTTGCAATTCCAACAAAGCACGATCAACTTTGTTAATACAAACAACTGGTTTGATTCTTTCACCTAAAGCTTGTCTCAAAACGGTTTCTGTTTGAACACAAACACCTTCAACACAGTCAACGACGACTAACGCACCATCAGTAACACGCAAAGCAGCAGTGACTTCAGAAGAGAAATCAACGTGACCTGGAGAGTCGATTAAGTTAATCAAGAAATCGTTACCGTCAGTCTTTTGCTTGATTTCTTTCACATCAGAGTCATCCATTGATGCAAACAAGGAAATAGCAGTAGACTTGATAGTGATACCTCTTTCTTGTTCATCTTTTCTAGTATCAGTAAATCTGGCTTCACCTGCCTTGGCAGCGGAAATAATACCAGCTTTTTGAACCAAAGAATCAGTTAAAGTAGATTTACCGTGATCGACGTGAGCAATGACGGACATGTTACGAACATTCGCAACCTTGTCCATCAACTCACGTATTTGTTCCATAGTGAATGCAACTATATATTTGTTAGTAATATGCCCATGTCAATTTTCCATTAGTAGTCACTCCCCGTAATGAAAATTTTGAAGGAGCTACTTGGAAATGGAGTTATGATAAATCTCAAATTACATACCCATTTTCAGTTGATTTTATTCGATGATGTTGATCGTCTAATCCTTTCAAACTCGTTGTTTAAAGAAGATGGATAAAATTCTTATAAAAACTAATGGCAAACAGCACGAGGGGATACTGCCTAGTGAGATGGGAGTAGTTAC